TGCTCTCCTCGCTATAAGACTCATGAGTCAACCACTAACTACGTTGTTGACCATAAGTACCACATCATGGTCGACAAATTCGCGCACCTTCGTAATGTCGAGCCCGTGTACATCCCACAGACACAGTACGGACATTTACAACACGTCGTCGCTATCCACCTCCAACGTTGCCCTACGCTTGGAATAGAAGAACCGGAGGTCGTCTTCCTCGCCGGCGTCACAACATGCGAAATCGAAGCCACGCACGGTCTCTTGGACATTCAATACTACTCTCACGAGTCTAAAACAGAAGAGTTCATGGATTTGTCGTGTGTACAATGTCTGGTAGCACGCGTAAAGGATATTGGTAGGAGATGGGCAATTTTGGACCGCAGCGGCTCTCTATCCCGTCCAAATTTTGTTGATACATGACGGACTGCCACCTGTCGTACACTTTAGCTTCAACTTATTTATATTCTGTTCTCGAGCATCGTGTAAGTTAATGTAACAATCGAGCAGTCGCTTCAACCGAAGCCACCGCGCATAGCGCTCGGTGAACCGAAAATAGCGCAGAGAGTGAATGCTGGTGAATGGCGGGGGAGCCGATCTGGGTGAAATTCGACGTTCGAAGGGGTGATTCTTCGAAGGCGACTTTCACTCTATCTTCGCCCTCACCGTAATTCACCGTTTTCGGGGGTGAACGGTGAAAATCACGACTTGAAGGGTGAATGTCACCCCGGGCCGCTCTCACAGTGCGCAGGTAAGTGGCAAAAGCGCAAGCCAGAACATCGCAGTATATCGCCGCAACACTTATGATAGCAATGAACTCTGAATCGGAGTGATGGCTAGCTGAAGTGAGCACTTGGCGCAAAGACATGAAGGCAGTACTAGTTTCCCGGACTCGGACTCAGGTCGAGTTCCATCGCTTCACACAAGCCCACGACAGTATAAAATGCGCGTCTCAACCTTGTGAGTGCGCCTGTATACAAGGCACATCAGGTGAGTGCATCTAGAACATAATCATGTCTTCCAGGTTCTCCGCATGAAAATCCTGGCTCCTGGCAGTCCATATCTCCTACGAACGAAACATTGAGCTCTTCGAGCTCATGACCATAGCTCTCATGGTAGATCGTTTGAGACACCTACTTCACGAAAAGGAGCATTGCCTCATCGCGTCGGTGGTAGGGCGTCCTGTTAAACCCGACATGCGGGGAAGGCGGGCTTTAGCACCATGAGTCATGCGCGGATGGTGGCACAATTCTTCCAGACAACACTGTATGCCCGATGGATTACTCGTGCAGGTCGTGTGTATGGTCACGTACGAGTGAGTGGCTATCGTAGGAACCTAGATGATCCTAGCCCATCCTGGATACACAGATCCGGGGCTCAGCGGTGGAACCCTTTGCGCCAGAGCTGCCGAGGTTGGTCTGTGTATTCAGGCTAGTATAAGGACGTTATAAACGCCCAACAGTTAGCCATTCAGCTTCAAGAACATGCAGCAGGAAATACCAGGACTGTTGAAAAAAGCGGTCCGATTATGAGTAAGAAGTCACGCGCACGGTGTAAAGGTAGGCTTTCGAAGGGCTCTGTTCGTAACAGAGTGGATCAGCGACTATAAAAAAATTCTTTTAGTGGGGAGGTGCATGTACCCCGAAGGTGGCACATAGTCTCCGGTTAACCTGATCTGAGTTGACACACTTTGGACTTACTCTGTCTTGGCTGCCATCTTTTGCAATCCGAGTCCTTGTTGGTAGACGCCTTCTAGTAAGTACGAGTGACTAATAATAAAACAAGTGACCAACCCGAACGCACCTTCTTCTCCGTTTGCAGAGATCGTGGCCCATCGTGGTAGCTCCATCGCCTACTGCCGCAAGGCTCCGGAGAGGTCATTTCTCAGTAGACGCCGTTTCATGAATGAACAAAGTGAGTAGTGTAAGAGTTTGCACTGTCGGTCTCAGGTCTCAGAGAACCAGAAGTCATATCCCCAAAAGGTCAATATCACTCCCCGGATATTCTTTGAAAAGGAACAATGAAGATAGGGAAGACAAAGGGGGACAACAAAACGATGGGCCTGGCCGGGAATTGAACCCGGGACCTCCTCCAAATGGCGAAAACCCTAAGAAGGAATCATACTACTAGACCACCAGGCCATGTAAATCAATTTCTTAAATAAATATCTGATATCCTCACGGAGAGATATCAACATTACAACTGAGTACCGGCATTCCCACCAAGCGCCATGTCCATTGCAAATTGGCGGACTTTGAAAGCTGCCGGGAAAGCCGCATGCCATTTCGACGCGGGCCACAGTGAGACTCACCGATTTGGCTGGGTGGCACCTATGTACGAGACCATTGCACTTCTAGGGCAAGGTACACCCCACCAGTAAATCTAACAAAATCTAGGATATTATTGTACATACATTCATTTCATTTGGTCGTGACATAATGGTTTCACTCTCTTCGAGTGATTTGATATGAGCGTGTGGTCCGTCGTGCAGCTCGTTCACCCCAAAATTAGAAAATTCTGTCGCGACCAAATGAAAGGGAAGCATTTTAGATGATTTTATGCGTAGTTGTATGGAGTATCACTATGCTCGTTGTTGCCTTTAAATCTGGGTTGCGTTCGTAGGTGACAGCCTGCAGCCACTCGGCTACGGAAGTAAGCGAGACGCGGCACAGCGGACTTTGAACCAGCCCGCAATAGGTGAGTGCCGGTACTCATTACAACACCAAGCTTTCTGCCTGTTCGAACTCTTTACTTGGTTCCAACACCACACTTATGTCTTCATCCTGGCCGGACGCCTCTGCCTCTCAGGATGGACATCCACAGTTCCTAGCCTCTAGCTATCTATTTCCCCTCAGCAACTCTACCACGTCTTTCGAGCTCAGTGTATCTCCTTTCGATCGTTACCCTTCACTCCTAGCCTCAACACAAAGTCTTAACGCCCTTCCCGCGATCAGTTATGAACTTCCCTTGGATACCCCCTCTTTATCACGAAACGCGAAACTGCTATCCAAAGAGGAAGTGGTCTCCCTCAGAACTTCTCTGGCTTTTTCTAAGGGTGGGCGTCCATCGTGGAGCAAAAGCCCTAGGATTCTCGTCTCTGCTCCTACAGGACCTCGCCTGAAAGGTATCGAAGCAACCACCCCTAGTGTCAGTAAATGGACTGTAGGTCACCTTAACTGTTTCTTCAGTATATTTACATCTCATAACATGCTCCAGTCGCTCACACGTGCACCTCTCACGAGAGACAACCAACCGTGGCCACCCACGATGCGGCGTCAACCATCACAGAGACCCGCATTGCGCTCGGTTGTCAACGTCCTCCCTCAATGCACCTTTGAAGACCCTATTCATACAACTTCACCCCGCAAAGCTCGGCCGGAAGACTCGCGTCGAAAGGCAGATGCAGACTTCGTCAACCTCTCTCCCTCTGGAGCCAGCTCTCCTCCTGATACCTCGAGGACGAAGGGTGAAACGCCACATCTCACGATACATCGTCGAGAATCACACCTTCCTTTTCATTCACGCCACAACCACATGGGAGATCGGGTTGTTGTCGACTCATCAGGACTTGCCAGGCGCATGTCTGTCAGCGCCTGCTATTCAACAGAACACGCTGGAGCACCCGCCGGCCGACGACAACCCGACCATAACGTTGAGGACACTCCAAGATACGCGAATAGCAGTGATACGCCGCTCGATTGCTTGCTGCCGCTTCCGGAGATCAGAATAACGACCTCCGCTTGCTCTGTTTCTGCGATCGAACGTCCGTCTCCTGGGTCGCCTGGGTCTTCGGGCAAGCCCTCTTTGATAGCTCTGCGACGAGGGTCAAGTCCCTTGCCTCCTCTAAATCTTGTTCTCCAGAGCAAGGCTCCTGATCCGGATTACTATCCTACTATACCAACAGCGTTTAGAGGTTCACCTGAAGCTGGTTCGCCTACGTTCAACCTTACGGGTCCTTCAGAGGTCTCGTCTCTGGGGATTGATGATATGATTGGAAACCTTCACATGCAGCTCGCTCATCTTAAGCCATCGACTCCTACGGAACTCCAGCATTCCGAAGTCGATTTGACGCCGCCCATGTCTCAGACGCCTTCTCTTTGTCCCAACTCTCCGAGGCCGTCACTAGGAGGTAGCGAAGATGAATGGGCCTTCGCCGATGATCTTCTGACGAAGTACGCTGCGTCAACACCCTCCGGCAGCTCTGCAGAATCTAGAGGTTCATCAGACATTCCAACACCTATTGCGCGTCCACTTTCTAGCGAACCGAAAGTAGTGCAGCCTTCGGCGGTTCCTGTATCTCCTCGTGCACAACGGTCATCACTGGCAACACCTCGCTCTGCTGCTATCTCTGCTGCTCAGCCTCCGTCAAGGACGAAGTCGCACTATAAGCGGCCGTCGGTTTCTGAAGACGACAAAGTAACACGCCGTTATACTGCTGCCGCTGTGCCTCCCTCCGTTACCTCGCCTCGTCAGATCGATCTCGTCACCACGGATTATAACCATTTGGCGTCACCGGATGTCTCTATGACCCAGCGTCTTTCTCATGAGTAAGCACATATATCCTTCATACTACAGGATCATGAGTATGTGCTAACATAACGGAGTAGACCATCTAGGATTTCCACAGTATCAGATCCTTCCAAGCCCCCGCTCGCCAAAGTGAAGCCTCGACGATCAGTGACCTTTGTTGACCCTGCCCCTACGACAAGCACTCGCTCCGGCGGCCCCATCAATAGCGCCTCTATACCCCAGACTAAACCTCGTAATATCGGGCCCAGCGGATGCCTCGGAGCAATGAAACCAGTAAAAACTGTGCAATCGTCTCAAGGACGGTCATCTATCACACAATGCTCTTCCCCGCCCAAACAGCCATCACCTCTTCGCCAGACATTCCTTGCAGACGAGTTCAACGGCTTCGACTATCTTTCAACCAGCAACAACTCGACTCCTTCGACTCGCTTCCCTACCGCAAAGTCCGTTCGTAACTCAGCACCAACTCCTACGATCATACCTACCAACGCTGCTCGTCGAGCTTCTGTACGAGTACACAACTTCTCAGGGAATGGCACCTCCGACCCTGTCTCGTTGCCACACTCATCTCAACTCGTCGCGAATTCATCGCGTGATTCCAAGTCTTCAGCGCGAGCTGGCAAACACCATAACAAGGAAAACATCGTAGAGGCGACGGTGGAAGCTGGCTCGATCACATCCGCCCCGAAACAAGAGAATGCAGTCAGGCGGCCTCACTCGCTCGGCCAGCACAACAAGGGTTCCGGCAGAAGGGCCAAGTCTGTTATGCTTGGTCGACACGATGAGAATGCGATCCAGGGTTCGGCTGGGGCTCGGCAAACCGGAGAGTCGCTGCTGCAACGGGCCAGGACACTGGGGAAGCGGAGTGGTGATCAAATCAAGAAGTCTCAGCCGTTGAGTCAGCGAGATGAGAATACAGCAAGGAGAGTTGAATTAGGAATGGATGGTCAACAAGGCAGTGGGGAGAGCTCTGAATGCTGTACAGTCGGAAAGGGTGACAAGACGAAGTCCGGGATGGTGATCGCGAGTAAGATATCTCCAAAGACTCCGGCACCGAAGGAGAAGTCGAGGTTGGCCACACCTCTCAGGTCGATATTGACGAGGTTTGGGAGGGCGACGTCCTGAAGTCTAGATGAGTTTCGCCGCATTGGCGCTGGACAGTTTTTGATCACGGATATGTAGTCACGTCCTAAGTTTCTATGACGGGGGTACTTTGTATGTTGTAGGATGTCATTTCGGTCGAACCTGTACATTCACCACCACACACTCGTAAATACAACTTCTTGGTATAAATATTGTCTTTGAGGCTTTCCAATCGTCCCCTGTCGACGAACATCCGATTCCTCGCGATTGATATTGAGAGCTGGAAGGCGCCACACCCAAAATCTGAGTGGCATTAGCCGCTGGGTGTGACTTTCTCGCAGATTGCCGAAATGGCCAAGCGCTACCAAGAATGCGGCGCTTATACCGCGTTCAACATATAAGATCAACTACAACGTTCTCCTCGAATTCAACGACTTGACGACTTTCGTGCACTTTAGCATCACACAAGCCGACCACAGCAGCTTAAATAGGATGCCTCGAGGTATTCCGAATGTCAAAAGGGACGACACCCAAGGCATGCGCTATACAAGCTTCCATGTCCCATTGCAGTAAGTACTAGGCAGTAGTGGGGTTCTGAAGAGACGGCCTTTTTCAACGGTTCATATAGACTAAATCCCAAGCACCCGACAAACACATATCTGAAATCTGAGTCGCAGACCATATGGACAAGGAATGCGGGTAAACGCAAGGCCGTGAGCGAAGATGTTGGGCCATCTGCACCGCTTGAAGTAAGGTCTCTGTCTTCAGACTGTGATAGATGCGCTGTTGTTCATTCGTCATCGTTCTTTTACAGACTCGGCGTGGATCTAACGTCATTGTAATTCATCCGGGATCTAGGTATCTTCGTATTGGACGTGCAAGCGAGCTCAATCCCGTCTACGTTCCCAACGTCATTGCAAGAAAAACTAATCCGCCTGTCCCACCCGTCCTATTCGAGGAATCAATCGTACGCCCACGGAAAGGCCGCACAAGGAGCAGCTTTACAAAAATCATAGCAAAAGACGATAAGTATATCGTGAACCCCGGCACTGATGATCCCGTACGTGTTTCTGTAGCATGACCTAGTGTCTACCATTGAACTTTCGCTTTGGCAGTTCGACGACAAATTTGCCAAGGTGCAAGGATTCGTGCTTCAGACGATGTCTTATTTGAAGCTTCGAGTCTCATTAGATGCCCCCACCAAGGCATCTTCTTTCAATCGTACCATGAAACCTGAGATCATCCCCCAGGAACTTGATTCTGAACGTATCAACTTCATCACGAAGCCGCCAGAAGACGAGGTCTTGGTTGGTGACGATGTAAATATGCTCTTCTCTAGCTAAAGACCGCCCATATTGATGGAGGTTTTCTCTCCTTTCGTTGACAGGCTCTTCGACTGGCCGACCCCTCTCAATTAGGCTATGTTTTGAGGTGGCCCATTCATGCAGATAAATTGAATACGAAGGACTATCCGTCCAATCAAATGCTGCTCGACGATATAGAAGCTATCGTCCGAATAACGCTGAAGGATAAGCTTGGAATCACTTCGCAGACAGTCAAGGTGAGTTCGTCAGCTCACATGCACCAGTAGTTCGCTGAACTTCCTCTACAGAATTACTCTGTTATCCTAGTCATCCCGGACTACTACGAGCGGTCATACATCAGGAACTTCGTCCATGTACTACTATCCCAGATTGGGTTCAAGCAGTTTACTGTGCAACAGGTAGTCCGCTAAGCCCCTTTCTTGATCGGGCCTAACTCAAATGTCCACATATTTCGCAGCAATCTCTCGCAGCGACATACGGAGCTGGTCTCTCTTCAGCATGTGTGGTCGATGTCGGTGCGGTATCATCCTGCATAGCTTGTGTTGATGAAGGAATGATAATTCCGGAGACTCGGTAAGTTGTCCGTCACCGTTGGTCGTGACATCTAAACAGACGAAATCAGGCTGGTCATCGGCGTCGGAGGGGACCATGTTACAGAGTTTCTCGCCATACTACTGCAGGGGATTGACTTCCCGTACAAGGAACTGGACCTCGCGCGTCGATACGACTGGAACGTTATCGAAGATATCAAATACAGACTCTGCTCCCTCAACGAGGTCCGTCAACGGCATATTACGAGCTGTCGAGCTTCACTGACATCGATACTGGGCTAATAGCAAGACGTTGCTCTCAATCTATACTCGTTCACCGTTCGCGCTCCAGGAAAACCGACCGAAAAGTACGGTCTGCGCGCATATGACGAGTTTCACCTCGCGCCCTCAGTGAATCCACTCGCTTATATCGGTTCATTTATGTTAAACACTAACAACTCTGCCTAGGTTATGTTTTTCATCGACGTAGTGAATTACGATAAGAACCGATTCGGTCGGAGGCCCATCCAGCATCCGGATATCGCTGATGAGATTGTGAATTATCTCGACCATGGCTACCCCATCGAACGCTACGTATGTCATCCCCTGTCTATCGAGATACCCGATAAAGTCTCAGCATAGCTCTCAGACCGAAGCCATCATGCAAAGCGCTGCAAAGAGTGTCCGTCCCCCAGAGAAAGCACCTGGAACTCAACAAACCCAGGTGTTGGCTGTCACTGCCCCACCACAGTCGACATTAATGAGTGTGGAAGGGACGCCACTGCCCACTTCCACTGCTCCCGAAGGTCAGTCTCCTGTCACCTAAGCTAAACATCTTGTTCCAACCTTCGTCTTCTTTCAAGGAGAGGCATCTACAGCGACTCCGTCCAACGGCTCTGTGCCTCCGCCACAGCGGAATTCGGCGGAAAGGACTTCTACCACGGAAGAAACGGCGAAAGCAGAAACGGACAAGGCGTCTACGGAGGCTCCACCCATGGATATTGACGTCGAGGGGGACACGAACCCTCAAGAAGTAATTGACGTTGACGCCATTGATTCGCCTATCGCTCGGCCACAGCCCAACGACTCAGCAGTAAATGAGCTGCCATCTTGGGAGAATCGCTTCACTATGGACTTAGAATTCGAAGCGAGCAAAACGGCGCTGGACCTCGCCATCTTCAATAGCTGTTACGCTGGGTCCGGAGGATATGACCGAGTCAAGAAGTTCCTCGGTCAGGGCGTCCTATTGGTCGGTGGAGGATCGATGATCAAAGGAATGTCGCAGTCGCTGCAGAGCAGGCTGTCGTCACTTTGTGTCCCTCTTGTTTCCAATATGCCGCTGGTCCAAATCCAGCCGCCGCCAAAGGATGTTGATCCCCGTGTACTCATATGGAAGGGGGCGTCCGTCCTTGGGAAAATGGACGGAGTTTCCGAGCTTTGGGTGACCAGAGAGGATTGGGTACGTTTAGGTCATCTTGGTGGATCTAATTGGGTGGACGTTGACGAATATCTAAATTTGCACAGGATCTGTTGGGCATGCGTGCATTGCGTGAGCGCTGCTTCTACCTGTGAACGATGGACACGATATCTTTTCTTGTAAGACTTCGGCCGGCTCTACATATAACAGTGGTCAGTGTGCTATGAATATCGATGTGTGAGCACCAAGAGGTCAAATTAAGCCGTGAATGTCTCAAGCAGTAATGTAGAGTTGTCTCGGCGAAAGAAAGACTCGGCGGCGATCGAGGGCAACTTCCAAAAAAGTGACATCCCATGTAGCAGAAGGTGATGTGCGAACGAGTCATACGTCGAAGAAGGGAGACTAAAGACAGACACCATCGAAGCTGTATGCGTGACCTCCTGCTCTTTCCACTGCTCCATCGTTCCTGACTCTCTTCCTGTTCTATCCGCGGTTGGCTACGTTTCGAGGCGGCGTTTAATAGCTACCATGTCAAACGGCGTGAGACTAGCCCAATGGCCGACAACATGCGCCATCTCCGTGCGACCACGTCTGCGGGTAGATTTTTAGTTCGGCGAGAAGAAGCAGAAGTATGCTGCACAAAGAGTAATAGAACAACGCACGCGGCCTTCTCTGTCCAGTCACTTCTTTTCTGACCGCTCTTCCCCCACTCAGAAAGCCCAGAAGATAACGCGGGAGGCGCATCTTTCGCCTTCGACCGCTCATGCATGTAGGCGGCATCATGCTTATCGACCTCGACTGCTGTCTTTTCAACCACACCCTCAAGCTTCTCGACCATATTGTTGACCACGTTGTCGACCAGACGGTTTGGTATGAATGGGCACAGAGTGTTTCGGCGGGGCGGATCGGGGGCTGGGTCGACAGCCAGAGAACGACACAAGGGGCAGCTAACGAAGTCGTGCCAGCAACCGCACCCGTGTAGAGAAGAAAAGAACCATCTAATCAAACAGAGAGCGCAGAAGCTGTGTCCACAATTGTAGGCGAGAAGAGAATAAGGACAAGCGCTGCGGAGAGACTCGAGTCAGCGTGGCTGAAATGGTAATGTTACGAGAAAACGGTGAGAATTAGTGTATATGTGCGCATACATGAGGTCCAAGCATCTGAATTACGAGGGGGGTGGTGGTGAGCATGTCGCAGCATTGGGTAAATGGTGGGAAATAAACTAACAGTGGGCATGTGTAGTGCTCCTCAATCTGGTCCAGAAGAACTTGGCCAGCCGAAACCATGGAGGTTTGATCGAGAAATCGTTCCCTGTCTTCCAATTCGGCTTCACGTCCAGCAAGTACCAGCTCCGTATCGCGCAGGATCTCTTGCTGGGTGAGAGCCTGATTCTCCAGGCGTTGGAGATTACGTTCCCTCTCGGCCAATGCTGCTTCGCGGGTGTCAATAGAATGGACGACGGCTGAAGACGACGGCGATGGTGATGCTCTGGTATCGGAGATGTAGCAATCTCCAAAGGCAAGATTTTCGCTGAAATTGAAGGCGGCACCCGTGATTGAAGAGGAGGGACGCCCGTGAGCGTGTCCGAATGCTTCCGTAGCATGACGTTTCCTATGGCGCCTTCGAGGTACCTCAATACACAACATAGTCCCTATTGAAGCAGCATGTACATGAGCTATTCTTGCGTTCATATAGATACTGCACGATATCCCCCACGAGTTACGAAGAGTCGCCATGCCCGACAAAGATGTGCGTACCACGTTTACTCCTCGAGCTAGTAGGTGGCCCATGTGGACGATCCAAAGCTGTTCGTTGTGCACGAGTAGTGCTTCTAAGGCTGTGTGAGGACATCGCCCGCAAGACGTGACTCGATATAGAGATAGTTTCCCGGGCAAAAGGTCAGAATGCGCGACACGCAGGCCTTGTGTCGTGTCGAGTGTGGTGGAAACAAGCCCGGAAAGGCAGGCCATTGTTCCTTTACGTGATCCGGATCTAATCTACAAATTAGCGTGGATACCACGCGAACTATTGATTCCGCTCCGAGACTGGACTTCTTTCCGCTATCTTCCGCTTTCATCTTTCATTTCGTCGCCGACACTCCCGTCCCTCGAGCGTCGATATCTGATAATACCTCTTTCGCTTTGCCTCATCAGATGACCATATAATCATACGTGGACACCAGTGTTTGCGGTTTGCGGTCTCCTTTCGAACGACGTCGAAATGCCATCTTTGTTGCTGTCACTATCCAGACCACAACACGAGGCTCTCGCACGTCGTGTCTAATTTCTACGGGAGGTCATCTATTTTCTGGGCCGGTGATAGAACCAATACGCCTACCAAGTTGAAACCCCCGGCCCACTACCTTGATATCTGCTCTTCTTCGCTTCCTCATCTGCTTCTGTCGAACTCTCTCGGGACACTTACACTTCGCTTCCTTTCGCTTCCAGACTCCCGGCCTCGTCAATGTTGGATCATTGGGCTGCCAGCACTCTCATGAGTCTCATGGGCATCGATCTTCATCCGTGCGGGGTTTCTCTCCTCTATATCATCTTCTCGCACCCTGTTTCCTCTCTGGTTCACGCAATTAGGGTCAGGATTAAATATTGCAGGTGCACCAGCCTGGGGCCTCTTGATCTTTGCGCCTTTTAATTACGGTTAATCGCCAAATGGGTGTCGTTACGCGGTTATCTTTATCCAAGGTGTCTTCTCGGGCTTCCTCGATTGCAAGCGCCTGACCACCTTAATTTCGCATCCACTCGCTCTCGATGTCCATAGCAACAGCAACAGCAGACCCCATACTTCCTATCTAGTCATAGAGCTCGCGTGAACTTCCTTGAGACTGCACCCACATATCTGCCTTTGGATCAGGTGGATTTCATCACGTCAATATTATTTAGGTGAGTGTCGAAAACCTGACCGTTGACATCCGATTTGATTCGCCCTCTATTCCTACATGCAGGTATATACTTGCTTGGGGGTAAATATGACATGCGACGCGCGAAATTGAAGAGCATGCTCGGTAGTGTAGTACATACTACTCCTTTATGTAGACTGATCCCCCGTCGGAAACGGGTGAGTGTCTTTACCTTGCGGTCGCTTGGGTGTTTGCTGACCAGTAGATCTTCCTTGCTTAGCTGTTCACCATATCTGGATACATGAAGGCACGTATCCTCCCCTATCCTCACCTGTCTCTGTCTTCCACAATCACAACCAAGCGCATTTTACGTTCGAAAAGATATTGCTCTTTGAATATGGTCTTGGGCTTCAGTTATTAGCCTCTTCCTCTTCAGCCGGGCGGGCGACACACTAGTCTCCCCATCCGCCCATTTGTCACGGTAGTTGCGTCATAGCGAGTCTGTCTCCTGTGCGCCGTCTTGTTGCCCTCTTGAGTGCCTGGTTTATGTTAGGCCTACTGACTTCTGATTTCGAGGCCCGTACTCCAACACGAGCGAACGCTCTATCTGGGTTTTCCTCATCGCACGCCCTGTCAGTGTGATGATTCGTCCCATTTGACGGGTACTTATCCACTATGAAAAGCACAGGAGCAACACGATGCTTGATAGTGGTCAGCCGCCACGCGACGGCGGAAGAAAACCACAGACAGCGAGGACCAATGACGAATGGCCATGAATCTGAGCGGAGAAAGTTCCACCAGATGACCTCCTCATTGACAGTGCCTATACTAAGCCTGCGTACGCGTTTCGCTGCCTCTGAGTCTGCATGGTCTCCACTCTGACGGCCGGGTCTCGATTCAGGGTTTTTATGGCACCTTCAGCTCGATTGCCGCAATGCTCCTGAGGATAAGGTATGAACAGATGGTCTGAGATTAGATCTATTCAGTGCCTCCATACTTTCAAGCCGCCCCCTGCTTTTTTGTGTCAGACGTCCACTTCAGCTGACATTGCAGAGTCACAAACAGCCGCAAAACGTCTCGCAGTCTCCACCCGTCTTCCGATCATCGTACGAATCCCGAGCTACATTCATCACTCGTCTCCCGTAAGCTATATTCGGCCGTACTGGATCAACCGTCCAGAACCCAGCCCTTTCACATCGTTGGCAAGTATCTCACTTGGCTGTCCAGATTTCCACAGCTTGGCGCTGCGTGACTAGCATTATTTCACTATCATAGGGCGTTTTTCAAGACGTGTGTATCAGACAGGTTTGCGCAAGGCGTCCGACTCGGTACGCTCTCCACATAACAATAGACCCATCGGGTAGGTGAATTTACTCCTGACCGTCTAAGATAGACGTACACACTCCCGTCAGGTCAACGACAAACATAGGTGGTAGCAACGTTTCTCAATCAATATCGCTTGCAATGTTGTTCATCCCTCCTTCCTATCTCTCTCCATCGATAATCGCCATCGAACTCGCACGGAACACTCGGCCCTTTGTACCTGAGCGCCGTTCGTGTGCGTCGCCCATGTCCGTGTCCAGATTCAGAAGTTGAGAGGCAAACCTGAGAAGAAAGGATCCGCATTCGAGATCCTCATTGGGAGGCGCGCATGGGCAGCTTCGGAAGTCGAAGTCGTGGGCCACTGACAGGACAGGTTTATCTTGTAGAGCCTCGCCGCTTCGTCATTGGTGACCGCCTTTCCCAGAACTGTGGTGAAAGAGGCCGACTCTCCTCCACGTTTATATCGTTTTCTCTCACATGAACGGCTGACTTCGAATTCGCAGCAGCCGCGTTGCGAACCGTGTATTCCAAGCACATAAAGATCGGCCTGCCTGCAGCAGTGATGCTTCATTGGAACGTACGTCAGTAAAATGTGACTTGCTTGTTTGTTGAAGGTACTATATATGGATCATAGCTCGTTGTGTTCCACCGTTTCGCACCCCCGGGTTCGTGTTCGAATTCATCTAGATATTTCCACTGCACCAATCCCCTCAAACTCTCTTCCTCGCCTCTCTGGGTCACCAGAACAATTGTACGTCGATCTGGTTCCCACAACTGCAGCCTCTGCGAACAGCCATGTCCTCGTGCCAGCGACAGGAGCAAGATAACGGAAGGAGCCAGCGACAGTAGACTTTGAGGCTCGAATGTCTACAGCTGTCTACCTCACACAGAGAAGGTTGATGGTTCTGACAATATTGGACATGTATGGCTAGCTCGAATGTCAATCAGTATTGTGTAGATCACGACCTCCTACTCGCTCAACGGAGACAATCATCTGCTGTCAGGCTTCTATCTGCATAAGTAACGTGAGACAGGTCACGGTGAGAAAGGACTTCGAGAAGAGGGATTGGCTAAAGTTAGGGAGACGGTGAGAACTTCCGCAAGGAAGAATCACTACCGTGCGCTCAGTGGCACCGTTCGAAGCAAGTCTAAAGTGAGACGGAAAGCCAAAGGATGAGTCGACTTTGCGCAGTTGCAGGCTTCATGCATGATGCCCAGGGAATTTTCGGAAGGTGTATGTACAGCACTTGGAGCGCAGTGTCAGAACCCATGGTGAGAAGACGCCTGTCCGAAAAAGAAACCTCCGGGAGAGCTGAGAGAAGGTTTCAGAGTGACTCCAGGAAGTGTAGCACAACAGCGTAAAAAACAAGTAAAACGTCGAGAACAGTACCTGCCGCGTTCGGCAGTATTGTGCAAAGGAAGGCGTGGTGTTCTATGCATTCCGGCAGCTGGATCGAGGCGCTTCAGAGTCCATCAACTTCGAGCTCCGAAGCTTTGATAAAATCGGGCTGCTGACCTCGGCCGCCGTAAAAAATGTGAAGCGAAGGAGTAAAACGCAGACGTTGACGGCACGAATGGGCGTCAAAGAATGGAAAACCGCCGTCAAGAGAGGTCAAGAGCCGTGCCCTGTGGCAGCAAGAGCCTGAGACCTGTGCCCACCGATTCGAGCGTGAACATGACCGCAAGGAGCGGGAGAAGACGCGAGCTTCGCTCCCATTTGTGGCTTCCCACTTCGGGAAACTCTGTCCAGGGAAGATTTATGGAAGCAAAAAGCGAATGGATCTGTCCCCTGCGTGGCAGCAGCATATCGGATACGTATACATTTGAATTTGCGCTCCGAAGCAGAGAAGAGAATGCATGACAAGGATTTCGAACGAGCACGCCCATGCAGGGTCGTCGTGATAGATGCATGATGGATCTTCAACCTTCTTCACGACGTCTTCTGACCGAATTTTCCCCACACCTGAGCTCGAGGGCCACGATCCTGGATGGCTTGTGCTGTATGGACTTAACTGTGAGCGCGTCCGCCTTCGCACGACGTCGACATTCGACCGCGTCACCGATCACAGAGAAGCTTTGAGGTCCGCCGACTTCATGATCATGAACGTAAGAAACGATGTGGTGCCATATCGCTATCACGAGGCATGAAATGACCCTTGGGATCCATCCTGGGTCCAGCCTGTGTGGAGCAGCAGAGATCATTTTGCAGCAATGTTACGCTGGCAAGAACAAGACCAGGCTGGCCGACTGTCGCCACTCAAGCCACAGATCGAACCTTCTTGTGCCACATCGGAGGTGGTTTGCCACAGATTGCCACAACTCATCTCACTTGGCGCTTTGAAACTCGTTTGAAGCAACCGGAGAATAGTTTCAAGACCGTTCATAAAGCTGTCTTCGGCCTCCTGTGCATACCATATGGATATATGCGATCAGAGAAATAACTATCCACAGCCAGTGAAAGCGCGAGCTCGCTGCCACCGTCGTAGCCATAACATTAAGCTTCTGCCAGCCAGAGAAAATGACCATTTGGGTCATTTGTGGGTGAGAATGCCGATGACGACGTAGAGACCGAGTTCACAGGCGACTGAATACTGCCGGCTCAGGCTTGCGAAGCGAGCGCAATCCCATGGCGTCGGCCATATCGCGAAGAAAGTACCCTGTGATGCAGGCATGATACATGCAGTTGAAAATATTGGTCCACAAGAGAGCAAAAGAAACATATGGACGCGATGACGGGTCATGCGTGGGGAGAACAAGAAGAACAAGAGAACGGAGTCGCAGATTCCGCAATAAGCATATCAGGAGGAGCTTCAGCGAGTCACAGCCAGCTGTTGGAGCACGTAAGAACGCTCGTCGTCCTCGACCTCCTCCCCGTCGCAATGGAGATGAAGAGTTCTGGTGGGTGGAGAGGGCGCGGCAGGGCGCGGGAACCGGAGGCGAGCAAGAGCAAGAGTCGACCGGCGAAGAAGGTGCGGAACACTCAATAGCGAGTTCCGTTCCACTCCCCCGACCATCCCCCATCCGATCGTTCCGTCTCGCCCGAGTCCGAGCGAACGAACCCTCCTTCCCACCCTTGAACATTTGACAGGACTGCCACAGCATGCACCCCAGCCCATCCAGATCCCATGGCCATCCATCAACTGCCATCATCCAATGACCAGTCGATTTGCAAAAACTGAATCAGATCCCGAGATCTCCACTCCCCCCATTCCCCTCGCAAATTCGCAATTCGTCGGTGGCAGGTACAATTACACGGTTTTTGCAAATTCCATCCATATTATCGTGCGGCATGTATTACAGAAGAATTCCCACGAATTAAAGAGATAAACTCCATAATCCAAACGAAAGCGTACTTCCTGTAACGAGAGGATGGCTCAGCGCTCGGATTGGCCAGCTCATAACTAATACTCCATACTCTCGGAAGAAAAAAATTCATCGAAACTGGCATTTTGTTTCGAGTGTTGACAAGTCCGGAAAGAACGGACATAATATTGCGTGATGGCATTGATGACGCGCGTCGGACCGTGCCCATGGTCCTGCTCGCACCCACAATTTCGAAGATCTGGTGCACTGCAGGACCGCAATTTCAAATCCTGGGCACTGGAAAGGAAGCAGGAGGACGAGCGAGCCGACCGACGTGACGCGACGCGACGTCGTTCCATGCATGATGGGTGTGTGCTGTATGTATAGGAGGTAGATACAGTACATACAACGTCCTGGGAAAAAGTCTTTGTAAGGTCAAGAGCTTCGCATTGAAACAATAATGGTAAAACGCGTGCAAGCGACATATGTACGCGAAGTCGAGCAATGCGTAGAGATCTCGTCAGCGGTCCGAATTTTCGGCTTTGCTGTGCGTTATCATCCTCACTGGTCGGTCAGTGCAAAGACGACTCTAAACCTCCGGCGGCGGAAGTCAAACGGAAGGAAGGATGGGGAAACAGGAGTGCTGCGGCCTCAGGCCTCAGGAGAGGGGCAAGATCGATACGTGGGCCCCATCACCATGGCATGGCACGTTAATTATCGCTCGCTGCAATGTCCGAGCCTAACAAACCAATATGATGGCATGAGATCCGCGTACGAGTCAGCGCGAGGAGAGGAGATGCAATGGAATCTTGAAGCTTGGCTGCTGTGAAATGAGTTGCAGATGGTAGATCCAGCGTCGTTCGTAACCCTATGGTAATGGACCGTGACATGACATGACAAACGGCGATCACTCAATATCAATCGTAGGATGCGTACCCTCGCAGTACTACGCACTTCCCTCGTGTTGTGCGGCTCACTTTACCATCGATTATTATTTTTGCGCATCCTCCTCCTGAGTCCTTTCCACCGTGGCAGCCACGATACACGACACACGAGAAGTTTTTAATTCCGAGAACGAGCGGCGAGCAACGAGCAAGTCACGAGTATGCGCCCAGTGTCCACGAGGGGCTCAAGATATTCCAATCCGGCGTACGCGAAAGGAGGTCGGAGGCCACACACGAATTCGAAACGAGCAAAAAAACAATTCGGAATTCGGAATTCGAGTATCGAGTATCGAGTAAACCAAATCCGTTGCATATGCACCTGTCGCCCCACCAGTGACCACAGCAGACGCACGCGCTCGAGGGTCCGCCACTGGGCAGTAGTGAACACGAAACGTGTATGAAGAATGCGCCGTGCGGAGAAGCCAAGCGCACGCAGAAACGAAGAAGAACCTCTCCTCTGACACTTGGAGACCCGAACACGTCGTCGACTATAGCTAATTGCAACCCGAGACGTTCAATATCAATTGGAAAGCCCCGACCCGAGATGTCCCAGAAGTAGAAACACTAGTACTAGAACCCAGCCCGGAACCAGAATCAAAGAACCAAGAACCAGCCTCACAATTAAAAACCCGCATCCGAATCCGCAAATCGAAGCAACAAGCGCGAGCACGACACGAGGGCGAGGAGTGCGCGAAACACGAGCTCGAGCGTCGGCGGGGCCAAGGTCCAAAGAAGAGTCACAGAGAATCGAGAGCATGAGGCCTGAGGAGAGATAAACACGAGCACGACGGGTGGGTTTCGAGCGAGCAGCTGCCTGCCTTGAAGACTGAATGATATGTGCGTATGTACTATGTACTATGTACTGTACCTAAAGGTTGTCGTGTACAAAAGACAAAAAACAAAACGAAAAAAGTGGGAAAGCCGGAACCAGGATCAGGATGGATTTCGAAGCCCAGAATGTACAAAAATGTGCATGGCCTGGTGTAGGGTAGGCGGGCCAGTGGATGGCATGGTGATAGAATGCGTTGCACATGCGCGAGGGAGGACGGAGATTGAGTTGAGAACCGAGATAAAGCAGGAGCAGGACGGAAAGGAATAGAAGGGCAAGAGCGATGGTATTGTAGAAGAATTCGCACGGCAAAATAGATATAAAACGAGGCGGCGCGCGTATGAGATCAAGCCCGGGAAGAGAGTGAGAGTGAGAGATGAAACAGGTGTCAGGCAGAAAAGATTATTCACAAAGGGTTGGAGCCGTAGGCGTATATAGGTGAGTATGATGATATGTAAAGAGGTATGATAAGAGCCAGAGCCAGAACCGGAGCTCGCGTAGGGGCGGAGGGAATAGGTGGGTCACAACAACAGAACAACAACACGAGCGAGCGAAGAAGCAGATACGGAATTCATAGGAAAATATGAAAAGGAGAGAGAAGGAGATGAGGATACCGCCGCGGATTCCGAAGCGAAACGAAATGCGAGCAAAAAGGATGATATACAGTGCAGGGGAGAGTCGAGTTGAGCAAGCAATAGCATACGATGTGTGAGACTTGAAGTTGCGCCGGAAAGAGCAGGGGAAAAATGAAGATAGTGTGGAATGCTGGTCAGGAAGCCAAAACCATGCGAGAAACGTGGAAGACGACATGGGCTAGAAAAGAGAATGGGGTCCATCACCCGAGAAGAAAATCAAGAAGAATGAAAGCATGGAGGGCCTGTGAGCGAACCAAGATGCGAAACCCCTTGACCGTTGCGGCCAAACGCCGCTAGCCCAATCACCAATATCTCGCTCCACTTTCCTCCGTCTCGTCTTCTTCGTACTCTGGAGGTGGCTCATACCCTGGCAGAGGCGTAAGCAGCGTGCTGTCAGCCGGCAGAGTATTCCTCCGTTGCTGCTGAACCGAAAGATGCGCCTCAGCCGGAGAACGAAGAGGATAAGGCTGCGTGGAGCGAGTCGGAAGGCTATTCCTACGGGCGAAATCTCCTACCGCCTGAGCAGACGAAGCAGAAGACCAATTCTCCGTCTGTGGCATCGAGACGTGAGGATCCTGACGGGACGCAGACGCGTAGCCAGTCTCCTCCAGAGGTACATTCCAACCCATATTCATCGACGAGACCGAGCCCGGGACGTCCTGCCCGACGTCTCCTTGGGTCTGCGGAGGAAGAGGGGAAGGATACATAAGCTGGGGCTGCGAGCCGTACCGCATCCCCATCTGCGGACTCGAAGACGCGGGGAGGTCGGTTAGATTGAGATAGCGGTCGTTGATTCCGGGTCCGGAAAGCTGGTGCATGGGAACACCCATTCCTAGAGACTGCTGGTCGTAATGAGAGACGTGCTGACGCATCATCGAAGGACTCGAGCGAGTGTCGGGATGAGGGAGATGGTGCTGGTGCTGGAGATGGTGAGGGATCCCGAATTGCGGGTGGTGTCCCAGACTGCCCTCCACGGCTAGGCGAGCGTTCATGGCACGGTCCGCCTCTTCCTTCTTCGCCTTTCGCCACTGTTTTCGCAGATCCTTGAACTCTAGATGGCGCAAAGAAGCAAGGCGAAAGTCAAAGCGATATTAAATCGGATAATCAGCTGTGGACCGCAGAAAAATACGAAAAGAACGAACGAACCGGCTGGAGTGCGCTTATTGCCGTGCCGCTGCATGACGATGTGCGCGTTGAGATGGTTCAGCGTCCCATAACTCTTTGTGCAATTCGGCCAAGAGCAATGGTAAAGGCGCTCGATCTCGTCGTACCGCCTCCGGGGACGCTTTTTCACCGCGTTTCCGGGCAAAGAGACAAAAGAGTATGTCTTGGAGGAGGCAGAGCCCGGATCGGACGGGCCCCCTATGAGTGCCTCAGTCCTTTCCGGCGACTCCTGGTCTGACAGGCCAGCCGCGGGTGGTGCCTGAGATCCGGCGAGAGCGCCAGAGGAGGACGACGGCCTGGAGGACGCGGCGTGCGGGTGGAGGTGCCTGGCATAGACATCCGGGTCCCCGCTGAGATATCCGGAGGAATCGGGACGGGGGTCGGACGCGGAGTCCTCCTCGAGCGAGTGGGGAGCAGGAGGAGCGGCCTGGTAGTGGAACTGTGGCGGAGAGGGGTGGACGATAGTGGCGGTGGCGGCTGGCTGGGCAGATGTTGAGGAAGTGGAAGTGGCGGAGCCGGAAAAGTTGGAATGGAGGGGGGAGATAGGATCTTCTGCGGCGGGAGAAGAAGAAGGGACTGTGGCGTACGACGAGGATTGAAGAGGAACGTTCATTTCCTGCTGGTCCCAGCCGGAACTAGCGGTCGAGCCAGCCGTTCCGGGTCTCTGATCTGCCATAGAACCGAAGTTGAGGGATCTCGGAGAGGGAAGGACGGAGGGACGGTGCGAGTAGGGTGTGTAGGACGGCTGCTGGGAGTACTGAAAGCGGGAGTCGACTGGACTGGGGAGAGAGTAAGACGGGGGGAACTGGTTGTGCATGTTCGGTTCCGATAAGTGGCGGGCGGGGGATAGGGGGACAGGGGGCGGATACGAGTATCTTTGAGCGGCGAGGTTGCGGGACGGGACGTGTGGCGCAGACTGCTCGTAGGGAGAGCCTGCGAGCTGGGAGAAGGACGACTGGCCGTGGAGAGAGGATTGCGGGTGTCGGAAGGAGGGAGGGATGTCGTGGCGGGAGGGGGAGGGATATTCGTCCCGCTTTGGATAAAGGGAGTGGTTTGGGAGGTAGTGGTCGGTCAGGAGGGGCGTATTGTGGGCTGAATCGGAGGCATCCTGATTTGGGGGGTTATTTTGAGCAGGATGGACATAGTAATCGGCCGGATTGGACAGGACTGGGTGGGGCGGAATGGTAGGGAGATCGCGGGCGACGGCAGCCCTGGGGAGCACGGAGTCTTGGGGGTAGAGCTGGCTGGCCCGGTGGACGCTGTGGCGGTCGAAGAGGGAGTGGGGCTGGAGAGCGAGCATAAAGAGCCAGAGGGAGGCGCGGCGAGAGAGTCGCTGGCTGATGGCGCGTTATATTACATATCTAGAGCTCTCCACCTCCAACAAACTCTCTTCAGCACCTGATTCGATCTCAACACGATCTTGCTCCGTACACCCGCTGCCCCGGGCCTCGGCCCCGTCCCGCCTTCCAGAACTTCTCTCCAGAACCATCACCCGCGCACACGTCCCGTCGCCCGAATATTCCTCCTCAATTAATAAATCTCATCTCCCGGCCGAAGACGCTGCCCCGCACGGCCCTCGTCTCCCGCTCCCACCGCCGCCGAGTCCGTCCCCGACCCAGCTCTGAGCCCACGCAATGATGCCTCTTCCGGATCGCTTCCCCGGCGCATGACCCCTGTCCGCGCGAAGCCCCTTCACGCTCCCCGTTTCGTCCTTGATCGTGATCGCACTCAACCTCCCCTCGGCAACGCCGCCGTCTGCTCGCCATGCACACCGGCATATCAACACTATCCCCACTCGATGGCCATCATCCCGAACACAATAAACATATCTTCATGCTCTTTTGAACACCGACCCGTGCGGATACACGTTTACCACAGATCGTCTCGGATACAGACACAGACAGCACCCCCCGAACTCCTCCGAACCCTCCCTCATTCTTATCTCGTCTCGTCCATCCTCTTCTGCTTCCTTCGTCCCCAAGTATACCCGTCTCTCGCTTGGCGCTTATTCTGCCACACCCGAGCCTCGAGCTCACCCGCCATCTTCCAAATTCCAACGGTCATTTCGACGTCCAGAGCCCAATATGATATATCATGATGCTCGGCGCATCCGACCTTCCATTTTCCAACCACCTCGCACTCGCACATCACCATCTCCTGCCTCGCCATCATCCCATCATCCGATTGAACCGCCTCGCTATTTACCTTGCAAGGGAATCTCATCCAATGCAATTCGCACCTTTTGTTTTTCCGGTCCACCAATAGACGTCGATGAGAGAACGATAATACACCACCAACCACCACCACCCACCCGCTCATGGGCATTTATCTGACCCACAGATCCATCCAGCGATCCCATCCACCGTACGTAGCTTTATTGGCACGTTCTTTCTCCGACTCGGCCATACGGTCCGCGCACGAAAAACACGTGTTCCCGCTGCGTCTCTCCCTCCTGCCTGCCTACCCACAACTTCCTACCTCTCCTTCCTTTTCCTGTCCTTCCTGTCTTCCTTTTCCTATGCCTTTTCCTTGCCTCCTTCTCTGGTCGGCGCTCCAGCAGTTTCAAATGACCTCGCCCGAGCACGAACACACTCGGAGTTCTTTTTTTGTGGTTTGGCTATGGCCCTCTTCCGAGTTTTTGAGTTCTGAGTTCTGTGTTCCATTCAGTTCGTTCGTAAAATCGGAACACGTCTGGCCTCTGTGTCTCTAGTCTCTTTTTTGTTTTTATTTTGTGTTCTCTGAGTTTCGAGTGAAACTGCGATACGTGTCTCGTCCCGACCCGTTCCGCGTCGGTCAGGTCCCTCTGCCGATTTTGGGCTGGAGGAACGAACGAACGAACGAACGAGCCTGACCTGACCAGTCATCGTCCTCGAGTTGGAACTGGAAGGGACGCGTCCTGGTGTCCTGAGTTTTGTTCCTTATTCCGGGCTGAACGTATCCTTACGCCGCCCAAGAACGGACATTGGACGTCCAGCGAATATTAATACAGGTCGCGTTTGGACGGTGTTACTGTGTGGATTGCGGATTTTGGATTGGATTGATATCCCTGTGTGCCTTGGCCGAGCTTGCGAGCGTCGTGGAGGCGTTTGCAGTCGCACGTACTGAGTACTGATACAGTCATGTAAGCCGTTTTCGTGCAGGCACCGTCTGAGATTGGCGGTGATGCGAGGCGGATCTGTTTTCGTATGCAGGGATTTAGGGATTCAGGGATATCGTGTTGAATTCCGATTTCGAACACCTCAGGCCTGAGTTCAAGGTCCAGACGAACAACGACGTTTTTTTGCGCTTGTTCCATGACCATGTTAGGAAGTGTGTATTCGACCGTCAAGTTATTACTTGACTCAGCCCGGAGCTCACAGACCAGAGGTGTTTTGTCTGTGTTCAAGTTATTGCAAGCTCGCGTAGTATATTGACTTCCAGAGCTCGATGGGTGTCTTTTTGCAGAGTTGCCAGAGATCATATGAACGAACTTACGGCCTGAGAGTTCAATTACCTGCATTATCCCAAATCTGTACCTTGCGTTTCGCAAGCCAGATCCTACGGGTAAATAGCTAATCTCGAGCAGACCTCCCACGAGATAGGCATTCGTTGTTGTCCTAATCTCGTTCATGGGCAGAAGAGGTCTTCGTCGGTGCCGGGGCCGTAGCTACATATTGCGCTGTAATCGAACCGCAATCTCGTTCCTCGAGGGGCATTATAATAATGGGACGAGACCGAGAGAAAGAGAAAGAGAGAAGGGATGTGTTGTGTGTGTGCCTGGTGAATATTGAACGTGGAATATCGATATTGTTCACACATGGAGAAGTTTGCCTCGATAGGTACCCATGACATGACTTTCCGCGCACCGGGACGTCCTGACCATGACCACGATTAGTATTAAGGCCCACTCGCAAGTGAAGTCGTCAGTAAGTATAGCTCTCGGTGCCGATAGGCAGGCCGAGTGGAACACGGACAAGTTGGAATTGTCTGGGCTCGTTCTCGTGGGGAAAGGAGACTCGAGAGAAAGGGGCTGGAGAATGAGAATAACGAGAATTTGGGTGCTGTCATTGGTTGCATGTTTTACTTTTACGTTCCTTAATGTCCCCGTTTGGGCTGTTCGTCCTTGTGTTCCGGGCGATGATGAGGATGATGATGACCATGATGATATCTCCGCTTAGCCCCTTGGCGATGTGCGATGTGGTCCGGGGAGAATATTCGATGAATGCAAGGGATGCAGACGAGCGTCATTATTCGCACCGACGAAGACCAGGATGAAGTATACTGCAGCGACGATGCGCGATCTTACATGGTCTGGTGCGCATAACTTAGTACGAGGAACCAAACACCATCTGGTACGTCCTTCATCCCGGCCTCGAGAACTTTACTGTGTTCTCACTCTCACTACTGACCGAACCCATGATCACAGCGCCGAGCGCCTCCCTCTGGCTCATGGCTCACACTGCAGCCAGCCTTCGTGCTCGTGTCCGCACAGGCACCACATCCGCAATCAGAACCCCAATCACGCACAGCAGAACAGAACAGAACAGGACAGAAAGAGGACACAACCCCGCACTGCGAGTGTTCCGAATCGACGAATGATCCTTCGTACGGCATTCATGAGACTCGGTGCCGTACATTCATCTTCATTATGCATACATTTCGGCGTATGGACCCAGGACTGTCAAACAAGTCGCCGAGAGGCCATCCTCCGAGTCCCATCTCAAACTGTCTTTCATTTTCGCTTTCGTTTTCATTTACGTTTGCCACCTTCATCTCACAGATGTAGCTGTTCTCATCACGCTTCACATCCTTCCATGTCAAGTCGCGACATCGCTTAGGTCTCTCATAATACGACACCCACTCACTGACGGGCCCGGGACAACTTCGGGTCCGTCCTACACGCTCCCACCATCGCCACATTGGACTGTCGCGAACCGAGCATGCGTACAGTACATACAAGACAAGAATATCGAGCAAATACGGAGCGTTCGAAGTCCGGAAAAGGAACGCGTAGTCTCGCGAGGGATCGTGGCATCGCGAGCACTGGTCGATGAGATGACCCAAGATCTCACTGAGCTTTCAAGAGCTCCCGTAATTAATTGAAGTCGCTCTTGAAGCCAAGAAAGCGAAGTATTTATGTGTCAGTCCCATTGGTGTAAGAAAGTTACATACGTACGTATACGTGCGCCGGTGAGCATGTGCAGCAGTCCTCGTTTTGCTCGATCTCTTGACGATATTCTGGCAGCTTTCCAGTAATCGTGCCCGGTACATACCGCATACCGCATCCGTGCGAAGGAAGGTTCGCACAGCTGCTAACTGGAACTGCGACTACTGTAACCACTCTCCTGCCGCCGGCAGGGGCAGGTAGATGTGCGTGTTCGACTTCGCCCGTACGCGTTCTGTCAATCTTGATCACCGGCGGCTCCTGCTTGTGGACTTTTCCACTTGCAGCATTGTATGCATGTAAGTACGTCCGTCCTCTGCCGTCACAGTATGCCCGATATCGCGCTGATCCATCATTGGTGGTGAGTAGTTAATAATACCACGACTTTGCATGTCTATTCATTTGAGTCTAAGAGCGGTGTGAAACTTGCGTGAAACGCTGACGCTGACAAGCAGACCCAAACACGAACACCAGACAGGGTTTTGTTGATAGGGTGCTCGGTGTTAGAGGTGCGTATCCATGCTGGATTAGAGTGAGAAGATACTCACGTCGAATGTTAGGTTTGTTCCTGTGCTCTTTTCTCGGAGCTCGGTGCGATGAGACCAGACAGGACGGACGGTCCGAACGTTGGTTGGCAGGTTTGATTGTGGAACTCGAACTCTGAATCGGGAATCGTATTTGGCCGTGTCACTCTTTTAATCTTGGAGTCGTCAGGATACACTCTACGGCCAATCATGCTGGATGCAATCCTATAGGCTCCTGGGCCTGCGTGGGCTCATGCATCACGTTCGAGGTGAGTTCGTTGATGACGCGCAAAGCCCTCATCCAATCTGGCAGTCCTATGCGCTCTGCGGGTTTGTGCTGCCTCGTTGCCTTGTTGAATGATCATCGTAGTGGGGCTTCTTCCCATCTGTTTCCGAAATAACGACGCTCGGAACTCGAAGACCTAGTTCGGTATAACCATCTCTCTTTTTTGTCAGAGAGGCCGCAGAACGTCATTCCGATTCAGAGTGTCACTGTGCTGCTCAATCAGTCGATTAATATGATGAACATCTCCGGTCCCTGTGGCGACTTCAATCATTAAGTTAAGGGTGGGTGCTATGTGGCGTAAAGGCGTGGTCGATTGCTTCGCCACCCGTGGTGGCCCCTATGTATGTGCGCTAGGGGCCAGCAGTACTTTCAAAGCAATCAGCCGGTTCATGACGGTGATAGTTTTTCCCGCGCTCTGATACATTAACTCCAGAACAGATTTTCCGACATACTTGGTATGCACAGGCTATTTTCGTCGTTCCCCGGAGGTTCAGGACTGAATAAATTCTTTCAGGCTACCTTTCGGGACTGTACACACGCCATTGATCTCCATAAATCCGCCCGATACACCCCGTGTGTCATCGGGCAGGAGGAATTCGATGCCGATGAGTCTTCCAGTGTCAAAAAAACGAACGAAGTGCAGTTCTATCATGCCGAACCTAAAAGTCTAGTAGGGTCGACATCGGGGGTACGCCACCTCAGGGTCTCCTTCCGGTACCATTCATTCGACCTGTCTGCTCAAATGCGACTTGTTTCGCTCCGACTCGAGATACGAGCTCGTAATTTGGCGACGACTTCGAAATCTTCTCCCAGCGCTGCGATCTGTCCGATACACACACAAGCTAGAAATCGGCGTGCTTCACGACGCCTTGGGTGCCCGCCGGGTACGGTCCGATCGTCATTGTGGCGTCTGTTCGAAGCTCGATGGATGGCTGGAAGTAGACTACCGATGAGGATGGAAGCTACCAGACTCGTCTGACCAGCGACAAGATGGGGGCATGATGCGAAACGGACCATGTCGTCCGGATGGTGTTCAGCAGATCGAGAGCATGGCGTGCGGCCGCCGGAGAATAGGTCCAGAGGAACATGGTGTCGTTTGTATCTATATGCGTTTTGTCGGAGGCAGGAGAAATGTAAGTACTCCTCTGGGCAGTACATATGTTTTGATCTCTACACTAAGTACGCCATACCACTCTACTTACTGGGGACCTTGCTCACAGGAACCAACACGACCACCATCATAACGTGTCTCTGCTCTGTGTCCTGAAGCGTCAAATTACGATTCATTGCTCAAACAGTTCTTTTTGGTGTGACTCGTGCGGGAGTAGGGATGCTGAGGCGGACATCGACAATCGATGGAGGCGGTGGCACGGTGATGTTGCCTCCCCGTGCAGACTTTGAACGTTCAACCTTCTCGCAAATTGCCTCCGAGATAGCTCCGTGTGCATCCCTAAGGGCATCCGACATACCATCTATGGTCATTTGCACGGCAAAGTGCTATTGTTGCTGTAACCGAGGTTGATAGAGTGACATGGACGTGTTTGATTGACATTTTCGTCTCACATTGACAGCGGGCGGCGGATGAGCTCATGCTCAGTATTGCTCGTTGACACGATAAGTTATCGACGCAGTACATGGCTTCGAGATCAGCTCCGCGCCGCTCTGCCTCACAACAGGCAATGACCTTTCTATCCGCAGGTACCGCGACATTCTCCCGTACCTTTCAGTACATAGACGACTGCAAAGATGACCCGAAACATCCTTCAGAAACCAATCAGAAATGGAGAGAGATCAAGTGCCTTGGTCCCTGCAATTGATGGAAACATCATAACATAACATATCAAACTCCGAACGAGCTCCGCCCAACTTGGTCGCGTCTGTGTTTGTAGCGGGATAGCAACTATTGCGTGAGAAGGAACGTTCTGTGAGTTGACGATACGGACAACATGATGCTGTACGCACCGAAGGCGCCACCGCGACTGAGCCCGATCGTACACCCGCCTAAACAGCTTCTGTCAGACCTGCTTCGGATCCCAACAACACGGCCGAACAGCTGCCTTCGTTCCACTTCCGACGCCACACGGGAAAGTAAATCATCACGTCCAGTGAACCTTCATGATATGCGAGCGCTTGAGAGATGACCTTCTGAGCCACCTGTTGTTTGGAAGAGTAAAAGCAGCCGTCGCATGACCAAGTTGGACCTGGGCATGTCGATGATGCTCAGAGAGTTGTCCAGACTGAGGCTTGGCTACACCCACATCCCGGCAGCAGTCCGAAGTAACGAAGATAGAGGTCGAAAAGTGGCGCTGTTGATAGACTTCTGTCATGAGATCTCCTCTCGTGAGAGACAGGCGGGGTGGTGTGATGTTTGAGGTGATACGAGTGCTTGTTTCGCGCACAGCGTATAGTGGCACTGATTGTGAGCAGAGGCCAGAAAGCAGTAGCTGGAGAAGGATCTGCAGTCGTACTCCACCAAGTATTTCGAGCGTGGCTGTGGAGAACTGTCGAATCATTCCGGTCATGTAGGACCATTCTGACTTCGTATATTCACGGAGATAATTCTGGCGGCGCAAGGAGCTCAAGAAGCGTTCTATACGGTGCGTATCAGCCGACTTCCATACACGTAGAGCCTAAATGTCTCGACCCCACAGACGTGAATCATCGACGTTCCGAACTGCAGCATCTTAGATCCCAGCCATTGAATTTCTCACCGAGAAGTCAGAAGGGACGTCGTATTTACCAAGGAAGGAAAAGAACGGTATATTTCGCCTTCACCAAAAGCCGCCATAGGAAGCTGCGTGTGTTTTGAGATGACTATTTGGAGAAACAATAATGAAGAAGGCGTACGAACCTGTTCAGCCGTTAAACTCTATTGGTCTGGGAAGCCGTCAAAGATGTATGTAACATCGATGCGAGACTCAGCGCTCAGTCACCGGCCGGTCGAGACATACAAATTCGTGACTTTGTTTTGTATAGCGAAGTCCAAAAGGTGTTTGGGATAAGGATAAGGACAATTACCATAAATAACGCTGGTTGGTGGTACTCTCGGCGCAGCAATAATGGAGCTCGGAGCGAGCAGAGCTGTGTGGAATAGTCGATAGCCTTTGATCACAGTAAAAGGAGCTGAGCGCAGCGACGAGTTCTCGCATTGGTGGACGAGGTGGTGGCAAGAGGGAAACCGACCGAGTCATGATGCATGATGAGTGGCACAAGCAACTACGCAGGCCGATGACGTAGGTCAGGGCGAAATGTGGCGGACCATTTCTAGTAGCATTGGGGAGTCGACTTGATGCATTATTTGGTTATCCTCATCTCTTCTAACGACCACCTTGCTCTTTGTTGCTGAAATCTTTGTGATTAGGTTCTTTCGCGTAAAGCTCCGGATATCGAGCGATTGCTGACAAGCCCCGATTGTGATCAGATTGCTGCTGGGCGCCACTCAATATGGTTCAGCTATCAGACCTTCCAGTCGAAGTGCTCTTGGATAATATTCTCCCGAATTTACCCATCGCCGACCTCTTACATCTCGCTATTACGAACAAGCTCTTTGCCGCGCTCTGCTCCGACGATACATTTTGGAAACGTAAATGCCAGGAAGACTTTAACTTCACCGGCTCGGAGACAGCACGGACCAGCGGGTGGAGATCGCTGTACAGGGGCCTAAGCCACCCAAGGGTCTTTGGGTGGGGGTGAGTGCTTTTATGACCGTTCGGCCGGAAATTTTGAGGCGAGGGACTGATACTAATCGCTTGCTTGCAGAGAAAAGCGGAATGGAAGGCTCGGGGTACGCGAGCTACCTAAGGACGTCAGAGGCGCTGGTATACCATATCCTGTGGAGGTTAAGATTCCTGGAGTGCGGATTGTGAGCCTCGCGGCTGGTGGGATGTAAGTCTCATGCTTCCATTTGGGATTAGAGATTTGATTGATTAATTGTGGAATGCTAGGTGCTTCCATGCACTCGACTCCAAGGGGAACGTTTATGTCTGGGGTGAGTGATTACCTCGATTGAACTGGATTCATCTTACGAACTGCGTGAATAGGTGCCATCGATGGTCAAGGCGGTGCTTTGAACAGCGAAGGTTTCGCGGTGAAGTACAAGGAAGCGCAGGTGCCACATAAACTCATCCTTCCTAACCCGGTCAGGAGCATTAGGTGCGTTCTTATCCTTTTCAGACTAGACGACTCTTTAATACTGGACACAGTACGGGAAGAATTCATTCAATGGTCCTGGATGCTAAGTCCACCGTCTGGACTTTCGTGAACTGGGGCCGACCTTTCCGTCTCCTCAGTCCCCTCCTGGATTGCCACGCTCCAGACACTACACCTCTCCAAATCGAATGCGGCTGGACATTCTGCACCATACTCACCAAAGCTGGTGATGTTTTAGTATATTGGCCCTACAGTGGTGGTCTCAACCGTCAAATTGAGCAAACTGAGACAGATTTGAACCAGCAAGGCGATAAGAACGCGTACCCCACAGAGGATCATTGTATTCCATGCGTCACCACTGTGATTGAGGCAGATCCGTTCAGGCTTCCGCCAATACCTACAACCCTTCCAGACCTGGTCAACGGTCTTAGTGAAGAAGAGAGGGATGCGGAGACGAGGTTGATCAGGATCGCGGCGTATGACAACACGTTAGTCGGTCTGACGAATAAAGGCCATGTCTTGAAGTTTGCGAATCTGGCGAACGAGAGAATATTCCGAAGCACACGATGGGAATATGTGAGCTCACCACTGTTAATATCTCCTGTTGCTGTCATTGACGGCGGTAATCTAGCTACCGAAGTTCAGTGAACCAGCTTTAGTCCGTCAACATCCTGGGTTCGAAGGAAAGGATGTTCCGGATACGATGCGCATTACCCACGTGCGTTGTATACATTTCTTCTGGCCCGAATCGACTGTGTTCAACGCCATAAACAGATTACAGCACATTTTCAAACCTTCGTCGCGTATTCCACCGACTCTACTTCCGTTGTCCTCATGGGCTCTCCAGACACCACACCTACGTCTGACCCAACAATCATTCCCTCACTCCAAAACCGATCCGTCATCTCCGTCGTACTAGGAGACTACCACTATGCCGCCCTCACATCAACGGGTAAGCTCCTTACGTGGGGAGCCTACTCCAATGGTGCTCTCGGACTTGGGAATCCATTGGATATTCCCGCTGGTCATCCTGGCGGATATGCTACGGCGGCTGCACTGGACAGTGCTCGCACTCGTCGATGGGGTATTCCAGATCCGCCCAGGGTGGAGGAACCAGCGGAGGTGAATTTCAACAGAGGGAAGAAAGGAGGGCGGAAGTTTGTATTCGGGGCGACAGCGGCGGGGTGGCATACCGGCGCGCTTGTGATGGACTTGGAGGTGCGCTTTCTGACACAGCTCGATAGCCTGTTCTTCACATGATATTGACGTTCGCTTCCTTTCGATCCAGCCTGAACTCGAGAGTGAAGACGAAGACGATGGCACGGGGCGTATGCCAGGCGAATTCCCATCCGGTTCACCCTCCTCGCATGACGCTGGCCAACCGCCCCTTCCACCTGGCCCTGACGACGTACCGCTGCTGCCCCCTGGAGGAGGAGGGTTCGGCCACATCTTCAGATATGGGTTCGCTGCGAGAGGCCTTATGAGGGGTGGGGCTATGGGTGCGCGTGGCCGAGGGATTGGCCGAGGAGGCTTGAACGCAAATGCTCCGGATGGACACAGTTAGATTGAGGAAGTGGAGGGGTTTCTGATGTGTAACGTTATTCACTGTTTCTTTATGTCAGGAAAGGATGTTGTATGTTTGTATGAGGCGAATTATGTTGTGGACATGGTCGAACTATATCCCTTTTGTTGTATTTTTCTGGGCTCGTCTATGCCATGTCCGTTGGATATAAGATGTTCACGACTAGACGAGCATCTGATCCAAAGAAGCGTGACTTTAGCCCGTCGATGTGTTGATATTACGGCGTAAATGCTGGCCGCAAGATTGATCTCCTGTTGGCGTGCTGGTTGTGAGAAGTGTGGAACCGAGCATACGTTGTATGAGGACGCAAAAGGAGCGCGGGGATAGCTGATGATCTTCAGAAGATTCCGCACTTAGTGTTCAGTGCTTGCTTCTGAAGGTGGTCTGCCGTATTCAGTCAATTGCAACCGAGTGGAGGCTGCGTTTTCTGTTACATATTACATAAAATGCACAAACGCAGGTCACTAGGCTATAAGAGCTGCAGTCCGTTCTCACAACCCACCGTAACGTCGCACTCCCACCCACTATGATCACACTGTACGACCTTCCTGGACATGCCGCTAAGGACGTTGCATTTTCTCCTAATATGTGGAAAGCGAGGTGAGTATATGTTGCTAGCCAACCCATACAAGAGATGGCAGAATATGTGCTTACACGTAAGCAAAGAGACGCATTGAATATCAAGGGTCTCACGTACAAGACCGTCTGGGTCGAGTTCCCTGATATTGAAGCCGTAGCGAAACAGATCAACGCGAAAGCACTCTACGAAAGAGACGGCACGCCACTATACACACTTCCTATGCTCTTCAACCATACCACCGGTGCCGCTATCACAGACTCCTGGAACATCGCCAGATACCTCGACGAGACGTATCCGACAAGACATGTTGTGATCCCCCGTGAGACGGCGGTATTGCAGAAGACGTTCCTAACGGTCGTCGAGCCAAAGCTTCAGATCGGAATATTTCTGTATACGATCATGCAGACCCAGTCTCAGATGAATCCGAGGAGCAGAGAGTGGTATAGAAAGACAAGAGAGGCAGAACTTGGTAGGACTTTGGAGGAGATAGGGCCAGAGGGTAGCCAGGAGAGAGAAATGTTGTGGAAGAACATCCTAGACGTGTTTTCCCAGGTAAGCTCGTGGATGGAAGAGAATGAGAAAGGGTCGGTGTTCGTTTGTGGGAAAAAGCCGACATTCGCAGATTTCGTGATCGGATCGCATTTGACTTGGGTGAAGAGGGTATTGGGGCCACAGTCGAAGGAGTACCAGGACCTGATGGTCGTGAATGGAGGGATATGGGCGTTGCTCGCAGACGGGCTGGCTGCATGGGAATACGTCGACCAGGAAGGGCTCAAGCACCTTGCGTAGTACACAGTTTGATAGCAACAAGTAGCCCTTTGTGAGATTCTGCTTGTCTTGTTGAGAACTCGGAAGAGGAAAAACATCTAAAAATCAAGAATATTCAACGAGTCAGGTTTATACGCGCGCCACCCGCCCGGGCCGCTGTCCCCATCCGTCATGATCAAGCGTTCTAGTGTGGCGAGCTACCGTCTTCTACGCACACCATCTGCTAACTATCTCATCCCGTCTCTGGCCCACTCGTCTCAGGACTCTGTGATCCGAGGCTCTTAGGAGCTCTCTAAGTCATTGGCTACGAGTATGGCAACCCAGTCGGACTTGTTGATTTCTATATTCCAGGGACTCAAGAGCAAGAGTCCCGAGACGCGACTCCAGTCCGCTCAAGAGCTCCGTCATTATGTCTGCCCAATCTTACTTTGTACAATTCATGTTCATATTACTGACAGATCGAAATAGGTATCTGTTCGTGTGCTCGAACTGCCCTCAGACGCTGCCGCAAAACTCTGGGACGACCAAATAAACAAGAGTCTATTCGAGCTCGTACATGGCAATACAAGTGTGGAGAAGTTGGGAGGTCTGTTGGCCATAGGTGCGTGTGTTCCCAACAGCATAACATCATTGCTCTGAACTATGGATCAGACCACTTGCTTGATGTCAACGATGAAGAAAGCATCGAGTCCAAACAAAACCTCTTCCGGTACTACAACTATGTCAAGTCCGTTCTGCCCGACGCGGACATCTATGTCATGCTTGCAGCTTCAAAAACTCTGGGTCATATTGCCGAGATAGGCGGTTCTGCATTTGGTGATCGCTTCATGGACTACGAGGTGCCTGCTGCTATCGGACTACTGCAAGGAGACAAACAAGAGCCAGGCCGTTATGCGGGTGTTCTCATCCTCAAGGAGCTCGCACGGAACAGCCCCACCTACTTCCACACCCACATCGACCTCGTTTTCGAGAAGATCTTGATTCCACTTCGTGACTCACGCGTCATCGTACGAGAAGCTGCAGCAGAGCTTCTTGCGGCTTGTTTGGAGATTGTGACCCATAGGGAGCGACAGGCGCCTAGTCGGTTCTTGTACAAGGTGTTACAAGACGCTCAGCTTGGACTCAAGACTGCCGCACCGGAAGTCATCCATGGATCACTACTCACTTTCCGCGAACTCCTGCTTCATGGTGGCATGGTAAGAACCCTTTCAGTATAGTCTAAGAGACCACCTCCTGACTCGTGAACAGTTCATGAAGGAAGGCTTTCTCGACACTGCCGAGCAGATCATCCGTTTCAAGAACTCTCGCGATGTCCTTGTGCGCAAGATGGTCATTACCCTCATTCCTACCCTTTCAGGGTACGATACGCAGACGTTCTCCGAGCATTTCTTACACAAAGCTATGGCACACCTTCTTGATCAACTCCAGAAGCCTACGGAACGGTCGTTCGGTAAATACTGAGCAGCTCTCAGCATGAACATAGCTAATGGATATGATTTCTAGCCTTTATTGCCATTGGCCACGTTGCTACAGCGGTCGGAAGCGACATGAAGCCTTTCCTCGAAAATATCATGGCTCAGATCAAATCAGGCCTAGAGAATAGGGGGTCAGTCGACTATCCTCTCTTCTTTACCATTGTACTCATATCGCAGTCCACAGAAAGAAAGCTCCTTCCGAGGAACCTATGTTTCAATGTGTTGGCATGCTCGCGTCTGCGGTCGGCCCTAATTTGACGAAGCTCCTCCATGATCAGCTCGATTTGATGTTCAAATGTGGTCTTAGTGAGCCACTCAGGCAGGCTTTGGTCGCCATCGCACGCCATATTCCGCCTCTGCTGAAGACCATCCAAGGTGTGTGTTTTCGCTATTGGATAGGTTCATAGCATGCTCAATGTTTCCCGAAGACAAGCTACTGGACCTCCTATCCGTCATTCTGAGCGGTCAGGTTTACAAACCGTTGGGCGCACCACCGACACTTGTCCGTGACAATTCTGCGGCTACGAGAGAATTGAACGGTGCCCAGGTATGACTCTCTTTCACCTTTACTTTGGTAGCCACCTAAATATTATGATAGAATGCCGGGACCACAAAGAGTCCAGAGTTGATCACACTTGCACTCAATACGTTGGGCTCATTTGACTTCAGCGGTATGTTTTCTGACTGAGAATGTGAATTATTACTGATACTTTTTTACTCAGGCCATGTTCTTAATGAGTTCGTGCGGAACTGTGCTTTGCCGTATTTGGAGGAGGACCATCCTGAAGTGCGAAGGGCTGCGGCATTGACATGTTGTCGTGTATTTGCACGAGACTCCATCTGCTATCAGGGTAGTAATCACTCGATAGAAATCATTAGCGACGTACTTGACAAGCTGTTGACTGTCGGTATCGCCGATCCTGGTTTGTACTTCATTCACTTCTTCGCATTAGCACATACTGAACGGTTCCTTTACATGGTGTCAGACCCAACGATTCGACAGACCGTGCTCTCGTCATTACATGAGCAGTTCGACAAGCATCTTGCTCAGGCGGAGAATGTTCGATCGTTATTCATCGCTCTCAACGACGAGGTTTTCCAGAACCGAGAGACGGCTGTAGGCCTCATCGGACGATTGGCTACGCACAATCCGGCATATGTCATGCCGTCACTTCGCAAGGCTCTGATTCAGCTTCTTACTGAGCTGGAATACTCGACCGTCATGTCCGTATCCACAGTTGTCTTTTCTTTGTACTCTGAGCTGACTTGATATCATAGGCGCAATCGCGAGGAATGCACCCATCTACTCACGCTTCTTGTTAGCGCCACCCAACGTCTCATCAAGCCATACGCCCTTCCCATGCTCCGTGTACTCCTCCAGAAAGCCAATGACAGCAACGCCACTGTCGCCGCCAACGTTCTTATGTGTATCGGTGAACTGACCTGTGTCGGTGGCGAGGATGTCGTGCCACACATCCCGGAACTCATGGAAATCATCATCGGGAAATTGTCTGACTCTTCGATTTCGAAAAGGGATGCGGCACTGCATACACTGGGTCAGGTGTGCTCGAGTACGGGCTATGTGATACAGCCTCTTTTGGAGTATCCCCAGTTGTTGCCCGTGCTAAGCAGAATCTTGAAGACGGAGCCGACACAGACAGTCAGGCGCGAGGTCATCAAGGTATTGGGGATCCTGGGTGCATTGGATCCATACAGACGCAAGGTAAACAGATTCTGTGCCCGCCAAATGCTATGCTTATACTGAGTCTTTAACCTCGTAGACCAAGCCCGACGAAGAGTCTCCGAACGAGTCTGCTGCCCCTGCTGCAGAGGCTATAAACCTCTCGTATACGACTTCCTCCGCATCTGACGACTATTATCAGACGGTCGTCATCAACTCTTTGTTGGGAGTTCTCAAGGATGCATCCCTCAGCAGCTACCATCACTCAGTCATCGAGGCTATCATGTCGATCTTCAAGACGCAAGGTCTGAAGTGTGTCACCTTCCTCCCCCAGGCGAGTCGCAAGTACTATGAATGCTGTTCAACTTTCTGAGTAATCATTCTTCCAGATCATACCAGCCTTTGCGAACGTAACCCGGAACGCAGCTCGCTCGCAGGACTTCCATCTTCAACAGCTCGCTATCCTCGTTGGTATCATCAAGCAACACGTCCGGAACTACACGCCCGAGATCTTCAACCTTGTCACTGAGCTTTGGGAGAACACCTCTGTCCAACTTCCTCTAGTCTCTCTCATCGAGGCTCTCGGAAAAGCGCTTGATGCGGAGTTCAAGCCATTCCTCCCTATGATCCTTCCCCTCGTCCTCAAAGTCTTCGACGGCGACCTCAACGACAAGCGCTCGAATACCCAGATCAAGATCTTCGACGCCTTCTTGACCTTCGGAGCGAACATCGAGGAATACCTCCATCTCGTCATTCCTATCATCGTGAAAACTTACGAGAGAGCAGACGCGCCAACTGCGTTACGCAAGAGGGCAATTGTAACAATCGACGGGTTGAGCAGTCGAGTCAACTTTTCGGACCATGCGTCGAGGATCATTCACCCACTTGTGAGGGTCTTGGGCTCATCGAATAATGAGTTGAAGATGGCCGTTATGGATACGCTGTGTTCGCTGCTGTTGCAACTGGGATCAGACTTCGCTATCTTTGTGCCGACGATTAACAAGGTGAGCAAAGTCGCTGATGCGAATTACCACACGGTAACTGACTCTAACTTCATCTCGCCAGGCTGTTCTCCGTCAGAAGGTCGTTCACCCACGATATGATAACCTCGTCACCAAATTGCTGAACGGCGAGCGACTGCCTCAAGAACTCGGGACCTTGGAACTAATGTCAGTCATGTACAACTTCAGCTCTTTTACTATGACTGACGATTTTGTCTTGCAGCATGAACGAAAGCAACAAAGCACCCGAGTTTTCTGCTCCCGCTGAAGCCGCTAGGATGATGGTGAACCAGCAGCACCTCAAGCAAGCCTGGGACACCTCGCAGGTCTCCACGAGGGATGATTGGATAGAGTGGATGCATCGCATTTCGGTCGAGTTCATGAAAGAGTCGCCGTCCCATGCTCTGCGCGCTTGCATGACTCTGGTCGACTTGCATCCGCCTCTTGCAAAGGAGCTGTTTAACGCTGCATTTATCTCTTGTTGGAGAGAGCTTTATGAGCAGTATCAGGTATGTCCGTTGACTTCACGTGCTCCGAGTGCGTTCTCATTCCGTACTATAGGAGGATCTCGTCCGTGCTATAGAGTTCGCTATCACTTCCCCGACGACGCCATCGGATCTCATCCACCGCCTTCTTAACCTTTGCGAGTTCATGGAGCACGAAGACCAACGTTTGCCCATCGACAACAGTACGCTCGGAGAATATGCTCTGAGATATCATGCATACGCGAAAGCTCTCCATTACAAGGAGCTCGAGTTCTTCTCTGAAACGTCTCCCCAGATCATCGAAGCACTCATCAACATCAACACAAAGCTTCAGCAGCACGATGCTGCCTGGGGAACTCTGCTTATCGCTCGTGAACAGTACGACGTCACCAAGCATGAGGAGTGGTATGAGCGTCTCGGTCGATGGAATGAGGCACTGACGACGTACGACCAGAAATCCAAGGATGAACCAAACTCCCCAGAGGTTGCTATCGGAAGGATGAAGTGTTACCACGCGCTTGGAGAATGGGACCTGCTCGCGACGCAAGTCGAAGAAAACTGGTCGAATGCGAATCACGAGGAAAGACGAGAGATTGCCCCCATGGCAGCAGCAGCAGCTTGGTCGCTCAATGACTGGGACTCCATGGACGATTATATCGCGACCATGAAGCCGGATTCTTCTGACCGGTCATTCTACCGCGCCATTCTCTCCGTGCATCAAAACCAGTTCCCCAAAGCGCTCGCTCACATCACCAAGACTCGGGATTTGCTGGATCTGGAGCTTACCTCACTCGTGGGTGAAGGCTACGGCCGATCTTACAAGTTGAGTCACATCCTTCCTTCTTTTCTCACCGAGACCTGTCGGAGTTTGACCGAACGACGTTGATTGTACGTTACAGCACCATGGTCCGGGCACAGATGCTCTCCGAACTTGAGGAGATCATTAACTACAAGCAGTATGCCGATCAGCCTGAAAGGCAACAGACCATCAAGAAGACCTGGATGAAAAGGTAAGAAGGACTGTCTTACGTTGTTCTACCTTGTGCGTGGATGCGACTCCCAGGCTGATCCGCGTGCATCTTTCTCAGGCTGCAAGGCTGTCAGCCCGATGTGGAAGTCTGGCAGCGTATACTCCAAGTTCGCACGCTCGTTCTCAGCCCTGAGGATGATCCTGTAATGTGGATTAAATTCGCCAATCTTTGCCGCAAGTCCGAGCGGATGCAGCTTGCGGAGAAGACAATCAATTCGTTGCTGTCGCAAGAGAGGGTGAGTGTTTGTTTGACACGGCTAGAACGTCGAGATATACTGATATGTGCTCGAGCAGCATTTGAAAGCGCCCCCGGACGTTGTTTACGCACAACTGAAGTATATGTGGGCCTCGGGTTCCAGGGAAGAGAGTTTGCCGTTCCTTCGCCGATTCTCGGAGAGCTTGTCCAGGGATCTGCAATCAGAGAGTTCAGAACGCGGCCAGCGGTCAGCAGTCCCTAAGCAACAGCTAGACGAGCTATCGTGCCTCTTGGCTAGATGTTACTTCAAGCTGGGCGAGTGGCAGATGGAGGTTCAAGACAACTGGGCTACCGTGAGTCGTACTATTGTCGAATGTATTCGTGCTGTCACTAAAATGAGCCTTATGTAGCGGAACGTCAAGGATATCCTCCACTCCTACCTCCTAGCCACACACTATGACCCGAACTGGTATAAGGCCTGGCACACATGGGCTTTGGCCAACTTCGAATACGTGGGCCATTTGACCCACCAGGCCGAGACGAGGACTCACGACCTCTCTGGGAGTGCACTGATACCGCACATAGTACCGGCTGTGCAAGGTTCGTAGATGATCGCTAGCCTCAGCTTCCATTGACTGATCTCGTGTCTTCAGGCTTCTTCCGTTCCATCTCCCTACGCAACGAGAACGCCTTACAGGATACCCTGAGACTCCTCACGCTATGGTTCAAGTTCGGTGCGCACGACGAGGTCAGCCATGCGATGACCAGTGGTTTTGGTAGTGTCGAGATCGACACATGGCTGGATGTAATCCCTCAGGTGTGTCCACAGTTGTTGTATGACCTGGACCTAGCAAGAGACTGAACCACTGCTTCTAAGATCATCGCTCGTATCCAAACACCCAGTGCCAATATTAGACGGAACATCACCAACCTCCTCACCGATGTCGGAAAGCATCATCCACAAGCCCTGATCTATCCCTTGACCGTCGCATCCAAGTCCTCAAGTGCCGCCCGGAAGAAGGAAGCTATTGACATCATGGAGAGGATGCGCGAACATAGTCCGGTCATCGTCGAACAGGTAACGGTTTCTCCTCTGAAATCAAACCACAACATCCTGACTAACATCCCTGTAGGCTTTGCTCGTTAGTCAGGAACTCATCCGTGTCGCCATCCTCTGGCACGAGTTGTGGCATGAGCGTCTTGAAGAAGCATCTCGACTGTACTTTGCGGAGCATAATCCAGAGGGCATGATCTCGGCCCTGGACCCCTTGCACGATTTGCTTGAGCAAGGTCCGACGACAGCACGAGAGACGTCATTCGCACAAGTGTTCGGTCGTGAACTGGCGGAGGCCCGCGAGTCATGTCGTCGCTACCGCAGGTATGGCGAAATTAAGGACCTTGACGCTGCCTGGGAGCTCTATTTCGCAGTAAGTCTCGTCTTTGTGTAACTATCAATCAAAAGTGGCTCATCCCTTGCAATAGGTCTTCAAGAAGGTCGAGAAGCAATTGCCTCAGCTGACTACACTGGACCTCCAGTACGTCTCGCCTGCGTTGCTACAGGCACGGAACCTCGAGCTCGCCGTGCCCGGTAAGTCGTCCACGCGTCGGTGGCTCGTAACGTTCGTTTCTCACGTTGTCATTTACGCCACAGGAACATACCAGAGCAGCAAGCCTGTCATCAAGATCATGAGCTTCGCGACCAAGTTGACCGTCATCGCTTCGAAACAACGACCGCGTCGTCTCTCTTTGAAGGGGAGCGACGGTAAAGACTACCAATATGTTCTCAAAGGTAAGGACGAATCTGTCAATCCGCTCAATCAGCGTATTGACTCTGATGCCTTTCTCAGGTCACGAGGATCTCCGTCAAGACGAGCGGGTCATGCAGTTCTACGGTCTCGTCAATACCTTGCTCTCGGTCGATACTCAGAGCTTCAAACGCCGGCTGCACATACAGCGTTACCCTGTCATTCCATTGGGCCCGCACGCTGGATTGTTAGGTTGGGTGCAAGACAGCGACACGCTTCACGTTCTTGTCAGAGACTACCGAGAGTCGAGAAAGGTCTTGCTCAATATCGAGTACCGACTCATGCTTCAAGTACGTGGCCTGCTCCGTTTCGACCGTAATCTCACTCACCGTGTCCCCTTTTCTAGATGGCACCCGACTACGAAATCCTCATGCTCCTCCAAAAGATCGAAGTCTTCGAATACGCACTCGAAAACACGACCGGCCAAGACCTCTATCGCGTCCTCTGGCTCAAATCCGTCAACTCCGAGCACTGGCTCGAGCGGCGCGCGACCTACACCCGCTCGCTCGCCGTGAACAGCATGGTCGGCCACATCCTCGGGCTCGGCGACCGGCATCCATCCAACTTGATGCTGGAGCGCAAGACGGGCAAGGTGGTGCATATCGATTTCGGAGACTGTTTTGAGGTCGCGATGCATAGAGAGAAGTTCCCGGAGAAGATTCCGTTTAGGTTGACGAGGATGTTGACGCATGCGATGGAGGTGCGTCGTGGCGGTTTTTTTTTCTCTTTGTCGGTGGATGCTGACTTTTTCTTTTCGACGTGACGTGATGGTTGTAGGTCAGCGGTATCGAGGGTAGCTTCAGGAATACGTGCGAGATCACGATGACCGTGCTTCGGGAGAACAAAGAATCGCTCATGGCCGTCCTCGAAGCCTTCGTCTACGACCCTCTCATCAACTGGAGACTGATGCCCACAGACGTCGACAGTCGGCGACTCAACGGTGCGACTCTCAGTCCCTTTTTCTCCGTGTCCGTCTTCTTGGACTAATGGGCGACGTGCTTTTATTGTGATTGTTGTAGGATCGGACGCGACACGGACGGCGGAGTTGGCGAAGGTGACGGCGTATCCGCAGGGTCCGACGAGGAAGCTGAAGGCGGACGAGAACGATATCTTGAACGGTTCGTTTCTCTATGTTCATACCACTCCAACCGCAACATTCTAAAATTATTGTTCCTTGCCACAGAGGCGCAAGAGAACCGGAACGAGCGTGCGCTCGCGGTGTACAACAGGGTGCAAAACAAGCTGACTGGTGCGTACTCCCCTCTTTCCTTTCCTTCCATTCGCTGTTTCCACGGTTTCCATTGCTGATCATGCGTGTATTCCAGGCCGAGACTTCAACCCGGACGTGGTGCTGAACGTCCAGCAACAGGTCGACAAGCTCATCCTCCAGGCGACGTCGCTCGAGAATCTGTGCCAGTGTTTCTCTGGATGGTACGTCTTCCGTCGGCTGTCCCTGTGAAGGATCGACACTGACTTTTGCGGTTAATTGGGATTTGCTAGGTGTGCGTTCTGGTAAAACTAAAATCTTACTTCTCAACGGAGATCTCATGGACGAATGGACGAATGGATGGACGTTCGCTTGGTTTAGACATTTTCTTTCTTTCTTTCTTTCTTTCCTTCTTTCCTTCTTTCCTTCTTTCCCCCTGTACCTTTCGATCCCTACCGTTCTCGCTGTTGTAAATTATCACCGATATCATGATCATGTCCCTTCTTCACCCACCATATAAGTACTGCGGTCCATCCAACGCCTTTCTATGCTCAACGCTCCCGACTACGACTACGACTACGGCTCTGGATCAGACCGATACAAGTACGAGTCGTTTCTCATATGCATAATGCAGTCCACGACATGAGACCGCCTTGTTGCCGCGCAACGAACCGGGCCGATGTACGCGGTGTCTATGACCTCTGATCATAACAAGACCAAATAAGCTCCTCCCCCAAGTTGAGCGCGCTCTGAAGTTAACCTTCCTTCGACCTAAGTTAGACTGCAGCACGGATATTTGAAGGGAGAATCTTGTAAATCTGGACTAGCCATGCAGATTCCAGAAGTCTGTTGCTGTTATTTTGTAATGCATACATGCATAGACGTGAACGTGAACGTGAACGATTCGTGCGTCCGAGTCCAGACAGGAGACAACTCTGTTAGCAGTGTCAATTGTGCATAGTTCGGAATCACTGTGCATTGCATTGCATAGTTCATAGTTCGATGAAGAATGAAGATGAAGAGTGCTATTGCTATTGCTATTGCGTATTGCGGGGAAGTGTAGACTTTAGACTGTAGACTGTAGAACGTGCGAAGAATGCGAAGAAATGCGAAAAGATGTAAGTGCGTAAGAATGCGAAGATGTGCAAACATGGAGGATGCAAAAATGCAAGTGCGGCGAAGATGCGAAGAGACGCAAAAACCGACGAACAACATAAACATCAACCTAACGTTAACGTTAACAGTTCGATCGTGACATGCAGGCGTGCGCGTAGGTCAATACTGTGAGAGAATGTGAAGCTAGAAACCAGCCAACCAACCAAAAAAAAAAAAAGCACGAAAAGCACGAAAAAGAACGGGAGAGGAGGTGAAACTCGCGAATAAGCAAGCAGGTCGAGTTCATCCGAAAAATCGAAAACCAAAAGCGAAAACGAGCGAGCGAAACAACCAAACAAACAACCAAAAATGAGAAGATGAGAAGATGATGGCAGATGTACAACAGGCAGCAAACGGAGAACCGGGTATCGCGATGATCATACACACAAACAAAACAGAACAAACCTACACTCACTTTATTTCCCTTCCCCAGTTCCCCCGCCTAACCATAAATCACGTCTCCACACCCACCTCTCCCACCCACCTCTCCCCCCTGCACATCCACGAAATGGAACCTCACAGCCTTCCTCACCCCCGTGCTCGTACTAGCACTAGTCATCGTCGAAGGCGAAGGCGATTGACTAACCCCCCCAACGCTCAAACTTCCCTCACTCCCATTCCTATCCCCCCTCTTCCCGTCCCTCGCCCTCATTTCTTCTAACGCGCTCATTCCCATCCTACCCGCGCCACCCGCACCACCCGCGCCACCCCTAACACCCAAAAACCTCGAAAGTCCCAGTTTCCCGACCAAGCCCGCCTGTTTGACGGTACCATCGAGTGAGGTGGTAGGTGTAGTAGGCGTCCCAGAACCAGGAAACGTATACGACGTCGCGGTCGTACCGGACATGACGCTCTCGAGCGTCGTGAGCGAGCCGGAGAGGGAGGACGAGGCCGGGGTGGAGGTTAGTGTTCGGTCTGAGTGGTCTTGTTCTCGGTCTTGCTCTCGGTCGTCGTGAGGGTGTGGGGAGAGAGAAGGAACGGAGACGGAGATGGGCGACGGCCGTTTTTTCATGGCGGAGCGGGAGGGCGGAGGAGGGTGTGGATGTGCGTGCGCGTGTGGGGAGGTGGACTGGGATTGGGTCTTCGATCCAGTATTCTTGCTGATGCTCTGACTCTGGCGGACGGTCGAATCTGAGGCGTGGCGCACATTCGGTGGGTTGACATAATGATGACTATCGACTCCACCAGCAGGTGCAGAAGGGGCAGGAGATGGATAGGAGTGACGTTGTCGAACACGAGCGGGCGGACGCGAGGCCCAGCTCGCGTTTGAGAATTTGGTCAGGCCGGGGTTATGATGTTGATGATGTTGATGACGAGTGTGCTGAGGGTGGGGATGATGGTGGTGGAGGCGGTGAGGGTGGTGTGGGGATGTGTAGGGTTCGAGGCGTGAGGGGATGTGCGGGGTGCGGGAGAGGTGGAGGCCCATTGCGATTTGGGAGACGGTGGGCGCTGCGGTGGATGAGGAGGAGGAGGGAGAGGAGGAGAGGAAGGTATCGGGGGCGTGGCCGTGCTCGTGATAGGACGCGGAGGGACGATGCCGCCGAGTCTGAGAGGGCGCACACGACGATGGATCAGTCACTTGAACGGGATGATAGACGAGAGACAAGGAAGAAAAAACTAACCAGTCCAGCACCCTCCTTCGCCACCTGACTCTTCGTGCTAAACGACCTTTTCAACGACCCGATTATCCTTGACGTGCCCATTTTCAGGCCTAGGTTTAAATTGAGGTTGAGATTGAGATTGAGATTGAGAGAGGTGCTGGGGCCGGGGCCGGGTTCGGCGGAGGGCCAGGAATGGGAGCGGGTGGGGGTGGGTGGAGGTGCGGGCGCGGGGAAACGAGGGGCGGGTGAGGATGAGGAGGGGCTCATCGTGGATGTGGATGCGGATGCGAGTATGAAGGTGGAGAGTGAGGGTGGGGGTTTTGTACAAGGGTTTGTAGGAATAGTGGTGGAGCTAGTAGGTATTGAATGTTAGATGGATGTTGTGCGGCCGAAGAGCTGCAAGTATGAATGTATGTATGGACAAGAGTCGTTGGGGACACGCTCTGGCCGCGCTAGGACAGGGCCTGTAGTGTGATGAGCTGGAGATGAAAGAAGATGACGAAGGTCGCGTGCGCTCGTTCAACAATCTGAAGCCTTCGATACGTACAGATACCCACGCTTACGGAGCCTTCTCGCTCACCAATCTTTTGCTTTCGTTGGATGAGTCTTGCGTTGTGTTGAGTGAGTATGTGCCGACGAACGAAACAAACAGGCCGTCCACTAAGTACATGTGTATATATCCCACCCATTTCCCTCGGCCTGTCTCATCCCGCTCGTCGCCCGTTCCCAAGTTTCTCCGTCAGCCGCATTCGCGTCAGGTCTCCGGCAACGCTTGTCCATGGCTCCCACGGTCCAGGCCCCCTCGCTCGGCTGCCTGACTTACGTAAATAGGATCAAGCTTTGTGATTGGCTCATGACCTTCTGCGAGCATCCTTCCACCTCGTGTTCGCGACCGGATTCAAAGCTGGTTCTCACGGTACCGGTGGGACTACCCTTCAAGGATCTCAAACATACGTATCCCAGTCCTGAGCTTCACATGCCTCAACACTCAGTCTCCAAACAAGCCAGTCAAATCAATTATCACGTCCCTCGGCTCAGCGCTCAGCACTCAGTACTCCATAACCGACCAGTTCTAGTAGGCTGGCTGTCAAAAACGAGCTAATAGGTGTTCTAGATCATGATGTAAATGTACGACAAGGACTCAGATGGGTGGAATGAAATAAAAAAATGTGGTGGTGGAATAAAAAGGAAACGAAGACGAAGACGCATGCGCATTCTGGGATTGTAAATTGCAGGTTGATAATCGCTGATTGTGTGAAGGCTGTCAAAGGTAGAAAGGACTTTTGAGTCAATCGGGAGGGGGGGGAAGGGTAGAAGAGGAAGGGAGTGGGTGGGTGTGAACTCGGGTGGTAGAAAGGGTGGGTTGTGAAGAAGAGAAAGAAAACCAAGAAGAAGAACAGTGCTAGTCGTTCGTTACTGTAACGCCACTACTATCCTATCCTATCGCAGCCGCCGCATCAGGCTTATATCGTCTTCCTCCACGGTGGTAGGAGAGAAAACTCGTTGTCAAATGTCAATCAAGGGTCCGTCCAAAGCTCAAAGCTCAAAGCTAAAGCAAGAAGTAAGTAAGTCGAGCAAGTCCTACTATATACTACGTCGATGCACATTATCCACATCATCCCCAACCACATCATCCCCATCCATCTCCAGCCTCGAATCTCAAACAAACATCGCATGCATCCCAGCGACCACCACGCCCACCGCCAACCCCACGACCCCACTCGCGCCTCCAAGCACAGCAGGCAACGCCCCGCTCGTCGAGTTCGACGAAGACGAAGAGTTACCCGAGTTCGAGCTCACGCTCGCCGCTGAGCTCGTCGAGTTCGAGTACGGGAATGACGTGTTCGTGTTTGTTTCCGCATACATGTTCGTAGCGGGGATCTTCGAGCAGTTCCCAATCGGCTTGATCTATGTACAAAACCCCACCCATTTTATTTTCAGCACTCCAAATTCCATTCTATGCAAGGAGATGAGGAAACTCACGGTAAACGCAGGGTCATGCGTCAGCGCCGCGCTGAGCGTATACCCAATCGCAAGGTCCACAGTAACCGCATACAAATCATGTTCAAGCACGATGAACCCCGTATCCATCGTGCTCGCATTACCCAAGATCGCCTCGAACGTCGCGAACGAGTCCGGGCCGGTGACAAGCCCACCCGCGACCTTCCAGTCGTTCGTGTCGAATTGGCCGGCCTCGTCGGTGCGCGTCCAGATGATGGGCACCATACCCATAGCGAGGGAAATGGCGCGGACGCGGTCGTCGATGTCGCCGTAAGGGGGACGCATGGTTGTGGGTGTGACGCCGAGGACGGTTTGGATGGCTTTGCGGGTCCAGCCGAGTTCGGCGACGATTTCTTCGGTGGTGAGGGAGGTGAGGTGCTGTGATACAGTAGAAGTTAGTCATAGGAACGGAGGTCGAAGAGATGTAAACGTACGGGGTGGGACCAGGTGTGGACGGAGATCTCGTTGCCGGTCATGTACTCCTCGATGAGCACGCTCGGACGCTCAATGACACGCGAGCCAACGACGAAGAACGTCGCGAGGAGGTTCTCCGTGTTCAAGTAATCGAGAAGCTCCCTGTACCATCAGCACCACCAGTCAGTAACCCATCTCCATCTCCATCAACCTACTATCTGAAAGAAAAACGCACTGGGTATAAGGACCGGGCCCGTCATCGAAACTGACACCCCAGGTGAGCGGGTCAGGACAAGCGACGATATCGGTCTCGCGGGTGTATCCACCACACGTCCACCAGCCGCGGTCCTTGGCCTCTCCGCTCGAGGTCGGGTCGGACGCGCAGGTTCCGTCGACGGTCGGGTCCCAGTCTGGGATATCGAACCCGTCGAGTTCTTTCAGCCATTGCTGGACTTCGTCCGAGCCTGGATGATAACATCGAGCATCAGTATGGTGAAAATAAGACGAAAGGAGGGAAGGAAACGCACTGGTGTCGGGAACTTTGTCCTGGGCGGGCCAGTCCGCGGAGTTGAAGACGACTACATAGCAACGGTTTCTCAGTCATAGATACTAAATGATGGACACGAAACGAGACGCACAAGCAGTAGGAAGAGCAGGAGCTCCTTGGATGGGAGGCGTCGCGCCGGGAGAATACGTCGTGGTGAGGGACATAGTCGCCTGCGAGACCATGCCGGACGTGAGCTCGCTGAGCGGGAAAGTCGTCATGCCCGTGACGGTCGACGCAGCAGCGGCAGCGGTGCCAGAGGCAGCCGCGGTGGTGGATGAGCCGCTGGCAGCAGCGCTGGTGGACGTCGCACCGGTGGATGCGGGCGACGAGGCTGAGGCGGCGGAGGAAGAGGCGGCAGCAGAGGAGGAGGATGCAGCGGCGGAGGTAGATGCGGAGGAGGACGCGGCTTGACGCTTTGCGAGGCGGGCGTGGTTAGCGTGTCCCTCGTGGGCAGCAGCGAGGGCGACGAAGGGCAAAAGAGCGGCGAGAGCGGAGAGCTTCATGGTGATGATGATAAGAAAGAACGGTATGTAGACGAATGGAAAAAAAAGGTGGGTGTCGGGATAGGTATAGCTGGTGGGGTATTCGAGAGAATGTGGGTGTAGAAAGAGTGACGGTGGGGGCTCGAAGGCCGGACGGGACGAGGAGAAGGTGGAGGGAGAGAGAAAGAAGGGAGCTGGTCGACCACGACGGCGACAACAAGAGGCGACGCCCAATTCCCAATTCCCGCCCCCCGCCTAATTCGTCCAACCCCTGCCGGACGTGCCAAGCACTCTTGGCATCCTCATCCCAACCACCCTCGTCGTCCGAATCCACAGAAGTAAGCCGTGCAGTTCCACCCAATCGTCGCCCTTCTCTTGCTCTTCGCTTCAGCTCGATTTACTGCACAAAAACCCGTCAGTGTTCAATGCTGCAATGCCATGATGTCGTTGCCAAGAGGTGTGCATATCTTTCATCCAGGTGTGTCGGCGCCAATGTTTGCCGTATCTAGCCTACTACAAATAAATTAACAACTCTTCGTGGATGTTGGCGAGGAAGGGGGACACGCTCGTCGCTCTCAACCGGTGCGGCTCCACCACCTGACAGCGAGTTCCCGTAGGTATGTTTCGTATTGTGTTCGAATTCGTTCCCTGCTGCGCTCGTCTCTCTAAGCGAAGTGCGAGTTGTTGTGGAGAGCTACTTTATACTTACGCGATGATGGCTTTGACCCAGTGGATTCAGAAGCCCTTTCGAACGCTGCACACCACGCTGCTACTCGACTGCGGTTCTCATCTCGCCTCCCTCGCAGGGTTCGTCGAAACACGAACTGCGTACGCATATCCCTGCATATATACGTACTCGATACTCTTTCTCTCGCTCTTTCTCTGTTTATCCAAATAATTGCGTCCATACTCATTCGTTTCTTTATGGGCCTGTCCGATACATACTGCTCCGGCAAGTCCCGTACGTTCCTTGTTCGCCAAGGTCCCCGCAAACGCCGCCCGATATTTCGCCGGCGTCGACATTTTCCTTACGGTCCTCAGGTCGAACACCACATCGCATTTCGCGCAACGTTCACCGCGACGTCCTCTCAGCCAAAATAACCCCTATTCATCCAGTACATGCTCAAGCCCCTGAGCATGCTTTGATATACTCCTAACAACATCGGCCTCTTCACGCCTCTTCAAAGCGCCCCCTATATCTTCTATATCTTAAGTCTCCAGCAACATAACTTAATTAAGGTCGCATATGTACGCCATCTAAGATCCACTCCCGCCGGTCTCGTGTCCTTCTCCATAATGTAACGGCTGAAGTTCGCCGTACGAGAGCGTGCGAGACGTCCAAGTCTTCAAGGAGGAGACAAAGAGCACGTGGATCTCGTTCTCGACGGAGTCATGGGCAACAACGAATCTCGGGCTAAGGTACGTACCGTCTCACCGCCACACGAGGACTAAGGTTACGATACTACATAGTCTTGAGACCTTGGCTGGAGGCTGGATCCTCAGTGTACGTATCTGGCCCTGGTAAAATAAACTGATGGCCCTGAGGAGCCCTGAGGTCGCTCATCGCACATAGACTGATTTGTTGACATGGAGACGCCCTTCCAGCATGCAAAAAAATAATTCCAGCGCGTGCTTATTCGACGAATGTAACACTGGGCGTCAATTTCCTGTGGTACAGTAGGGCTCGGAGAAAGACCTCGCAGGCGACCAGGGCCCTGTCGATGCAGCGGATATCGAGAACGAGCGAGAATTTTCGGGTTTGCTTGGGCATGAAATGTCGTGTGTCATGGATGGTGACCCTCTCACTTGCGTTCAACTTCAGTCTTCCTCCTAATTAGGCCGTTGCAATGTACTTCGGCGAATAGTGGACGCTCGACCTCATCTACGAGGAGCCCGGTCCCGAAGGAAAAAGATTGATACCTTCTCGAATAAAAACTCTGACGAGTCTTCTTGATCTTGCCCTTCCGTCGTGAAGGAGAACCACGCACATTATAGTTCATAACTAATGTAAACCCCAGTCCTCACTCGTATGACCTTGCCGTGGATTATTTAATGATACAAGTATTTTTTGAGATCTCAATCCGAGTCCAACGCAGACTCAGCATTGACAATCATTAACCACCAACTTGCGACTGCGACTCATGTACGTCAAAAAAAAGTATTTGTATACTTTAACTGACATAACGACGCTGCTGCTGTGGCTGCTGCAAGACAAGCTATGAGAAAGAAAGAAAGAAAGAAAAAGAGGAAAAGAGGAGAGACGGAGAAAGGAAAGGAAGTGTAACAGAGACAGAAGAACGCCGTAATACATAAGTCAAATGAAAAAAAACGAAAATGGGAAAAAAAAGACAAGGATAAAGTGAGAGAGGCAAGAGTAAGGGCGGAGGAGCACACAGAAGCACGCAGACGGGGAGACGAGGAAATGGGGCAGAAGAAGAGAGGGAAGAGATAGAAGGAAGGAAGGAAGGAAGGAAGGGCGAGAGCTCGAAGAGGCAGGATATATAGATAATGTGTGCGGTGTATGGATGAGGGTGAATGATGCTAGGTTGGGGCAGAATTGTATGTATGTATGTATGAGTGCGAGAACAGATGAGATGGAGAAACGAAGAGACGTGGAGAGGCGGAAATGAAGAGAGAGTTAGAGAGAGAGAGAGTTAGAGAAGAGAGAATAGAACAGATGGTGATATGACGGAGTCTCCCTTTCGAGCGGTATCGAGACGAAACGGGACGAGTCGCAACCATAAAGTAATCAATCAACCAAAAAAGAACAAGAACACCTCGCGAAAAGGAAAGAAAAAACAGTGAACAGAAAACAAATAAACAGCAACAAACTCGACGACAGAAAAGCACCAAAACGACCATCCACATCCATCCTCCTCCTTGACCATCGGAACAGAAAACGAAAAATAGAGAGAATCAACACACTCAATGCCGTCCTCAGCCCGGCTGTACCATCCTCAGCGTCATTATCCTATCACCCGACGCCATGATGATCTCGTCCCGCCCACTCGCCTGATGCGACATCCTCGACGACGACTGACTAGGCACCGGCGACGGCATGCCATGTTGTCCCATCCCATGCTGCCCCATGTACACTGGCACCTGTCCAGGCATTGTCTGCTGAGCATACATACCCGGTGCGCCGCCCCTCATAACCCCACCGTACGATGCCTGAGCATACGGATGATGGCCCACAATGCCGGGAGCAGCATAAGGATTATAGACCGACTGTTGGCCGTAGCCACCAGTGCTGATCGATCCCACAGAGTTGACCCGCGCCGCGCCGGCGTGGATCGCGGAGGGTGGCGTATCGGCGAACAGACAGCGGAGGTCGTTGCCTTGGATGATCTGGGACATCGATCCTGTTTCGACGTTGCGAATCTCGACGAAGGTAGGCTCGAAGGCGAGGACGTAAGGGTAATGAAGAGCTGAGAGAGTAAAATATATCAGACTGGAAGTAGTGCGAACAATGGGAATGAACACTCACCGAATCCGGTGGGTGATCCTTCCCAGTGTACCATGAAATCTCTTCTTGACCGCCATCCGTTCCGGTTGATATAGAACGCAAACTCTAATTCCGATACACGACCCAGTCAGACTCGCCCATCCCATTCGTCGACGCGATCTAGTGTAGGTGCTCACCTTCGTAGCACAACAAAAACTCGTTTTCGATCCTATAGATCGCCATCGGCTTCGGCTTCAAATTATCCGCCCTCCGCCTCACAAACTCCAAGCTCTCATCACCTGGATCGAGCAAACCCTGGGTGTCCAACGTCTCCGGGTCGATAATCTCAAACCCATTAACGCAAGCCACACAGAGTTTCGTCTTGAGGAAATGTATCGAGCTTGACTGGACCGGGATATAAAATTCCTATAAAGCCCATCATATCAGCTTTTGTGCGCGTGTTTGAGAAAGTCGAGCGGAAGGACAGACCTTGTATATCCTCAACGTATCGTTCCCGCCCTGCAACAGCTTCCTAAACGTCGGCTTACTCCTCCCCCTCACGTTCTGATCGATCGGCTCCAGGATCTTGATCGTACTCGAGAGCGGACTCGTCTTGACGACGCAGACGAACGTCCGGCCGATGCACGTCCCCGTCTTGAAGAACGACGTGTGCGACGCTATCCGCTTCGCACGCTTCAGGCCAGCGGTGGGATCCATCGGGTCGAGCGCGTCCAGTGGGAATGTGATCACTTGGCCCTCTGTTGAATAGGATAGACAGGAATGCGTTTGTCGGTACGGTGAATTAGTTGTGGGATGAAGGGTGAAGGTTAACGAAAGGGCGAGAGGGAACTAACCGGAGAGCACGATGAGGAGACCGTAGTTGTCCAGGACATCGACGTGTGCGACGTCAGTGAGCGCAAGCACCTTCACAGGGTCCCGATTCTGATCCCTCAGATCCGAGATGTACACCCCGTCGTCGGTACCGTACACCACTTTCCGTCCGCCATCTACAATGTACCCATAATCAGCATCCCACTAAACCAAACTCACCTCAAACCACAGCACATGCCAACACCAAATACAGAAACGGGAACATAGAAGAGAAGAGAAACTCACTAAACGGCGCCGCACAATTCGTCGCATTCCCAGGACTAATAAAGAACCCCTCATTCAACGCCTCCATCTCAAAAAACATGCTCCTCTCCCGCATCGCCTCCTGCTGCCTCGTCACATTCTCCACCCACTTCTTATGGCTCACCAGCGTGCTCGCGTACAGCGTCATCTGGTAGTACTTCCTTCCCAGATGCACGAACGTGATCGCGAACGAGTTCTTCCCGCCCCGCTCCGCCTGGATCGGTATTTGGGGAGGGTAAGGCAGGTTCAGGCTCGAGACCGCCGCGGAGTGCGCGGTCACGGCGGAGGACGTCCCGGCGGTGCTCGTCGAGTTGTTATGCTTGACGAGCCGGGCTTGGCGGACTGTGCCGTTCTTCGAGGAGCCATTGGTCTGCTCCTCATGGGTAGAGATGAAGAGGAGTTCGAGTGGTATTGGCTGCATCCTGCTATTTTAGTCGTGCTGTCAAAGGTGGAGGGGAGTGATAGAGGGAACGCACCCGTCGGTAGACTTTGTACTGGTCGCCCTTGCTCTTCTGCTTGACCATGAGCAGCGCATGATCGAACAAGAACACCTGCAACTCTCCACTATCCCCCTGACCCGTCCCTCTCCTGTTCAACGCTCCCTTGTAAATCAACTCTCTCCCTTCCTCCTTCAACCGCAAGTCCTATAATCCCAACCCACCGTAATGAAAACACACAGAGGGAAGTAAAAAGAAAAGCCCTCAGAAAAATAGCACCAAAACCACAAAGACCTCCTCCCGATCTCGGTGGGACAAGAAAAAGAAACAAAAAAAAGGGACTCACCACCTGTTCCCCAGGCCTAAACACCAACTGCTGATCCAACTGCAACAAATTGAACCTATTCTCCGCCCTGCCCGTCTGCAGATTCACCTCTGCCAAAAACTCGCGGACCATCGCGACGACCTTCGGTATCCGCTCCTTGTCCGGGTGGTCCGCCGGCGTCTGCTTCAGCACGGCCTCGAGCAAGAGCGGGTAGCGCGCGAGACGGGTGGTCGGTTTCGTGAGGTAGCCGTTTAGTTCGAGTTTGCGCGATTCGGGGCGACGTTCGGTTTCCTGTTGTGCGAATTCCAAGTCCAACCCAGAACGAATTACAGAACAGGGATCCGAGAGTTAGCCCAAACACACACACGACGACGCACACACGCACCTCAACAAACTGCGCAAACGCCGCATTCGAACTCTTCTCCTTCTCAAACTCATACTTCCCATACAGCTGATGCGCCCCATAACTCACGAACGGTGCGAAATGCGGCACCATCTCCGCAAAAATATCCGTCACGCTCTCCACGACGGCGTACGACTTCTGTCGCTTGTTGAGCGCGTCCCGCAGACGCGTGTTCACGGCTATGATGTCGTGGATGTTCCAGAAGACTTGTTCGATGAAGTCGGACCGGCGCGGTTCGGGGATGATGTCGAGTGTCCTCAGTGGGGCGATCCAGAGCTGTATGGGTGGAGACGGTGAGTTCCTTTGCGGCCGTGGAGAGCAGTAGCAATAGGACAAGACTCACATCGCGTAAATACTCCATATCCCTCACGAAATCCCTCTCCGTATAAATAACCTCATTAATCGCCTCCTGCCTCCTCTTCTCCTGATCGCTCACCGAATTCACAATCTCCTGCGGCACGCTATGGATCCACAACAACCCCGGCTCGACCAATTCTCCCAGACTCTCCCTGCTCATCTCCTTCTTCAACCCCGGCTGCGGCTTCATATTCAATCGTGCCTGCTGTTCGAGCCGCCGGGGACAGGTTATCGAGTAGCAGAGCCGGTCGCGTGAGCATGTGGGCGAGTAGCAGTCCGTGAGGAGGGTGAAGACGCCGGTGGGGAGTGGCGAGGAATCGTCTGTCAATGTCGAGGGCGTGTGTGAATCACCGGCGACGACGCTCGCGCCGTGATGGTGGGTGTTATTATGATGGATGGAGCCTACCGTGCTCCGCGCCCTCGAAGGTTTCGTAGACGACGTCGACGGAAAATGCGCGTCCACGAGCATCGTAGGGTGCGCATCGGCAGAGAGCGCAGGCGAGACCGAGCCGTCGTTCGTGCTCGTGTTGGTGGTCGTCGTAGTGGCCGAAGTAGGCGGCAAGCCGCCGATCTCGTTCGAAGGCGACGAGCTCCCACCCGTCACGGTCGACCCTGGTCTCTGCGCGTTCGTCGTCGTCCTCACAGAGCCACCCACGACCGTCGTCCCCTCCACGCTCCCCCCGTCTCCTTCCCCTTCCCCATTCACGCCGCTCCCGCCTCCATTGTCTCCTAAACCTGCCAACTCCCCGCTCGTGAACGGGCTCGGCAAGCGCGTCTGGAACTGATACACGTCCGTCGCCGAGTCCCGTAGGCGATGATCATAAGTCACCGCATGAAAGAACTTCTGCGCGTCCAACGCCCGGCCGAGCAACAGCGCCAAATTCCGATCCGTCGTCTTGATGATATACGCGATCTTGTCCACCGCCTGTCGTCCGTCGAACGCCTCCTTGTACGTCAGCCCATCCTTCACGCGATCCATGAGCTGAATCCGCGCCCGGAACGCCTCGGCGACGCGGGAGAGCAGCGCGGGGTAGACGATTGGCGTCCGTCGTGGTTTGTCGGATTTTGGATGGTGGGGATGTGAATGGGAGGAATGTGGGCGTGCGGTGTTTGAGGAGGAGTTGAGCGTGTTTGTGGAGATGATAGAGCTCGACCCAGGGAGCGGAGGGAGCGTCGGTTTCTGGCTCGCTCGCGCGGAAGGCGTAGGTGAGGGTAAACCTGGCCCTACGGCCGCTTCTGCCGCTCGGCCCTGACCTACGGACATCGACCGAGTCCGATCTGCGGAAGAACGATCACGAAGGAGGAGCACACCAGGTCTCGAGCGTGAAGAGTCAGAAGAGCGTCTTGAGCCGTTCGTGGTCGCTGTAGTGGGAGCGGCGGCGGCGGCGGTCGAGGCGGAGGTGGCGGTCGAAGGGTTGGTAGAGATGTCGACGAAGTTCGAGGAGGCTGGAGAGGCGCCTACGGCCTGTTGGTGCTGTGGTGCGTTGAGCCGTGCGGTGTCGAGCTGGAGGGGGTATGGCCGAGAAGAGGATGCCACGAGGTCGGAACCGGTCGAGGAACGGAGCGAAGCGGCATCGGGCTGGTACTGTTGCTGGGACTGATAGTAACCCTGCGCTCCTAGTGATTGGTTTCCTAGGAGAGAGAGAACTGTAAGCATTTTGGTTTTTTGTTCCGTCTCGATAGAGAGGTAAAGTGAAGGGTGTGCAGCCCAAAGGAAGGCGTGTAAATCGTGCTCGAGAGCATGCGTCTTTATATTCCATAGCGAGATAAGTACTAGAACAGGAACGGGGTGACGACCAATGCGACGTCATCGACTTGTTTCTTCCCGCCCGTACGGGTCCCGGGAAAGTGAGGCAACACGGATACGGGACCTGGAGGGTGGCAACGACGCTGAGAAGATGACGAGTGGCTTATGCGGACTGTGAGTGCAAATTGAATACACATGGCAACCCTTTCGTGAGGGGCGTCATTCCTCGCCACATTGGGGATCTATGAGCGTCTAGTTTAAAGCAGCAAGGCCTCCGACCGCCAGCAGGCTTGATGTGGCGCGTCTCACTCATCCCAGGATTCCGGTGATACACTTTGAGGAGCCGCTTGGTGTGTACTTGGGCGTCCAGCGGGAGTGCAGAGCACGCCAGAAGAGAGGCAAGCTCCGGGGCCACGCAATGCGCCGATGGCGACGGGCAAGGGTCATGTACAAGACGAAGAAGGACCGAACATGGTCGGAGAAGACTCGGAGGCCAAGACGAGAAAAAAAAGAGAGGAGAAAACGCACCACGCGAGTAATACGAGTCGTTCTGCCAGGATCCGTCACCGTTTGTGGTCGTCGGGCTGTCCGAGTCGAAATCAATGCCTAGCCGACCGTTGTCTGTGGCGATTGAGGGCACGTGGGGAGGGGAGTCTCCGTGATGGATGCTGGACGATGCGGGGCTGTATCTGTTCTGCTGCTGGCCGATGGGACTGTTGAGGTAGACCTGAGCCTGGTACGCCTGTGCGGGAGTAAGACCTGCGCGGGTGAGGGACTCGAGGCTGGCGTCTGGGGGTGGGTCTGGCTGTGGGACGATGATGCCGGGGTTGTGGTTGCTGGTTATGGACTGGGTGTGGACGGAGGGGGAGGTGAGATGGGCGTAGGGCTGGCCTCTGTAGGGCGGTGGATAGCTCTGGTAGGCGTACTGGGACGGCTGAGGGGACGGTGCGGCGTAGTACGACTGCCTGTTGTTCTGTGGCGGCTGGGGATGCAGATAGGGCTGCTGGTGCTGGTTGGGATAGGGAGCGAGGTAGGACTGCCGATAGTCGACCTGGGCCGGCTGCTGGTACTGGTGCTGTGTCGGGTACGGGTACGCTGGCTGTTGCGGCTGCTGTTGTTGCGGCTGCGGCTGCTGCTGGCCGTGGAAGTTGGAGCGGACGGAGGGGGAGTAGTGGATGGAACCCGCCTGGGGCTGGTGGTGCGACGCGGACGGTCTGCCGAAGATGGAGGAGAAGGCGTCGTTGCGTTCGCGGTCGTTGGCTGGCGGTGGCGGGGAACGGTGGTAGGACGGCATGCGCGGCCCCAAAGGTCTGTCCATGGCCGTGCTCGACGACGAGGGCGAACTCGGGCAAGCAAAGGCGCGGCCACAGGCGCAAGTAAAGGCGACTGCCGACCGCGCGCTCGCTCACGTAAGCACACTGACCGCCTCTGCGTTCACCGTTCCTGGCCTTCGTCATCTCCAGTTCCTTGAATGTGACCAGACCTCCAACTCTCCCGGCCACTCTCCAACGCCATCTGACTGTCCTCCTCGTCATACAAGGCCTGCATCCTCTTCCTTGCCTCCTTCCGTGCCTCCTTCATCACGATACTCGGTCATACCTCCCACCAATCCCCTTCGATACCTCTCGCATTTCCAATCCCTTCGACGACCCCGAAGAACGTCATCCTCCTCGCTTTTTCTCTGTCCAAGTGGAAACTCCACGTTCAATGCAAGTAACCGTGTTGATCCCCACGCCAGCCAGTTGGATCCACAAACTTGAGCACTCCCCTCGGTACGTATGTCCAGCTTTGCCTCTCCTCGGTTGTCCCTCTACATATCCCCTCCGAATTCCCGGTCATCCCATTCTGTCGATCCCATTCGAGTCCCAAATCCGGATTTCGGCCATTCCACGCGTCCGTTCCCCACACTTTTCTCCATCGATATCTCGTGCAATCCATGGTCCGGATCCCGAGCTCGTGGGTCCTGGGAAGTATTCAGTACCAATCACATCATTCGTTGCAGAGAGGGCCGTTGCACTGCAACACTTGCCCGCCCGACTACATACACACTCACGATAATCACAGTCCATTATGTTCCTCGTAAACACTTTCGGAGGACCGTATGGCGAATGCGAAAAATAACCCAATAATCCACACTTACACATACGCTACACGTACGGCCCAAATATGCGCCACACAAGACGCCTGCGCTCGCGCTCGCTCGAGAGTCGAGACAAAGAAGCTATGCCATCCATCCGTTCACGTTCATGTTTATGTTTAGGAACGCTTCGCTCGGGACTCTTTGCAGTTTACAGTAAATCTCGCGAAGTGGCCACGCCACCTCCTATTCCGATCCTTCTTCTTCTTCCCTTCTTCCTGCACGCTCAAACTCCGGCTCGGGTCCGAATTTACTGTTTGGATGGTATTCGAGTTTGGATGAGATATGTACGGCGTCTGCAGCGCTATTTGCAGCGAGGCGTTTATATGTGAGCCAAGGATGCTGCGCCGGTCTTTGAGGGAGTCCTTCCAGTTGACTGTTGCGGGCTCTGACGGTGATGGATAGGGGCCTTTGAGCGTCTGTTACGGTGATTGTTTTGTTACGCTGACAAGATTTGTTGTGACTTTGCTATGAACTGAATGGGAGGACAAAGTTGACATCCACATACGTACGCACCGCCGAAAACACATTATACATATTCCCCAAAGAAAAACCACCCAAAGAAGATAACCACCGTACATGCGTGGGCCGTACAGCTCACGGCTCCCTCATCGCCTCCATCGCCTCCCTCTCCGTCCTCTCATTCTCCCCCCTCACATACTCCCTCACATACCCCGGCACCTCCAGCCCTCCCACCCCCTTACCCTTACCCTTACCCTTCCCCCCACCCCCAAACCGCACCGGCTCCCCCATCACCGTATAAACCGGCACCACCCCCGTCCACACCCTCCCCTTCAACCCCTCATCCCCCTCATCCTTCTTCATATCATGCGGTTCTCCCCTCCTCATCTTCGCACTCGCACTCACAACCCTCACTTTCAACACCCTCGTCCCCCGCATCTCCGTCTCATCCGGCGGCACGCGCGTATCCGCCCATCGATGTGGCATTATATGATTCGTGAGACGTTCGAGAGCCCAGAGCTTTTCGGAGGGGGAAGTGATGGGCGTGCAGTAGCCGTGGAGGATGGAGGAGGTGTAGTTGTAGCTGTGGGAGTTGGGAGTTAGGGAGAGGACGAGGCCGTGGAGTTGGGAGGCTGCGATTGAGACGGGGAGGCCGTGTTCTGTTTCTTCTATGCTGTTGTTGTCAATGTCGTCGTCGCTGGAGGGAGAGGAAGACTTGGATCCGAGGCGCATGAGGCGCGAACTGGTGTAGCCGTGTAGGTAGAGATCGAGCGGTTCGTCGAGCGCTGTAGAGTCGGGAGAGGAGAACGAGGCCATGAAGCCGATCATGGGTAGGATGGCGGGGAAGGGGTCTTCGTCTTCATCTCCGCCTGTGGGGAAGGAGACGTGGAGGATGGGGGAGGTGTTGACGATTCGGTGGATCGTCTCGTAGTCGTATGCGGCTAAGAGAGAGAGAGAGGATTTTTGGTTAGATGTGATGCAATGTGGGTTGAAGCTCGAAAGGTCCGAGTATGTAATTGATGCACTTACCACGATTCTTGTAACGGTGGACCGTGCTTCGCGGGTGCTTAGGATAGGATGCCACATCGTCCTCCATGATGATCGCTGCGGTCAACTCCCAAACGTTTAAGCAACCAACCACCAAGGGAGTAGTACTTAGATCGAAAACACAAGAGAGATGATTGGAGCTCGAGCAGCAGAGAGTCGTAGAGCCCTTAAGTATACTTCGAAAGTCGACGGACAACTGATAATACAGTGATAGGCCTAGTGACTCGGACGGTCTTTGACTCCACCATCACCATGCGGAAGCCCGCGTGTCCGCGCAGATGATTATAGGAGACGCCGCAGTGACGACAATTTCTAGAGACGATAGGAGCATACTAGATGATTAGAAGAAGGGAGCCAATGGAACTGCGGGTTTTGAGAGAGGCACGGTCCATGCAACCAGAGAGCTGCGACGAGGTGTCGATCATAAGGGCTACGGTATTAAGGAGACAATCTGAGGCTGGTCAAGATATCTATATAAGGCTACTTGCTATAGCTTGCTAGATATAGTCCTTTTGAGTGACCTTCCTGGAGCACGAACACCAAAGGACCATGAGCGACTCTTAAAGTTAGTATGAGTGCAGGACATGAGAGTACAAAAGAAGAAAGCGGCGAACTTACTCACACGAACAAACATCCCCTCGGGCAAAGCCGGCCACGCACATGCTAAGGGAGCATACAGGGAGAAAGATCCAAAATCCAGATTACATCTCGAGTTTACATGTACGTAGATACCCAAATCCAGAGACACATACCACCTCGAATGCCAGCAAAAGTTCATATCGCACAGGGAACGGAAACAGGAAGAGAATAAAGAGAGCACCAAAACGGATGAGTAAATGGTCCATAGCCGACACGAAAAGGAATCTCGAGGGCGACGAAGGAAGGCGAAGAAACGAGTAGCGTGGGTATGCGTGCCGGATGAATCAAACAACGAGAGCAGTCAAGGCGAGGGAGGGAGGGGGGTGGGTAGATGTGAGAAGCTGATACATTTACTGTGGATCATACAAGTCCGAAAAGTAGAAGTCGGTGTTCGTAGGTGGTGGCCCGGACGATAACCCACTGGGGATCTCGACCTTGTCCCCCGACAAATCTGTCACCACCAAAGTAATAGTCAGTCAAGGCCGCTCCTGCAATACGTAAAATAAAACAAAACCCACCCAGAAGCTTGATCTTCAACCCAATCTCCGTCAACGTCTGCACAAAGCCCGCCGTCTCCGGACTGGCCACATGTCCTCCATCCCTCCTCAGTATATTCAACCCATCCGTCCAATCCGCCCACCGCGAATGGTCCTGTGCTACCTGGTCCGCCAGGCTCCCCTCGTGCGCACTTAACAGTGAGAACGACAGCGGCGAAGCGACAGCAGGAGAGTTCGGGAGTCCAGAGGGCAAATGGTCCGAGGTCATGTTTGGAGGGGTGGAGCCTGAGCCGATGGCAATTTCTGTGACCATGGAGAGGTCGATGCGGTCCGGGAGGTCTTCGACACCTTGTCTCACGGGGAATTTGGCCTCCGAGTCGACGTAGTGGAGGTATTTGAGGCCATGTTCCTATTATAGGGTGAAATCGTAGGGGTTATGAGTTAGAAGTGTGGCATCGGGAGAGGTTACAAAGAAGAAAAACTTTACCAGCCGCATGAACCGCCACGGTCGTGTCGGTCGACGAGAATGTTGAGACATGGCCGGGACGGCATTCATGAACCAGGCTCCTTGCAGTAAGCACTGTATTCGCTGTTGTCGGACAAACTCGTAGGATTCTTTGTGCAGTTTCGTACGCAGATTGCTACACAGTGCCAACGGCATACATCCCTGGTCAGCCCGGGTATGTTCAAGCTAGAAGAGTAGAAAGACATACCGAACGGGCACTTTGCTCATCAGATCATCATCGTCTTCGAGCTCTTTCATTTGCCTGTCCCTCACTGCACGATACTCAGCATCGGCAAAGTCATGTTCGACTTCATGCCACTCGCGGCTGTTCTCCAAGTCCAGAGCCACCTTCACTCTGAGGCATCGGAGTCAGCTCCGTTACACATTTAATCACAAGAAAACTGGAATAGGGGAACTCACTGGCTTCGAACGAGGGCCACAACTCGAGTGAAATCGATGAGTGAAGCCCCGCTTTCGTTCCACATCCGGAGGAAGAAGTTGGTTGCTAGTGCGTGAACTTTGAAGAAGTTGAGGAAGAATGGCTGAAACGTAGGCGAGGTAGCATCTGTAGGTAAAAGAAAGAAAAACACCGGTCAGACCCCCGTACCTCATACATCAACGAGCTGGCACGACTCACATCCAGGTGCAAAGATGGCCCAATGTTCAGACAACAGCTCGACGACCTCATTTGAGGCTTTCGCAACCGGACATCGACGTTCGTATGGCCGACTGTTCTGTTCCTGTGCTACCTTGGAGAAGAAGTCCGGGTCGTTCCTCACGAAGTATTTCTACAGTATCCGCGAGATGTCAGCATTCTACTGCGTCAGACACCACCGAGAGCGAAAAAGTATTGGAAACGCACCATGCAATCCAAACCCAACACGCCCACCTCTCCAAACTCCCGACTTAGGTTCTCGCTATCAAACCCAAGCTTACGCCACTTGATAATCCCACCTTCTCCATCGGGCTCTGGTCCCAGCTTTGAATTCGACCAGATGTAGTCTAATGCGGAAGCATGGGCTTCTTCGTGATCCGGATCGACCAAGGTGGTCTTCTTCCGGTAGGTGACGCGCGCGATATTGCCTTGGAAGTCCAGTACGCAGGAAGTGAGGTCTTCGACCATATGTGAAGACATAAGACTCTGCGTAGAACAAGAGAAACTCGGTCAGGAAGGAAAGGGTGGGGGGATGCAATAAATAGGGACGGAACGCACGATGACGGCCTTTCTAATGTTGAGCTTCTCGAGCTTGGCGATGAATGCTTCCCACAACGTATCCGTGGCATGCGCCAGCAACGAGTTAATCAACATCATACTGCTCGCGATGAAGCGCAACCGACAGACACATATGTAATGACGAACATATTAGCAATGCAGGTTCTACGTGCACATTCTAGCGCACCACGCAACTACGCGACATAGCGGAACTTCGAACGGGAAGAGATGAAGATAATCATGATCCACGTACCTGTTGAATGCCAGTGCTGTGTCTGCACTGCCCAACCTGTTGATCACAGTCTCCAGTAATCCATGCTCTTTCCGCATCTGCTCGAAGACGGCATCAAAGCCGTATCGATAAACTGACCCTGGTGGCGCATGGGGTTGGGACCTGCTGCTACTCGGCATCAACGGTCCCGGGGCACTAGACGGATCAGCTTCGACTAGACGTTTCAATATGGCTGTAGCTGGTCGGCAGACGTTGATGAGAGATTGTGGCGAGGAAAGAATTTGGACCACACGGAAGATGAATGCATTGTCGAGGTTGGACCAGCCAGTTTCGAGGTCCATCAAGTTCTGCATCGCAGTGAGAGCATACTGAACGGCCTCTGATGAGATGGTGAAACTAAGAACGAGGACAAAAGGCTCACAGCGAGGGTGTTACCATGGCTAACGTTGATGATGTCGATCAATCTGCTGACGCCGTCGCGGTTCAGAAATTCTATGGCAAATTGCTCTTCCTGCGGGCCAAACCAAAATATGTGTTCAACACGAGATCTGCGTGACGAGCTGACTCGGAAATGCCAGTCACCTTGATGAACTTTTGAAGTGAGAAGAGTGTCATCCTGATAGTCTTCTCGTCACGGACGATAAGTTTCTCCACTATGTCTACCGCCTCAATGGCTGGAGCATTAACCAATCTTTGAGGCAGTAACAATTACATTTGAGTGAATGCCTAACAAGTCGACCAATGTGCACGCACTTCAGATTGGACTTCGCCTTAATCATCTTCCTCAAATTCTCGTTCGTCACCAGTTGATCTCCCTCGTCCCGCAAGGCAAAATTTGTTGAAGATTCCTGTATTTTCAGGTTTAGACATAGCTGCTTGATGACATCGGCGACACTGAGTGTAGGGTCTATACGGGCTCGGACAGTGTGTTTCTCCCAGGTGACATTGTTCGTCGCAATGAGTCCAGTGGAACGAGTCCCGTTGCCATTGGTTGTAGGATAGGGAGGAGCGGCCATCATGTTGCTTTACGAATGACGTCGTGATATCTGAACAATGTCCACATTAGCAAGATATCCAGAAGTGGAAGATGTATTGTATGAAGTCAGATAAAAGCGAAGTTGGCGTCTTGCGCGACTTGGTAACAAGTCACTCCGACTGACGTGCAAATGTCGAAAAAAGTTCATCCTGTAAAAAGATTGAGATAAATTCTCACCATAGAATGCAGTTTGATGGTTGAGAAGGCAGCACGAGTACAGCTGTCGTCAGACCATCGTCGAAATTCGGGAGTAGATTCGATGTGATCACTCACATTTGGTGAGGTCAGAAATCTGCTGGAAAAAGTTTCGTGAGCCCATTTGGCTAAGTTACGATGGGATCATATGGACATGATCAGAGAAAAAGCGTAAAATATCGTCTTTGGTGACTTGACGAGCAAGTCACTCTGACTGACGTGCAAATGTCGAAGAAGTTTCATCCTAGTACACATAAATAAACAAAGACTCACCGAGAAATTCCACGCGTGGCCCACAGGGAATGTTGGGAGAGAGGAATTGATATATATTCTTGGGGAAGGCTACGGTCGTACGAGGAAGATGAAGTGGCGAAGAAAACTCGAACGTTGCGAATGTTGCAGAAGTTCGAAGTCAATCGCGGGAGGGCCTTCCGGGGATGGTGATGTGGTAATAAGTGATGATACAGAAAGCCAGAGACAATTTCGGACAGGCAGTGAAACCCAAGGGTATAGACGGTACAGGATCGAGAAAAAGTTTCGGGAACAAGGGTGATGCCCCAGCCCGCGGGAGTATAAGTAGACCAAGATGGAATTCCGCAATAAAAAGCGCGCCTAAGTGAGATAAGTAAAGATGCTTGAGCGTAAAGACGCGTCGCCGGGAAACGAATATGAGAGTGGACTGGGAGGATGTGGATGGTATGAACGCAAAATAAGCGAAGGTCTGCGTCAAGTCCGACCGTGCGACCCGGCAACCAGTCAAGCAGCCGGACCCAAGGACAGGTCACGCCACCCGCAACATCATCCTCGCGGAGCCGGGCTTGGGCCACACCTTCCCCTTGAACCCAACACGGTCTTATGGAAGCTTTCATCTTGGGACTGGAAGCAAGAACATCAGGATCTGCCTGTGCAGATATGACTTTCAGGCAAACCTTCTCCTTGATCTCTCACTGCAGCGACCTTGATGACATTGATCATCACCATCGCCGCGTTCCCTTCGCATCCGCACAGTTCGTCCTCGACGCTTCACAATACTCCCACGAAAATTTTGCTGTACACTGACTACTTTCTCGTGGCATACAATCTCTACCTCAATGCCATGTTTGTCTTGGATATACGTCGTAGTTCCACTACATAACCCGGTCGATCTTCAGGTTGGGCTCACTGGATCCGCACACACAAATTCAAGCATGCCATCACCGTGAATGTTCCCGCTTTGATTCCACCGGAATGCCCTACTTGTGGAGAAAGTCCTTAGCTGTACATCGTAACAACTGCTGCTACAACTGCAGTGTGACACTGCTTCAATCTATGACATTGACCATCTTGCTGATGCTGATGTCCCTCCTTGCATTTGGACCGCCCCGTTGTAACGCCCCCGACGGGGCGCCGGATGATCGTATGGTTGGTCTCTTCTCAATGTTCACCTTTTGCTCTTGCGTGTAGCAGTGATGTTGGCCTTACTATCGTCACCCTGGCCCTCAGCCTCTCCCTCAAGTGCACATCCCGTTCCCTTGTCATGCACTCAAACCCCCATGCGAAGATTTTCAGCGCCAGATAATAGAAAGAACAGATAGTAGACTTAACTAGTCGAGAGCATTATCACGGAAGCCCTCAATTCAACTCGACTCACCGTGAGGCTTTTGAATGTCTGAGTAGAAATTCGCTATCGGATGAGATACTCATTTCCTTTACAGATGATGTCAACTTCTCACTTTCTGATCCCGTTCATATCCCAGTTTGTCGTAGATGGGCACTGCACAAGCTCGCAGGTTCTTGGAGCCAAATTTCAGACCTCCACAGCTACCACAGCGACCGGGCCTCTTTATGTAACCGTATCACACAAGCAGCTACAGCAGTCACCCTATTCTATCTGCACTGTTTTTATTATGGGGTTGGTGGGAAGGACCGGTGATGAGACTACATTTTACTTCACGTGTATCATATCGTTCTTTCTTCCCGAACCCGAGAGCATCCGTCCCGTCTCGAAGTGCTCAGCGGATGCCAATATTGTTTTGTTAAAAGGAGAATGTTGCACGGAAATCTTGCGCTGGTTGGTCTCAACGCGCACTTGCTCTCGTAAGTTATAGCACTCCGATTAAATTCCATGGTTGATCCCTCTCGTATCAGGTCTCGGGAACATTGCTACTAGGTATACGAAGGACAGTTCAAATGGCTGATTGCAGGCGAAACGGGATAATATTGATGGGCTGGGGGCGTCAAGTTATCAGGAGAACATACAGGTAGCTAATACGAACTAGGACATGATGCATAAATATTACTAGACATGGTACCCAAGAGAGGGTAATATAAAGCTTGAACTTAATCAAAGGAAGTGCATAGCTTGCAGATGGGCCACACAAACCAGTGTGGCGAGATGCCACACAGCGCCAAGACAAAGTGGACCGTTTAGTAGATGACGAGCATCCGAGAACGAAGTCGTTACCTTGTACACAAACCACCACGACGTCTAAACTCATCATACCCATTCGTACCCTTTGCTCTATTGCTCACCCTTTCAACTAATAAATCGCGTGTATACTCCCTGACAACGCGCAGAGTGCCACCGAGAGAGAGAGAGAGCGCGGACGAGAAATGGCCTCGTTGATCACGACTGCCCGAACCAGTCTGTCTCTTTCTGTTCTTCACGTTCTGTATATACAACCGCTGACCAGATGATGGTCTGCTTGTCGGTGTCAACGTGTAGAGTTCTTGGACGCAATCCGATCTGTGAACCCGCCTCAGCGATGGAAGATCCTCGTCGTTGACGAGCACTCGCAGAAGCTGCTTAACACCGTCCTTAAGCAGTTCGATATCCTTGAGGAGAATGTTACGCGTTCGTGCACCTTATCTTCGATATATATCACTATAGAACGTCTGCTTATGATCTTGCACTGTACCATCGACCCCTCCAATTCACTCCGTGCTGCTACACGGGTCGAATCCACTACCTTCGTTTGCCATTGGCAACGGTAGTGATCGAGAGCATTTCCTCGCACCGCGAGCAACAACCAGGTTTCGAGGCCATGTATATACTTATGCCGACTACGCAGAACGTCGACCGTGTCATTCGCGATTTCTCCAATGGGAGACAACAATATGCCGGAGCACATCTGTTCTTCGTTGAGGGTTAGTTGCCACTCTGATCATCTTACCTTCCTCCCTCATTCTTCACGGTCAATACACTGACAGTTGGATCATCCCGGTCATACAGGCTTGGCAGAACATCTGTTCGAGAAGATCGCCGCGTCGCCCGCTGAACCGTTCCTGAAGACACTACAGGAACTTTATATCAATTTCAACCGTGCATACGTCCATTTACCCTCTCATACTACCCATTTACTGAAATATTTGTTGTTATTATCCTCTATTATCCCAACTATGCCCGATGCTGTATTTGGTCGTTGCGAAACTAGCGATCGAGGCGCAGGCGTTCTCACTCAAGATGCCAGAGCAGTTCTTCGGGATGTTCAGCCCGGCGAGAAGTGAAGGGACTGCCAAAGCTGCGAAGGATCGGTTAGAGGAGGATGTCCGGTTCGTGGCCAAGTCCGTGCGTGATCTCCACTTCCATCTTCCCGACTCCCTGCAACTAACGCCACATGTCTCTCTTTCCACAACGTCCTTATCCGCACCACATGGTCTCGACCTACTCCTACTTTCCTCACAAAGATAGCAAACGTTTGCATAACCCTCAACGAATTCCCTTACATCCGCTACTACATGCCTTCTCACCACCCACCACTCGGCCCACTCAAACCTAATGATACCATCCGCGAAGCGCCACCTCCTCCTGAGGGTTCGGCTCGGTGGAGGACGAACCTCGCGAGGGGAGAGCAAGCGCGACAGTACGAGAAAGCGGACTCTGAATATCTTTGTAAGATACTTGCGTGGAATGTACAGAACTGCTTGGAGGAATATAAGAAGGCGAACTCGGACTGGCCGGTGAGTCTTCCTCATGCAGAGCTCTATGGCCTCTTTTGTTTTGCGTGTAGATGTAATTTACTAATAAATACATCTATTTCTGTCTTTGGAAACGAATTGCGCACGGCATTTGATCGACGAGTAGAAAGCAGACGCATCCAGAGGACGCGGCACCTTGATCATCACCGACCGTTCAATGGACACGATCGCTCCGTTCATACATGAATTCACGTATCAAGCCATGGCAAACGACCTACTCCCGATATATGACGGTACGAAATACACGTACGTCTTCTTCTAATCTACCACCCCCACAATGTTCCTACGAGTGTTCGATTATTGAGCGTCTGTTCACATTTTTTGCGGCATTACATAGATACAAATTTCAGTCCTCCATCGGCGCTTACGAAGATAAGACTGCTACCCTGAGCGATGCGGATACTGTCTGGACTGAAGTTCGACATATGCACATGCGGGAGGCGATTGACAAGCTCATGGCGGACTTCAACAAGTTCGTGTCCGAGAACGCGGGATTCAAGGGGTAGGTCGCTAGTCAGTCCGTATAAGCTTTCGCTCACAGGTCCTTCTTGGGGGTGCTATAGGGAGGGGGCGGCGAACCTGAATGACATGAAGGATATGTTGGCCAGCCTGCCACAATACCAAGAGCAACGAGAAAAGGTCTGCATCTCGGTTTTGCTTTCCTTTAAGACCTGTTCGCGCCGCTGACTGTTGAGTGTACGTACCGGTGATAGTTCTCGCTGCATTTGAACATGGCGCAGGAGTGTATGGGTATCTTCGAGCAGGATAAGCTCCCGGTTGTAGCTAACGTGGAGCAGGTAAGGGCTCAGATCCTTCCTTCCTCTCCGCATGCTTTATTGAGATCTTTGCTTTACTCATCTCCTTGGTCACGGTCTTTGTAGAACTGTGCCACAGGCCTCACATCAGAAGGCAAGACGCCGAAGCACCTAGTGGAGGAGATGGTTCCCATTCTGGACAGTCGAGAGGTCGTGTATGTCCTCATTTCATCCCTAAAATGCAAGGGCTGCCTCCGTCTGACGATGCCTATAGCAACTCAAACAAAGTCCGCATAATCGCACTGTACATTCAATACCGAGAAGGCGTGCCAGACGAGGATCGGCGACGGCTCTATCAGCATGCAAGGCTCACCATGGCCGAGCAGGATGCAGTGAATGCTCTTGTCCATCTCGGCGTGCGGATATCCAGGGTATGACTTTAACGATAATTTGTCGGAACCTCTATTAACGCTTAGGTTCCAGGGACCGGCTGATAAAGATGTGAAGAAGAGATTGAAGCAGAAACCGACAGAAGACGAGGAGTACGACCTTTCTAGATTTAAGCCCCTCGTTCGCACTGTTATCTCCGTATGCCACCTCTCTCTTTAATTTCTCCGACGTTTTGGGCTCACATGTGGCTTATTCGCATAGGAACAAGTCTCCAACAAACTTGACCAGGCACTCTTTCCATATGTGAAAGATTACCCTTCCGCCATGAACGCCCAGGCCAGCCTCCGCGGCGCATCCGGCGCCTCCCCCGCATCCACACCTCCCGCCTCACTTCGTTCTGCGAAACCCTCTTGGCATCGAGCGGCACGACCGAATGCTTCACAAGAGACAAGGCAGAGGTTGTTTTTCTTCATGGCTGGTGGGATGACGTACTCGGAAATGCGTGAGGCGTATCAGTTGAGTTCGAGTTTGAGCAAGGATATCTACATCGGTGAGGTTTTTCATTTCTTCATCGCTATTGCCCACATCTCCTAACGCTGTTGCCGATAAATAGGTTCTACGCATACCTTCACTCCTAAACAATTCGTCGACGATCTCAAGGTCCTCGAGCTGAACGGTGTAGGCTCGAAAGCCATCCCTAATGGCATTCGCGAAGCCCGGAATGGCCAGAGACCCTATCAAGACTACTACGATGAACTCTACTTCACTCAGGATGCTCCAGCCCCCGCACCTGCGCGACCACCGCCATCTAATAACAGCAAGATGCTGCGGCCTGCCGCAACTCCAATGTCGTTGACACCGAGTGGAGGGAGTCAGCTGAGTGTGAATTCGATGGGGAGTGGAGTCAGTGGAAAGGTTGAGAAGGAGAAGAAGAAGAAGGGGTTGTTCAAGAAGTGGTAATGGACTCTGAACGTGGTTTATATAGTGCCAGTACTGTGCTTGAATGTGCAGTGGACTTCTGAGAGTGTGGCGTTGCATCAGCCTTTGTTACGGAGGAACGAAGTATGGCTTACCGTACATCATAACATATACGGAGGACTTTTTCTGGACGTGGAAATTAATGACTGTGGATTTGATTCAGTATGCGTTGTCTGTCGGTGCCAATTCGACTCGTAGCGTGCGGTGGTCTACTCGTGTGGCGTGAAGAAAGTTGATTTACATAGGGCAACATTGGTGTGATCGCCGCCGCTGTCTCAACCGTCCCCGTACAACACAAGCATTTCATATGTGAGCGCGGTTTCTCTTGATTGTGCTTCGGTCACTCTTGTCTGTCAGGAGATATGATGGCTCCAAGGGAAGAACCCGATTCCTTTGAAAAATGCCTAGCTAATCGCACCATTGGGAGCCTTCATTGCTCGTCGGACACATCATTTTTTCGTATTCTTCTTCTTTTTCGGAGTAGATACGGGTGACGGTGTCGGCAACTCCACAGAACCTCCAGCAGCCTCGCTCTCCGGACCCTCACCAGCCTCAATCTTCGTCCTTGCCTCTAAGAAGAACATGACATCCCTAACCTGGTCTTCAAGCTCCTTCACCCTCTCCTTCCACTTCTCTTCCTCCGTCTCATTGGCCTTCGCCTTCTCCCTCGCTTTCTCCAAATTCTTCATGAGGCCCTCACTGACCGCTCGCTCTTCTCTCAACTCCCTCTCCAATCCCCGGGCAATCTCGCTCATCTTCTCCGCTCGTTTCTCAGCCCGAATCTTGTCCCTCCTTGCTTCTTCCTCCTCCTTCCTCCTAGCCTCCTCCCTCTCCCTTCCCTCTTCCCGTGCTGCCTGAACGTCTTGTGCCATCTGATTTACAAGAGCCTTCAGCCCCTGCACCTCAGCCCTCAGTGTATCCGCCTGCTCCTCGTAATAAGCCCTCTGCGAGTCTAGCTGCGACGTCAGCAAATACGAATACTCAATTCCGATGGCTTCAATCTTCTCCGCGCTCAGCCTATCCTCCTCACTCGGACCTCCTCCCCTGCCCTCTCCTCTCGCGTGTGAGGACATCGACGCGGAAGGTAACTCCACTACCTTCCCATCCGCTTTGTTTCGGATCAGTCGATGGACGTAGCCATCCCCTGCGTAGTCCCAGACCCGCTGCGTTTCGAGCTCGAGGGCGTAGAGATGGGTCGTGAGCTCGTAATGAGCTTGAGCATGGGCACGGCCATAACGTCCGCAACCGATATTTCCGCAGATGAGACAGATCCACAGATTTGTCGTCGAGTTACAGGAGGCGCATGTGGAGAGAGTGGAACCGGTCGAGGTAGATGGCGCGGTGGGGAGAGAACGTGATGTTGATGTTGGGGGTGAATTATGGTGAGTCTGGGAGTAACGGCAAACGGGACAGCTGAGAATTCAAACGTCAGTCAAGAGTCGATTCTATAGTGAAGTAGAAAGAGCACTTACCGACTATCTCCCCATTTGCTGAGACACATGCAGTGAAACGTGTGCGAGCATGGAACAGTCACCAGCCCGGTTATACCAGAGTCCATACGCTCGAGGCATACTGGGCATGTCGGCAATTCCTGTAAGTTAGACTGAGGAGAACCAAAGCGCGTGATCTGCAAAGAAAGCGAGTCTTCCGGGTCGATGCTCAACGAGGCGACTTGTACGACATGACAGCTTTCGGGCTAGAATGATGAGTGTTTCTCAACAACAGAAGAGTCAAAGGTATAGAAAGAGATGGAAACCAACCTCCATCGAGTTGAACGGTCGCCCATTGTAAGCTTCAATGAACTCTGCTGCGTCCTCTACTTGTCTAAATTTAATCAGGACAATCGACCGATTCGGAGCAGTATCTCTATTCAAAAAGTAAACTAAGCTGGACCATCCCGCAAGAAGAAATGACCTTCACCTTATCATCCGGATATGTGACATCCCTTGTGCAGCAGGGGCCACAAATGCGAGGAAATCCGAAGGTGTCATCCAAGATGGCACAGCAAGCACGCTGAGTACAACTCCGTCTTCGTCGATGGGAACAATCTCGCTTTTATGATCCATATGGGCCAATACAGACTCATTCCTGGGCGAAGTCGATGCTTCAGCGCCATTGGTAGCCTTGCCTATACCTCGAGAGCCGGAGTCACGATAGATGTGCACGATGCCTTCAGGAAGATTCGTCGACCCCGTTCGAGACCGTGCTGACGGCGGATGTGGTACGAATGTTGCAGTAGCTGGACCTGTAGAGAGTTCGATTGAACATTATTGTCATGAGGGCTGTCCACTGAGGAGACATACCACCCTGCGCCACCCTGTCTTTCCCGCCACCGGTCTTTCCGGTGACGCCACTCTCGTTTGCTCTTGCAGACGCGTCAAGGTCCATCCAGTCCACTCTGATGGGACCGAGCCTATAGTCCTTATTATTCGAGTTGAAGATAGCGTTCCTCCGCGCGGTAGATTTGGCTGAATGAGCTGGCAAACTCTGCCAAAGAGATGTAGGGATGAAAGTTGGGGATTGATCTGTTGAATTTGGTCTGGAGGAGAGGGCGATTCGGAAGTGGTAGGCAGGCATAAGCAAAGAAGCCCTACACTCCACTTTCGGTGTTCTTGTAAATCAGTGGAACAACTTGAGATTGGCTCGGTATTGGTGAGCAGGATGAGAGGCGACGAGAGAACTGGAAGTGGCGATGAACGGCTTTGGAATGATGACGAACATGTGAGACAAAATCCGGGATCTCAGCCCGGCACTTCCCGTTTTTGTGCCAAGTGTCGTGTCACTGTGGCACCGGTCAGTTCCAGACCATCACCTGTTTGCTCGAAGCTGGTTATGCTCTCTCATGCGATCTCTCTACCTTCTTCAGCTTCTTCCTTAATATCACTCACAGAGCCTTTGACCCGCGCATCTCTTTCTCGAGTGAAACACGCGCTGTCCCACTATCATTCCCATACCCACCAGGGAACGTTGAATGACAACGAGACTCATGCAGCCGTCCTCATCCCAATGTGCAATGTAAACAACCGTCCTGGAGTATTACTTGAGGTCAGAGGGAAGGAGATGAGAAACCACTCGGGAGAGGTGAGGTGCATCCGGATTCCTTTATATACTCGTCTATGCTGTGGGACTGACAGAAGTTGTGTAGCTTCCCTGGAGGTAGAGTCGACGTACGTCCTTTACTCAAGATATATTAGTCCAGCAGTCATTGTGTTGACAAAAAACCTTTATTTACTAGAGGGGCGAAAGCTCATTGGCTGCAGCCCTTCGTGAAACTCATGAAGAGGTTGGCATTACTTCCTCACAGGTTGATATTCTGGGACAGATCGGTCCCCCACAATTATCTCTTCGAGGTATGCGTGTGTGGCCTTACGTAGTCAGTGTGTTGCATTCTATTTGCACTCAGGCTCTCACCCTCAAACACACCTCTTTTCAGGGCTTCGTTCGTCCAACATCAACCCCTGTACTCGCCGAAAAGAACAATGATTCCGACCCTCTCCCCTCGCTCTCCCTGTCATCCCTCCAAATCTCACAATCGGAGGTGGCCCAAGTCTTTCATCTACCCTTCTCCCACCTCACTTCCCCAGCTCAGCTGCGTACACATCTCTTCCGCGGAAACTCTCCCTATTGGGCAATCACGGTTTCCAATCTAGTCGATCCTATATGGATACCTGAAAAAGAATCAGGCGTAATTGATGAAGTGGGTGGTGGCAGAGCAGGGAGACTGGAAGTATGGGGCCTCACAGGGTGGTATCTCAATTTGTTGATGAAAGCACTTGAGATGTATAAAGCCCCGGAGGCACATTCATGATCCCTCAGAGATGAATCGTCTGGGCGTGCAGCACGATACAGACAACGGTGATTGTCTGCCATACCGACTAGCTATAGTTCAGCATAACTTTATCAACTTTTGCTCTCAGGAAAGCGGTTACAATTGAGGCGTGTCGTCGAGCAGATATTCGTGGCCACCAGACATTATTCATGTCCATTTCTTGCGAACATCTTGACTCCCAGTGCACGATCAACTATATGTTACAGTAGATAGAGCAGTGACATTAACCATTCACAGATGCAACCTCTCGAATATATGAGCATTGCTTTCCTCATGCCCATAGTCTTGCCTTGAAGGCGACTTGTTCGCTTCGCCTTTTCTTCTCACAAGCTGCACATCCGTTAACTCTCGTACCTGTCTCCAATGTGTTCTTCTCAGGATTGGATCCAGATATGTCGAACACAGACATCCAAAGCATCTTCACAGTAACACATTCCGGAAATACCCCATTGATAACAGATGCAATGGTAGAACCAGGTACATGGCATGCATATACGTACACAAATGTCTCACCAAAGACGACTACGTCTAGTTACAGTTTCTTCAGATCATTTACAAGCTCTTCCGCCCATTCATCGCCTTCCCCGCTCATCAACGCCCAGTTGAGGCTAAGATGGTTATGCTCCTTCGCCACAATCCACGGCGCCTCCGTCCATCCATTGGCACCGCCACCCACCTCCTTCATCCTCTCTGCCAGCACTGGTCTAAAGTCCGCTCCAGAAACCTGCATTGCCTTCGTATCGCGTCCCGACTCTACCATGAGTATTTGCGGCAGACCCTTCAGCAAGGTGGGAGGTGCGCTCTTCAGGAGGTTCAAAACCGCTCTCTGCTCCAACTCCTCCCCTTCTCCAAAGTATTGGGCCAATATGGGAGGCGGAAGGGCGGCAACGCCGAAGTGGTAGAGAGCACCGCTGAGAACGACTGCCTTGATATGTCCACGAAGGTATGGCGTGACCGCGAGCACGGGTGGGTAGAGCATGAGAATCGCGGTATGGACGGCTCCGGCGCTGTGGCCCATGAGGATCAGATTATCGACATCGGGTTCGGGTCCTTCTGCGCTTTTGTAGATGGCGGGGTTCTGCACGATCCAGAAAACGGCGTCGCGAATGTCTTCGGAGGCTTCGGGGAACTTGACGTTGGGAACGAGTCGATAGTCTGGGATGACTGTGATGAAGCTGACGGTGAGAAGGAATGAGTAACTTCGACCGGTTGATGTGTAGGAGTTTGAATAGCATACCCTTTGGATGCAAAGTACGTGCCGAGATTACGATAGACGACAGATTCGTATGGACCAGGGACGCTACGGTCGCCAGAGATGAATCCACCCCCATAGCTTTGACAGCATGATCAACCGTCAGAATGATAGGGGCCGGGTTGGTTGACAGGTTATCAGCTCACCTGAAGAATAAGATAGGCGCCTTGGTCGCGCCCGAAGAAGCTGGAGGATAGAATACGTCGAGCTGGCATGATTAATTCATGTTATTAAAGCTCGAGAATCAATAATGGCCGAGAATTCATGCGGAGAGAAATCGTGCGAACCTGGTGACGGTCGGTCAAACCGTACTTGAAGGTCTTTCTCGGAATGACCTCAATGGCAGCCTTGTTCTTCAGCAGTACCGGCCCAAACGCATCCATGGCTGAGGATAAAGCGCGTTCATCAACACGAACTTACAACACAGTGTGCATACAGGTAGTTCAAGATACGAGCCGTACTTGGGGGAATGATATCAGGGAGTTCAACCTCCTGTATAGCGCGGATAGCTTGCATGTTGGATCAAACTATGGGTGAAATGAAACAGGATGGGGCCTTCGTGCAGAGGTAGCGGTCGAAAATGAGATTGTGGGGATGTAGAGAGACGCGGCTCCTGAAGCGTCTCTTGAAGCTCTCATGACCTCTGTAATCACATCGGATACTGCCAGGGGCATGAGACCGTGATGAGCATGACTCTGAGACAGATATCGGGATATAGTACACACACTAAGAGTAGCTTATGCACCCAGATTAATGAGTGAGTGATCCACAACCCCAACGAGATAGACAGTGAGCTGATGCCGGACAAAGAAGTTGAAGCACTGTTGAGGGTGGCCGAACTGACCAAGCTGTGTGGCCCAAAGGAGGCACTGGGGGGTCCGTGTACAAGACCCCTTTCCAGCTGGCACCACGGGCCACATCAACACCAAATGTGTACATAAATCACTTACTGCACGGGACAGTCTCAGGCATGACTAACCAAAAGTTAGATAGCGACGTATATCTATAGTAAAGAATACAAGGAAATAAAATCAAGAAAAGAGCACTACATGACACCATTGAGCAAACCGAAGCGTACATGATACAGCATGGAAATTGGGTTATGCAGTGCACATCACGAAGAACTGGATACGGCAGCGTATCAACGACTAACATAACTTTCAAGCACTACCATTTCCCTTCCCAGTCGGAAGGATAGCAATCCCGAATTTCTTCCCCACCGGATGGCGGAGAATGACTTGAAGCATATCGGGATGAAGCTCTATAAGCCGTAAACGCGAGCCTGGAAGCTGAGCGCGTGCACACACGTTGTCCAAAGGTGCAATTATGTTTGCTGCCAAAACCTTACAATCAATCCTAACAGAATAGATATTGGGAAGGAATGCATCCCCATCTCCCGAGGAAACAGCCAGTTCAGTTGACGAACCGACCTTCATGGTCAAGGCCTTTGTAATGATGCGGAGAACCTGAGGACCGCTTCGACTAATGCATAGCGTGCGCACGGCGCTGAAACTGCTAAACAGCCTGCAAACGGTTTCTTCGTCGAAAGAGGTGGTGGTAAAGTGGTCGAAGGTGAGGGAGAGTGAAAGCGTGTGTATGAGCGGAGCTGAAGGATTGACAAATGTTGCGCATAATGGAGACTCCTTGGGCGTCCGAGTCGTCCATGATAGCCAAATTCAGGCCGAAGAGTTCCATGGCCTGGGGGCCACGAAGGGTCCAGGAGTAGAGGTTTCCGGTGCGGCGCTCGATAGAGAGCTCAACATAGGGCTCTGCTTGCTCGTCTGAGCTGAATATATTTCTAAGGGATCCGACAGAGTCGATCACACAGTCTGTGAATGAGTGTGTGTTGGGCGGCGGAGCACCGGCGGGCTGGCCATAACGAAGTTCTATCTGAACGAGGTTAGGGAGCTCAAGGCGTTTCAATAGTTTCGCACAATTGTCCCATCCTGCCTGGGCCTGGATATACTCGAACTTCAGCTGACGCAGTTTCAGCATGCCGATGCGTCGCAATGAAGGATAGTCAGGTTCGAGGTCAACGGAGAGAAACCCTGGAAGACGAAGCTCTTCGAGCTGGGGAAGGCGACGGAGAGTATCGCAAACGCCGTTGAGGCTGATACGAGCGACCGTATGCTCGATGTCGAGATGAGTGAGGCGGGGTGATGCAGTGACCAGATGCTGCCACATTATCTTGCAGCTATGGACATGCAGGCGGCGTAATAAAGGCACTTGTCCTGAGAAGAGGTGGAGGAAGGAAATTGGTGCCTGGCGCGTCGCATCGCTTCGCAAGACAAGGGTTTCCAAGCGAGGATTAGGTCCGTCGAGGACGCCTAACACTTTATGGAAAGTATTTCTGGAGAGCGTAATGTCCAAGTTAGCGACTTCTCCATGACGAACGGCCAGAATTTGGCTAGCCTGGCAAACCCATTCGGAGGTGCTGTGACTATTGGAGAAGTCGATTTTGATAATCGACACCTTTGAGCGAGAGCGTAGGATTAAAGCCTGACGCCGCACGCTTGCGGTTATCGAGTCTGTGTCAAGGTGCTCCCATAATTCGGCTGTATCGAGCGCAATGGCTCGCCAGGAGCGACAGACTCGAGTAACGACCAACCAGTGAAGAATGTAACCATAGCTTGTCCCCTTAATGGAAGTAGCATATAGAACGAAAATATTGGACAAAATCTCGGGTGGGAGACAGGAGGTGTTGGCTAAAGAGTTGCTGTACGCCTTCAATCGTGCAATGGCAGCTTCGAGGTCTGCGACCTCCTGATCAATGGTGTCGCGTACGTCGCTAACAATGGCAGGGGATAATATGCCGAAGGGCAAACCGGAGGCCCATATATTCGCTTGTTCGGAGCCCTTGCGAGTATCGCGAAGGCTAATGGACCATTGACGATTAGATTAGTGCGATGTAAATCTGGTGGGGGAGATACTCTCAGAGCGCACCTTGACATCCTGCCCGGTGCAAACTCGAGTGACGATACGGTTTGTGATGAACAATCTCTCTGAGGCCCCAGGCGCTGTGGACTATGCTCGAGATAAGTAGTCGTTCAGGCTGCCTCGCCAGTACCAAAGTGTTATGGCCGGCCCTATTTCTTCTGGGACAGGTTCACCAGCGTATACGTGTAGGGTATGAGGAGTGGTCCAGTGAAAAGTAGCAGATATGCAGGCAGAGCCGTGTGCCACCCGGAGCATGTATTTGTTGATGTTGACATTGAGTATTTGATTTCGAGGAGATAAGATAAGATCGAGCAAGCCCGGTTGGTCGGAAGGACATCGAGAATCAACTGCCAATCGACGACAGGCAAGCGTGAATGCCGTCCTGTACGGTCCTCTCTGTCGAATTATCATAGGTGTAGCAAACACGGCGAATCTGCGGCTTGGGGAAAGTTTTCAAGCTCAGGTATATAAACCACATGTCCTCTTGAGTGAGGCTCTGCATGATGCTCTCTACTCTCCGGAATATCACTCCTCTACTTCGAGCGCGCTACTCTGTTCTCCCACTCGCATCCCTTCACACGCTTCCTCCAGAAGATACTATGCCTACTCGTAAACGACCACCGTTCTGGAAGAGTCTCGCTCCGGCACCACTTGCATTGCCAGCTGGTTCGACGCCCTCAGCCAAGCCTGGTCAAGGTCCTGGGACGTTCTCCGCACAGGCATCACTCCCACATCTTCCCGTCCCCCCTCTGTCAGAGACCTTGAAGAGGGTGAAGGATACGCTGCGACCACTTGCTCATTCGAATGATGAATTCGAAGCAGCAAGTAAGAAGGTCGATGAGTTTGGAAAGGCAGGTGGTCAGGGCCAGGAGTTGCATGCAAGGCTGGAGAAGTGGAGAGATGACGGCGAGAAGGAGGGTAGGGACCATTGGTTAGAGGAATGGTGGGATGATGGTGCTTACCTTGGTTATCGTGACTCGGTATGTGGATGTCTTTTCATCTGTTGACGGGGTTATTTACTGATATCTCGCGCATTCAGGTCGTTGTCAATGTCTCGTACTATTGTCAGTATTATCTTCCGTTACATGACGTTCGCTTTATAAAGCCATAAGTTGTCCAATTGTGTATCACTGCTGATTACTAACCTCTCATCATAGACGGATTCGACGCACACCCATCACATTACCCTCAGACTTCTACCCATCGAGCCGCCTCGCTAACACGCGCAACTATGCTCTTCCGCCAGAAGCTCAAACTGGGGCAAATCAAACCCGAAGGTACCAAGGATACGGCGTTTTGTATGGACACATTCCGGTAGGCTCTTTGATTGACGTCACAATAGTATTGCACCATCTAACAACTTAGACGTTCCTTGTAGATGGATGTTCGATTGTTCTCGCGTCCCGGGTCCAGAAGGACTTGACTGGAGTACTTCTTATGCTGTAGCCGGTGCTCAGGGCACGGAGAACGCCCATATCGTGGTCCTGCGTCGTGGACGAGTCTGGAAACTACGCACTGCCCAGGATGGTCGTATTCTCTCGACGGAAGAGCTCGAGACGTATGTCAAAGCTTGATGCGATCTTTGCTGCTTCTGAATTCTTGTCTCTAGGCAAATCAAGAGGATCATAGCAGAAACCACCTCAGATTACCCCGGCATCGGTCTTCTAACGTCCACCAACCGCGATACCTGGGCCACGAACTACACCACACTTTCCTCCAATCCACACAACGCCAAGATCCTCGAAGACATACAATCAGCGTCCTTCGTTCTCTGTCTTGATACCGAACAGCCCAAAGATCTCGTGCAACACTCTCGCTTCCTGTGGCACGGTTCGTCTCCCGCCACAAATCCTGGCGGCGGTCGACTTGGGCTCTACAACCGCTGGGTCGACAAACCGGTACAACTCATCGTATTCGACAACGCGGAAGCAGGGATTATGGGCGAGCACTCCGTTATGGATGGCACGCCGACAGTCACCTTGTGTGACACCGTGCTGGACATGCTCGCGGATCCGGCGTTCGACCATTCTTCGCCTACGCCTTCTGGAGCCTCGTCTTCTTCAGTCAAAGGACCGGAACCGCTGGATTTTGAGGTCAATGCGGAGGTCGAGAAGGCGTTGAAGAGTGCGGAGCAGGAAAGTCTGGAGCTCGTCGATGGACAAGCTATGAATGTCTTCCGGACACAGTATGGGAAGAAGGCCATCAAGACTTTCGGAGTCTCGCCAGATTCATGGGCGCAGATGGTCGTGCAGTTGGCATATGCGAGGTTGATTGGAGGGTCAGTGAACAGACAAGGAGGAACGTATGAGGCTGCGACGACGAGGAGGTTCTTGAAAGGGAGGACTGAAGCGATTAGGGTTGTGAGCAGTGAAAGTGATGATTGGGTGAGGAGCATGGATGATGCGAATGTTAGAAATGAAGAGAGAAAGAGGTTGTTTGGGTTGGCCTGTAAGAAGCACGTCGAGCTTGCGAAGGCGGCGGGAAAGGCGGAGGGAGTTGACAGACATATTTTGGGTGCGGCCCCTTCATTTAATGTTGATCTATGTCTGATGCTGAGTCGACCTGTGCGACTATAGGATTGAAGAAGGTACTGAAAGAAGGCGAGGATGTGCCGGAGTTGTTCAATGATCCCTTGTTCAAGAGGTCCAGTTATTGGGTGCTCTCTACGTCTGCAGTATTCTCGAAGCACTTCGGACCATACGGCTGGGGGGAGGTGCGTATTCGATTCTCTATTTCGTCTCTACCAACTATTGAAACAGTTCTTTTTGACCTCGGCAGGTCGTACCTGACGGATATGGGGTGGCGTACATGACTGGTTTTGATGGTAGGTGTTCTCTTTATTGCTTTCATCCCAGGACTGATGTAACTGTCTGTCGATGTAGACTATCTGCAGTATACGATCACGTCCCGTAAGGAGATGCCAAATTCCAAGTTCGTCGAGGAGATTGCAAGAGCTGCGCAAGATTTGTATGATTTGCATGTGGCGAAATCAAAGCTTTGATTGTATAGGCCAGAGCAGGTGGCGCCAAAGGGAGTATGGCATGTCAGTGTATAGCATGTAGTATCTTGTGAATTTTGTCATATACTTATCGATGGTACAATATAAGTTCGTAAGACCAATACAGTCGATTCCTAAAATCACGGCCAGGGGAGATTTCGAGCTTATCTTATTAGGGCACATTCGATGGAAGGGGTTGATCGCTGTGAATTTGAGCATGAAGGGTCTATTACTTTCCAAGACTCACTGACATTAATATTGACTAAGTAGAATTGGCAAGGACAAGGTAAAAATAACAATTCAAAGATCAATCTCAGACCGCTCCATCATTGTCCTCTCCGCTTCCCTTCCCTCAAGACTAAACAGGGTGCGCCAACGAGGTATTTATCACCGCGTTGATCGCATCCTCACGGTACGTATCGTTCGTAAGTGTAACAGGCATATCACCATCCAGGAGCGTGAACAGCGTCGGTGCTTCGGTCGTGTACTTAGGCCAGTCGGTGCCGAGAGTGGGTCCGTTTGGGTCGAGATTGTTAGCAAAGTTGATGACGGCGTCGAGGAGCTCACCCGGATCGGTGCTATAGACGTTTTGGATGTCGCTGCCGTGGTACTGGATGGTGTATCGGTCAGAGTTGACCCAAGTAAGGATGTGTGAAACTCACCGAGCCAACAAAGGCGGTAGATTTTCCACGTTTCCATACTGAGGAGAACAGATATTAGCATGGTGACGTTCTTATAGAGAGTGAACATACAGTAAGACCAGGTGCTTTGGCTCGCAGACCTCTGCTGAAGGAAGAATCGACGTGGAGCCTGGAAGACAAGATCTCCCTGGAAAGCCGCGAGTCGCTTGTATTGTCCAGTAAGGTTGTTGGCAGAACCAGTGTCGAAGGGCGAGCCTGCACTAAGCTCGGAGGGATATGCTGCGAATATGGGTTCGAGGTCCTGCGTGGAGGCGTTAGGGAAGTAGTTCGACGCAATATAATTCTCGGTTTCATCATCCGTCCTGTTTGATTGGGGCTGTTAGAACTGGTGATCGGCAATACACGGAAGGATACGTACGTCAGATTAGCATTAGCGAGAGAGAATAATGTGCCTAGGGTTGAGATAATACGTGAGATGTTCAAGTCCTGGAAGAGATGATATACCTTCATCATCGCAGTCACCTTCCCAAGCAATTAGTCCGACTGTTATGTGTGGTATACTTCTGAATTGAGACATACCGGTGACGAATGGAACATTGGCAACCTCGCCTTTGAGCACCAATTGCTGAGAATAATCTGTCAAAAAAACACCGTCGGTGCGAGGCACATATGCCTCATTCAATGACTATCCCGAGTTAAGTACCTCCTGCTTCGCTAAACGACAGCAAATATGAATACATACTTGGAAGGCGAATAAGGAATACGTTTGGTTGGACGCGTCATTGAACACACTGAAGGGTACCTCACGAAGGCACTGCAGTGTGTCGGTCGCGTTCGAGCAGCCAGCTCGATCAACGACAAAGTCGTAGACTGCTTGATGGGTCGCATCTGTGATGTCGCCTACAGGGAGAGGCGATCCTGACTGCGAAAAGGATGGTAGAATCAGCACCTATACTTACTCACCAGACTGTTGCACTGGGACTGACCTGCATGAAAGCACCGTGGAACAATCCTTCTGCGTTACCACCATTCGTAACCAGGTGCAGTGCGGTTGATATCGCACCAGCACTTTCGCCCCAGCTGTTCATACGAAACAAGGCATTGAACGACTTGAGAGAGGGACAAGGGACAATGGTGCACTTACATTATGACCCTGTCCGGATCGCCGCCAAAAGCCTTAATGTACTTCTGAACCCATCGCAGAGCGAGCCTCTCTACGGTGATTTGAACAGGACTCCATCAGATGGGTCTCGTCGTGATAAAAGCAACACTCACGATCTTGCATTCCGAGATTTCCGACTCCCGCTTCTTTGACCTCTTTGCCGGGTAAAAATCCAAATGCTAGGATCATTGAATAAGAACACAGACTTGAACACAACGCTGCGGAAACACATGATAACGTACCAGATAAGCTGTAAGATAATTTTGATCAGTATGTGCATCATCAGAGGGTGAAAAGGTAAGTCTAGAATGACTTACCGATAGTTCATCGCAACGTATACGACCGGTGAGTTCAACTCAACAGAACCCTGGACGACAACTTCGCCAGGATATCTGAGAAAGGTCGTGAGATGACTTGCTACACATCTGAGGCCCTCCGAGTCAAGTTTTCCTACTTACGACGTCATCTCTCCATCTTCGAATCCACCTGATATCGTAGCCCGTAAGCAGCAGAATCTATTGAAACGAAAAAGTATGTACTACCTCCATAGATCCACTAACGACGAGATAGACTTGTTGGACATTATAAATCACTGTATCGAATGATGGACGTACCACGATAACAGGCAGTCTGGCATCTGCACTAACATTGTTGGGTACGATGACGTCTACAGTCAAACCTGAATTCCAAAGCAGATCGTCAGCTTGTCTGCTATGAATAGTCTAGTCGTTATATCTCGGTAAGATCAACTCACAGTCCTCGCTCTGGGAATTTGTAGCAGAAGCGAAGAGGTCCCCCAAGGACGCAACAACCGGAGCAATCGTCGAAATCACCGAGGGATCAAATATGGGAGATTGCTGGGGACAGGAAGGTCCAAAGGTCGAAGCGTTGTAGGTGCCGTTGTAGGGGAGATTAGCGACGGGAAGACGGAGGCGTAGGTCGCTGGTTCTATGAAAGCGTCGAAAGTCTGTCAGATCTACTGCTGGATACGAAACAAGAGGATCGAGATGTACGGCGGAAGAGCGTAGGGGATACCGAGGAACTGTGTGACATTCCCGGTTTGATTCCCTATGAAAGTGCCATTGTCTAGTCGGATGGTAGGCAGGTCACCGTCGTTGACAAAATTAGTCGAAGGGGAGCAGTAACCACTGGAAGCATTGAGTATGGCGAGAGAAAGTACGGTGAGGACCCCACGAAAAATCATCACGATATCAAGAAAACTTGACCGTAGTACGAATCAAGAGGGCGACGATGAATGAGCGTGATCTGCGCAAGCTTAAATATCGCCCGTATTATTGCGGTCCATGATACAAGAGTCGGTGGTCAGCGATACACCTATTGCCCTTAAATTTCTTGCAGCATGCCCCACCGCTTGGAATAGTACGCGTACTCTCAACGGCGAAAAAAAGCCGTCACATTGTGTCTCAGTTGACCGAGTATCTCGGTAAGTCAAAACCTGTCAAGGCGCTCGGAATATCAATGTGAACTTCCATCCTGATCAGGCGGCCAGTGTACCAGTTCACATTGTAAGTAATTGAGTGGGTCCAGCATCTCGAAGACTGAAAAGAGGTGACGCACGGCAATGGACCAAGTCTCACTAGCAGGCAGTGCCAACCTGTGCCAAAGCGCGGGTGAGTCTTCCACCCAATGGCACGGTTTATGTATACGCACATCTCTGGCACTGCTAAGATGGTGCTGTTACTAGCGTAGGAATAGAACCGGCGAAGTAGATATTAACGGCGACCAGACCCTCCAGAGCCTGAGGATCATGCCGGTAAGTACCAAAAACTGCTTTGGGGAAAAACTGACGGGCTTTCCTGCAACCGTATTCGTGAGGGTATGTTCCGCTCGGATGTCTGCCCGACTGAGATTCCATCTTTCGAACGTTCTTCAACTACCAATTATCGTGGCACTGCAACTGGTGCCGTTGCAGCTTGCCAGAGGAAGTTGCGCCACACCGACCACGAAAGCAAGCCGACTCGGACATCAGCGAAGCCGGCTTGGCACGCTCGCATCACGCTTGCCTTTCCGATTCGGTAACAACTTGAGCTGCTTGCAGCCTTCGAAGTAAAGCCAAACTCCGTCGAACTGCATCTGCGAATACCGTATCTGTGTTCAAAGCGTGTTGTCGAGACAGAAAGTGCCTGACAGGAACAGGAACATCCGTAGTAAGCGTCATTAATTATTGGTCTCGCTGCCGTATCTTCAGGAGGCTAAAAGCTCATTTGGAAATCACAGCATGCTTACCACCCTATATAACTCGCTTGGAGGACGTTTTCACCCAACCCCTCCCAACCTCTGCCCAACAGCGAGGTATCCCCCGGGACGTTTGTGGTTGTGCCGACTGGATCATCGGCTTTGACACATTAGAGTACTCAATCCCTCTCAACATTCCAAGAATGCTCTCTGCTATGTTGTCGTGGACCCATCTCTCTGTCCTACTTCTTGGTTCCCTTACCTTCGCACAAGCGCACTCCAGCGAGGGAAAGTCTGACTGTTCTAGCACGCTTAGACTCGCTGCAGTACGCGAATCACGTTACGGTGTACTAGATAATCATGTCTGACTGACCTTGACGCACAGGGTGTAGCGAAATCTGTACAGTCGTACTACGCCCAGGGAAACTACACCGCAGTTCTCTGGACTGATGCTGTGCGTCTCAAAGCTTATAGCTCACTCCCCATAATCTACTGACGGAGACCTATAGAATACTGTGGAGGACATACATGATTATATGTTCGCGACGGGCGACAACTCTTACGCTTATGTTGGCGACTCGTCCTTCGTTGGACAGGCGGCCTTGAATACGAGCAGGAAGTTATGGGATGAAGTCCTTGGTGGATCGACAGACGATGCTCAGGCGAGATTTATATCACCTTCTATGGCACGACATGTACTGAAGTGTGCGTTTCAGTGGGTCATTATGACACTTTGGAAGATCGCAGACTATCACAAGGCGCATCACTTGTCCTATGAGCCTTTCTTGGTCAGTTCACACTCCTTGCAGCTGGGTGGTTTCTGACTGACAACGGCTGGTTTCAGAGTGCCGCTTCGGTCATCTACGACGCGGTATCGACTCAATGGGACGACACATGTGGTGGCGGTCGTGGGTTGTATTCTGCTTTGGAGCCTGGCCTTTATCTCACCCTTCACCTTAGTCTGGTGGGATACTACGCACGGCTACAAGAACGCTATTACCAATCACCTCTACGTGAGGACCTCGGCTCAAGGGTACCTCAGGACTGGCAACGATACCTACCTCGAAAACGCGCTAAAGGTAGGTTGAGAGCGTTTCTGATTCACTAAAATATGGTTTCATGATGGAGCTGATTACACATTTCCTGTAGGTCTGGACATGGCTTGAAGCGTCGGGCATGCGCAACGAAGAGGGCTTGTGGAATGATGGTCTTGATTTCGACACTTGTCTAAACAACAATGGGGTACTAGCTTTCATCGAATAACTTCCTCAATTATACTCACATACTCTGTGGTCCAGACTACGTGGATATACAACCAAGTCTGTCTAAATTAAACCACGTTGCTTCAAACGACGGGACTGACAAGACTCAGGCCGTTGTCGCATCTGGTTTAGGTGCTCTGTACAAGAGTACCGGAAACCGTACGCTGCTCAACGAGGCCGAGATTTCCCTCGATGCGACGGTCAAATACCTCACAACCAACGGAGTCTTGAGAGAAACATGCGATGATGCTACGAATACGACGTGTAACACGGATCAGGTATATATTTTCTCTATGTCAGAAGAGCAATTGGCTGATATATCTCCTATCTAGCACATGTTCAAGGTATCTTGCCGCATTTCTCTCCTATTCGTTGGGTCGTTTAGCTCAAACATTGTCTTCAGGGCCTTTACATGAAGCACATTCAGGCCTACCTTACCTATGCTAGCGACTCGGCCCGTATTGCTAAGTATAAACCGTTCATCACCGCCCAGGCTTCAGCTATCGTCCATAACGCTTTAAACTCCACGGATGGAGTCAGCAGCTTGTGGTATTCTCCAGATGAAGGAGGTGCTGTGTACTCTGGTATGAGTGATACTGCTGGGTTGGCTGCTCTTCTGTCTGCTGCTGAGGTAGGTGATACGCATCATGTTGAACAATTCGGCAACTGACGAACGATTTTCAGTTCGGCAAATGCGAACATTTCTGAGCTCTCTATAGCTTGATAATGTTATACCCTATTATTTTCTTAGTTATGGTTCGGCTCAGAATAACCAAGATCCCTCATAATGCGAGCTGTCTTTTGGTTTAGAAGAGGTTCTTCGCGTCAGATTCTTCGCCTCTGCACGAATGCATGTCAATGGAGCCCTTAATTTGTGCCCTTGTTGACACCAAGTGGACCATAGGTAGGCGTATGATAGGAAGCCTGAAGTCGTATCGTGTCCACAGAAAACCCTTCCGGTGAGTCTGTCTCTGGAAGGGTGTAATCTAGTGTGGTACAATTATAGACATCTTTTAGTGCGAGCGATAATGCTGACTGCCTTCTGATAGGGTATTTCCGTGCGATAAACTTTGTCGCTATGGCTCGGCTTATCCGCTAGGATGTCTGAAAAGCCCGTTATGGACCTTTTGGACCTTTTATTCTCTTCACATGGTCGGAGGCTCTCGTATACATCTGAGAGGATGCTTCGACTACCAGCTGTGTTATCAGGGGACTGGTTTTAGCCTCGATGAACTTTTAAATGTAAGTAGTCTGGACCACGAGCTCAGTGCGTTCGTCTTGGTACTCTGCTTCGTTCCGCGACTATTCCTCGCGGTCGTGTGACCTTTGCTCCTATACTCAGGATGGTCGTCGTGCTTCTTCAACAGACATCGCATGCTCCAATACGCGTCTTCACGTAGACAACACGGTCGGCGGTCCCACTGGGACATCTTCGGAGGTTTCTCTTGGCGCGACGGCCTGTTGCTAGCAGCACGATGACGGTCTCATTGGTAAAGTTATCTTGATTTGGCCCTTTATCCCGAGAGCTATGGTTGCCTGCTATCGGGAAGGGTAGCATGCGGTGCTCACCTCCCATGTTTCTGACTATGCTGTGGTAGCAGAGCGAATTCCGAGAGTTTTCCCTTTCGGTCATTCAGATCTCAGCCAGCTGTCGCTTTCCACCTTGCAGCTAGTGGTGAGGCTTGGGCGAGGGAACACTTTGTGTATGCTATCTACTTCCTGTACCTAGCGATGGGGGAAATATAAAGCCGTTCAATCATGTCCATCTCGCTCCCCAACCTGAATACTTCTGTTCTTTCGAAGTTTCAGCACACCCTCATATTTCGACTTTCAACGAGTATGTTCCGCCTGAAGTCATCGATTGCTTTCTGGGCATCTGCCATATCGGCTATTGTAGCTTCTTACCTTGCCAGCACGGCTGACGCTGCTCCGACACACGAACTCGAGACTCGTGCCACCCCAGCTGCACCCCACTTCGTTGTGTACTCAGACCAGTGGTGAGTATCCTCAATGTATCATATATTAGACCATTGTACTCAACTGTATGTCTACAGGGTGTCTGGCGAGAACGGTCCACCTGATCCTTCGGTCATCTCTGTAATACCTGTTCCAGGATATAACCTATACTATGTATTCTGATGGTGCACTTCGTCTTTGTCCACAGGGATTCAACGTTTTGTGAGTTTCTCGTTCACAATGTTCACGGGCTCCTAACTGACGGTCACGACTTATTGCAGTGCGTTATCCTTCTTGCTCATTTCCGGTGCAGCCGATCAGGCTCTGGAATGGGATGTCATCGGTGCTTCTGCACGCGCGACTATCAAGTCACAATACGAGGCCGCAGGCATCAAGATGATTGTGTCCGCGTTCGGGTCCACAGATGCACCAACGTCGGTTCGTATTCCTCAAACTCCTTTTCATGCACGGTGACTTCTCTAACGGTATCTCATATTTATAGACTGGGGCGGACCCCGTCGCTACCGCGAACACTATGGCCCAATGGGTCATCAGTATGGGATTGGACGGCATCGACGTGGACTATGAGGACTTTAATGCCTTCGACGGTTCTAGCGGCAGTGCGGTCACCTGGATAGAATCTTTCACAAGACAATTGCGTGTCAACCTCCCGCAAGGCCAGTACCTTCTCACACATGCTCGTGAGTTCATTGATACTACTAGCATCACGATCCTTGACTGACTCGCTATAGCTGTTGCTCCTTGGTACGTGATGTGATACTTGAGATCATGGCCCCTTCCCAATGAGTAGACAGGTTTGAGCCTAATGCCTGGGCTGGCGGAGGATATCTCGCCATCAACTCTGCTGTTGGAAATCTGATTGACTGGGTCAGTATTTATACCACCAGTTGCTCTACTAGTTCGATGCTGATATCTCTCGATCTCAGTATAATATCCAGGTAATGGTCTCCCTCCGAGGATAGTGATACTCATAGCTTGCTGACCAGAGTTCTTGTAATTGGCCTCGTAGTTTTACAACCGTAAGTGCCGGACTTTCTCTTATATGCAGCGGTTTTGCAAATATGCCAACTGATTTCTTTTATAGAGGGCTCCACCATGTACACAACCTGCACTAACCTGCTCACGACTTCTGGCGGCGCTTTCCCTTCGTCCTCGGTCTTTGAGATTGCAGCCAACGGCGTCTCCCTGGACAAGATTGTCATTGGCAAACCTGCGGCCGCCGGTGACGCAGACAGTGGTTTTATAGCGCCTGCCACACTCGCCACCTGTGTACAGCAGGCGAAGAACCAAGGCTGGGGTAAGTTTCAACAAGCCCTCTCAACGGAACGAAATGTTTAACGTTCGTGAACTCTGCGCAGATGCCGGTGTGATGACCTGGGAGGTAAGTCCCTAAACTTCAACAGGTTTGAGGAGATGAAGTAATAACCCATTGCCTCAGTTCCCGGATGCTGCAGCTTCATGGATAGCGACTGTTCGAGCAGACTCGTGGCCCGTATAACTATATGGCCAACAACGATCTCGTTGTTCGCTGAGAAAGAGGTCGGTTGGGATGGGATAGAATCTATGACAGGTCTTTTCCTCCTGGGTTTTGTGTTGTTGGTCATTGGGATCTATTGGATTTATTGCGTACTTATATCGCTCATATCCTATATTCAATGCAATCGTGACATATTTTAGCAATTCCTTACTGTGACCTCATGGAGGATGTCAAGTTTGAGATGTAAGACCACGCCCGTATGCACGAAGCTGTTGGATACAACGAAGTGTCAGATGAGTCAGTTCATCAATCGAACGACTAGGCCTATCTCCAAAGATCCACGAGAGCCATAGAAGAAAAAAGGGTCCATCTCCTTGCGTACACTGTGCAAGTACCGGCTAACCCATTCATAGGAGATTAGCCTAAGGATCGTCGACCAGTCACTGCCATGTAGCTGTGCGTTATATTCTCACTGTCCAGATACCCGAATATAAACAACATCACGAACACAGGCTAGGATGAGGCCAAGTTTACGCAAGAGCCTGCCGGTGAGCATCACAAGATAGATCGATATGCCACAAAGAAGTCGAGTTGCTGAGGCCATCCGTCGACGTTTCATTGGAGGTTCAGGACGAATCGGACTGGGATGTATGATGGCATATTGGTCATGGTTGCCTATGGGAGTGCGTAGAAAGAACAACAAGGAAGAGAAAGCATGCAGAAAAGCGACAAGGCACTGAAAAGTTCAAGCCTCGGTGATCTCCCTCAACCGACGAATCGTGCTGATAACAGAAATGTAGTGAGCCTTTGGCAGTGGGCGAGATATGAGGATAAGACGCACCTGCGAACGGTGGCAGCCGCTGTCGTGGAAACAGTCCATGCGCCGCCGGCAATGACTTTCCGGCAGGCGCTGCACTTCCAGATCCCTACAGCCTGACGCTTCACGGAGTCCTGTAGATAGAGGTAAGAAATGGAGTGTGGTTACGGCGTAATGTTCAATGTGCTTGCCTTGCCACAGAATGTGCAAGTGTAGCGCGCATGTTGGGTGATTTCCATCTAAAGGACTACGTTCAGTAATCTCTCATGATGAGCAAGACCAGAATTTACGCACCTTTTTCACCTGCTTACGCAGGGACGCACCGTAACGCTAGAGCCCGAAAAAGCCCACAATTAGCTGCTTGTTCCTTCATCGCTTCGCATCTGGACCAGACGAGATACTTGCCGTTCCGTACTTTCCGGTGACACCAGCCTTGCGTGTACGTTTCGTCTAGCGGTCAAACAAGGGGTCAGAGAATGCAGCGGAGAGCCATTCGAACATAGCTGACCATTTTTGGGTGTCTTGAAGTTGTCGAGGGTGCGATTGATGTTCGCCTGCCTGTGCGCTCGCGCCGTCACTACTCGTGGGAATACATTTCGTCAGCTGTATAGTTTCTCTCAGCCACCAAACCCACTGCACTCTCGGCAGTACCCGAATATGTCGTTCGCCGTCTGCCGGTGTAATATTTAATCATGACTTATCACATGATTCTCGGTTCAGTTCGTCGTATCTTAGCCCCTGGGACCTGCTGTGGCGCACGTGGCACGGCCACCTTGCCTTGTCCGACGTTCGAGGACGATATCGATGATATTCACCTAATATCTACCTCCATGCTATACCGTCTCAAGCGCCTCGAAGTGGTGACATACAGCTCACTAGGCCCTCGAAACCCGTCGTCGAATATAGGCCTATGGAAACGACCCATGCCTTCGTTCACTGGGGGACCCGGGTAGTACTCGTTGAGGGCAAGTGAGTAGGTGGTCAAGAGTGTACTTGGGTGACCTTTCTGTCGGTGCGTTTCCAGCGCAATTATGATCTGACGGCAATTCGGATCAAGATTCCCAGCTTGCAAGGTTCCGCTCGAAGCTACGCGGCCATGTTTCACAACAAGTCAAGGCGCTTTATCTCCTTATTGTTCGGTGACCGTTGATCTGCACACGATGACTCAATGCCATGCCCCGTCGCGCATCATTACCACCAGTCTCACGCGCAGACGGCCTTGTGTTATCCATGATGAGCTCGCCTATACCTGCATAAAGATCGGAGGTATTATTGGCAGTTTCTATATGGATCGTCCTTGCAATAGAAGGTGTGAGCGACGCTGATGACTTCCCCGCTCATCGTGCCCTGGTGAACCCGATGGTTTTCAGATTTGATGATATCCAGATCGTGCTCCAAAAGGAGCCGTCGGTAATATACCACACTCGTTTTCGCCCGGGGCCTGTGCGATATTGTATACGGGTTAAAGTTAAAAGCATGGGCAAAGTTGCACGGCGCTTCCTTCCCTCCCCGCCATCCGTCCGCCCTATAAGTAACAGGGTTAGCAACCCTGCCCCCTTCAATCCTCGCCCCGCCCCACATACCTGCATTTCCCCTATGGCCATCACCAGCCGTCGTGTTTGGCTAATCACAGGTGCGAACTCTGGACTGGGCCTTGCCCTGGCAGAGTATGTTCTCTCACAAGGGGATCTCGTGAGTCCGCTTACTTTGCTTCAGCGAATAGAGTCGACCATAGCATCATCGCTAACTAAGTTGTCCTCTCACAGGTTATTGCGGCCGCTAGGAACGTCCAGAAACTCCCAAAATCGGTCAGCGCGGCGAAGCCCCTACAATTAGACCTCCATGACACGCCTGCCGATATCAAGTGTGCGGGACTGAAAGCCCTTGAAATATACGGCTACGTCGACGTACTTGTGAACATGGCAGGTTATGGACTCGAAGCGCCGGTGGAAGAACTCGAGTGAGTTAGACAGCTTTCTGACGAATTTGACGCCTCCTTCTGCCCCTATTATAATGTGATATTGACGCGTTGACACCTTCTTGACAGCCCAACCGAACTTCTCGCGGAGTTCCAAACCAACTTCTTCGGGCCAATCTACCTCATCCAATCACTCCTTCCCTCCTTCCGTGCTCGTCGTTCTGGAACAATCATCAATGTTTCCTCCGTTGCTTCGTTCGACGGAACACCAGGCTACTCTGCCTATTCGTCGTCCAAAGCCGCTGTCAATGCTATGTCGGATATCCTCCGACGAGAACTCGCTCCTTTCAACGTTCGCGTCCTGACGCTCGTACCGGGATACTTCCACACTAGCTTCATGACCAACGCCGCTGCGCTAGGTGAATCCACTCGTGCTGCCGCATCCGCATCAGCCGATTCCAGCACGGGCAAGCCGCCCGTCACGAATTTATATCCGGACGTCTATGGCCTAGCGCACAAGATCCCCACCATAAGGTTGAAGATGAGACGAATTGGTGACACCTCGAAGGCGGCGAAGAGGATATTTGAGGTGGTGACTGGGACGGGTCTGGTTGAGACGATGCAGCAGAAACCGGACGGACCGTGGCCTATGGTGCTTCTGGGACAGGACGCTGGGGAGAGAATCAAAAGCCAGCTGATGAACTGGAAGCACTGTATCGATGAGACAGAGGAGTTTTGGAATAGTACAGAGGTTGAGCCGGAGAAGATGGAGGAGATGAGGAGAGAGTTTGGGATTGTTGATTGATTGGTGCTTTATTTGTGAGTCCTTGCTGGGCCTTCTTTCATTTCCTTCGTTCGCCGTCCACTACATAGTTTACTTCGTTCGTGATAATTTGCGGCTGGTACCGTAGCGATTTGCTCCTGTTCGAAAGAGGCTTGCGCCATGTATTAAAAGATAAAGGATGCTACGTCCGATGCCATAGGCGAGACCAATACAAGACGAAAACTACATTCACTCAATACACAATTTCGATATCGTCCTCGTCGGATGTGGGGTGGTTACCCTCTTTATCATCTTCTCCTTCTGCGTCTTCCTCATCGCCCCCCTCCTCACTCTCGTCTTCCTCATCTTCATCTTCGCCCTCGCTCTCGCTACTCTCGTGAAAGGTAAGAGAGATAAACTCATCACCTAATTGAGCGTTCTCCGCTGTCGTTGTCGAAGCCGAAGGGAGAACACCCGCAAAAGAAACCGGATCGGCAGTTTCCTTCGTCGCTGTGGACGACGAAGCCGAAATGCCGTTGGACATGTTGGAAGGTCCAGCGCCAGTGCCACCGCCCGCTTGCCGTTTACGATTCGCTCGAATGACATGCGGAAGTTTGCACCCCTTAGTGGTACACTCTCCCTTCTCCGCGAAATCTGGACATTCCCTGACATGTTGATGCTCGCAATCGACTCCCTTGCCGCAGAAGCCAAGCACGGCAAAGTCTCGACATACTCCTGTCCTAGGGCCCACGCGGATGTGAGGAAAGGGACAGTTATCGCGGTTGCACCGTCCGTTGTTGGCGAAGTGGACGCAGAGTGGTGTATTCTCTGGTGTGGGGTTATGTGAGAGGGGACAGTTGTCTGCAGAGTGTGGGCATGTGCCTTGAAGGAAAGGCCAGCATATGGCGATCTTGCTCTCGTCGTGTTGATAAGGACAGGTGAGACCACGGTTGCAACTACCTGTATGACCAAACAGATCGAGGAAAGAGAAGCGCGGTGAAGGAGAACCGAATCCGGGGTTCTAAGGATGTGTAAAGATGTTGATAGCGAACAAGCGGCGCACCTGTCGTGGTAAACCGAGCGCACGGCTTGTCGACATATTTCCTGGAGGCACGGCGCGACCTGTCGTGTCGAATAAGATGAAGACGATGAGCGTAAATTGGACTCAAGACGAACTGATAAGGCCGACGATTATTATTCAGCGTCATGTTACGGTTAACACGACGTGAAGGCGGTGGTCCTTTGGGCTTGTAGGTCCTGGTACTTTTAACAAGAGTGCCAGCCTTGTTCCTAGCATATTCCGAGCTGAAAGGAGGCTTCGCAGGTCTAGGAGGTCTGCTGGTAGTCGCGGACACAGGTTTTGGCTTCGGAACTACCGACAGGCTCAGCTAAATAGAAGGAAGAAGTTTCGAACGGAACCTACGGTCTTTACGAACGAGAGAGCGACTCGAACTCTCAAAGGCGACGCCGTCGATGACAACATCGCGAGGGGTCTGAGACGAACCTACAGAGGGACGTACTGGCGGAGGTCTGGGTGGGGCAGCGCTGGTGCTGGGCACAGACCCAGGTCTGACCCATTTATTCGAAACAGGTTTCGCATACTTGTTGTTGCTCGCATAGCTATTGGAGCGAGGAACCGACTGTGAGACGGACTTCGCTGGGGCTTCTCCGGATTTGTGTCGATTGATGGCACCTGCATTATTCAGAATCAGTCAATAGTTTTCAGAAGATAGTGACAGGAGTCGCAACCTTTGAGGCGGGCGATTTCGAGCTTGAGGGCGGCTTCAGCGGCGGAGGCCATGGTGGACGTAGCTGAACAAGAGGTGGGCACTGTTTGGACCTTGTTTGCACACCGTCTGCACCTTTTGAGTGTCACTTTCACCACGGAATGACAAAGCATTCCACATCCCCAACGCTTCTCTTTGTTCTCTTGATCATCGACTCTGTGGGGCAGCGTCTTACAGAATGTGGCATATTCCACAACTTGCCAACCTGAAGTTCTCGAGGACCTGACCGTCGTGTCCAAAAAAGATTGTAGTAGCAGCACCTCGTTTCGATCGAGGGACCTCAGGGTTATGGGCCCTGCGCGCTATACCAGCTGCGCCATGCTGCTAATTTATAGAATCACAAATGAGATCTATGACATAGGTACAAGCTCTCTTTGTCATGGCGCCACAGTGGCGGCGCCTCACTTCGCGCTGAATATTCACATAATTTCCAGTTCAGGCACGATGCCTAAAGTTCTAACCAACACAACAATCATATGTACATTCTATATGTTAAACCGTAAACGTATCACTCCCTCCGCATCCAACGCCCATCACTCACTTTCCTTACCACCTCCGCAAGCTCATTTTCCACATCAGCCAAACTCGTCTCCTTTCTCGAGATTTCCATGTACATTACAGCATCGCCGCCGCTGCTGCCATCCATGGCCGGATTAACACTCGCCTCAGTGACCAGACTGATGTTCGACTCGCGTTTAGCAATCTGCCAGTGCTGTGCCCCTTGCGTTCTGGAGAACACCTCCAGGACATTCGGCGTCCTGTTTGAGAAAAGATGATGAGGATTCTCCGCGATGAACAAGGACGAAAGAACGCACTGAAAGAATTCCTCTGCAAGAAATAGATGCTCCGAAGTCGAGGTGAATTGAGGACTGGACAACGTCGTCCCACGACCTATGTCCAGTATATACTTATCCTTTGGTTGAAGAATCTTTGTAGCTGAAGGCAGAGTAGGCGTATCGGGATTGCTAGTAGCGACAGAACGCGATCAATATCGCGAATGAGTATCATGGCGGGTGAGAGCATACCCGTCGTATGCTTCGTCCTGTAGTAGACCCTGGACTTTGTCCAATAATGCCAAAGCAGCTTGTTGTATCTGGATCATGTCGTCGTCAGTGTATTCGGAAGTTGATCGTGCGATGAAAGCGAGTGCGATTTGATTTCTCTACATCAGGCACTGCATTAGTTCTTGGATATACCGGCAAAGAGGAACGGAAAGATCCACAATGGTATATAGCACTCGCCGTCGTGAGGTTGCATTTGGATCATCTCGCGGTGAAAGATGGACGGACAGAGGTAAGAATATCGGTAGAGGCGGCGGCGGAATCGAGGGAGGTGATGAGTGGGTTGATGTTGAGTGTTCGTCAGGTAGGGACTGTGACGATGGAACAGGTGATGACGAAGGACTTGATGATGCGGAGGGTAACGAGTTGACGAGAGGTACAGGGGAGCTTGAGCTGATATTCGTAGCAGTAGGAGCCGGAGGACTGAAGGATGATGGTTCGGGAAATGATGCAATGGCGAAGTCTCTAGACTTGGGAGAAGAAGAAGGTGCAATGGATCTTTCCAAGGGTTGGTCCTCATTCACGATGTCTGGAGGTGGAGGTGGGGCAAATTGCGATTGTAGCGGTGGATCAGGAGGTGGTACCGAGTACGAGGAGATGGCATCATGTAGACTCTCTGTGTCCACCTTTATGCCCTCTTCGTTCTGACCTATACTCGGCCTCTCTACATCCTTGCTCTTACCATCACCGTCTTCAGCCGTATCTTGACCCTCAGCCTCCTTTGATTCTTCCTTGCCAGTTACCCCAGGTTCGCTCCCACTAGCGCCTGTCATCCCTCTGATATTCCACCCGCTTCCGCTACTGGTTCCTCCCTTTCCAAACGTCAACGCTCCCCAATTCCACCTTCTCACATCCATACTCTGCCCAATCGCCACAAACGCATTCGCCACAGCCGCTGTTCCCGCGCCACCTACACCTTCGTCTTTGTCACCCGGACTGTTAACCCGCGAATCACCACCTTTCGAAGAGCTGGAAGGGTCATTCAAAGATGGGGGTCGTGGTGGTGGAAATCTTGAGCGAAGGTATAGTGGTAGAGCGTGCGATGGGTGGGAGGAAGAGTAGGTGGAAGAGGGTATAACATGAGGAGGAATGAGGAGGAAAGGCGTAGGTGAGTCTGACTCGGCATCTTCAGTCTGGAGATTCATGGTGAATTCGTCGAGGACAGGGAGGATAGATGGGTATAGTGGATGCAGCGGTATTCCTATTAAACGTAGTGCCATTAAGCATCCTGGGGTGGTGCAGTCGGTCAGCATTGCGACCAAACCTACCTAGATGTTCCCCAAGCTCGGAATCATGATCTATATCCCACCTCCAAGCCCAAACTGTGAAGAACCGTTCAAGTTGCACTTCAAGCACTTCCGGTCCTTGGTCTCGCAGTATAGTCGTGAACGATCCGTGAATAAGCTGGATGATACATTAGACCCGCAACGCGTTAGCACGACAACTCCTTCATACGACGGCCTGTGCACAGACGCACCTTGAACTGTTCATATCCCTTCATCAATTGTCTTCTCAGCACCTCGTCATGCACAGAGCCATCATACCAATCCCACTGCACACCCTCACTTCCAGCACTAGCACCACTCTTTCCTTTGTCCTTATCCTTCTCCTTTCCAGCGCTCTTCCCCTTCCCACCATCCTTCGTAGCTGACGATGACTTGCCCTTCGATGTCTTAGCGCCAGACGATGCAGCGACCGGTTTTTGCGTTTTCGCCAGCTCGAAGCACTACTTGTCCTCATCCCTGCTCAATAAATACTTCTCGAACAGACATATAGCACAGGATAATGGACACTCACGGCGTGGATCCAGAAGTTGGGTTCAGGGCAGAGCATGATCATCCGTCTAGACTGCGAATGAACGTTCTCGCAGGCCTCCTCTTGGGCAAACATACTGTCATGCACACACCAAATACCAGAAAAATGCAAGCTAGCTTAGCCTCTGATATACATCGTCGCAGATGCCAACAGACTTTGCTGGCGCACCTAGAGAAGTTCACGAGCGCCTTCGCGAGCCCGACCTGTCTGAGCATCTTATCCCTGGAGACAGCACGCTCACGGGCAGTATAAAACAGGATGTGAGCCTGTTCCTCTGCGTCTTCGTCATCTTTGTCGACTGGCCCAGTGGGAAGAAGCGTGGGGTTGTAGATTGTGAGGTAGAGCAGAGCTGGGGGGAGCTTGCTCATGGTACAAGGAGGACTTGATAGCGGTTCGTTTACGCGCGTCATTTACAGCACTCCCCAAATGTACTCGAGCGCCACAACGCCACACCTTCGTGCAATCTCTAACTCAACCTTCAAAGCTTCACAGAGAATATTCCTCCTTCATTAGCTGGCATAAATGAATTGCGATTATATTATTTCATCACAGAGCGCAAACCGTCTTATCGTTCTGAGCGCGAAGGAATTAGGGACCGGCACAGTGTCTGCTGTTGGAGGGAGTTCACACCCAAGAATCACGATGCACTACTGATGTAGTATGTTCGAGCATTTCCATTGTACACATCATACAATCACCACCACTGTTCTAATGAGACTACATTTAGATCCGCAAAAAATCAGAAACACCTCACAGCCCCGCCAACGCCTCCAAAATCGACTTCACACCCCAAGCGCCAGGATCCGGCACCTGCTCGCTCTTCAACCTATCCCCCTCCACATACGCACTCCTACCCGCCTTCGCCTCAATATCCTTCGTCTTCTCCGCCGCCTCCGCCGCCTTCTTCACCGCCGCCTTCAGATCCTGTGGGTTCGCTGCGAACGCCTCGATGAACGCGGAGAGTGGGTCGACGACAGTGCGGGAGGGGGGACGCGCGCGGGTGTAGGTGTAAAGTTTGGCTAATGCGGAGGTCAGGGCTTTGGACCAAGTTTCGGGGTCGGCAGTGGTGGATGAGGTGGATTGGAGGCCTTGGGCGATGGCGGCGAAGAAGATGGAGTAGAGGGCGCCACTTGTCCCGCCCATCTTTTCTGCGGCGACGTTGGAGACTGCGAGTGCGAGGCCCGCGACGTCTTCGCCGCTGACTTTACCACTCTTAAGTTCTTCGAGTACAGCTATTGAAGGGGAAGAGCGGAGGTTAGTCTGCGGCCAATTTGGACTGAATTGGCTGCATACCATTGGCACCCGTCTGCAACGTCAAACCACAGTCACCATCTCCTGCAATGTTATCCATCCGCGTGATCTCAGGCTCATCCTTATTCACCCGCTGACAAGCCCTCTCCACCGCCGCTTCGAACTCCTTGGGATTTGGAGCGCGAATCTTCTTCCCTGCCGACGCAGTCTTTGCAGGTGGCGGAGCAGCCGTGCGCTGGGAGGCAGGGTTGGAGGATGGAGCGGTGCCGGAGGTCCATTTCCAGCCGGGGGCGGAGGTGGGAGCGTCGAGGAGCTTGAGGATGAGGTCGGCGGAGGGGCCAGATGAGGAGACGGTGGGGAGGAGAAGGAGAGTGAGAGAGAAACCGGGCATGTTCAAACTTGTCTATAGGTTTCGGTGAGCGTTAACATAACTCAATGCAGAGATATGAGATAACACGAACCATGAACGTTCCAGCCAACACCCTCTGTACCTTCACCTTCCTACCACCCAAACCCCTTTCTACCTCCCTGACAATAGCAGCGATCTCGAGCTCACTGAGCCCACCAAGGTTGTTCACAAGGAGAACGACTTCATCACCTGAGCCCTTGACATTGAGGAAAGAACGTTCGGGGTCCGTCGTTGTGAGCAGGAGGTCGAGGAGCTGTTGGGTCAGGTCGTGCAGGGATGGGACTGGGGAAAGGCGCTTGTTCCCGGATTCGTTGTGAATGCCCATGCCGATCTCAATCTCGGAATCGCTGAGATATGACTCTGCTGCTGCTGTGCCGGGGACCTAAGAGCGTATCCATGTCGGGTGAGAAATGGAATTCAATTGCAGAAAGGTTGAAAAACGTACGTGACAGTGCTCGAGACCGACACCAATGCTCGCTACGTTCTGCGCCACCCATTCAGATACGTTGTAGATCTCATCTAGACTTGCGCCCGTCTTAGCCAAGGCGCCAGCGATCTTGTATACCAGCACGGTCCCGGCAAGACCTCTATGAATTTCCGTAGAGAAGTCAGAGAAGTTCAAGACAGAGCATAGAACAGACAGAGACTGATATATAAGAGAAATACACACCGGCGACCTACGATGCTACCCTGGGTCCTTCCAACAGCAACATCGTCTCCGACAGCCAAGAACTTTACGTGGTCAGCCTTGTTCGGGTGTTGAGCTGCGTATTGCTCCTTCGCAAGGCCGAAGTTGAGCACATCGCCGGTGTAATTCCTTTGGATAACATGAATATCGGGTTCTCAATGGATTTCAAATAATATCCTTACTTGACGATGATCAAAGTGCTGTAACCGTGATCCATTAGAAAATGTGGCGGCAATGTATACTGTGGGTGGCGTAACTCACCCTTTCTCGTTGTCCACCAGCTCGATTCCACGGCGAATCTGGCTAGGCCCAGGTGAAGCAAATACATGGCCGCAGACGGCAGCTAAATTCGTGTGTGAGCTAGATGCAAACCCCGAAAGCTAAGAGTAAACTTCTTTGCATACCGCTTAACATGCCAGCCCCTATTCACAATGCACCGTGAGCTAATCGAGCACAATCAGTTGCGATCTCTCTAAAAAAGACGCACCGACGAAGCCCGCATGAGCTGGCTCGTGCCCAGAGCCACCACCACAGATAATTGAGACGTTTGATTTATCGGGTTCAGCGAGGTACACGACTAAGTATATCGAGGGTCATCGGTTAGCGCCACATGATGGGTGAGGAACTATGGAGAGGCGAGGAACATACTCTTGTTCTCGGGCTCGATGGCTAGATGAGGGTTGATTGCGCAGAGACCCTCGAGCGACTCGACGACGAGAGATTGAGGGGTATTGAGGAAGTGTTTCGCTGTCATAACGCTCGCATTTCGCTCGAGAGCTAAAGTGGATGTAAAGAGACGCACATTGGACACCCATGATTATGGTTATTTGAGATTGTTGGTGGTGCTGGTGGTGGGGAGAGAGGACGTGTGAGACGCGGAGAAGAAGAGGAGGAAACTAAATAGGTCGGAGGGTGGAACGGGGGAAAACTATTACAGGCGAACGCGCTCAGTCCGACGTCAAGGGTGTACGATACGTCAGTTGATCGACGAATGCGGTCTTGTTTATGTCCGTTTGATTGATTTTGGAGTGATAACTGCACCAAAAGACATCAAGTTATGAACGACGACGGCGCGGTTCACGAGAATGAGGAGCTCTCGGGTGGTGAATTCGGTGCGGATTCCGATCCGTACAAAATGGACGACGGCCACTGGTTGAGGGAGCCCCTAGTTGGCGCCGACGGGAGATGGGAACTTTGGGCAGCTGTTATTGACACAGGCTTCACTATATAATACCGTGGATGGCGGGAATATATTCGCTTGCCGCTTGACTGGCAGTCCTGGTCCCTGAGAAGAGGCATGATATGGAGAGGAACTGAGAGTGAAACTCCAAAGCAGCACCGACATGACACTTCCGAGAAAGGCTGCCGGTAAGCAGAACGCGGTTGGTTTGCCATGATATCACGTCGTGTTTGTCAATGGCTGGAAAAAACAAGACATGGTCAAAATAACGTTGGCTGTGGTGTAGTGAAAGCGACTGAAACGGGCCACAATGAAGTTTGAGGCAAATAAGCGCCTACACTCGTGTCAACGCGTGCGAAGGAATTTCCCGAAGAGGGCCCTAGGACGCGTCTGCATTGTGCGTGGCGCGTTTATTGACAAGTCCATTTTTGTTTCTCTCTCCTTCACCGACACTCACTCACTCCTGCTCGTCATGAACGGTATCCAGTCCACGTCGTCGCCATCGAGCTCGCCGTCGCTCACACCTGACGCTGGCTCCGCCTCGGCGGGACGCAAGCGGCAACGGTCCCAGTCGATGGAGTCCGCCGCATCTTCATCATCTCCAAAACGTTCTGCGTCTGAAGACGCACAAGCCCTTGACCGCGATGTTACTCAGCTCACACTGCCAGGTCCATCCACCCCAGATATCGACGCCTATATGGCCACGCAGGAAGATGATCCACCACTTGACCACACAACAGATCCCTCAGCCACCCCTACACTGTCGAAGTCCGCCCAGACGGTGTCCGCTCCTCCAACCCACTCTTCCCCCCAGGACAGACTCACCGCTATTGAAGAGGCCAAGAATAGGCCATTATTAGTCGGAGAAACTTGGTATCTTGTCTCGAGAACTTGGTATCGGCGATGGCACAAGGCCGTCTCTGGCGTGATGGACAAAGAGGGCCCAGTAGTCGAGTCCGATCTTGGTCCTGTCGACAACTCTTCGTTGGTTAACTCCAACGGAGACCTCTCTGTGTCGACGGTTAGTGGGATTGACGTAGAGTATTTCCCACAAGATGCCTGGGACCTTTTGGTGACCTGGTATGTCGACTCTCTGAAACATCATCTCCTTGTTCTTTTGTCTGTGTATTGAGTTACACCTTTCGCTCGCTGATGCCATCCAGGTACGGACAACCGCAATACGTCCTTCCCCGCAGAGTTATTCCTCGTGGCATGTCCAAAGAAGCTGCAGTCGAACTATTCCCTCCCCGCTTTCGCGTCTATCGTCTTTCTGATGACATCTCCAACTTCGCCCCCGCCTCCACAAACTCTCCGGAGCTTTACTCAGAGAGCTCCGAGGCCCAACTTGTGGAACATCTACTCCCCAGTCTCGCTCTCACAGCAGATCCCTCTACGTCCGCCCAATATCGCGTCTGGAAAGTACAACTGTCAGAGCCGGAGGATGGCAGCGAAATTCCGAAACGTAAATTTGTAGAGCTTGGCGCAGAGCTTGTCGAACCCAGCGATAAAACCCTATCCGACGCTTTGATCGACTCTGAACACTCTTTTGTCGTCGAGTTCAAGAGGTATGGCTCCTGGATTGTGGATGTGCCACCAGCGAAGGCATTGCATGGCAACGAAGCCGACACCTCTTCTTCCATATACATTCCCCCACCGCCCCTCTTTGGCCAGAATGGTTTCTTTGACCGTATGGAACAATCTCGGCCTCCTTCGTTGAATGCGAGTGGCGTTCCCTCTTCCTCAGCTCTATTAAAACCTGCTGGCTTCACACCTAATCTACGCAAGAAACCTGGGCAAACTCCAGGAACGCTGGGGCTAGGGAATATGTGAGTATGCGAATATTCTATACGTCTACGACTCGTGGCGACCGGTGCCACCTGCTAATTCCAACGCCGATGTGACATATAGGGGGAACACTTGCTTCATGAACTCTGCTCTACAGTGCCTTGCCCATCTGCAGGAACTGACGGAGTACTTCCTCTGTAAGTCGCATCTGCGCCCAGATGCTCCTCTCAAACGAATAACGTTCTGTAACAGATGGTGTCTTCAAGGACGAACTCAACCCGGACAATCCACTCGGTATGCATGGCGAGATCGCTGAATCTTTTGGAGCGCTCCTCCACCGTATCTGGTCCCCCTCTTCTGCCAGCACATCCTACTCTCCTCGAGAATTCAAGTCCGCCCTCCAACGATTTGCACCACAATTCTCTGGTTATCAGCAGCATGATTCACAGGAACTCGTCGCCTTCCTCCTTGACGGTTTGCATGAAGATCTGAACCGAGTGCTCAAGAAACCCTATGTCGAGAAGCCAGACTGGGAGGGCGGCGGTGACAAGGAGGTGATGGCGTTGGCGAGAGAGAGCTGGGAGGGGTACATGAAGAGAAACGATAGTGTGATTGTCGATCTGTTCCAAGGTCAGTACAAGAGCACGCTCGTCTGCCCGGAATGCGAAAAGGTGAGCCTCTTCGAAGCCTTACGTCCTTGTTTTCGGAACGTAGAACTCAAGTAGCGTATGCGTATGCGCGACAGGTCTCAATCACGTTCGACCCATTTATGTACCTCACACTCCCTCTGCCGGTCCAGAAGAAATGGACCCATACGGTTAGGTATATACCGTGGGATCTGAAAAAGCCTCACGTTCGTGTTCCGGTTGAAATCAATCGAGACGCTTCTTTCAAGGATCTCCGCCACCTGATCGGTCGGTGGATGGGTTCAGAGCCCGACAACGTACGGATTCTCCTATTTTTTTTTTTCCTTTTCTTTTCATTTCGACTGACTTAACCCGTGGACGGATCATGTAGTTGTTGTCCGTCGAGCTTTTTGCGCACAAGTTCTACAGAACGCTCGGCGACGCGGTCCCGTGTGGCGATGTGAGCGACAACGACGATATTGCCTTTTTTGAGCTCCCTTGTCACGCCCAGCAAGCCCGTACCTATGCGTCGAAGAAGACCGACTCTGATCCCTTCCTCATCCCCGTCCTCATGTGCGACGCTCCCTCGACATCTCGATCTAGCTACAACTTCAACCGTAACAACCTCTTTGGGCAACCATTCGTCGTGGCGATCAGCAGGGAGGACGCGAGGAGCGTGAAGAGGATGCGTGAGATTGTCACCCAACAACTCGAGCGGTGGTCTTCCCATCCGGCTGAACTCTGGTCGTGGCGTATACCGAGCGATGCGACGATGGAAGAAGTGCACATTCCTGCGGTCCCGGTCTCGGATGCTCCGGTCACTGAGATCAAGGAGAACGGAGACGTGATCACCGTCGACGGAGATGCTGCTCCGGCCGCTATTGCGGACTCTCAGTTGCCAGCGGTCGTCGTGGAAGAGGGTGATATTGTGGACGAAAGGGCGGCGGTGCTGAGGGCTGATGAGGAGGACACGGCCATGTTTGATCAATTGGACGTGGAACCGGTGAGAGTTGGGCCGAAGGATGGTGCATTCGCGTTCAAGCTGCAACCGGGTTATAAGGACTTTGGGACGGCTATTACCTATGGGACGGCCGCGAATCACGAGGAGTGGGAAGAGCGAATTGAAGAGAAGAGGAAGGAGAAGAAGTTGGAGGGTGCGTCGGAAGAGGAGGTGGAGAACCCGATCTTGCTGCAGGAGGGTGACGCGTTCTTCCTCGAGTTTGACGAGAACATGAAGGACTTTTATTTCAGTGCGGAGATGATCAAGCCGGGCAAGCAGATGAATTGGCGGGTATACACGCATCCCGAATACGAGGCGGCGAGGCAGGCGAGCTCAGAGAAGACAGAGAAGGGGATCTCGTTACAGGATTGTTTGGATGAGTTCACGAGGGAAGAGAAGTTGGGCGAGGAGGACCCGTGGTATTGCCCGAGGTGCAAGAAACACCAGCAAGCGACGAAGAAATTCGATCTTTGGCGGGTGCCGGATGTGCTCGTCGTCCATCTCAAGCGGTTCTCCAACTCGAGGGCTCTCCGCGATAAGATCGAGGCATTTGTCGACTTTCCGGTCAATGGGCTGGATCTGACGGAGATGGCGGAGGAGAGAAGGGTGGGCAAGAAGTTGGCGGAGGATGGGTCGCTGGCCGATCCGTCGGCGTTGGGGCTGGAGGATCTGGACGAACCGTTGGTATATGATTTGTTTGCGGTGGACGAACATTTGGGAGGGCTTGGAGGTGGGCATTATAGGGCATACGCACAGAACCACGTGTCGGGCGATTGGTACCATTTCGACGATTCGTACGTGACGCGGGCTGAACCACACGCTGCTGTTGTGAGTGATTTTTTCTGCTCTTTTTTGGGGGGCCTGGATCATTGACCTTTTCGCACAGAACCCGAACGCCTACCTGCTCTTCTATAAGCGTCGCACGACCCGACCGCTAGGTCGCAAGACGCATGAAAAGGTCGAGGAGGCTCGCGCCAAGCTAGCGTCCAGTGAGATCGATGGATCGTCACTAGATTCAGACTCACGTCCCGACTACGGCCTCCCTACTCCACCATCTGAACCCTCTAACTCACAAAGCCAGTCACACGGAGAGTCGTCATTTTCGGGTACGAGCATAGACCCTCGACGCACCAACCTGAATTCATGGCAGACAGTCCGCTCGCCATCTTCCTCGAACTCAACCTCTCCCCCACCACTCGAAGACAGTGTAAACGATAGCGAACTGCCCGCGTTTGAGGATTCCTTTCAAGACGAGCTCCTCGAATCACAACCCCTCGACCCCCTCGCAATTACCAATCACCAATTCGACTTTCCGGCCCCATCGTCTACCAAGGCTTCGCCGACGTCTTCGAACGAGGTGGAGCTCGACTCGGATGAGGGGGACCCAGGAGGGACGATGAAGAGGTGGATGGAGGATACTGGAGGGCCCATAGAGTTGAACAATTGGGCGTTGCCGACAGGCTTGCCATATAGTATGCCAGACTCCCCCGCCACGGGAACGGCGACAGACGGGATGGACACGACGACGTCGATGAGCTCACCGCCTGGGAGCTCACTAGCGGAATTTGAAGATTCCTTGACGGGAGACGAGGGCAAGATAGCTGAAGATGGTGCGGCAATGCCGTGGCCTGCGAAGCCTACGGTGATCGATCTGAGGTAGCGAGCGGGAGCTTAGCGTTTTTAGCAGTGGTATGCTTGTACTCCTTATTTTGTGATGTGAACGCAAGTATCAGGAGGCAGACAGCTTTTTTGAAGTAGTTCGTGGTGATATGTAATTTTGTCTATTTTGTGCCGCACTTTTTAAATGCTTTCTGCTCTGGAATATTAGCCTTGTTCAAAGTGCACATAATTACTGTAACGAATTGTCTGAGCTTTCCTAGCTTCAAGTTGGAGTCGAAGGAAGCCGCCACCCTGGCGCTGTTTGTGTATGTTTGGCGCAGGCCAACGATGTCGAGAAAAATTCCGACTTCCTCTTCCCTTCATTCTCTCATCATCATCGTCGACACTAGTACTGACGTCGAGCTCCTTTCAATATGCAATGACTCTGTTCGATTTGCTCTCGTTTCCCTCATTTCCGTCGGCACTTGCTGTCAAACTCGATCTTACTTCGTACAGGTTGATGAGTCGTCGAACGAACCTCCCCACGCACGATGCCTTTATACATCCCAACCTATGTACTCCTTCCACGAACAGGCCTCTTTCTGCCCGGGCAGTGCTATAATGCATCCACCCTGTACCGGTTCTGGTGAAGCGCCAACACAAATGCGATCCTCGTCTAATCAACGGGTGATTGGTGCCTATTGAGAAGTGCGGATTCCCCTCGGTTGGGTTCGTCACGGTTCTGTGCTACCACACATTCTTACATCCTCTCGTTTATTTCTTACCTATCGCCATGTACCGTACTAGTGACAATATAATTGCTTCACACCCCTCTTTCCTGGATATTGTCTGTGCCCGTTGGCCTCAACTGTGTGGATAAGGCACCCAAGATGCTCAGAAAGGCGCGTCGCATTGCTATTTGTACAATATGATACACTTCCACGCTTGGCGACCCCACCTACAAACGAAATCCTTGACTACTTGCGGAAGAAAGCGTCTCTGAGCTTATGGTATATCGGGGTGCCCATGCCTGTAACCTGTTCTCGTGGTTCACATTTAGTGTGTATAGTGGAAGGCATGACATATAGAGAAGAACCACTGACTGGATCATAATTGACAGATACGGGATATCCGTCGGTGCCACATCCAGGATTGCTCCCTGCAACAAACGACCAACTCAGCTCCGGAGACTCATAGCGTGGATCATGGAGACGGCGAGCTCACCTGAAGTGATATCCGTAAATGCCTCGGGAGACGAGTAGATGAGCGGGTTCAGAAATCCCGCAGGAGGCTGTCCCGCCGAGAGTAGCTCATCGTTCAACAGACCCACGATTGCCGCTACGGTGGAGCTCGATGCCGCCGTTCCATAGAAGAAGTTCAGTGTGCCGTTCATGATGATAGCATAGTTGTTTCCGGCTGCAGAGATGTCAGGAAATGCGCGTCCAGAGGGATTGAACCGTCCATCATATTTCGGACCAAGAGTGTCAAGGTATGTTTCGACGGCTGCGTCTTGGTACGCAGGCCGAGGGAATGTGTTTGAGAAGCCTCCACTTGACCAGAAAGCGCCTCGTTCCGGGTTGATGCCTTCCGTAGATCCAACAGATGTGATACTGAGAAAAGGCCGTAACGGACGTCAGTCATTCTAACATTTAGTCAGTGTAGTGGATGACAACGGACTATGGGCAAGTAGACGGAAAGCTGCATGAGGTCAATTTAAACATCGCTAGCAAGAGAGGTTCAAAGACGGTCGACGTACGTGGGAACAAAGGTCCCGTCGCAGGTATCGCTGTCGCCTTGAACACCACCGCCGCCTGATGAGAATAAGACGGTGGTGCCTCGGGCACCTAATTGAGCAAACATTTGACACAGATTTCTGGATACACATAGGTGTTAGTTCGAATCCACGACGACCGAACATATTGAGCACAATTGAATATTCACCGCATAAGTGGAGCGGCTTCGTCGCTTTCATTCTCGTAGTAGTTCGTGGTCAAGACGGTCGGAAGGGTCGGCTGGTTGAGAAGGAACTGCATGACATTCAGCAAATCGTGCGAAAAATCGTTCTGTTCTTCTGAGTCTGTCGAAAGAAAATGAACAGGAACACCCTGGGCAATTCCAACGGTGTATTGGACGCCGAGATTCTGAAATGTCCCATCAAGGCGTTAACAACTCGAACGTATGCAACGGAAAGAAAGTTAGTACTCACGGCTTGCAGCCCACCGGTTCCATTTTGAGGATTGAGGCCTCCGTCAATCAAATCAAGTTCGAAGGACGTGTCAGGCGAAATGTCTTGACGGTAATCGGTCAGAAATTTCTACGGCCAAAGCTGTGAGCCGAACAAAAAAAACATAGGTGCAAGGAGGAACGAACCTTGAGATCGCGCTCGATTGTGTATTGATTAAAAAGTCCGGTAACGGCAATTTGAGTATTGCCACCTTGTGTTGGTGTTGTGGGAGCGGTCGGGATACTGTAAAGTGCTTGAAGACAAGCTGGGGTTGTCACGTCGGCGCAGTAGGACGGCACTCCATTGATAAGGTCTGTGGGGCTGAAGTCGAGCGCATCGAGCTTAGGACGATGGAAGGCTGAAGCCATTGGAGGTGTCTGCACAGACGGAAAACTAAAGAAAGACACAGGACAGTAAATATACGACCGTGATGACAATTGAAGAGGACTGACACCACGGTAGGATGCACGAAAGCAATGTGGGATTGAACTGAGGTTGGCACGGAGTAACTCATCGTCCGAAGCACTTTTGACCCAGAAGCATCATGAGAGAATGTCGAAAAGTTGGCCGCGAGCATTTTGTTCGCCTGCTTCACAGTCATTTCCAGGCTGATCCAGTCACCGGCAGGCGTCATGGAATGAGCGCTCAAACCATGGAGCGACAACCAAGACTCTATGGAGGAGACAGTCGCATTGGAAGGTGTGATGAAAGATTCTACCTGAAAGCATAAACCATACGTTGAGTTCTTGGGGCAGAGATATATTGAAATTGTAAGATATATTACCTGTTCTTTGCTCAAGAATTGTCTGTACAGTGGGCTCCCCGGGGTACTGGTAGCATACAAGGCCTCCTCAAGCCCAGAAACGTCGCCCTGAGAGAGCGACAAGTGAAGCTTCAAAGTTTGATCCGGAGGTGCGGGTCCAAGATCCTTATATCCGTGAGGCAGTTGGTCACGCCGCTGGTGTACGTGCATGTCAAGGGGCGCAGAAGGATAAGCACGGGTAACCGCAAGAATTTGAGATGCGAGGAGAAGGAGCGTGGACTTGACCATGTTGCAGATGGAGAAGATTAGTTTGATGCAAGAGTTAGAAAGACTGCAATGTCAAATCCGCCCAAGGGTTTGTCTTTCATTATAGGAGGTGCGTTTGGACTGCCGGACTGGGGCCCGGGGTCGTGAACGGATGTCTCAAGATTAAAAAAGAAACGAGGGATAACAAGCCTCCACATGACATGTCGAGCGAGTAGAGGCAATAGTTTTATATATCCTGGGACCAGTCAATTCTTGACATTTATCTCAGGTTGAATCGCCACCACACCAAGACTCGAAGGAGCGCAGCAACTGAAGCTAGTGACCAGGCTGGCAGAGATGAGTAAGTACTAGTACGCAATACAAACCAGTGATAGCTGATACTAGACTTAGAAGGAAACTTTTGTTGACGGAATCGGAATCAAATGCGTACAAGATAAAAGTACTGAGCAATCTAGAAGAGCGCAGGATGGACGAGTGGATGTGTGGAAAGGCTGTTCGCCGAAGTTGCCATTGCGGATACCGCCGTCGGGGTTTTCCGGGTCTTGGATCCTCGAACGACGACATTCATCTCTTCCTTCCCATGACCATCTACTTACTGTAGCAGCGACTGGACATCCTATAATCCTCTCCTACACCTCAAAAGTCTATATATTAGACGGGTAAAACCCGCCGCTGGAGTAAGACCGGCTCTTGTTGAAGACCACGGCCTGCCATTGATGGCCTGATCCCGAGAACAGACTCCGCCGATGCGACATGACTCGTACACAGCTGTCAGTACTTTTGCTACCAGTCCATTGTGAATCCTCGTACACGGAGGATCCAATGGCATTTCTCTTGTCGGTGCGCAATGCGGAGGCCTGACAGGTGCACAAGGGCTGTTGATGGAATGACTGACACCCGATACGTAATTCTGAGTCGTAGCCGTATTTGGACTATTTATTGTATGTCTCAAGGTAATGTGGTACATGCCTCATCCATCCAAGTGATCACCATTTCGTCTAGAACCCCATACAGCCAAACTGCAGTGTCTCCAGGCTCCAGCAGGCCTTTCCTTGCGTCCATACCATCAGCGCCATAGTGTGCGATGGATGAGCACCTATGAGCAACAACACCATGGACAACTTACTGTGGCAAGCACTTGTTCACATGGGTATGTTCTGTGCAGATACGGTATCTCTCTTTCGGAGGAGTTTTTGTTGACGGTATTTAATTGGTAGACATTGCCAGATCAATCGAACGCTCAAATCTCCGTATTGATGCCCGGCTACTCAGTTTGTCCTTTCGTTTTCAGGTATGTTTCTTGCGCCAGTCGGACCCCAGGACCTATTCGGTCACAAGTCGCTGTCTGTGGTGCCACACCTTTGAATTACACCTCTCTCTCATCTCAATCTCGTCTTCTGCTCAGTCCCCTGTCTCACTCGGGCCACCTCAGGTCACGGAGCCCTGAAAGGAAAATCCACAGATTTAGAAACCTCTCGTACGCATCAGTCAACTGACCGTCAGCTGTCTCTTGGACTTCATTCACATCAAGATCAAAGGTGATGTCGGGAGTGGTCCGCTAATAATTCTGGTACGTACCGCCGCGTCCGCCGCCTGCATCAGAGGGGAAGGTGGAAGATTCAGGTCTTTATTCGCCATCTTCCGGTGATGGACGGCTATGGTCGGTGACAGGCAGCCGCAAAGCTCCACTTCAAGAGATCTCGTTGCCACACTAGGCTGCTCGCCCTCTTTCTGCGGCGAAAACAATGCTCATGGGGGCCTCGCAGGAGAAGAGACACAATCCAGAACATGTGCATCTGCGCGTCCCATGCCATATAAGTATAGAGCATGCACTCCAAATATCTTGACAGAGATGCGGCGAATCTCGTCCGTCTTCTCCATCCGCTCTCCCAGCAAGATACCGCGAAATCGAAGAACCTTCCGTATGTACACCATTGAACCGCATCTTCTTGACCGCTCAAAGTGCTGAACTCTCCTCTCCCGGTTTGATACCACAACGAGCGCCGGACATCCCATGTATCCTCACTGAAAAGACGAGCGCATCTCCGAACACGGACGGAAGATCCATACCTCTTTGTCAATCGAGCCCCAGTCCGATCCAGAACGGGCATCCATGGGCGTAGTGCCAGCGTTTCCCCGCTACGATAATAATACAACTGACAACAAATCAAAGAATTGTGACGGGAATATGGAATGTTACAGCATGATGCCAGTGATTGGGATGGAGGACAGGACCCCGAAGTTATTCCAATTCGCATGGTACTTATGTGCGGCATGCGTCGCCGTCAAGTCGCCGCCGTGTCCGCTCGAGCTCGTCCCGAAGCTCGAGAGTTGAAGCTCGAAGCTTATACTCTAAGTTATGTTATGCCCGTGTTTGTGTATAGCTATACAGCTCCGGAGCTTCCGTGGCGACATACAAGCCTTCACACAAGCTCTGAATCGTGTGCTTCGACGCGAATTTAATAGAACGCCGTAACTTGTCCCGAGGCTGGATTTACATCGTCTAAATATAACGGACGTACCATGTTGACATGAGCTAGAGGCTCAGCGCCGGTCACGCTCTGGGAGACTCCTTTGCTCGGTATGGACACGGCGTTAAGTATGGACCACGGTGAGGGATGATCATGATGGGACTCAAAGATTGGGGTGGATCCCACAAACGAACCTTCCGAACGATGTCGATGGACGCCACGACGTGCGCCATATGGTCAACATCCAGACCCAAGGGGATCAACGCAAAGTCAAATGAAGACCCCATTGTGAGTTCGTGAGCCTGATCAAGCCAAGCAAAACGAATCAGATATCGACAAGTTGAAGACGATAGAGCACACAGAGGAAGATGATATGGATGTTTTGAATCATGCGTTTCATTCATTAAATTGAACGTTTGTAAGCGATCGAGGACCGTAGATATAGTATACACCCGTGCAGGCTCGCCAGCCCGCTCCGGAACACCAAAAGGTAGCAAAAAAAAATAAGAAGACCGAAGGATACAAAGGATACCGCGGCAGGACGGGCCCATCCTGCGCAGTCCGGGGTGCAACAACGACCTATCTGAACAACCAAATACTCGAGGACGAGTAGCGAAGAAGAGAAGAGGATGAGGAGGGGCGTGAAGGGGGTGCATGGTCATCATCACAAAATTATTGAGTAGTGAAGACGAAAAAATTGGGGTGAACGTGAGGGGAGGGGAAGGATCATTGCAGCGACTCGTACGATGGGGTATGTGAATGCGTGGCGAAGTCGATGGATGAGTGGGCGTGGATGAGAGCAATAAAAGTACATGGTAGAGGTGATTAGGGCGTCAGGAGTTGCGTGGAGGAAGAACAAAAAGATAAAATTTTCGGTGTAGTCCGCACCACAGAAGCACACGAGCGGAAACGAAATTAGACCTTCTCGCTGACGCTGGCCTGATCGTGCTCGACGTGCTCGTGGTTGCCACGCTCGCCGACCTTGAAGGACTCGGGATCGCTCGCGTGAACGTTCTCGACCAAGAGGCGGCGGCGGTAGGCGACAGACTGGATGGGAGTTGTGTTCTGGTAGAGGATATCGATCTGCTCCAACGAGAGACCCTTGGTCTGAAAGAAGATAATCCAAGTCAGGATATGCATGCCAATCTGACGCGTGAGGGAAGAGACTGACCTCAGGAACGCAGAAGAATGCGAAGATGATACAACAGAAGCAGGTTGAGCCCCAGACGAAGAACACCTTGGACTGGAGGTCGGCGTTTCCGGGACCGGAGTCAACCATGTAGGGGGTGGCGTATCCAATACCGAAGTTCCACAACTGCACAAAAAATCACGACAGGTTAGAAGGAGGGAGAGAACTCGAGAGAGAATAAAGCGTACCCAGTTAGAGGCAACCGACATGGACATGGCCTTGGCACGGACATTGAGAGGGAAGATTTCACCGGTGACGACGTATGCGATCGGGCCCCAAGTCGAGGCGAAGAAAGCGATGTAGATACAGACGAGGGCGATGAGGGCTTGCTGACCAGACTTGTTGTCAATGGAGATGGTGACACCGATGATGGCGACAAGGTATTCGCAAATACACATGCCAACGGCACCGACGAGCAAGAGACGACGACGACCAAAGCGCTCGATACCCCACATTCCGGGGAGGGTCATGAACACATTGACGATGTTAGTCGCAACCGAAATGAGGAAGGAGTTCTTGATGCCGGAGTTCTGGAAGAACGTAGTACCCTGGATAACGAAACAAATATGTCAGAAACAGACCGAAATGGAGTGAAGGTTGACGGAGAAAACTCACGTAGTAGAAGATGAAGTTGATACCGGTGAGTTGTTGCCAGGCCTGGATGAAGATACCGGTGAGGGTACGGAACCGGATTTGGTTGTGACCAGAGCGGAAACAGTCGAGGTAGCTACTCTCGCCGAGCGCCTTCTCGGCTTCAAGGTTGGCACGGACGTCGTTGAGCTCGACTTCGAGTTCGGGATCGGTCTCGGAGAGACCAGTGAGGCGAGAAAGGGCATGAGCAGCATCGGCGTCGCGGCCGCGCTTGACCAACCAACGAGGAGACTGAAAAGGGAGTTGATGGATGAGCGAGGCAGGTCAATAATAAAAGCATATTTAATTTACCTCGGGGAGGAAGAGCATTCCGACGGAAAGGACTGCAGCCCAGATGAACTGAATACCGATGGGGATACGGTATGAGCTGTGGTCGGGCCTGTTCTGAGTGGCATTGTTGACGACGGAGGCGAGGAGAAGGCCGATGGTGATAGCCCATTGGTAGGCGGCGACGACGGCACCACGAATCCACTTTGGCGAGCACTCGGATTGGTACATGGGGACGAGGGTAGAGATGAGACCGACACCGAGACCAGCGAAGACACGACCGACGACGAAGAGGGGGAGAGCGGTGGCTGCCGTCTGCATGGCGACGCCGACGGAGAAGATAAGGCAGGAGAAGATAAGACCCCATTTACGACCAAGGTAGTCTCCAACGGGAGCACTGGCAAGGGCACCTGTAGCGGAGGATGAGATGAGAAAATGGAGAACAGAAAGAAGAAAAGGGAAAGAATACATACCGAAGAAAGTACCAGCGGAGAGAATAGAGACGACCAAAGACTTTGTGCTTGAGGTGATGGTGCAAGAGTCCCCAGCGACATCGCCGAAAGTGCATAGCTATATGGAGAAAGATGAGATAGAAGGAAGATAGAGAGAGAAAAGAGAGACTGACCCAGTCGTTCATGGCAATGATACCACTGATGGTACCAGTGTCGTAACCGTAAAGAATACCACCGAAAGCGGCGAATGATGTCTGCAGAGGGTCATGAGAAGAGGAGGAAGGAGGGAGGAAAGAGGGGACGTACCATGATAATACCGGCGAACTTATTCTTGGGGGCATTGGCGCCTATATTGGCGACAGCGACAGGACCGACGGCCATAGTGAAGTAGGGATGGCCTGGTAGGAGGAGGGTGAGGGTTGGAGTGTGATGGAGGAGAGGATGAGCTAGACCGAAGGGTGAGGAGGGACGGCATCGTCGCCCTCGGTATTTATACGAATTCCCACCTTGAGTCGCTCAGGTTCGCCCCATCAACGCGCCAAACTTTGAGCAGGTGGAAGCATGCCCCATGATCCCCTCCGATCGAGTTCCTGGGGACCCCGGACCACCCCGCATCCGATCGTCCGGCGCCCCGCACGCCGAGTGAACTGTGCTGTTCCCCCAATGTTCCCCACAACATCTTCTCCTCTCTTCTCATCCCTCTTGCCTCCGTCTTGCCCTCCACAACCAACTCGAACAACCAATCGTCCTATACGTTCAGAATACTCTCGTCTGTGTATGGGGACCATCACTCTTTCGCGGTCAAGTCCCGCCCGGCTCGTTCCTGACGGCGGCGCCGACGTGCCTGGCTCTCCTCTCCGCTGTCTCACCTGCTCTCCTCGCTTTCGTCCTTCTCGCTCTCGTCGACATCGCACATCAACTCTGCTTCTTCTTCCCTATACTGACTTGCATGTTCTCCATGTATGTAGCTGCTTTGCGACTTCGCCTTCATCATTCTTTCTACCCCAGCTTTGCCCCAGTTCACCCCACCCAGGCCTCCCCACCCCCGCACGTCTTCCGGCTCATACTCTCACCCGACGTACAGCCCGGACTTGATCGGCCCCGGCCGATATGTACACCCAAATTGCCTTCATGGATGCAATCCCGCCACGTCTTCCGTCGTTTTTAGGCTGCGTGAGAGGGGTGTCGACTCGAGATATGATTTGCTACGTGCCCCTTCGTCTGAAAAATTCACCCACCCAATCCTTTTCTTCCCTCGCTTTCCCCTCAGCGTATCCTAGAGCCTCGGATTCGCATCGTACGATGATGGCGACTCACATCATGTCTCGGGCTCCGGACCTTCACCATACCGTCCATTTGTCTCTTCAGTCTCCGTTTCACCTTGTCTATTCGTGCCGCATCTAACGCGCTTGATCCTTTCATCTCTCTCCCAACGTTCCATACCATACCGCATCACATATCCTGAGCATCTCTATCACCGACGCTTACTCGCAACGTCGGTCCATCTCGAACCGCCACCTTGCCCGCAAGGGAATTGACGCCTGTCAGGGGCGATCCTCACGCATGCGCATGTGATTGTACTCTCTTGCCGGTCGATTTTCACCTCGTTCGCATCCTCGGGTCTTGTGCTGACAAGTTACTCGACTCGCTCCACGAGAAATCGAGTCTCATCATCGACTTCCGGCGCCGACGTCGTCGGTCCCTGAGCTCTTTCGCCAGACGAGGAAAGACTCTACTCACTTACGATGACGTTGCATCCTTCTCTTCTCATGCTTGATACTTTTACGATTACCCACTCCTCATTCGCAAGATGGGATGGCAATCCGCCAATGATATTGTTTCGCACGTACGGATTAACACGACTCTTTGGCATTGCAGTAACGGGGTCCGAACTGCCGATCTACATATTTGCCTTTCCGAGCCAGCACAGTCCAAAAAGTCCGGTATCTTTCAATTTCAGAGTCGACCAAGCCCAGCGTACGGCCGCTTCCCGAATTTCCACTCTGTTAGCGATAAAACCAACGAGCACTTTCCGTAACAAACCGCACCTCGACGATAGTCGAGATCATCGTCCAGGCTGCTGACCGCCTCCTGGAAAGTCAGAGCAGAGCAGAGTCCCAAGTCGCTGACACTACATACTGCGCAGAGCGGCCGCTTCGAGTTCTGTATATACGTCTAAGTCAACCAAGTTCGCAGGAAGAAGTGTTTTCCAGAGTATGTTGAACTGGACACTTCGAAAGTTCCCCATGGCACGCTGCACAATTGCATTGCCACCAGCTTGGGGTTGGGGGACCCCCGCACACCTCCCTTCCCAGCTTCGAATTCTCCGATGATCCATGACTGTGCTTTGCATGAACGCATGAACCGTACTTCCCGCACGTCAAAACACTAGAAAACCCCGCCCCTCCCCGCCCCCGGTCGCGAGAACATAACTACCCCCAGACCTCCCCAGACCCCCCAAGACCGGTGAGTAAGAGTTACTGTATGTGCGCGCACGACCCGCATATCAGATTCAAAGCGAAATAAATCGACGCGAAAATACTTCTTGCGGGAGAGTGAAACCCATGATCCGACTCCCGACCCGAGCGCGTCTCGGTACCGACTCCCCTCACGTCCTTTCAATCGACACTCAGCCATTCGCGTTACGGCCCTCAGGCCTCATTCGCGCGTGCTGGAATGTACCTTAGTACCAGCCGAGGCTGGCCTTACTTTCTCAGGACTCGGCTTAGACTGCTTGGTGTGATTTATACGATGGGTCACTTGAGGACAGCGCAGTAGTAAGCAATAAACAGACAGGGGCTTCAGTGGCGGCACTACTACTGGCGTGTTTGGACCAGGCCTGCCCAATATTTACGGTCGTATGTTCAAGACACTTTGAGTGTCTTTGTCTCGACTCTGAGCGCCTTTGTGTTCCTGAGGACCCCTGAAGATCTACATTAACACAGGTCGGTAAGTAGCCGAAGACGGTCTGCTGATGGGGAAGGGAGGGCGGGTGCAGTGCTTTCCTGGTCCTTCTATTTCGGAGGGCAGAGAAATCACGAGCGACCCCGGCGCCGACGTCGACAGCCAACGAAGGGCCATTGTCGCTGAGTAAGATTCGTTGTGCATAGCCATAGATGAGAGACCTCGAACGACACGGAGCTTGGAACAAGCTTTACAGGTACGGACGCAGGTCAAGTGATGATCCGTTCTTCGAATTCTTCATTTTGGTCAGCGATTTAGAGGATCGAACGGACTCGGATCCAGGTCTTCTCGTCCGAGCACCGCCGTGAGTTACAGTGGTTACGGCACCGGGTACTCATTATGCTGCACCGCATACTGTACTCTACATATGCAGAACGATATGGACGACCTGCATTCCGAGAGCACGAGCAATATCCGGCGCCACAAACCGACAAGTGCGAAAGACGAGCCTGGGAACTCGAAGAATCCAGCCCCCAGCGATTCCCCAGACCCTCCACAACGGAACGAGACGTGTTTGACAGGAGAGCGGGGGAAACGGGGTTTGTTATCGCAACCGAAGAGAAACCTCCGCCGAGCGACGTCGGACGTCAAACGCTGTGCGACGGAACTTGCAGCTTGCAGTACGATCACTCTCCGGTCGTCGTTTGTCCTGTCTTGTCCTTCGTCGTCGGCCACATCGCTCGAGCCCCGTCCAGTTCCATCAGTTGTAGTACGGCTCATAAAATACCGATAAAAATCCCAGAAATAAGGGGATTGGCCAGAGGCCACATCGAATAATTGATGGAATGGACGGGAGCCGAAGAAAAGAAGGAAAAGCCTAAAAGGGTCCGTGGGAAGGAAGTGCGATCTTTGGGCGAGCGAGTGCACGGGGTCCTACCATGGGTCCGCATGGACTGCTTTGATTGGCTTCCGTCTCCGAATGTTGCGACGCGTACGCAGCCCATGTCATATCACTTTTTTTTTCGAGCTCTCGTCTCGGCGGCAACGTCTTGTGGGGGACCTGAGTGTGTCTGGGGCACAAGGTGACATGACCCCCGCAAACGCGGGGATGGGGGACGGGGTAGCGCGGGGCTAAGAGTGACTTAGGAGCGCAATGGTCGAGCGCGATCTTAGAAAAAACATTGAACGACAGGAGGGTTGAATGTCAGGAAGTATATCTTTGTGAACTTGACTGCAGTCGAGGCTATATCGATGGGAGGCTTTGTCCGAGTCGAATCGGAGTACGTCTGTCACCACTCGCATCTACGATTGGGATGTTCAGGCGTGTGAAGAGACGCATACGAGTGTGGGGTGATACATTGATGGGCGCGAACCGTGGTCCCAAAAACGCAAAAACGAACGATGTTTTTGAGCTCGGGAACCATCTGGGGAACAGGGGCAGACAGGGCAAGTTGCCCTGGAGGTTGAAAACTACGGGGACTTTCCTAGGTAGGAAGGTGGTTCGAGAAACCAGAGGGTGTGATCGACTGGGGAATCAGGAAGAGGATGGATGTGGAAAAGAGGGGGAACGTAAGCGGCTTCGATTGCGAAGAGCACCCACGCGGACCTTGATGAAGGACAAGCTTTGAGGTCACAGCTCAGACGAAGGGGTTTATGCGGTTGCGATACCCCCATGGTCGTCCATCATGACAGCATCCAGGAACAATTAGAGGAACAAAATGGAAATCTGCTGGCCAAGGTGTGCTGAGGATAGTATGACCACAAGTGCACACACAGGTCGTGCTTCCTAGTCGATGATGGAAATGAAAAAAAATGAAGATATCTCTGGGATGTCTCTGGGTTCCGAGTCGCTGCCTGGGCACAAAAATTCGATTGTGCGTTCGAGATAAGGTCATCTCGACGCCGAAGTCGGCTTTCGCAGGAATATAAAAACTCTGAAAGGACGTATAACAATGTAGCATGAAGCAACCAACAAGACAGAGGTGTAGAAGAACAAGCTCATGAGACGGTTGAGACAGCGAAGCGTCGTCATCCAAGCACAACAAGGTGACACAGGTGGCGAAACAATTCTTTCCGAGCATTACAGCACATTCCGGGGATTCCAAACCATGCGCAGGCGTCTCACAAGAGAGTTGGAAGCTCCGGAGTCCGAATGAGGAAGGGAAACGCAAGCAGTCCGGGAGATGGTCTCATGACCACAAACAAGTACGCTGCATACCTTGGGAAAACCCCTGTCGATCCGGAAGGTCTGAAGGGCCGACGACGATTGACTCAAAAGAAGTACGATCAAAAAAGAACCGGTCGATCCACCAAGAAGCAGATCGCGACAATACGCCAGACCGATTGTGGTTACGATACTGCTTGACAGCGGTTGCCGGCAATCATCTTCGTGGTTAGATAACTGACAACAGCGACAGAGTGAAAAACCGAGAATAACTCACACTTATGAGAGCATATACAAGCTACTCTCATATCAATAGCGGATTTATCCAGTGCAAGGTGAGCTTTTCTTAGGAAATGGGGGAGTGGTAGACACGAATTTGGACCAAACCACTGGGTGACGGTGGGCAGAGTCACACCGCCGGTTGCGGCGTCTTGGACAGACAGCGGAAAGTTATCGGTCTCAGTTTTTGAATACCGGTTTCGAAAAGATGAGAGGGGTCATGGGGCTCGGTGCTGCAATAGAACGCGGAGGGTGTTGAAGTTGAGGACAAGTTGAACTTGTTGACGGGACGGGCTGTTGCCCCGCTCCGGGCCGCCGGGCCAAATACCCGATGCGGCTTCCACGCCACCTTTTTGCTCGCCACACTAGTACTGAACCACCCTTTCTTGAAATTACACTTGACAGTGAGTTTGTTTTTACCAGACCATGATTTTGGTTTCTTTGAGAATGTAGCGCCTTTTTCCAGATATACAACTAGGGAACCAAAATAGCCTCCTAAGCAGCACAAGTATGCCGCTAGTTTTATTGTATTGTCAGTAGATATTTCCAGTGAACGGATCTAGTACTTACGGTAGACAAGAGATGTTGTCAAAGGCGCTATACAAGCACCAGAAGCTCCGGCAGACGTCTGCGTCACAATCAAGGTTAGTACGACAGGTATGGGGAATGTCCGAGTTGATTTGAACTCGTAAAAATGTGGTCCTTGCTATTTTTTGGTAAACGAGAGCCTTCACGTAAAACGGACTCTCAGAAAAGGAAATTACCCCTCCTTCATGAGTATCTAGCTTTACTAATTTGATCGACAGGTATAATATGCATCGCTCGTCCGGAATCCTTCTCTGCCGGTTGGGCTTGATTTCGAGCAATGTAACGGATCTCACAACGCCGCTAAGGTAAATACAACGGCAGGAACTAAGACGGGCATCTCCAACATTTCATACCAGTCTGGACGTCGAGTAGGCGTATCTGTGTTTGATAGTCAGAGAGCCAAATAAGAAGAGGTACGGAGATGCCGGGGAACTCATCGTCTTAAGAATTGCTGGAATAGTATTCTGTGAGAAGATTCTGTTCCGGTAGGTTGCCGTGCCCTCAATGGGAAACATCATGACGAGCAAAAAGTAACGATACAAAGGCGACGAGATATCACAATATGGAGATCGAGCAAGAGCGGATCCGGTCACCGTGGACTGGACGCATGCCCACAGTGAAAAACAGCTGAATCTCCCCGTCAGCTGCCCAAATTTCTGAGCTTACATTGCATGTCCCAGCCCGATATCACCGTTGACGTTTGGTTATAAGGTGGAGGCCATCTGATGGTCTGCTATCTGCAATGAAGGAAGTTGGATCAGCAAGCTTTCCTAAGCGGCCCAAGTGCCAAGACAGAATAGCAGAGCGGAACATGAGACAGAGCTCGAAACGGGTCCGACCTATGGCCTGAAATGCCCTGGGGTCCTATCAGCATAGTACTAGTATAACCATCTCAACACGGGACGGGAGGTGAGGGTGAACGGAGATGAATGTTCTAACGGATTAGGAGAGCTAGAAGAAGTCTGGGGTGCATGCGAAACATGATCTACTCGTCTCGCCATCGAGAGTGGCTGGTCTTCAGCTTGAATCAAGACAGAAGTTAGCAGCGTGAAACGTGAACATTACCGATTGGAGTAAGTTTGCGGCGAATTATCAGCGAAAAAGGTGTTCTGAAGCAGGTTATGTATAGAGCGATGGACCGTGCTTGTAAGTATAGCAGAGTATAGCACGAGATGTTTGAAGGCGCCGCAGTCGTACTAGATGATCGCAATGCCTCCGAGGAGATCTTGCTTGAGGCTGGCCTGGAATGCAAGGTATAGTCCACACGGGGATACAAAGTGTACACCCGTGCTGACACCGTTGTGGCACCAGGGCTCCATCAGCAAACGTCGAATTCGAGACCATACTGATGAGCTGTAACAGACAAAAGCAAGTTTGGGGTCACACAAGAAGCCCGTGCACAACGGGCCCCTACTATGTAACTATTCCCATGGAATGATGCCTCGATCGGGCTCTGAGATGATATCTCTGGTCAGAAACTTCAGGATGACGAGAGTCCTGCCATATAACGTATGTCGTATCAGAACTTTGCTGGATCGGCGACAATAAAATGATTGCCAATGCTTTGAGCGCAAGTGTTAAATGGTAAGGGGAGAAGATTTATGTAAGACGAAACTCGACGAACGGGTGAGCGGGATCCTGTCCGAAAGACAGGCCAGTGGGACTGAATGTGGCGCTCCGAAATCAAGAAAGAGGAACTGGTCACTGGTGAGGGTCGGATTTCAGGTTTGACTTCTACAGTCAGTCTGTTGGACCTGCCTTCTTTAGGTCGGGAATAAAGGGCAAGATTCCGCGACTAGTCTCGTACAAAACACCACTGGCATGCGAAAGGGCGAGGTATAGTCATCAGTAACATCATTACATTGACAACAAAATGGAACACAGGTTAATATACCAGAGCGGAAGGAAATCAAAGATACTAGACTGGGCTTATACCGATGGCTGAGTGCCGCCTCTACAAAAATGCCAGCGATGTATAAATAAATGGTTCATACCACCGAATCCGGAGACGTGAATTCGTCCATCGCCTCTGCGCATGCGCAAGTACGCAAACTACTCATCATCATCGTCCCCAACGACATGCGTGCCGCTCATCAAGGCGGTCGCGCTCTCGTCTCTCGCCGTCCCCGGAACACGACCGTACCACTGCCGTCCGTCCCTGCCTGCGGTAGTCGGACTTGTGAGTTCGATTGCACCGCCATCTTCTTTTGCGGCTTGTGAAGATGATGTAGAGGCGGAGGCGGAGTTACGGCCGGTTGTGGTGTAGAGATGTATGAGGAAGAGGGTGTGGAAATAGATGATGAAGGCGATGCTGTAAGAGCAGATGGCAAATGGAACGGGTCGATGGAATATGTCAGGTGGGTAAAAGAGGCTATGGACAAGCAACGCACCTGTACATGATGAGGACGTAGGTAACATGGTCCATTCCTTGATCATGAGCGAACTCCAATTCTTCGTCGGTCCCGGACATGAACAACAATCCGGCACAAACGAGCAACTGAGCGGTCATAGCATGGAGACACATCTCATTAGCAAAGAAAGGTCTCTTGTCGCTGAGTAGTGGACGTACAAAGGGCGGCAAATGCCTAAATGCCACACCCTTAGGGGTGTTATCTTCCCTGGTGGTATGGGTAGTGCTGTCGGCAAGTGTGTGCTCGCTCTGATCGTCTTCGACGCCTTCGATGGTGCCAAGTGGCAGGAACTTGGGTACTACAAAGCACACTTCGACGAGTCGCGCGAGTCCAGCCAGCATCAGGGTATAGCCAAAGATAGAATGGACCTGACAAGTGGGAAAAGTTATCAATGACCACCGCCGATGTCATAGCCATCTGATGCATACTTTGGTTGAAATAGCCAAGGCTTGTGCATGTTCGGACATAGCAAATCCAGTGAGAATAATGCTAGGGAAATCAGTTCAGATGGCGAGTAGAACAGACAAGGAAGACGAGTCGCACATGATGGACGGAACTACCGTTCTCTGGTATCGAGACAAGTGGTGAGTACCTGATTACAACCATGACGAGAAAGGTAGGCAGGTATACCTGGTTATTGCGAGCTAGGAAGACACCCAGAATTCCACCGCACCACCCTAATAGGTAGTACATTTCATCATACAGTCACTGAGCTGAAATGACACGACGAATAATGAGGGAATACACATACAGAGGATGCCGAGAATCCTGTTCAGTAAGATAAGCACAAACTCGAGTCAAGCAACTCATGAGTGAGCACGCACGTGTGTTGCATATCCTTCACGGACCATACCAGGCCGCGATGCTCGGTGAAGGTGTTGACTGACGCGCACACCCTCAATTATAGGCTATAGACTCAGATACATGCGACTTACCAATGCCCTGGAAGCCACATAACAATTAGGACTTCAGAGCATAGAAACAAAGGGGGCAGCCACGTACCCAGAGCAAGATAACCCATGAATCCCACCATTCAGGACTGCGGCCACTTCTTCTAACCCACATTTCCCCTACGAGTAGCATTATAGCCATGATGATACCGTACGAGATGAATCCTCCGCCCTGCGACGCGCCTTTAAATACCACGCAACATCATGATGACATGGAGGACGTACCATGATATAGTGGGCAAGACATTGCCCTAGATGACCTCCACGGCAGTAGCCCCTGAAAGCGATGGCTCCGAAGAGCATCTGCACCCATCCCATGATGGGCCATGCCTTGCCGAGCACTCCGTGCGCACGGACGGCCCACGGCCTGAGGGTTCGTTCGTGGATGTGGAGTTTAAGATATACACCGAGAAAGAATTGAGCAGCAATAGGAGCGAAGAGGATGTTCGCGTATGTGCCGTGCGCGCTGTGGAGGAATTGTCGGCCTTTGTGTGCATGACCAAGGATGTAGCCTCCAATGGTAAGTGCGAAGCCAGTGACCTGAGCACAGAGTGAATTTAGACGTTGTTATATCCGATGCACATGGACGAGCATAAACCTGAAGAGGAACATGCCATCGACTACGAGTGATGCCAAGGACCATGCCTATTGGGAACAGAATACCCCATACTGCTGCCTGGAGGAACATATGAATCCAAAGGATGGCATCGACGGATGCATTCATTTCCTCTTCCGTGAGCTCATCGTGATGATCATGGGCGGCGGCTGAAAGCGCAGAGGCCAGTACTAGAAGCAGTTCAGACAACATTGTACCCAAGTTAGAGGGAGGCGAACAACATCCACGGTGACGGTGCACAGCTGAGAGAAAACAAGTCGAGGACGCTGCTGACAGACGCCGGCCGCCGTCATTCCCGCCGAACAGGGTCGTCACATCTCCTTCCCGGGAAGTCCCGACGCCACCCAGCAATCTCATTCTGGTCGCCACGCCACCGTGACTGCCGAGGAGGTTCGTCTACGACTCTCACCATCGTCGTCCAGTCGATTCTGTCGGTCATAAACAGTTTTCGACAGCTGGCAGTTTTCTTTGACAACGCTCTGGCTCGCTTGTACTCTACTCCTACCTCTCATTTAAGCAGCCGAGTATCCCGGCTCGACCGACTGGCAGATGAAGCTGCCAGCAACAGCAACGTCGACTGCTTATAAGTACTACCGTGCTGGGAGCCATGTGTAGAGTGAACAAGAACATGTTGGTCCTTGTTGGCACTGTCGCCGTACGTATACTTATCTGCGTACAATTTGAGGAAGCAAGCCGGGTTACGTTCGCTTTTGAACGCAGCATTATAGATACCATTTCGCTGTCGTCGGCGTCGACATTGTCGAGAAATTCCGTCCCACAGGTGTCTATTTGAATTTAATAAACTCGAGGATCGTCTACTTTCCGTCACCTCCTAATGTCCTCAGAACATCTATCTCCATGACGAGTTTCCTTCCGTCTGCTGAGGATCGCAGATCCTCATCATGTGCTACTCGGAGAAATCTCTGCATCTGCTTAAATACTTCTGAGTCAAAGACGGAGTCGTTTCGAACGGAGTTTCTCCTCAGGCTGAGTAGAAGATGTATCATCCCATTCTTGCGTCCATGGTCGTTTCGATCCTCACCGCGCTCTTTGTTGCCGCTGAGACACATGATAAGATATACGGGGTCAGTCTTGGATCGTGGTCTGTGTTTGCCCTGTTCTCTTTCGAACCCTGTCACAACACCAATAGTACTGACCTGAGACATTGCAGGTTAGTTCTCGAAAGTTGGATGCTGCCTGCAGGTAATACAAGTTTCTTGCTAGGCGGGCGGTATTTTGACTGACCATTATGTAGAATGGCTCGCCATGGGTGGTCAGAGCTGCTCAGTCTGCTCGGACTGCATCGCAACAGAATTGCAAGATTTTTGCGTATTCGTCGATCCTTCGCTTCGTCCATTCATCTATCCATCTGTATAGTGCTTACATCAAGGCATACCCGAATACTGCAGACCAGGCGTTTGCTGCTCATTGGTAGATTCATCCATTCTGTTCTCCATTCTTCTCTCGACTGACGATATCCTTTTTGAGGTCTACGTGGTTTACCCAAGACAATGTAAACGAGCTCAAAGCAGCTAGCATCAATACTGTTCGAATTCCTGTAGGTCCCCATTAACTCCAGTATACCCGTCCTTCGCCACATCCACCTGCTGATGTTTCCACGGGATTGTTCGAAGCTCGGATTCTGGATAGTAGAGGGCTTGGTCGATCGCAGTGCAGAATTCTATCCTCGCGGTGGAATCAAATTTTTGGTGAGTCCTGTTCACAATAATTACAACGAGGACGAACTATATTTATGCCATGAAAAGGCTCGGGGCCTGAAGTGGCTTCACGATGCAGGTATACAAGTAATCCTTGATCACCATGCTCTTCCTGGCGTAGCAGCGGTAAATCAGATGTTTGCCGGAAAGTGGGTCTTTCACTTTCTCTTCTGGATGATTCTTGCTAATTTTTCTTGCAGTTGTACGACCGACCCACAGTTCTACGTACACCACTTCTTCTGGGTATTTTGCACGGTCTGCACCTAACTTCGTAACTTGAACAGACCCCTCACAATTATCACCGCGCTTTGATATGGACGGCGGTCATGGCGTCGCTTACTCACTTACATCCGAACTTTGCGAGCGTCTTCGCCATCGAGGCCGTGAACGAGCCGATTTCGGATGCTGCGATGACACCAGGCTTCGGGGACTGTGAGTCTACATATCTCTAATTTTAACTTTTCACTGACACGACATATGTTGGTTGGCCCTTTTTCGTCGATAATGACTTCCAGTTCAGCATAACTTCGTTAAAACCATCCGAGCCGTGGAACTCATTCTCGGTGTCCCCATAGCAAACACCCAACCTGTCAATCTCGGCCCCTCAAACACTTCAGGCATGAACGTGTCCACGGCTATACCACTTGCAGCCAAATACGATACATCGGGAATCTTCACACCGGAAATTGTAAGTGTGCTGAAGGATGCCGTGCCAATGTTGCTGGGGATAGGCAACGAACTGGGTATGGATGCGGATATATTGGTGCTGGGTGACTGCGAGCGGTTCGGTGGGCGATGGTCGGCCATTGTTACAACGTGCGTGCCTCTCGATCGCATTCTCACCACGGGACTGGTCGCGGAGAATACTGATTTCCCCATAATATATGCTGCCCTTGCCAGTTTCATGGACGTGAATTGGCAGACTGACAACCCTCCTAACCCAGCTGATGCGGCCATTGGGCCACAAGGATACGACAACCACCTGTACTACAAGTGAGCTTAGCTCGACTATTATATATCACCAAGCGCTTACCTTCATCCAACTAGTTATGGAGTAAGTTCTGGGTTGGAATGTCTACCTGTCTGCCGTCGTCTTGAATACCTTTTCAGGGCGTGGCGGATCCCAACCCAGATGCTTACTTGACCAGTATCTGCAGTAAGGCTTAATGAGCTCCTGGTACTTGATGCAGTGCTAACAAACTGTACCTGCCCGCCGCAACAGACCTTAATCGAGTACAAGCAGACGCTGCTCTCGGAAATTCACCTTTGTGGTTCGGCGAATGGGCTATCACCACTCAATTCGATAATGCGACAGATGAGTTCCTCCGTATGTGGGCCGATGCGCAAAAGCTGGCGTATAGTAAGGGTGCTGGATGGATTGTAAGTTATATCGTAGATTCTACTGCAGCGTTATAGCAGGAGTATAAGTTACACTGACGGTACGATGTCTTTTCTGTACAGTTCTGGAACTTCAAGGTCGAGATATCCGAGCTCGCTGGCGATCTAGCAAGACAATGGTACGTACAAGGCTACGACGCTAGCACGATAACGCGTTATGCAGGGTGTACTGATGGATTACCTCACATCTTTCGATTCTAGGTCTTATCTCGAAGGGGTGAAACGAGGATATTTCACGAAAGATCCAGCGCAGCTACATAACCCTCACGTCTGTGACCCCTACATCAACTCCACTTCAACGAACGCTACTCGGCGCTGGCTGTGACTTTAGCCAAGAATTTAGCCATTTGTGTGTAATCACACTCGAATATTTACTTGTTGCGACTGGTTGGTATGGAAGGAAGATGGAGAACATTGATACGGCTATCTTGCCACACGACTCATCAGTAACAATAATACTAACATCATTGTGTGATTTTCTTATTCACCGTAGGCCAGACTTCCCTAACTATTTTGGATATCTTCGATGGCCTTCGCGACACGTAGAATCATGTTCTCGCAGCCCCACTGACCGACCAAGCTAGCACCAACGGGCCACCCATCACCCACCTCACCACCGTCAACATCACGATCACTGCTCTTCTCACTCGGTCCGACTTTCATCGGTACACTGACCGCCGGCAGTCCTGCGAGGGAGGCCGGGACTGTCAGAACGTCCTGCACATACACGTCTAGCGAGCCTGTCTTTTCTAATGCTTCGTTTGGTGGGGACAAGCGAGGCGCTGTGCGGATGGCGGATGGATGGAGGAGTACATGGACGCCGTTGGGGTTCGGGGCTGCGGACGTCGAAGTCGTCTCAGAGAGTGGGTCGGATACGATGAAGGCGCGCATGAAATCTTGATGGACGAGCTGTCGTACGCGTTGGGCTTGGAGGAAATAGTTGTCAAATGCACTGAGTTTGATAGATCAAGTTAGAATCTGACTTGTTACCGAGAAATAAGGCGGTAAGGTGAATGTACTGACTCTGCGGTAAGTGCGTATGTCCCGAGGAGTAAGCGCTTCTTCACCTCAGGACCAAAGCCTACTGTTCGCGTCTTAGTATACGTGAGGGCGGTCGTATGAGATGCGGAGTCGGCGGGGTTTACAGCCACTCGCAATCCTATGATCAACGACCCAGCATTAGACTAGCTCTCTAAATGACGAGATTTGTGAATAGAGACTGACCGTACTGCACGCCGTCGTACCGCGCAAGGTTGCTGCTGGCTTCTGCGCTGGAGATGACATAGTATGCACTCAGCGCGTACGTTGTATTTGGTAAGGAGACGGGGACGATGGAGGCTCCGCGCGCTATGAGGGAGCGGACGAGACGACGGAACGGCGTGAGGATGGAATGTGACAGTGTGTCGGGGAAATACTCCTGTAAACAACTCTAAATCAGCGACACATTGTTTGGAACATGGTAGGATCAGCTTACCTGGGGTATACCGATCCTGAGGCCCGTAAGGTCGCCTGACGCGGATGCCCAGGACGACATATTCTCCGCGCAATTTTGTTGGGCGGCTTCACGCGTCTCCAGACGGGCGCACGTCGGATCTTTGGGGTCGTGTACAGAGAGTCTGTCTGGTGCAAAGGAATAATGGGCATATGGCACATATTGGGGCGTCATGACAAAGTACAGACCATATACGCGTTGCGTGGAGTGAACGTCCTTCCCCAAGACCCCCACACAGTCAAGGCTGTCAGCAAAAGAGACCACACCCCACCTGCGTAGAAACAGAGAATGAGGATGATTCATGAATATCCGAAGCGGGTACGGACATACCTGCTCAACATGCCATATGAAGGCTTCAACCCGACGACGCCACAATACGACGCAGGTAAACGGATTGAGCCTCCGGTATCAGTTCCGAGAGCACTGAAAAGAAGACCGTATTAGTGGTAGACATGAAAAGCATGCGAGGGCAGTCATACGCATCACAGAAGCCTGCTGCCACAGCAGCAGCACTTCCCCCTGAGCTACCACCTGCAGAGCGAAGTTCGCCGTTTGAGGGTCCAGAAGGCTGGTATGGATTGACGACGGCACCATGGATTGAATGTATGTTCAGAGAGCTGCGTAAAAGAATGAGCGAACAGATATTGTCCACGAAACTGGAATACATACCCCATTCCAAACTCGTCACAGTTCGTCTTGCCGACGAGGGATGCACCTGAATCAGTCAAGAGCTGTACAACAGTAGCATCCATTGGAGGCGTGAATTCTACGATACCAGAGCCACTGTCAGTTAGATTTTTGAGAGTATTATAAGAGCTCAAAAGAAGCGCACCTCTGAGCATGGCTGAAGAGCAAGTCGTCGGCATCGTGCTCGTGCAAATATTGTCCTTGACTGCGATGCTCATGCCGTTCAGCGGACCCTCTACAACACTCGAGGTGTGGTCAGGTATATATGCAAACGAGTTGATCGCTGCATCTTTCTCCCGAAGAGACGAAGGCAGAGATGAATAGAGTGCCCTGAGGCGAACTTGTCTGGTCGTGATACATGACCGCGGAGTAGAGAGACGAAGGGCTAGCATGGCATCGGGAAGAGAAGAGTGAGAACGCGTCGGAACGCGTCTGTGGCGTTGGGGCCCTTCGCGTCGCATGTTGTGTGGCGTAGAAGGAAACCCCTTTTGCTCTCAACCCCCATCGTCGTACCAAAAACCTTGTAGAATCAGGACGCTTCACACAGTAATTAGCGATGTCGAGCACTATCTCTCTGTTTGTTTCTTCACCCGATACCCACTCCGAGCGTCGATTGGACTTGCATACCACCATCGGCCAACTCAAGGTACGCCACTTCCGAACCCTCTATGTCTCCATAATGTTCTGACATCGTGTCGATACCCGCCTTCTCAAACGGCATATTTATGGAACGATGTTTGTCTGACTCTGGATATTTGATTGCATGCGCCGAATAGTCAAAACTTGAACTGATCACTGGGGTCCCAGTAGACAACCAACGGCTTACCCTCCTGGAGTCAAACGACGATCCCCGACTCATCGCCTCTCTAGATGATGATTCGAGACCTCTGGGGTATTACAGCCCTCGCCAATATCAAGTGATCAAAGTCCGTAGGTCTTTTTGATCAGTCTCTATATGCATATATCCCGTGGTGGTGCGCATGACCTAACATCACCGTTGTAGGTTGAAGACACGGATCCTTCTACGACATTCACGGGCCAACTGACCGATGTCTCTGCTGTGGATAAATTCGAGTTGACACCTGAGCAATACGCTCAAAGACAAGGTCTGTCCTATCCCTCCTTATTCTCACCCGTCCACTGACCGACATCCACCTCTGTACCTGTACGCGCACTGTCCAGACTCCGTCCTCGCCTACAAACAACGCCACAAAGTCGGCCGCTTCGCTGAGCCCGCTTCCTCCTCCGCCGCAGCCGACCCATCACCCCCATCGCTCCCCACAATCCCAATCGACTCCCGCTGCCAAGTCGAGTCCTCTGAAGAAGGGTTCCACAAGCGTGGTACGGTTCGGTACGTGGGCACGACGAAGTTCGGGGGTACGGGTGGGGTATGGGTGGGTGTGGAGTATGATGAGCCGATTGGGAAGAATGATGGGTCGTGAGTCGGTTTGCCTCTTATTTTCGCTATTTGCTCTTGCAGTTCTTTTTTGTTCTAGCTAATGTTACTGACATCTATTGCTTGACCTCCTTCCTTTCCTCGTAGTGTCCAAGGGGAAAGATACTTCACCTGTCTCCCGAAACATGGCGTGTTCGTACGTCCTGATAGAGTCCAGGTCGGAGATTTCCCCGTGGAGGAGATCGATTTGGAGGATGAGGAGATGTAAAGTCGTGAGGTCGTTTCTGATGAGTTGTCTCTACCGGCGCACACTGTATAGTAACGCGATTCATTGCTATCTACGGAGTGTCCCCTCTCAAAGCGTGACCGACCCTTCTCTGAAGCTTGTCATACCAATGGCTGACGGTCTTCTGCGAGCAACAACGCGTACATCGATTCGGCGACTTCAAAATGCACGTACAATCTGACAACATCTGGACAACGCGTACGGGATACAGTACAAAAACAATGCAAGCAAAACTTCTCCCTTCGAGTTTCTTCTTTCCCTCAATGTTCCCACCATAAAGCTATCGTAACACGTTCGTGAAACATGAATGACAAAAAGTCCAGTCCGGCCTTCGTCCTTTATACGAATCATCCACGACGACCAGTGATAGAAATAAAGCCGCGCCTTTTGCTGTATACCGGAGCCGTTCAGCAAATCCCGTGCGTCTTGCCGTGCTTGCCCTGGAGCGAATGTTTCTCGACGTGCTTCTGCCTGTTATCATCATCGGCACCGTCAGCGCCACCACCAGCAAAACCACGAACCCCAAACAAAGCAAACAGATGCGTCAACACCCATCGTTCGAGGACCGCGGCATGTGCGCCCAAAACCAAAACAAGGAGGAAATGAAGGAAAGAGAAAGAGCGGTTGAGGAGGTGGATACGGGTGAGGTGGGTGTGGTCAAATTGCCCGAGGGAGGAGGGGGTTGTGTTTGAACGTTGAGCGTAGAGGGAGTTGGGATAATATGAGTTGAGGAGTGAGACGTACTTCTGCGAGGGGTGCATCTCCTTCTTCTTCGCCTCGTGGACCTTGGCGGCGTGGGCGAGCACGTCTTTCGGGGTGTCGTCGAGCTGTTTCATCACCTAAAAATTCAAAACATGATGGACATTAGGTCGTGAAGGTGAACGCCAACAGTAGGAGGTGAAGAGAGGTACACACAGCGTTGAGGTCGCGAATAAGTGTCTCGCAGCGGTGCCTGCTGAAGTCTTCACGGACGACAACGCGGAGCAGCTTAAGCTTCTCGGCGTGAGGAGCCATGGTGTACGCTGAACAGAAAGGGGTCTGATGAGACCATGCAAAAAATACCAAGGCAGGGAAGTTTGCTCACCTGGAACAATCCATCCTCTGGACCTCAACGCCCTTGCAATAGCGAACTCTACATGATATTAAAGGACCTATCAGTCAGCCTCTCCTAAATATCGCACGAATATCACCCACCGTCATAACTCTCCTCATTCTTCAACCTCCACGCAACGAGCGGCAACCCCTCTCCCCCCGTCTTACTCATCAACACAAACTTCTCTCCACCCCCGATCTTCAACACACTCTCCGCCAAAAAGTCGGAAATCTGAGTCAAATTCGTCATGATCGCCCTGTATCCGGATTTGCCGAGCCTGAGGAGTTGGTAGTACTGCCCGATGACCTGCACGGCCGATTTCGAGAAGTTGAGAGTGAAGGAGACTTGGGGGGAGCCGAGGTAGTTTACGGTGAAGAGGATCTCGTCTGGGAGGAAGGCTTTGGAGCGCCAGAGGGCCCAGCCGACGCCGGCGTAGGCGAGACTGGAGGGTGGGGAGCAAGAGGTGTTAGTGAGCTAGCTATGACAACAGAGTTCAGGTGAAGCAGGTGAGCGTACCCGTCTGTGGATAGATACGTCAGTAAATTCATATGCAGAAGGAGCGGGACAGGAATGCGTACATTTATGGCCCGAAACGTTGATAGAGCAGACGAGAGGAACCCTGAAGTCCCAAAGGAGCTGAGGGTTCACGAACGGCGCCACAAAGCCACCGGAGGCCGCATCGACGTGAATATGAACGTCCAGTCCATCCGCCTTATTCTTGGCCTCCAGTAGATCGTTGAGAGTCTACATCATCAGCAAGATAGTCAACAAAATGGTATAGGAGACGACCAGACCAAAGGGTGAAGACCAAACGAACCTGAACGTCCTCGTACTCTCCGGTGTACGTCGATCCGAGGATAGCACAGACCATGATGGTGTTCTCGTCAACGAGGTCGACGGCAGGCTTAGGGTCGATGACGTAGCGCTCGGAGGTGCAGTACCAGTAACGTTCCTCGACTTCGAGATACCTCGCTGCCTTTTCCCAACAGACCTGGACGGCGGAGTTCATGACGATGTTAGGCTTGTCCCAGGGCTTACCCTCGGCCTTGCGCTTGTCTGAAACCCATTAGTAAACGAGGTCAGCAAAACGAGCGTAAAGTGGGAGAAAGATGGCGGTGGCGAAGAATAGGGGTTAAGCCCAAATGTGGCGAAGGGATACTGACTTTGCCAGCGCCGTTTTGCGGCGAGGACGGAGAGGATGATGGCCTCTGAGGAGCCAATGGTGGATACGCCGAGGGCCTCCGATTCGGGAGTGTCGAGGGGAGCATTGAAGAGCCGGGCAATCATGTTGACGCAACGGGTCTCGATCTCGCCGAGGGCGGGGTACTCTGAGCAAACATAGACATGTTAGCTACTACTTCAGTCATGAATGGTCTATTAGCGTATACTTACCCTCGACATCAATGAAGTTCTTGGACTGCGCCACACAAGAACGGACAGATCAGTTGAGTTGAAGGATGGTGGCGAGGATATATTTGGCCACGGAAGCAAATTAGGGGAACTGTCACTGACGAGGTTCTCGAGCATGAGCTTCTCCGCCTCATCCTCCATGTAGGTCGTGACGAAACTGGCAAGGTTAAGAGCCGGGCTGCCGTCCATCAAGAGCTCGTCGTGAACGAAGCTGCGGGATCAGAAAAAGCTGGTCAGAGGTCTGTGTGCACATGAAGCGGGACGGCAGGGTGGAATCATGATGGAGCGGGCATACCGAGCAGCGGTGCGGGCTGGCATCTCGTCCTCTGCGAGTTCGTAGCGGGGCAGCTCGCATGACGAGAGGGCAGAGCCATAGACGGTGGTCTGTGAGTGGAGTGAGCGAGAGTAGGATGGGAAGAGCGAATGGACATACGCACAGAGACATACTGCTCGTGGCCGACGCTGTGGGCACTGGCGCGCTCGTCAGAAGGGACGGAAGAGAGGAAGCCCATGATTTAAATGTGTGAGGGGTGGAAAAGGGAAAGAGAGAAAGATGGGAAGATGGAGTAGGGCAAAGGGTTACGACGGTCGACACTTTATACGATTCTCTTTCGACTGCGAGCGATGATTTCGGCGGAGAGGCACGCAACGAGGCGGACTGGCTATGCTGCCGTCGACGTCACTCTGTCCTGTTTATTTTTGGACGAGAGTATAATTGGGAGGCTATAGTTAGCCTCGCCCTTCTGTCAATCCTTCGGGAGCGAGCTCAGCCCTTCCATCCCACGAACACACGTTCAAGGAGCACTCTACGTTAAAAGGGCCTCGTGTTTGGCGTCCTGCAATCGATGGAAATTCTTCATCAAAGCTGACGATGACATAGAGAAAGGGGAATTGAGCCGAGTCGCATGATGGCTGCATTGTGGCACTAAAGCAAGAGCTCTTTCAGCGCCACATTAGGCTATCATTCAAAGCGCAACGGTGCCAAGCCTTCCGCTTCCCCTCTTCACCCTCCTCCGTCCACTAAGCCCCTATTCCCATGCCTCGCCCCGTCCGCATCGCAATCTGCCAATTCGAGTCTCATCCACCGACACAGGAAGACTCCGTCTCGAAGAACTTTGCCAGGCTGAAGCACTTCGTCTCTGACGCCGCTAAGAATAGCGCAGACCTCATTGTCTTCCCAGAATACTTCCTCACAGGTTCAACCTTACTACTTTGTTTTCGCTGCCGAGTCGCTTCACTGTCCTCATAGCTTCGTCTTCTGTGCATCAGGGATTATCGCAGATCACCTTCATCTCGCTACGGATGAGGGGCACTGGATCGAAGACCTTCGCGCCCTCGCGAAGGAGTTCTCCATCGACATCGTGGCCGGCACCGTCGTAGAGAAGAGTAGCAGGAACAACGAACACCTGTTCAACACGTGAGCATATCCTTCCGACTTCAACGTGCCCCGCAGCAACTCAGTACTCAACTCCAAATTCGAAAGAGCGCGGTATATTGACAAACATGGGAACGTAATTGGGGAGTACCTCAAGAAGAACTTGTGGTATGTCTTCTTCTGCGCTCGAACGCCTACCCAAGTAGATTATACGAACGGTTGAGACAGGCATCCGTGAGCACCCATACATCCATATACCAGACGACGAACGGTGATGAATCCGAACACGACTCCTCACTCCTAGAGAAAAGGTCCGTCACACGCATCATGCACACCACGTTTCTCTCATATGCATCTTCTTATACTACCATAGGAGTATCTACGAAGCTCGACAGAAGAGCACCAGGTCTTTCAGACCGATAAATTCAAAGCTGGCCTCCTCATCTGTTCGTCCACCTCATCTCACCTTCCAGTGTAATCAGACCAAGTCCAATTTCCTTGTACCGTTGTACGTCGATGCTCTTACTATACAGGCTGGGACCTCGCCTGGCCCGAAGCATTTCGCGCTCTCCTCCTGCAGGGCGTCGAGGTCGTCATCGTGCCCACATGTTGGGTCCTCGATGACGTGGGTGAGATCGGATTGAAACATGACCCAGAGTGCGTCTTCACCTCGTCTTTCCCCGTCCTTTCCTGTCGTCCGGCGAAAGCTGAGGTCAATTGGATGTGCGTAGGGGACTCGGTGAGATATCATGGTTGGACAGTCTTGTGGTCAATCGAGCGTACGAGAATGAATGTTGTGTTGTTTTCGTGAAGTAAGTCCCCACCTGCTCACGACCGCACAAATTCTGACCACGACATGAACGCATAAACCCAACAGCTGCGGTGGTCCCCGCTCCTCCGGCTTTCTCGGCCGCTCAAGCATAGCTCTACCTTTCAAAGGCGCCTTGACACGCATGGAGAGCCCAGACGAGGAGATGCGGATCGTGGATATTGATCTTGATATACTCAAAGTGCGCCTTCTCATTGTTATTCTCTTTGCATTCAATCTCGGAGCGAGGAGGCCTCGCAAAGGCAGTGTGTTCACTCGCCACTCGCTCACTGGTTTTACTGCAATGTTACTTGCGTTCTAATTCGTCGGACTGGTCGATACTGATATGGATTTATGGGCTGCTAGGACGCAAGAGAGGTGTATAAAATTAGGGAGGATCTGGAGGGTAAACTGGATAGTGCGAGGGAGGTGTACAAGGTTATCAGTACGGGCGCTGGCACGGGTGACAGCAGCGGTGCTAGCTAATGAGAGATTGGAGGCGCAATACGACAGTCGTCTGTCACGGTGTAAAACGAGACAGTGACAGTAGGGCGAGTCGATTTGTTCGGGACGACCGCAGAATGTAATAAGTATTGTAACCTGATTTGTGTGTATCATTTAGTTGAATCCATGTTGTGTATTTCATCGACTTTCTGAGCTGTTTATGTATGAATATCGTAGAGGGTCCATGCACGAGACTGAGAGATCACAATCAATAGCCTGTTAAATCGGATGCGCCAACGAAACGCTCAACAAAACATTGATCGCATCCACACGAAACGTATCATTCGTGAGCCCCACCTCCGGACCATCCAAGAGCGTGAACAGCGTCGGCTCGTCAGTCATATACTTAGGCCAGTTGATGAGGGTCGAACCGTTCGGGTCGAGGTTGGTCGCAAAGTTTATGAGGGCGTCACGGAGCTCGCCTGGGTTGGGGCCGTAGGTCGAATGGGCGTCGCTGACGTGAAACTGTAGATGTATTGTAAGGTCAGTGAAGGAGAACGGAGGAATAGGGGGAGTTGAGGGTCAGGCTGAGCATGATGGGAGGTGGGGACGTACGGCGCCGACATAAGCGGTTGACTTTCCCCGTTTCCACACTGACGTACAAGGCGGTTCGGACGAAGATATGAAACTCGCCAAAAAAAAAATTGACGTACAGTAGGACCAAGTATCCTGCAGCGAGGACCTCTGCTGAAAGAAAAATCGACGAGGAACTTGAAATGCAAGGTCACCCTGGAATGCCGCGAGGCGCTTGTAAGTATTGTCCGGTGAGGTTGTTGGCGGAACCGCTGTCAAAAGGAGATCCGGCGCTGGGATCGGAGGGATATGCAGCGAAGAGAGGTTGGAGGTCCTGCGATGAGGCGTTGGTGAAGAAGTTCGACGCGATGTACTTCTCGGTTTCCGTGTCCGTGCTGGGTATGTATGCAGACGGCGTGTTCATCAGATTCGGGAATTGATGAACGAGTGTGTGAAATAATGCGTACGTTATGTTCGAATTTCCAAGGGAGAATAGTGTACCTTCATCATCACAGTCACCTTCGAAAGTATTTAGGTCAGACTGGTGCGAGTGATGCATGCAGAGGGCGCTCACCAATAACGAACGGGACACGGGCGACCTCTCCCTTAAGCACCAATCGCTGAGTGGCATCTGTCAGAAAAACGCCATCTGCTCGAGGGCCAAACGACAGGCTCAATGACTGTTTGAAGCTCAGTAAACCCCCTGCATATCAAAGCCAGAATATTCAAACGTACCTGGTAGGAGAATATCGAGTATGTTTCGCCGGAGACGTTATTGAATACGTCGAAGGGTATTTCACGGAGGCACTGGAGTGTGTTAGTTGAATTTGAGCAGCTGGCTCTTTCGACGACGGAATCGTAGCCTGCTTGATGTGTCGTGTCTGCAATCTTGCCGACGGGGAGGAGGGATCCTGACTGTGACCAAGCAGTTAGAGCAGCTAGTCGCTCGAGTCATGGGCCTCGCTCAGCACGAATGTCCTTTCAAATCGCAGTGGTCAAGCTTGGGTTTGGCGTGTTCTGGGCCGCATTCAACGAGAATAGTAACACCAATTCACAGCCGCATCCCAAGAAACTCTCGATTTTTATATGAAATAAACGACACATAAGAAATGCAGGGTATCGTGATAATCGTTCAATTTCTGTCCCGGAACGCAGAATAGCGATGTCCAGTGGACCAAGAAATGAAAGCGGAAGATGAGGAGTCCGCTGGTAATGTTCAAGGCTAAGTGCATAGGTCCGCCGCAAAGCTCCCGAGTTGCACGCCGTCATACGGCCCATCATGGTCGTCCTCATCTCCCTGGAAGATGGTCGGGACGTCTCCAGTCGTACACAGGTCTGATTCGTTATCCTGGCCTTTCGAGCGTACAAGCATGATGCGATGCACAGACAGAGGGGGTAAGTAACCATGGCATCAAGTGAACCAAAATCATATAAAGAAAGTGAAGGGTAGTGCACGTACCAGGACAAGAATCCCATGAATTATCGTCCTCGATATGGATTTCCCCGGACGGATGAATGAAACCCAAGAATATTCCCGGAAGAATGGGGATGTAATCCTCTTGATTGTTGATGTGCGTCTCCGTGACGTGCGCGTCGACATAGTCGGCAAATGCTTGGTTGCCGACCTATTTTTGTTTTATTCAAATGTAGTTCAATGTCATGATAGTCAGAAGATGTGTCGACGGAGGGAGATATGTTGAATTGGAGGTACCCGAGGCTGACCATACCCGATGGAGGTGACAGTCGCGGAAGGGAACTTTGTGGTGAACATGACGGCGTCAAGCAGTGCCAGAGCGGCGCCTACGTTAATCAAAGACGTCAAAATTATCAGCACAGAGCCCAAGACGCTATTGAATGAATATCCCACCCAGAGAATGACCGACGGTAGTGATGGAGGACGAATCGTGCGCGGTCATCGTCGTCTGCACAGCAGCAAGAATTTCATTTGCAGACCTTATCATCGTAAAGATATTCAACGTTGTGTTCAACGAAACCTTATCATGCACTCACGATGCTTGATCATTCGCAAAGCCTGAATGAACTTCGATGTCGGAGCTTATCCCGGGGAACAGTGTACTGTCGAGATTCTCCTTGGCGATGTCTGCGTCCTCAAGCAAGGCAAGACTAGAAGAGGGGTAACGGCCACCACACAGCGCGATATCAGAACCGCAAGATCGGGTAAAAACGATTGAGCACATGAACAAGAAGTTGTACTCACATGAAGGACGTGTTTGTTCCCTGATGGGCGACGATGACCGTGCTGAGCGAGGGAGACCATCCGACATACCCTATGGTGCAGCACATATGGCAGGAAACCCCGGTCGTTCTCGTCAGTGCTACAACAATAGCGTTATAGTAGAAGTGCACATACAGAACTGGACAGAATCGCCATCCCCTCCGGATGCTGTGGGCTCAAAATCCGCATTCTGTTCGCAAAGTGCTGTGAAAGTTGGAGCCCGCGCGTTAAATATAACCATTCAACAGCAACACATCACATCTACGGGACACGCTGCGCAAGACACTCACTTCCACATGACCAAGTTGCCGTCGACGAGGCAGGACAGTATCCTACAGCCGCGAAGTAAGTATACGGCAAGTAGGACGATATCTGCGTGCTCGAGAGCGTGCTGATGCTTTGACGCTTGCTCTTCAGAGTCGCCGCGTGAGTCGACTCCGGAATGAAAGACAAACAGACGGCAAGAGAGAGCGCGACGGCACGAACAACGAAGCTCCACATGCTGAACCGAGATCGAGCTAGTCGGGGGGGGACAAGGGGTGCGGGATGGGCAGAAGGCTGCACGCCTTTATAGTGCTAGGAACGGGAGAGGACGGGAGCGTGTCGCAGATCATGATTGAAAGAGGCTGAGAAGCGGGAGATCTGACAGATGCTTTCTCCTCCGGAGAGTCCTGTGGGACGATCATGATTGCGTCGCCAATACGATAGACGGATGGGATCACTCATTGTCCTTGTCTATTACTGCGAATAGCAATATTGGGGAAAGGTACAATTAGCCATTGGCGTGCGGATGGGAAGCCGGATCCTGAAGGAGCGAAGTCGCGCATGCGGCCAAGATTCAGAAGCAAGAACAAAACGCACGTTCTCCAGAACTGGAGGTATATCCATCGGGTCCGCTTCATGAACAATATGTCCCACAACCGGGCGTGTCTGAGGAGTAGTAGTGTCGCGGTCTGGTAGCTGTAAACTGGGCTAGGAGTTGGAGTTCCCAACTTGGTACTCTCCATCGTGCTCGTCTCGCCCGCTCTAACGGCTACTTACTGGTGAGACTCCACGAGAATAGAACTTGGTGAAAGAGGCACAAACAGCTGCAGAAGAAGTGGTTATCGGGCGAGTTGGTGGCATGTGGTGAAAGGAAACGTGCGTGCGAACAATTGCTCCGGTGGCGAACCTCTGGAAATGCGTAGGTGCCACAGGGGCACAAGGCCCTGAAAATTCTTTGAATCCTGATATCATGATCAGAAAAGTCTTCAAACTCGTCTTGTTATGGGATTGGGTGGAAGGCATGTATCGTTATGAAGTTTAGCATGATGGCTCTACTTCAATCCAAGACTCTCCAATCACAAATTATACTAACGGCGAAATTGACTGGGTTGGGTTGGCCAAAACAAGGCAAGTGGAAATGTATTACAGGATGATCCCAAGCCCCTACATTACCATCTCTCCGCTCTCCTCAAGATTAAATGGGGTGCGCCAACGAGACATTCGTCATAACACTAAACGCTTTTTCGCGGTACGTATCGTTCGTAAGTGTAACGGGCACATCACCATCCAGGAGCGTGAACAACGTCGGCGCGTGGGTCGTGTACTTGGGCCAGTCGCTGACGCCAAGAGTGGGCCCGTTCGGATCGAGGTTGTTGGCGAAGTTGATGAGGGCGTCACGAACTTCGCCGGGGCCGTAGGCGGTGTCGTTACTGTGGAACTATCATATAAAGATAAATTGATCAAAATCTGAGGATTAACCCTGACTGATGTCTGGGACATACCGAGCCGATATAAGGGGTAGACTTTCCCCGTTTCCACACTGATGTACAAGATAATTAGAGCAAGGATAAACTCGTAAGAAGCAGACGTACAGTAAGACCAAGTATCCTGTTGGGAATACCTCTGCTGAAGAAAGAAACGACGAGGAGCCTGAAAGACAAGGTCGCCTTGGAAGGCCGCGAGACGCTTATATTGCGCGGTGAGGTTATTAGCAGAGCCAGTGTCGAAGGGAGATCCGGCACTAAGATCAGACGGATATGCTTCGAATAGCGGTTGGAGGTCTTGCGTGGAGGCATCGGTGAAGTAGTTGGACGCGATATAGTTGTTGGTTTCTGTCTCCGTACTAGAAGGCATATTTGTCAGAATCGTGAGTTATTGACCCGGGCAATGGAAAAAATGTGTACGTTAAATTCGCATTCGCAAGGGAGAATAGTGTGCCTTCACGCATTTGGATTCAGAGGAGTTAGAAGGTGAGGACAGGGAAAGCAGATGTGATATACCTTCGTCATCACAGTCACCTTCGCAAGCATTCAGTGGGGAGGATTGACGCGGTAGTGCCATCGAGGGCCACTCACCAGTAACGAATGGGACATTGGCAACCTCTCCCTTCAGCACTAATTGTTGAGGAGTGTCCGTCAGAAAAATACCGTCCGCGCGGGGCTCAAACGCCAGGTTTAATGACTACGATAAGTTCAGTCAGTCACTGCCTCTTCTATCAAATTAAATTCAGGGACTAGACATACCTGGAAGGCGAATGACGAGTACGTCTCGTTGGAGACATCATTGAACACGCTAAAAGGTACTTCACGAAGACATTGGAGCGTATCAGTCTTATTCGAGCAGCCGGCTCTGTCGACGACGGAGTCGTAGACTGCCTGCTGTTTCGTATCTGCGATATCGCCTACGGGGATGGGCGATCCCGACTATATCAAATGGCACTCATGTTAGCTCCCGGTGTGTTCGTCCACAATAAGATAAGATACGTGACCGACCTGCATGAAAGCACCGTGGAACAACCCTTCTGCATTGCCGCCGTTTGCGACCATCTGCAGACCAACCGAGATAGCACCAGCACTTACGCCCCAGCTATATATATAAAGCAAATCATTCAGCGACTCGTGATCAGTATAATAAATAACGGAAGGTTCACTGACATGATGACCCTATTCGGATCCCCGCCAAATGCTTCGATGTACTTTTGAACCCAGAGCATCGCGAGCCTCTCTATAGTCATATCATCACAGCTTCGTTAGATAGCAATTCGAGCCTTATGATGCGGCACTGTGACTCACGATCCTGCAGTCCTAGATTTCCAACACCTGCGTCTTTGACTTCTCTACCGGGTAGGAAACCGAACGCTGGAATATCGGTTCGTTGAGAAAGATGAACAAAATTGCGACAAGACATGTCCACCCACCAGACAAGCTGCGATAAAAAAGCCATGTCAATAAGTACAGCAGTCAGAGGTGAAAAGATTGATTAAGAATGGCTTACCGATAATTCATCGCTACATACACCACTGGGGTCTCTAAGTCAAGAGAGCCTTGAACAATGACCTCACCAGGATACCTACACCAGACCGAACGTGAGATGACTGCATTCTGCCCGGATACCAGGGGCTCTGGCAACTTACAAGGTCATATCTCCTTCTTCAAATGCGCCTGAAAATGTTGTCATTATCAGTGACGCATATCATAAGAATGAGAGGGATCGTACCTCCATAAATCCACTAGCAAGGAAAGTACAGTCAAGTCAAAAAGTTTGAGACGGTCTTATGGTCTGGTCCACGCACCACGACAACAGGCAGTTTCGCATCCACGGTCACATCCTTCGGTACGATGACATCCACACTCAAACCTGCGTTCCAAGGAATCCTTTCAGTTCCACTGATCCCATTGCCATGTATTATTTGGTTGGTTTCAATTAGAGCGACTTACAGTCCTCGCTCTGTGGAATGCTCCCGGGACCGAAGTCCAATGACCCGACAATCGGCGCGACCGTCGCTATCACCGAAGGATCAAGAACTAAAGATTGTTGAGGACACATAGGCCCGAAGGTTGAAGCGTTGTAGGTGCCCTTGTAGGGGAGATTGGCGACGGGAAGACGGAGGCGTAGATCACCCGTTCTACGAATACATTGAGAGTTTGTTGGTCAGCTTAAAACTACTAACGTGATATATGAGGATCGGGACGTACGGTGGAAGGGCATAGGGGATACCAAGAAACTGTGTGACATTCCCAGTTTGGTTCCCTATGAAGGTACCGTTATCCAGTTGGATAGTAGGAAGGCCGTCTGCCCCTACAAAATTAGTGGAAGAGGTACAGTAACCCTTGGAAGCACTGAGCACGACGAGAGAAAATGTGGCGAGCAATCCATGGAAGAGCATCGCGATACGATACGAAATTGAGCAGTGAGACTCTGAAAGATGGATGTGATCAATCCCATGCATGCCTCCTTAAATACCATTTCTGTTGGAGTCCATGGTAGTCCAGTGAGCAGCAATGATACGTCCATTGTATTCGAACGGAAGCGCTTTCATACGCGTACTCTCGACGGCAGAAAGGCCGAGTCAATGTGTGTCGATGCCCCAGGCCTCATCAGTGGCTGAGACAGCCCCCAGGAAATACGTACGGGCAATGGACCAAGTCCCAAGTCAAGTTTCATGGAGAACCCGGGCACCGGCAAACATGCGAAATGATATTGGTGCCGATAGACGCGCGTTTGTGGCGTGCGCCATATAAACAGATTAGGCGACACGTCCACGTCCTCCCTCGGCACGAACATTCTCCTGCCACAGCAGCACTGTGAGGTCAAAAATTCACCATACTGTACGTCGTATTAAATGAATTGAACTTACATAATTCACATACACCGCTAACTCAAACTACTAACTAGTTATCTTCTGGAGCAAAGCATTCTGCGCGTGAGCGTCAGTTGAAGTTATTTTTCCAGTGGGACAATGCATCGGATCGTTTGGTGAATGATGCCGTCGACAAGGATTGTTTGAGACATAAACACTCGTCGGTTCGGGCGGTCATCTTGCGCTTTGGGATAAACAGTGTTCGAAGTCGACGATGTCAAATCGCCGTCGAAGATTGTGCTTCACGAAACGATTCTCGACTTGGGAATTGCCGATAGTGTTCATATCTTCGACATGGATGATCACGATGGCGGATTTCTCTTGTTTGATCAAGTGATCATACTGAGTAAGTATAGTATGACGACGAGATCCAACACCACATCGTCGCTACATCGGATACTCCAACGAAACATTCACCAAAATACTCATCGCATCGGCACGGTAAGTGTCGTTCGCAAGCGCTACCGACACATTGCCATCCAGCAGCGTGAACAACGTCGGCGCATCGGTCGTGTACTTGGGCCAGTCACTGATGCCAAGAGTGGGACCGTTCGGGTCGAGGTTGTTGGCGAAGTTGATGACGGCGTCGCGAAGTTCTCCGGGGGCGTAAGCCGAGTCGCTACCGTGGTACTACAAAGAGGAAGTCGGTAAGATTTGGAGAAGGTGCTGCATCAGCCTCGCTCAGAGTTGGGATTGAAAGAGTGTTTAAACCTGTTTAAACACTCTTTCGATAGTCGTTGAGCGGGTTCGAGTCTTGGCGGTCGAAACACTCCTTTGTGAGCCAAACAGGAGTGATACCGAATGAATTCACTTACTCGGCCATCAGAGTGTTTCGACGCCAAGAATCGAGAAGGCGTTCAAGACCTGTCGAAGGAGTGTTTGGACACTCTTTCGACCTGAACTCTGAACGAGGCTATTGTAGTAAGAACGTACCGAGCCGAGATAGGGAGTAGACTTGTTTCGTTTCCACACTGATGTGCACAGCTATCAGAGCAAGAATATACTCAAGAGAAATGAACGCACAGTAAGACCAGGCGTTTTGCTGGGAAGATATCTGCTGAAGGAAGAACCGACGAGGGGCCTGGAAAATGAGGTCACCCTGGAAAGCCGCGAGGCGCTTGTACTGCGCTGTGAGGTTGTTGGCAGCACCGGTGTCGAAGGGAGATCCTGCACTGGGATCGGAGGGATATGCTTCGAAGAGGGGTTGGAGCTCCTGCGTGGAGGCATTGGGGAAATAGTTCGATGCGATATAGTTGTTGGCCTCCGTCTCCGTACTAGATAGTAAGATTGTCGGAATTACGAACTACGGAGGCAGGTAGTGGAACAATACGTACGTTAAATTCGCAATTGGAAGGGAGAATGTTGTACCTTGACCGTGACGTAGTAAGTATTGGGAGTCAGAGGACGAGGGCAGGAAAAGAAGGATAATATACCTTCGTCATCGCATTCGCCTTCGCAAAGCAGTCAGCCTTGACTGCCGCAAAAGTTCAATGGTGTTGCTCACCAGTAACAAATGGAACACTGGCAACCTCTCCCTTGAGGATTAATTGTTGAGGGTCTTCTGCCAGGAAACCACCGTCCCCGCGAGGCTCAAATGCCAGGCTCAATGACTATCACAAGTTCTGTTAGTCGCGGCCCCCAATAGTATCAAAAGCAATAGTCTTTGAACATACCTGGAAGGAGAGGCACGAGTACGTCTCGTTGGATACGTCATTAAAGACACTGAAAGGTACCTCGCGAAGGCATTGAAGCGTGTCGGTCGTGTTCGAGCAACCAGCTCTGCCGACGATGGAGTCATAGATGGCCTGATATTTCGTGTCTGCGATATCGCCCACGGGGAGAGGCGATCCCGACTGTGTCGAAGCGCACGCATATCAGCTCCCCGTGCTCGTCCGTAAATCGAACCAGGGGGACGTGACCGACCTGCATGAAAGCACCGTGGAATAATCCCTCTGTGTTGCCGCCATTCGCGACCATCTGCAGACCAACCGACATGGCACCAGCGCTTTCGCCCCAACTGTACATACAAAGCAAATCGTTCAGTGGCTTGGGCTTAGTATAACAAATGGACGCAAGGTACACTTACATGATGACTCTGCTCGGATCTCCACCAAAGGCTTCAATATATTTCTGGACCCATCGCAACGCGAGCCTCTCTATAGAAATATCGTCAAAGCTTTTTTCAAAATAGTTCAAGGTGCACGAGGCGGCAACTTCACTCACGATCTTGCAGTCCTAAATTCCCGATGCCTGCTTCTTTGACTTCTTTACCGGGTAGGAAGCCGAATGCTGCGAGATTGAATCGTTGAGCAGTGAGACCTAAACTCCAGCCATGCAATGTTAACTTACCAGACAGACTGGGGCAGAAACTCAAATCAGCAAGGACGTCCTTGACAGTTCGAGACGGATGGGCTAGTTGTACGTAACTCACCGATAGTTCATCGCTACATACACGACTGGGGCATTCAAGTCAAGAGAGCCTTGCACAATGACCTCGCTGGGGTACCTGATACATTGGTCAGGAGACGATCGTATTCTACGTGATGATTAGGGAAGCTTGGCAACTCACATTATCATGTCTCCTACTTCAAATGCGCCTGAAATTTTTGCTATCATCAGTGACAAATAATGTCAAGACAAGACGAGCTGTACCTCCATAGATCCACTAACAAGAAAAGTGAAATCAGAGAGTATGTTAGACGTTATCGGCATATACCCATACCACGACGACCGGAAGTTTTGCGTCCGCGGTTGTGCCCGTCGGTACAATGACATCCACAGTCAGACCTGGATCCCATAGCACATTGTCAAATCCTCCATATATCAGTCATTATATTTCCGTAGAGATGACCTACAATCTTCGCTCTGGGGACTGCTGGCAGGACTCAGAAAGCTCAAGGACCCTACGATCGGACCCACCGTCGAAGCCACCGATGCATCGAGTATGAAAGATTGTTGGGGACAGATAGTCCCGAAGGTCGAGGCGTTGTAGGTGCCGTTGTAGGGGAGATTGGCGACGGGGAGCCGTAGACGAAGATCGCCGGTCCTATGAGGTCGTCGAAAGTTTGTTGGTTAGGTCAAAAATACTACTGAATTTCATGAAAGAGGGTCGAGACGTACGGTGGGAGTGCATAGGGGATACCAAGAAATTCTGTAACATTTCCGGTTTGGTTCCCTATGAATGTACCGTTGTCCAGTTGGATACTAGGAAGGCCACCAGCCCCAGTATACTGAGTAGCAGAGGCATAGTAGTACCTGGAAGCACTGAGCATGGAGAGAGACAAAGCGACGAGCGAACCACGGAGGACCATCGCGATAGAACGAGAGACTGAACAGTGAACCTGGGAAGGACGGCGAATAATAGGTTTGGTCTCATACAAGCTTATTTAAATACTGCCCCTGATGGATGGAGTCCATTTAAGTCCCATGAGCAGCAACAAGGTACGTTCATTGTCCTCGAACACAAGTGCTCGCATACGCGTCTTTTCGACGACGGAAAAGCATGCCCTATGACCGAAGTGTCTTATAATTCAAGATGCTGAGAAATACCAGATCAATCAAACATTGTTTAAATGTATGCTATGGGACAAGAATAGAACGCACTCGATGGACCAAAAAAGAACCAAGTTTCTTCAGATGCTGATTAAGGCGTCGTAGGTTAAGCGGCCGCGGTCCATCATTTTTACATGGTGCCATGGTCAACGATGAGAGGTCCGTGGTGGGTGATGGGTCTGCGTGGTGGTGAGGAAGCAGGTGCTTAGAGGATCGCGGCGGAGAACCTGAAAGTCCTCGAGCTAGCGAAGGCATCGGATTTCTGTTAGACTATCGCCGACAAGGGCTGTATCGGACATAAGTAAACAGTCGTTGGTTCGAGAGGTCACCTTGCGCTTTGCGACCAACGGTGTTCAAGTCGACGATGTCAAACCGCCGTCGGAGATTATGCTTCACGAAACGATTCTCGACTTGCGAATCGCCGACGAAATGGGTGAACACGATCTCGGATTTCTCTGGTTTGATCAATTGATTATTTTGAGTAAATATAGTATGGCAACGAGAGTCCGAGACCCAGCACCACATTTTCACTAAAGAGGATATTCCAAAAGAAGATTGACTAGAGTACTTATACCGTCGGCACGATACGTGTCGTTCGTAAGCGCTACGGACACGTTACCATCCAAAAGCGTGAACAACGTCGGCGCATCGGTCGTGTATTTGGGCCACTCGCTGATGCCAAGAGTGGGACCGTTCGGGTCGAGGTTGTAGGCGAAGTTGATGACCGCGTCGCGGACTTCTCCCGGGGTGTAGGCGGAGTCGCTACCGTGGTACTACATAGCGGGGAGTCGGTCAAACTTTGAGAATGTGCTTCAGTGTAATAGGAACCTACCGAGCCGATATAAGGGGTAGATTTGTCTCGTTTCCACACTGATAGAACCATTAGAACAAGGACATAAAGCTCAAAAGAAGCGGACGCACAGTAAGACCATGCGTTTTGCTGGGAAGATCTCTGTTGAAGGAAGAAGCGACGGGGAGCCTGGAAAATGAGGTCACCCTGGAAAGCCGCGAGGCGCTTGTACTGCGCTGTAACGTTGTTAGCAGAGCCGGTGTCGAAGGGAGATCCGGCGCTGGGATCGGAGGGATATGCTGCGAGAAGGGGTTGGAGGTCCTGCGTGGAGGCATTGGGGAAGTAGTTTGACGCGATATAGTTGTTGGTTTCCGTCTCCGTACTAGGCGATACAATTGTCAGGCTTGTGAATTATGAAGAAAGAGAGTAGAACAATGCATACGTTAAATTCGCATTTCCAAGGGAGAATAGTGTGCCTTCGTCATCGCAGTCACCTTTGTAAAGCTGTTAGTCCTGACCGACTCGAGTAATCCATAACAACGGTGCTCACCAGTAACAAATGGAATATTGGCAACCTCTCCTTTGAGCACCAGCTGTTGAGGGTCTTCCTTCAGGAAACCACCGTCCGCGAGAGGCTCGAATGCCAGGTTCAACGACTATTCCAAGTTCGGTTAATCACGGCACGAGTAACCTTTGGACAAAGCATACCTGGAAGGAAAACGAGGAGAACGTCTCGTTGGACACATCATTGAACACACTGAAAGGTAGTTCGCGCAGGCATTGAAGCGTATCAGTCGCGTTCGAGCAGCCGGCTCTGTCGACGATGGAGTCGTAGACGGCCTGAGGTTTCGTTCCTGCGATATCGCCCACGGGGAAGGGCGATCCCGACTGTGTCGACACGCACTCATATTAGCTCCCCATGCTCATCCATAATTCGAACCGGGGGATGTGACCGACCTGCATGAAGCCGCCGTGGAACAATCCCTCTGCGTCGCCACCATTCGTGACCATCTGTAGACCGACTGAGATGGCACCAGCACTTTGACCGAAGCTGTAAGTTACATACAAAGTAAATGATTGAGTGACTCGGCCTTATGTAGTATAAGAAATGGACGCGAGGTGCACTTACATGATGACCCTGTTGGGATCTCCACCGAAGGCTTCAATGTACTTCTGGATCCAGCGCAAGGCGAGCCTCTCTATAGACATAGCGTCAAAGCTTCGTTAGAAAGCAGTTCAAGTCGCACGAGGAAACATTACTCACGGTCTTGTAGTCCGAGATTTCCGACACCCGCTTCCTTGACTTCTTTACCAGGCAGGAAGCCGAATGCTGCGATATTGAATCGTTGAGTGATAAGACCTAAACTCCAACAAGGTATCCCGACTTACCAGACAAGCTGTGATAATAGAACTAAATCAGGAAGGATGTCCTTGATAGTTGCGGGTGAATAAGCCAATTGAGAAGAACTCACCGATAATTCATTGCTACATACACGACCGGGGTACCCAACTCGAGGGAGCCTTCGATAATAGCCTCACCGGGATACCTAATAGATCGATCATGAGATGACTACCTTCTGCCTAATCATCAGGGAGACTAGCAACTTACGGTGGCATATCTCCTTCTTCAAACGCGCCTCCATATATCCACTAACAAGAAAAGTGAATTCAGAGAGCATGTTAAACTTTGCATTGGAAAAAACACATACCACGACAACCGGAAGTTTCGCATCCGCGGTCGTGCCCGTTGGTACGATGACATCCAGATTCAAACCTACATCCACAGAACATCGTCAATCCCTCCATGAAATTTAACCCTTCCATCCTCGTAGAATCGACTTACAATCCTCGCTCTGCGGATAATTCCCAGGCCCAAATGCCAATTCGGCAACGATCGGACCCACCGTCGCAACCACCGACGGATCGAGTACGAAGGACTGTTGGGGACAGATAGGCCCAAAGGTGGACGCGTTGTAGGTGCCGTTGTAAGGGAGATTGGCGACGGGAAGCCGGAGGCGCAGATCGCCCGTCCTATGTAGTATGAAGGCATCGAAAGTGTGTTGGTTAGGTGCACGCTGCTGCGGGATGGGATGCAAGAGAATCGAAACGTACGGTGGGAGGGCATAGGGAATCCCAAGAAATTGTGTGGCATTTCCGGTTTGGTTCCCCACGAAGGTGCCGCTATCCAGTTGAATCGTAGGAGGGCCACCGTCCCTAGCAAAATTAGGAGAAGAGGCACAGGAGCCCTTGGAGGCGCTGAGCACAGAGAGAGAAAACGCGACGAGCAAACCACGGACGACCGTCATCGCGATAGAACGAGAAATCGAGCGGTGAAACTGGGGAGGACGACGAAGAATAGGTAGGTTTGATCCCATACACGCTTATTTAAATACAGCCTCGGATGGTGGAGTCTATTCGAGTCCCATGAACGTTTGAACAGCAGCAAGGTACGTCCATTGAGCGCTCGCATACGCGTCTTCGCGACGGCCGATTCAATGGGATGCCCGAATCGGATGACCAAGGTGTCTTGTAATTCAGGATGCTGAGGGAGACGAGATCAATCAAACGAGCAACGTCCATCACTTGACGAAAATATGACGCACTCAATGGACCGAAAAAGAGTCAAGTTTCTGAAGATGCTGATCAAGACACCGTAGGTTCGGCCTCCGCCATCAGGTTGATATAAATGACGCGGCCCCGTTGAGCGGCAGCGAGCTAGTCAACTCGGACTTACTCGCGAAAGGCCGGCAGTTGGATGATTCAAAAGAAAAATGTAGTCCTCGAGTTCCAATTATTCCACACGATTGCCAAAGAAATAAAACAGAATAAATGAATTACCGCCCGCCAAAAATGCGGGCATAGATCTCCCCCCACGCCCTCCTCCGCTCTGCAGCAGCCTGGCCACCTCCAAGGACCGACTTGTTCTCTACCGCGCGTCGGCTCAGGTAAGGCATGACCTGCAATGCGGATATGAAATATGAAATATGAGTAAGACGATTCGTATTACAGATCTTGCGGGCTTGGCAGAGGAGAGAGGATATTGGAACTTGCCTGGGAGAGTTCACCGTAAGGTATGTATTTGACGAGCATTGGTGATGACGATTTGATCTTGTCCACGAGTGAGTCAGTCAGTTCGTCGTTCATACCTACAGACAAAACAATGACGACAAGCAGCATCAGAACAATCGCACTAGTAAACAGTGGGTGAAGAAGAAGATTAACAGACCATAGAGCTGTCCCAAAGTAACTCTCCTCGCCACCTCATCCCCAACTCTGAACGCCTCCTTTCCCTTCTCACCCTCCCTCTCCCGCACAGCCAACCCCTCTTCAACCATCCGCTCCAAAACAACCTCACAGCTCTCCCTATTATGCGTCGCGAACATCACAGCCAACCGTGGCGCTCCTTGTGCTTGTGCGATGTCTTCGCGGAGAGCGGAAACGAGGACACGAGCGGCGTCGTCGAAGCATTTGTCCGTTTCGGGTTTAGTGGCCCAGACGGGAGGGAGGGGATCGGGGGAGATGGAGAGCGAGGTTGCAGCATGGGAGGGTGGGGGCGAGGGTGATGGTGAGGATGAGGGGGATGAAGAGGAGGATGTGGAAGAGGACGGATGGGCCGCGGTTTCTTGCGGGTGGTATGCTCCGCGGACGAGTTTGATGCCGATGCCGTAGCCGCCTGCTTTTGCGTCTTTGAGCGACCGGGCGAGGTATTCTGGGTTTCTGCAAAGCTCAAGTTGAGTAAAATTGACACAGGCACGGAGATGGGGAGGGAGGGAAGGGTGTACCTCCGGAGGTAAGCCTGGAAAGTGCCGTAGATGAGGGGTTGTTCGACGAGCGCAGATGTCGGTTTGGGCGTTGAGAAGAAGGATGGCGCGGGCTGTGGTCTGTTGAATTGACGCATGAGTGCGAGACTCAGGGAGTCGACTGCAGGCTACAGTGCCACTATCAGCTTTCTCTCCATCAAACAGGGACATGAAACGAACCTGGTACCAGCTACACACACACAAACACATCATCAGCACCCATCCAAATCTAATGCACGCGAAGTTATTGAGAGAAGCTAAGATACGCACCTATACTCCGAATCAATAATCAACTTAACCCCCCTCTCCTGCGCTTTCCTCCCAATCCTCACCAAATCCTCATAAAGCTCCCTAACATCCTGCACGTCCCTCTCCGTCATCGGCGACCGATCTCGAGCCTTAGCCTTTGAACTCAGGATGATATCCATATCGGAGGCGCGGGGACAGCCGGGGAAGGCGACGGGGGGCTTGAGAGGGGTTTGGGACTGGGAGCGGGTGAGGTAGGCGGAGAAGTGCAGGAGGGATTGGGAGTCGGGGACCATACCGGACTAGACTCGTCCATAATTCCTACTATGAGTCAAAGTCGGCATAAACACGATAAGAGAGAGAGAACTCACCATCTTGACAGCGATCCACGTCCTCCGTCCCGAATCAACACTCTTCGCGCCTCCTGTTCCAGCAGCCATCCCATCCTCGAAATCCGCCGCACGGTCGATCGAGTCCAAGAGCTCCTCCACGATCTGTTTATGCGACGAAGACGAGGACAAGGTCGCAGCCGAGTCGGAAGATCCGGACGAAGCGGAAGAACCAGACGCGTCGACTTCGACGCTGTAGGAGAACAGTGCGCCTTTCTTCTCCCTGCGGAGACGTTCGAGGAGTGGGAAACAGGCGGGGATGGAGTCGCCTCCGACGAACTAACACACCATCCATTAGCACGCATGACCATTAAGAGCCGCAACACAGGGAGGAAGAGTCGCAACACAGGTCGAAGAGTCGTAGCACAGGCAAGAACAGAGAGGGGAAAGAAAGGAGAGCTCACCTGCCCAAAGAAAGTCTGACGAATGACCCCCTCCGAGACCTGCTTCAACCCCGGCACAGAACCGAGCCATTGCAAGATCGCGGGGGCGTAGTCGACTAGCCAGGGGACGGAGCACATGGAGTAGACGATGTAGGATCTGAGGAGGGCGTTTAGGGGCGTGGGGGCTCTTTCCGCTGTGCTTGATGTGGATGGTGAGGGGGAAGTGGGGGGTTCGGAATCTGCGTGGACGGTGTTCAAGGGGTTGTTGGTGAGGAGGTAGGTGCCTAGACATAGTGAGCCGACTCCGACGAGACTGGCGGTGGTGAATTTGCGAGTTCTCGAGCTGGAGAACGAGCTAGATGCTTTAGATTCATGCGCAGTTCGAGTGAAGAACGTCCGTGTGCCATTGCCTAGATTACTCGAGCTTCGGATGGCGACGAAGGACGCCTGCCGCCCCGAGAGCAGCAGGCGAAGAGACATGGTGTACTAGTAGTCTTGGATGTCGAGGTCGGGGTCGATGTTCAAAGGACAACGGCATGATCAACAAGCGGATGAGTACGGGCAGTGGAGATGACGATGACTCGACGCGTTCGACGCGGCGGAGCGATCGGGGACGTCGAGAACGGACTGCTAATGTATAATTCGCCACGGCCGGGACATGGATGTCCAGTGCAATAGGTATGCGTGGTCTGGGCATCCTCATGCGGGATTCAGTACTGACCAGTGACCCTACATGGGTATGAATGGGGGTCTACCTCTCAGTATGCAGCTCAACTGCGTTCTACAGAAAGCAAGAATGGGATTGAGATCATGAAGAATGTAACGAACAATGAATCATGGTCGTCAGCTGGTGCGCGATTGTGTTTTAGTTTTACGTCCGCGTCGTCCGGATCGTCCGATCAATGCTTGAATTCGACAGCCGGAGGCACAATTGCATGTTTCATGCAATAGCTCCTATCCCACGTGCCTCGAGTCCGGTGTATCGGGGCATGTGGTCCCGTGGGGTGTGGCCCCTGTTTTCCGAGGTTTTCGCAACACTGGCAGCGAGGACTCAGGACAGTGAGAGAGAGTGACCCAGCTGGAGGAGGTCGGTTGGAGGTATCGGAGTACATACATAGAGTATGCGTGGCGCGTTCCGACGAGGGCGGTCAGGTCGTAGTACTTATACCGAGCGTGCTGGCATATGTGGCAAAAGTCTCAGCGGCGGGGGCCTTACCATCCCATCTTTGAGCGGCATTGATATTCTTTGATATTTGAGTGTCCGGCCGAACTTGGAGGTATTGACAACACTGCGCAGGCATACGCATGCACGCCTAACGTACATACTGCTGTAAAGACGCCACGTATAAATAATTATATGTATATTTCCTCCGTACGATACGAGTATAGTCACCGTACGAATCAAACCTCTCCGTCGACACTCGGACTCGGACAGTCGGAACTTCTCGGGAGATGGTCAATGAGGCGAGGCAGATTATGTAGTCCATCTGAGCGCGATACGAGACGGAGTACTAGTTCAAGGACAAGGTGAGATAGTCATAGTCTTGGGCTTGGGGCTTGAGGGATAGGCATGGTGCGGAATACTCTGGAATACTGAATACGCCCACAGAGGGATCTGTTATTGGTTATTGGTTATTGGATATGGCATTCGTCGGAAAGTGTGTCCTTTTGGGGGTTAGCGCAGACTTGCTTGTGGGCAGGGTTGAACGTTGACAAGCAAGCTGAAGACGGGACACTTTGTTTACTTTGAGGTACTCACGGTGTTGGGACAGGGGGTTGACTAGTGCTAGGAAGGAAGGAAGGGAGGTGGCACGAGGGAAGGGCGAGGACGATGAGGATCGACCATCGACAATCGACAATCGGGGTGAAGGTTGACTCTGACTCGGATACGCTTTGAAGAGGGGGAGGGGATCGGGCGTTACAGTGGATGCAATGGGAGCGATAAGCGGTGTCTTTGAAGTCAATCATGTTTCAAGTATGGCATAGAGAGTCGAGCTCAAGTACAGTAAGGACGACATAGAATCCACAGGACGCTCGAGCAGACGGGAAGGAACGCATCCGATGAGCGACCGTACGCTCGTAGAGAGTCCTCGGACCCGTGTTGTCCCGTGCAATGCATGGAAGAAGGAAAGGCAAGGCTAAAAAGCTGCTGAATAAGTCATCTAACGCCCTGAACCTCTGTGAACATGACGTGCGAGAGAAGTTGAGTTAAAGATTCCCAGCAGCAGAGTATGTATGCTCGAGACTCTCTTGTGCGCGGGCCGATAGCAGCATGTTTTTCATTGAGGATGGGCGGAGTTGGAAGTTTATGCAGAGTGGCAGACAGAGGTAAAGTGAGAGACTGTTTGGGAGCGAAGACGGGTAAGAAGCAGCGCCGAGAGAGAGTGCGTTAGAGGAGAGGTTGTCTATTCATAAGGATGACGAAGAGTTGGAAGAAGCGATTCAGAGGTGCAGATGGGGATGGTTGATGAGGACCAGGTGGTGGGTGTGAGAGTCGTGCAGAGTCTGCCGGGGCCATGAGGCTCGGGAGGAGAAGGGGAAGGGGTGATCAGGAGTCGAGGTAACAGAGTGAGCTTAGAGGGTAGGACGAAAGAGGACGATGGATGAAGCAAACAGAGTGGCGCCCAGAGAGAGAGAGAGCACGTTGGAGGGCGAGCGGGGAAGACGGGCGGTTGTAAGAGACGCTGGACCGAGGAGGTGGCGGGAGGAGGTGGTTGTGCGCGCTTATTGGGGTCTGCTCTTGACATTCGTGATCAGCCGTCGACGCCGCTTCAACAGCTCGCTTTTATCCACCCGCACAACACATGCCACGCACCCCTTAGCCGTTCCCCGTCCCTCACTCCTACCGCCACCAGCCCTATCCCCCCGTCCTCGACACCGTCCCCGTCCTCGACACCGTCCCCGACGATGGACGTCCACTCCCAGTCCCACTTCCACATCCCCAACCCCGCCGACCAGCACATGCAGTACTCCCCCAACCACCAGCACCACCCACAGCAGTGGCCGTCCCGCCTTCTGCCTCCCGGTCCGCCCCAGTCCTCCTACTCGTCACCCGCGACGCCCTCCACGACGCTCGCAGACCAGTCCGCCTTCCCGAACTACTACCAGCACCCGCAGGATGGCTTGGTCGACCGCCACTCCCTCTCCCTCAACCTCTCCTCCCTCTCCGTCGCTTCCCCGACTAACCTCTCCCCCATCAACCCCTCCCCCCATGCCTCCACCGCGACCAGCGGCGTGTCCCCCATCACACCCATCAGCCCTTCCAATCAGAACATCGCTCAACAAAACTTCGCACATCATACCCAGTTCAACCACCACCAGCACCAGAGCCAGTTCTCTTTTGCTCCCCCTGACCACGGCATCCGCTACGACGACCCCCAGCAGTACGAGCTAAACGCCCGTCGCGTCGCTCTCAGCAGCCGCTCTTCCTCCTCCTCCGATAAGTCCATTCCCAGGAAGCGTTCCTTCAACGGCCTCCCCACTCTCTCCACAAACGTAGAGGAGTCCATGTACGACGACCCCAACTCCGTCATGGACCTCGGTCAGCACACCGGCTTTGATGAGGTTGACATGACATACACCGCCATGGACCCAAACGGCAGCCCTATCGACGGAAACTCGAGCAATGGAGAGCAGGACGAACAGGGCAAGTCCCTGGACGCCCAGCCGTCCTCCTCACAGTCCCAGTCGTCCCTCCAGGCCGGAATGCCGAATACACTACCCTCAAAGCCGCTCGGCACAAATAACTTTGTAACAAAGCTATATCAGTGCGTGTCTTTCACAGCTCCCCTCCCTTTCAGCGGACTCTTATCATTCTACCGGCGACCCTCTTGCGTGCAGAATGATCAATGATCCGAAATCTGCCCATTTCATCGCATGGACAGAGCTCGGCACCAGGTATGTCTCCGAATCATTCTCTCGTCACGGTTTCATGACGCGTATCTCCCTTCCAGCTTCGTGGTCTCCAATGTCGGCGAGTTCAGCCGGAGCATCCTGGGCTCTCACTTCAAGCATAACAATGTAAGTGGTCCACGATCGACCCGTAGCGCCCGTGCTCCGAAACGCGTAGACCTGATGATGATGTGAAACACTCAGTTTTCCAGCTTTGTGCGCCAGCTGAACATGTACGGCTTCCACAAGATCAATCGAGTGAGTCTCTCCCCCATCCTCGCGGACTCCGTCCTTTGTGGCACCATATCCTCAATCTCCATTTAACCGCACAGACACCGCGTGCCCAGCGCACTTCTACCGATGCCCAGACGTGGGAGTTCTCGCATCACAAGTTCCTCCGCGGCCGCCCAGATCTCCTGGAAGAGATCAAGCGGAAAGCGCTCGAGCCAGACCCCTCCATCAAGCATCGAGTCGAACTCCCCGGCGAGGTCGCAGCGCAGCTCAACCAGATGCGGGACGAGAATCGACGGGTCGCAAACTCGCTCGCCGCCGAAAAAGTACGCTTTGACCGTCTCGCCCACGTCACCAAGGCTCTCTACGAAATGGTCTCCAAAAACCTCCCAGGCGGCAGTAAGTCCACCCCTATCCCCCATCTTCTTTCGCCGCACTGGGTTCATAAATGTTAACCTATATACGTACCCCCGTCTTCTTTCGTCTTCCCTTCCTGACGTCACCCACCGTGATCACCCGCGGCCTTCCCTCTCGGCTCTTTTATCATCTCTATTTTGTGCTTGTAGTGCCGATACCGTTCCCCTCAGACCTTGTCGATCCTACCGGCGAGAGTCCGAACATCTACATCACGTCACCTACCATGACGGTCCCTTCCCACCCATTCACCCATCACGCGCCGTCTATGCATTCCCTCTCGAGCACCTCTCTCCACTCCCTAAGCCCCAACTCGAGCCCCACCACAGCGGAGTTCCCCACGCACGTGCACGCACATAGCCTTTCTCGCCAGCCCTCGTTCCAACACCCCTACGACCCGCATCTCACGGCTCGCTTCGACCCCCCGCTCTCCACGCCTCTGCCTCCCTCGCCCGGCGCCATGGGACCCGGCACGCCGATGGATTTCGACGACCTCCAAGGCCGTAAGCGCCAGCGGATCGTCTCGAGCAACGTGTCGAACGATACGAAACGGCTTTCGCGCGCGCGCAGCGATTCGGCGCCGCTGGGGTATGCCATGGGCCAGACTTGGGGGACGACGAGGCCGAGGAGCGGAAGCGGGCTGGCCCCGAGGCCGCCTTCGGTGAGGAGGGAGGACGTTATCGTTCCTAGTATCGGGAGCGTCGCGCGCGCGGCGAACGCGAACGCGAATAAGGTGGTGGGGTCGCAGGGACAACCCCTGATTCCGATTGCACCTGCGATGAAGCAATCTCCGGAGTAAAACCTGGCGGGCGTTGTTCTCCTTAAAATGCACCCCCGAGTAGGTGCTTAGTGAGTCGTCGTGTTGCGTCGTGTTGGATTGCATGGACTGGTGCGGCTTGTTGGGTCCGATGGTCTCCCTGGTTCGGTTCGGCTGCTCGTTGCTTTGGACGCCCTGTGTGATCTTTCAGTTGCCGTCGCTTGTTGCTTCCCCCTCGTCTCTTCGTCTTTTGCTCTGTCTCACTCACCTCACCCTCTATATCTCTACCAACCAACCCAACCCACATGCTCCATGCGCTCCTGTCTCCATCTCCATCATATCTTCATACAATGCTCATATAACCACATAACCACAAGCCTCACAAAAAAATTCATTATCCATCATCATCATACCATGTCTCCATCTTGCTCGCTCACATTGCTCACATAAACATTACAGTCATTTCTCGTCACTCTTCAGGTCTTTTCTCTCATTGATCATCCACATACGTGCAGCACGGACGTTCGTTTTTTATCTACAGTTTATCCAACTTTTGCCGTTCTTTGTCTTGTCTTGGTTTTTTTCGCTTCTCGCTTCGTGTGCTGCACGGTCCGGTTCTCGAATCTCTGTTCTCTGTCTCGTCTTTTCCAGTGCGTTCATCTTTCACTTCTACCTCCTTCATTTACGTGTGCTTTTTTTGTCATTTATTATGGGGCCCGGCGATCGTTTGCTTTTCTTTTCTCTCGATGCTTTGCTCAATACCCCGTCGTCGTCGTCATCACTCCGTCTGACATCACGCACGGTCTTTCCTTCGTTCGCTCGGACTGATACCGGTATTAATCCTCGTCGACAGCTCTTCAAACGCTCCGTCTGCAATTTGCTGAGTTCGCTTTGGTCCTTTCTTTTTCGTGTGTATACGTGTTCGGCTCTTTGCTTGATTCATTGCTTTTTTTCCCTGACATCTTTGTTCCCGTCCATCTCTCATCGCCCATTGATCGGTCATCTTTGATATCTGATCTGTTCCGTCTTGCAGTTGGTAGTTGATCCCCCTCCCTGTCCATACACCCTTGAAGAGACCTTTCATCTTTTTCTTTCTACCCCGCTCCTCTCCCTTGCTCGGTTTTAGCTACTCACTAGCTACAGTCCCCGAGTCAGAGATGGAAACGTTCACGGTCGCATGCGGTCGTCCTCGGTTTTTCCTCCTACTCTTTCTTTCCTGCCTTTGGATCTTCAGATGTTCATTTCTTTGCCCTCCACCCGCGTGCGTATACGTGCCCACTGAAACCCGTCAATATTTAGATCCCCGTTTGTTACATCTCATACCATCCCATCCCGTCCCATAACCATCTTATTGAGCGTTGTGTATGATCAAGTTTTTTTGCTGAGATGCGGTGTGGTATGGTGCGATGTGGTCGTGCGAATGTGAGGGTGGGTGCGATCGTGGTCAAACGTTTCCTGTCAGTGTCAACGCTGCGTCGTTCTCCTTCAGCTGCGGCTCCTCAGAAGCTCAAAGGTGCACCCGCGCAGTATCATACTCGCTCAAGAAACGGTCTGGTTGGCATTGGGTTGGCATCGACGGCGAACGACGCCCACTGCATATATCAATGCGGCAAGAAATGTCCCGACTCCCGGCCGGCGCCGTTTCAGCAAGTTCAACCTGGTTCCTCCAAATTGACGGGAGTTTCTGTACCTCAAGGCAGGAATTCCATGACTCGACCAGATGGCAGACTCCTTCCTTTGCGGAACCAAAACCGAAACCATTCCCACTCGAGCATGGTTCGTTGATGCACGATGCGGTGTTTGGTATGGTCATTGTGCGAGGGGCCGGCACGGCGCCACTGATACCCCGTTTTGGAGATGTCGGATGTGAGGAACATTTAATATTGGAACTTGAGGCTGTGGCCCTGCGGCGCCGTCACCGTGGCGATTGGTGGGCTTAAATAAGCTTATTGTTCGGGAGTCCCCGCGCCGGAGGTTCCCAGGAAGGAAGAGTCCCAGTGGTGGCGGCGCTTACGCCGGTCTTTGTACTTTCAACCTTCAGTGGCGTGCAATTCGCCATCCTTATTCTTCCTGTTGTCTTGACAGGGCCTTGGGAGAAAGAAAAGCTGTTGTCGGGAATCATTTGTCTAGCAGGCAACTCCACATTTGGCCGGCCCTTCGCGCGCTAAAACATCGGTGAGCTTGAGAGCATACATCGTGTCTGCTATTACTTCCTTCTTTGGAAAACCGTGATTTTTGTCATCCTTGTCGCTGCGTTCATTGCTAAGTGCTGATTCGTCGAATTCAGATGCTTTCTGACCCAAACGACTTTTGGGTGGCTACGAGCAACACTCGAATTGCTCCTCTCGACATCGTTTCGGCCCAGAGTGGCCCACAAGGCCTCCGCGATGACATTCGTCGCGCGCTAGACGATGAAGCGGAAGCTATGGTACTAGCCCTATCCTCTATCCGCTCGCGCCGTAACGCGCTCTCCTTCCCGTGTCGACTACCATCCGAAGTCCTGGCCCGCTGCTTTTGGTTCCTTGTCGCCGCCGATCCACCGCGTTCTGTGTCGTACCTCGGATGGATACGCGTATTGCATGTCTCTGCGCACTTTCGACACGTCGCGCTCGCAGAACCGACGCTGTGGACGGAGATCTCATTCGGCCTTGGCCTTGGGTGGGCTGAACGGATGGTTTCTCTTGCAAAGGCGGCGCCGCTGTCCATCAGAGAGAACTCAGGTACATTCAAGCCTTCACGCAACGAAGCGATCCGGAAACTCGTGCATGACCATATACATCACATACGAGAACTCATCATCGAGGTGGACACGAATTCACTGACCGACATTGTGAACATCGCGGAGCCGGCACCGATCCTGGAAACGCTCGACCTCAGGTTTGAAAACGTGTTTTCGGCAATTACGACGGAGTACAAAGTCATCCCTACCAACTTTCTCAACGGTAGCGCCCCTCGTCTTCGAAAAATCACTTTACAAGGCTTTCAACTTCCGTCGACAGCGTTCTCGCTCCTCCTCACGGTTGTCAGTTTGTCCATCAAGCTCCCCCGCTACTCTGACACCCCATTCCAAGCGCAACTACCTTCTTGTGACACTTTCTTCTCCATGCTGGAAGCCGCCACCCGATTGGAATCCCTCAATTTGGAAAACTGCCTTCCGAGTACCACAGGAGACTCGTCTACGTTGACCTCCTTCAGAGCACGATCAATCTCGCTACCGCATCTCGCAAAGCTGCGTGTCAATGGCCTTACTGCCGACTGCGCATTCGTCCTTCGACACCTCAATTTACCGCTCAGCACTCGACTGGAAGTAATCTCACAGATCACTCAGCGTGACCGCGATGAGTCCCCAACGCCAGTCGATATCACCTCGATCCTCTTCCCCGCTCTGATACCTCACACACGAGGAGAAACATCACCACGCATCCGTACTCTGCATATATCCGCAGGGGTGCCAAGCTATAGGCACAGCGTCGACGTCTTGGCCTGGGAGACCTCTGGAACGCAGACCGATACGGGGGCTCCAATCTTTTACCATAGCCCAGAGTCGGCGACGCTTTCTCTGAAATTCGAATATCCAGTCTATCGACATCCGCCTCTGACCCACATCGTGACCCTCTTCGACCTGAGCGACCTTCGGGCGCTGGACCTGTCCGTGTCCGGTGAAGTTCTCGAAACCGACCAATGGATCAACGCGCTCCGACCGTGCACACAATTGCAGTACCTGAAGGTTACAGGAGAAAGCAGCTCTGTGATTCGATTCTGTTGCGCGTTGCTGCCTGCGGAGAGCGTGAAAGCGCCTTCGACCGCGAAGTCGCGTGGCGGCGGGAGGGGCAAGCGAAGAAAACAGAAACGAGGCGGAGCTGCTCTTCGTAACAGCAAGGCTGAGAACTTAGCCGTAGCGGGACCTTCCAACGCCGAAGTCTTCCTTCCGAACCTCATCTCTCTGGACCTCCACAGAGTAGACTTCGAAAGCTTCACGCCTGGTCACAATGAACCATTCTTTGACGTCCTTGTCACCATCCTGTCGAAACGAAAGGCCATAGGCAAACCGCTCCAGAGGCTTTCACTAGCTGAGTGCATTGTCCAGGAAGACTGGGTGACTAATCTGGAGGAGGTCGTGCCGCGGGTGGAGTGGGACGAAGACACGGGATCTATGAACGAAGAGGACGATGAGGACGATGAAGAGTTTGAGGATAGGCTATACTATGGGGAGGAGTCTTATGACTACTATAGCGACCCTTACGACAATCCCTTATACGACTCTGAACTCGATGATCTTGCCTTGGGCTGGTGATCCCTTCCGTTGATTCTAGCTTGTTCCCCCAGACGATCGATATTGATACACCCTATGTAATGGACATTTTCGTCGTATGTCATCATCACTCCGTCTTCAGCTTGTACGACTAGTATGCACAGATAGGGGCCCTCTATCCCGAGTGCATTCTGTGGGTAGAGACTGCGATACGTCCATCTCTCTTAAGTTTCATTAACCTATGACTTGGCATCTCCTGGTTGTATCACCCATGGAGGTGACCTACTTATGTCCGGTGCTGCCAAAATAGACCCAGCGTTGTTCATGGCCTGTGAGTATAGCGTATCATCGCAGGACCCTCATTGCACCGGTGCCAATCACCTTTCGGCCTGCCGAACACGCCGTAACTCCATGAGTGACCCAGGCATTCATTACGGAGGACGCATCTGGCGTAAACCTCCACTCCCACATCGCCTTGGAACCCGAGCGCGTATTCGCCACGGGCGACTGGACGTAAGAAAAGTCAGAGTATGAAGAACGTGAACCTCGTGATGCATGGTGCATACGCAAATCAATCACCTTGGTTCGGTTCTGCCATGCTGTCGGAATGTAGACCTTGTGCGGGGATAGATTGGCAGTAAGAGTAAACGAACTAGAAGAGCCTTGTGCACAGGTTCGTTTGCATCAAGGTGTTGTTAAAAGGAAGGCGGGTGTGTGTAGTGCGGTCAAAAGCTCGAGCGTCACTTTGTCAAAGCGTGAACTTGATCACTGGATCGAGTGCAAAGTCACACCTACAACTGTGCACTGAACAGTGCTGACTCCACTAACGTGAGGTAAATAGCACTCTGGGGTCGTAAAGTCATAAGGTTGTGCCAATGTTGCGCCATGATAGCCTTGGACTGTTGCTCTCATGTACAGTGTCAACGAGAGTAAGATTAGGGTGCAACCGCGTCAAGTGCCAGACGTGCACTGTGTGTTATTACAAGCAAAGCGAGAGACAACGAGGGCCATGACGGTGCATGTAAGTACGTTGAGATGAGGGGGAAAGAAGTCCAAGCGACCCGAAGCTCCGCGAAACCAAGAAGATTAAACGACTGGACGCGCGCCATTGTGCGAAGAATGAACGACCTAAGGCCCGGGCGCTCGGCCATTCGCCTCTGAATACTCATGGACGTAGCGTAATGGTGGAGGATTTTCTGGCTGAATGAGATGAGGAAAGAACAAACCGTCATGGACGGATCTCGTGAGCAGGATAAAGGAGAAAGTTCAGGCATATGATGGGATATGAACCACCTGAAGGCTGAACTTACATACCTCAGGTTGTGCACGCCACGCCGCCAACTCGCCATATTCCCTGCTCCGCCCATTTCGACGACCATTGCTCCTCGGAGCAGCCGCACCTCCGTTCGCATAGAAGGCATGCTCCATATCTTCTCTCTGTAATTCCCTCTCCCTGTCCCGTTCCCGCTCTCGTTCCCGCTCTGATCGTTCCGTGTGTCGGTCTCTTTCCATCTCTATCTCCATCTGCCGCTCCCGGTCTCTTTCTCTCTCAAGCTGCATCTCACGCTCCCTTTCAGCGTATTCCAGACCTCTCTCCCGCTCCAAGTATTCCCGTTCTCTCTCCATCTCTATCTCACGCCGTCTGGCATAATCCCGCTCTGCCTCCATGCTTGGGTGTTCTTCTCTGTAAGGAACACCGTTACCAGCACGATCAAGAAAGGGAGTCATTTGAGCATATTCAGTAAGCGATGCCGCTGCTTCTGACATGAGTACTGCATCGAGTAGGGCGCTGTATGAAGGATGAACGAGGTAAGACGGATGCAAAATCAGCTTGGGAAGACGATGATGGAGAGAATTATGGTGCGTGGACGCACTCAAGCTCTGCCTGCATCTTCTGTTCTTTTGCAGTAGCAGTTGCAAGCTTTTTCTTCGTTAGTTGAAGATCCTGATACCATTCTTCAGATATTATGATAATGAAGGCCGAAGGAACGAGCAATACGCACGACCGTCACTTGATCGTACTTCTCTCGCAATGCTTGGAATCTACACAGCACGTTCACGGTTCCATCAACTCACTGGTGATCAGTCTGAGCATTTATTCTGCAAACGACATACTTCTCTTTGAACCGTAACGGTCGGTGTGTCTGCGAGATCTGCAGGAGTGGCACCGTTGGGCCTGGGGTCTGAGAGTTCTGGAACAGGGTGTCAGACCCTTGCACTGAAGATGTGAATGGACAGCAAATATTAATTACTCGTTGCTCTGGACTGATACCTGCAGGCGATTCATGTCGAAATGTGAGGACCGTCGACGACGATGAGGATGGGGTGGGGTTCATGGTGGTGAGCGATGAAGTCCTCGGCAAGCAATGATCGACGCCACGAACGCGACGCGACAGGACCCGGGTCTATAGAGGGGGAGGTTGAATACTAATCCCCCAGTTCTGAACCGTCCAGAGGGTAGAAGGTTGGATACGTTAGTAGGATGGTCCCCCAGCGGGATTCGGTCCCGGAAGCGAAGGTCGGATCCCGATCCCCCAGTGGGACTACCAAATCTGGATTAATACTCCATTTTTTGGCCTTCGGCCGGCCTCCGGTTCCTCAATCCCCCAGTTTCCGACCGAAAAAAGTCGAGGTCGGAGGCGCCATCCCCCAGTGGATTTCCTTATAAGGAATCCCCCAGTAAACCCCGAAAATCATCGATTTTGGTATTCGACCTCCCCCTCTATAAACCCGGGTCCTGACGCGACCCGCCAACGGGCCGGGCCAGGCTCTCCGATGCGGGGGTGGCACAGTGGGCCACATCGTGGAGTGCTGAAGAGTGTGCAATTTCGGTGAACTACTTACTATCGGAAAGCAGTTATTTGACGCTGTAAGTATGTATTCGGTGACATTCTACAGAGCAGCACAATGACAAGGTGACTGCGGGGCTCAATTTTCGGTAAAGAATATCCACCCAGGTACATGACATCCTATTCTGCCCGGCAATGTAGAGAAGAAAACTCGATTAAGTCCTGCAAAACGTCCCATCGAGTTACAGAAATTGAGTACAGTGGACAGCTCCTATTATCCTTGACGCGATCTGCCAATTCCCAGAACACCCTCACATCCCCGAAGTTCGAAATTTCCGCCCCATGTACTTCTTCCCCTCTTCAAAAAGACATAATCCAGAGACATCAACTCCGGATAGGTCGGCGAGTAAGGCGCTGGCATCCAGACGCGGGATTGTATCTGCCTTGTCGAGTCTAGTGTTGTAGAGAGGATCAAAGCTGACAGGTCGCCTAGTTCTGTGCAGTCAGTAGAAGGTCAGGGTCTTAATTCAAAGCGTGCGGGAGAACTAACGGCGCGGGTCGCTTCGTTTCTTTTGAGGACATCGGATACGAGCTACGAACAGCGGATCTGGGTCGAGAAGGGAGCAAGTGTAGTCGCAAAGGAGCAGAGTGACGAGGCTTGAGATGAGAACGAGAGCGTTGTCGAAACAGTCTGAGTTCTAGTTCGAAGTCAAAAGTCTCCACAGGCCGCGTAAGAATGGCTTTTTGAGCAGGATGTGAGGTTCCGACTGAGTTCTCGTGAAGAGACCGTTTCAGCGAGCCTGAGGTGGTTGGCGTGTAGTTCGAAGGTGTAGAGACAGAGATCAGTTTTCGAGAGGCCTGAGAAGTTGGATCTGGAGCAGCAGCATCAGCATCATGGGCGCGTGGGGTAATATCTTCACGAAGGTGAAAGCGATGCTTCTTTGGTGGTCGTTCAGAGCGTTCAGAGGACGAGAGCCGACGCTTGGCCTTGTTTTTCCTGGAGAGCCGTAATTCGGAGTGAGGCATATTCTCCAGGAAGAGCATCTGGAGTACTTCGTCGTCGCTTTCAACCTCGACTGGGTTCGGATGAGGTGCATGGCGGATATCAAGGACGCTTGGAGCATAGGCCGTGTTATGTTGTATTGAGGCAGGGACTGGCTCAGAAGAACCGGCGATATTGGCTATATGAGGGTCAAATTCATAAATGGGCTCCAGTGAGACACAATATATGCGCAAAAAATCATACCATCAAGGACGTAATCGCCTTTGGGGATTGGTAAACCACGTCGAACGCATTCTCTAATCCAGTCCGCGTTGAAAACCTGTTCAAAGCAAACGAAGTCATCGTCAGATTTTCCCTCAGGCATGCACATCTACAGGAAATATATCCGACCACTACGGCCATGCCAGATAATCTAAGTTTCCAATAAGTAAACTTGTCACATGGGAGAGAATGTTTCAAAATGAACGAACTTCGAGACCCATGGATCAGTCGGACTACTGCAGAAGTAGTATAGGGCGGTGCCACGTTCTTCCTCTTCAAGAGCCACAGATCCACCATGCGAGGCTAAAAGACCCATCGAGGAGATATTAACGAAATGTATCTCCGGCAGACAAGGATGACAAGGAAGGTTTTGGAGCGGCATGTTCACCCCAGGTATGCACGGTTATCTTGGAGACGAGAGGGCTGAAACAGGCTGGCGGAAGGTCAATGCTTTGGTGTGAAATAGAAAGTTCAAGTGCATGTACCTAACCCAGAGAAAAGCGACATCGAGCGAAAGTCCGTTGAAAGTTCGGATTCAAGGTGGTGGTCGCTGGTTAAAAGAAGTGGCGACGCCACATGTGGCCCATCGGGTTTCGTAGAGAACCGGAACGCGGGAGCCGACGTTGTTTGCGCGGGACAAACGCAACGCGCCCGAAACCGACAGCGACGACGACAAACAGCAGGCCTGCACTCCCTCTTTCCCTCAATTTCCCGTAACACTATGGCTTCTAGGATCGCCATCGGCTCTCTCAGAGCCTCCGGTGCGCCTTTTATTCCCTTGTTCATGCACAGACTTTCGTGTACTCAAAATACGAATTTTTGTTGTCTCGGATAGCTTCGCGCGTTCGCCCTCAGGCAGCCGCTGCCATCCCTCGACTTATGCAGGCGTACGTCTACTTCTAGAATTTATGGACGTCATATGGAGCCTACAGAACGATATTCATGCTCTTTTGTGTGGTCTATAGACGGACGATGGCTTCCTCGTCTGACCCCAAGCCTCCCGCCGAGCGTGCCTCCGAGGTCGTCAACTCGCTCCCTTCCTCCCCGAATCTCGTCACGAAGACCGGAAGCGTCATCCTCGGCACTGGTATCTTGGCTGCCGCTATCTCCCAGGAGCTCTATGTGTTCAATGAGGAGACTGTCATCGCTGCTGGCTACCTGATCCTCTTCACCTACATTGCCAGGGTGCGTCCTGTTCCTCCCTTTTCATCTTGCACCTTACTTACTCCGGAATGTGTCTACTTCTCGTGGTTGACTGTTTGTGGTGATTGAATACTGGATGCTTGATCTGTATGGATACTGCTGGGCTCTTGACGGATGGCTTCGGCGTGAACTAGACCATCAGGACTCCCTACAAGGACTGGGCCGAAGGCCACATCAACCGCATCAAGTCTGTTCTTGAGAGCTCTCGCGCTGAGCACACGCAAAGCGTCCAGGAGCGTATTGACAACGTCAACCAGATGAAGGATGTCGTTGCCCTCACCCAGGGTCTCTACGCTGTCGCCAAGGTGCGCATCGCAATAGTTCATCGTTGGTCATCGCTCACGGTCGTCCTCGCTACTCGCCAATCTGTACATCGGTCTTTAGGAGACTGCCGTGCTCGAGTCTGAGGTCTTCGTTCAGCGCCAGAAGGTCGCCCTCGCGTCCGAAGTCAAGACCGTCTTGGACAGTTGGGTCCGCTTCGAGCAACAGCAGAAGGAGAACGAGCAGGCCCAGCTCGTCAAGACTGTTGTTGACAACGTGCTCAAGAACCTCAACGAGGAGAAGACGCAGAAGGAGGTCCTTGCCTGGGCTGTCAGCGAGGTTGAGCGTACGTCTTTTCCTGTTAATTTGTTCATAACCGGTGAACTCTGGCATCTCACGCGTTTTCATCGGTGGATTTTAGAGCTCGTGAAGAGCAAGGCTATCTGAAGTGTGACGGACGGTTGTTGCGCATTGAAAATCATGTAGACCGGGCTTGGTTGAATAGACTGCGTTCGGAAATGAATGACGTTCCTGAGTATTGAATGTCTTACACGGTTGATCCCGAACATCCCGAACTCGCACCTTTGTAGTATACATAGACATTGTGGTTTCTCCTTTATTATAGCCTTTGAGGATGCCGACAAGGTATAGTTGTGCGTGTACTCAAAGGCAAGAAAGAGGCAAGCGGATAAACACAGAGATTGGCGGTTGCCGAAGCTGCCGTGACGACGCGCTTTCAGCAACTTTTCAGTTCGGAGCGCGGCGCGTGCAACCAACTGCAACTCGGACCCCCTCACCCATCTCTTTCCGTCCGCCTTCATTGTCTTTTCTATTACGACTACGCTACTTTCTACGTCTTATTTCTCGACAGTAGCCCATCATGGATAGCGATCTCATTCAGCTTGTCAACAAGCTACAGGATACGTTCAGTAACCTTGGTGAGCATGCAATCCCGGTTTCAGACGCGTCGGCAGTCCTGAACGTCATTGCATAGGTGGAGAGCTGGACATGCCACAGTTGGCAGTGGTGCGTGCTCTCCGTCTTTAATTCCGGTATGTACTTCAATTGAAGCCTGTTTGCCATGCCTAGGTGGGAAGTCAGTCTGCCGGCAAGTCCAGCGTACTCGAAAAGTACGCGCTTTATTCATGAAACACTGTCTCTCTTGACACCCATTTGACCTGTCAACCTTCGTCTCTCCACTCTTTTCAGCATCGTAGGAAGAGACTTTCTCCCGCGAGGCCAAGGAATTGTCACCCGTCGTCCACTCGTACTGCAACTCATCCACACACCCGTACCCGAAACCGCTCCGGGAACACCAGCACCGACATACACAGAATGGGGTCAATTCCTCCACATAGACAAGCGGTTCACCGACTTTAATGAGATTAGAAATGAGATTCAGCAGGAGACGTTCAGGGTGGCTGGGCAGAACAAGGGCATCAGCAAGCTTCCAATCAACCTCAGGATTTACAGCCCGAATGTTCTGGATTTGACTCTGGTAGATCTGCCGGGTTTGACGAAGGTGCGTCTCCTCATTTTCTCGGTTTAATTCTATGTCTGGGAGCGGCGGGATTAAATTTTGGCGTTGGGGGTGCTTTGAAATGACAACAGATTCCTGTGGGCGACCAACCTACCGACATTGAACGACAAATCCGGGGCCTCGTCATGGACTACATCTCAAAACCAAACTGGTAACCCTCTATCCTGAACTCTCAAAGGCAAATGACGTGACTCATTTCGACCCCACAGCGTCATCCTTGCCGTTTCCGCTGCAAATATTGATCTAGCCAACTCAGAATCGCTCAAACTGGCACGCTCGGTCGACCCACAAGGCCGTCGAACGATCGGCATCCTCACAAAGCTGGACCTCATGGACGCAGGTACAAACGCGTCGGATATCCTTACTGGTCGAGTGTATCCACTCAAGCTCGGATTCATCGGCGTCGTCAACCGTAGTCAGCAGGATATCAACGTGGAGAAGAGCATGAAAGATGCCTTGGACAGCGAATCGGAGTTCTTCGTACAGCATCCTGCATACAGAAATATATCGCACAAAAATGGCACAAAATACCTGGCTAAGACTCTGAACCAGGTCTGTGGCGATCGGTGTTCGAGAATGGCCGTGCAACAACCTGTATGTCATGCTAACCCGTCTTGTCCATCTAGGTTCTGCTCAATCACATCCGCGACAAACTGCCGGACATGAAAGCACGCCTGAACACTCTTATGGGGCAAGCTCAGCAGGAACTCAATTCTTTCGGGGATGCAGCCATATACGGTGACGCAAACCAAGTACGCTTTGGTCACCTTATTTCCCCTTCCATTCTATTAACCCCCTAACTCACTTTTTAGCAAGGCGCTTTGATTTTGCGGTTGATGACCCAGTTCGCCCGCGATTTTGTGTCTTCGATTGAAGGCACCAATGTCGATATCTCCACCAAGGAATTGTCTGGTGGCGCTCGGATATACTACATCTTCAACGACATTTTTGGGCACGCGTTGGCGTCTATTGATTCCACGTCCAACCTGGATAATCAGGACATCCGAACCGCTATTCGTAACTCTACAGGTCCTCGACCGAGCTTGTTTGTGCCAGAGGTCGCCTTTGACCTACTCGTCAAGCCCCAGATTAAACTGCTGGAAGCACCAAGTCTGAGATGTGTGGAGCTCGTATACGAGGAACTGGTGAAGATCTGCCACAATTGTACCAGCCACGTAAGCGCCACTCCTGTTTGCTTTATTTTCGTTCATGTCTCATCATTTTGTTTTGGGTAAACCTTTCTCTAGGAACTACAACGTTTCCCTCGGCTTCATGCCCAGCTGATTGATGTCGTGTCGGAACTTCTGAGGGAGCGTCTTGGGCCCACTTCAGAATACGCGCAAAGCCTCATCGAGATCCAAGCCGCGTACATCAACACGAACCATCCTGCGTTTATCTCAGGCTCCGCAGCGGCAACACACGGTAGTTCCATGCCTCCTCCCAGACAAGCGGTACCGCCTAGGGTAAGTATCAATAGTTTTTTTTGCGCTGCGTGTCTTCTAATGCCCAACTTCTTCGCAGCCGGCGTCAGCAGAACCACTCATGATGAACGGAACATCTCTTGACGGTGAAGAAGATGAATCGACCGAGGACGGGGCAAGCGTGAACGGACTCGCGGTACCCTCCCGAGATGGGCGTTCTGCCTCTGCTACATCTTCACGTACAGCTGTGGCCTCCACCCTGGGAAGGACGTCGGCGAAAGCAGTTCATACCCATCGTCACCACTCACCCCGGCATTCTTCTGCACAATCACAACCGGGGACCTCAGGCTCGCCGCCCTCTGCCCGCGAAACTTTCCTGAATTACTTCTTCGGCCAAAACGGACCCGGTCCCATTTCTGGCTCGAGCTTAGACAGGTCCAGTGCGGGCCACATCACTTCCTCGGGTCGTGACGTGTCTGGGGCGGATCCTTCGATGCAGACGGGACTCATGGCCACACCAGCACGGGATGGGAATACGGCGGCGTTCGATATGAAGAGCTTAGGGAAGCATATCGAGGCTGTAAGTTGTTCTCTTCATCACCGCTTTGCTTGCGATTGCCCATTGAGTGAACCCCTCTGCCAATAATATAGGTCTCGTCTGATGGCGGCCCGCATATGACAATGCGGGAGGAAATGGAGACGAACCTCATCAGGTCCTTGATCGCGTCCTACTTTTCCATCGTCCGGCAAAGCATCCAAGACCTCATTCCAAAAGCGATCATGCACTTTCTCGTCAACCACACTTCGCAGCACGTACAGAACAGGCTTGTGTCGTCGCTGTACAAGCCCGATCTGTTCCAGGGTCTGTTGAACGAGGATGAGGCCATGGTCGCGGAGCGAACGCGGGTGAAGGCGCTGTTGGATGCGTACAAGGAGGCTTTCAAGACCCTTTCGGAAGTCAGCTTGAAGTCAACATAGATATGCTTCCCCTTACATGTTATACACGCATACCCTCTTGTCTGTTCCCATGACGTGCATGTATCCGTCGTCTACGAGTAGTTATTTTACGTCGCGACAACCTTCCGGATCCTCGAAGGTTGAGCATTCATTCCCCGATTCGCTAGCTTATGTTGTCTACTTGCTTTGCACCGCCCAATCTCAGCTATAGAAATCTTGGTGAGATGTGGCCAATCATGGTCTGAAGCTGTTTCACTGTCCGTATCCATGTTCAACGTGAGTCTAGATGTGTAGCGTGTATGATATGAGTATCTATATTCTTCCAGCGCAAAATAACAGAATCGTAACAACAACATTAGTATCCCAACAAGCAAATAGGAGCGGGGTCACAAGATACGGTACTATTAACTCTCCGCGGTATAGAAGGGGGCGAGGGTGGTCCGATGAATACAACCGTAAGATTTCAACATACACAGCAGGCGAGAAGAGGCTATGGCTGAGTAACAGACTCGTCAGGAGCCCGACCCTCCACAGCGATCCAGTTCTCAGGATTCTGAATCTGTGCACTGCTCGAAGCGCTTTGGGATGCGCGGTTCACGCTCTCCCCTTCTGACGTGATACTATCCTCGGTATCAGCCTCGTTGGCAGTGACCTGCTCAGACTCATCTTCTGAAGAGGACTCCTCGCTCTCGGCGTCACTGTCGGCAGGTGAGACCGGTGAGGGCATCATCATGTGCGGCGGTAGAGTTGTTGGTGGAGGCGGGTTGGGTCCTGGATGTGATACATAAACCACATCCGATGATGTTCCCGAGAGCATCTGTTGAGGATAGCCGGCTTTCTTTGCACGCCTTCGGGCCTCCTTCTTCTCAAGCTTCTAGGTACCGAAGGTCAGTTATTAAGAACGGAAATGATGCGAACGTAAAGCGACACTCACTTCTTTGGTTAGCGTCTCTTCCCTCTATTAAGACAAGGTGTGAGAGTCGAATGGCGAGCATGAGAACAGCGGAGAACGTACTGCCTTGGCACCTGCTTCTTCTCGCTGTGGCAAGCAATGAGACCGGGGCTTCACGGATGTAGATAAAACGGCAACATACCTCTTTGCGAGCAAGATCCTCCGCCTTTATTAAAAAAGATGGTCAGGACTCCATCGATCGGGAATTGTGTCACAAGAAGAAGCAAACCTCTTTCTTCTCCTTTGCCTCACGCTGTACAATGAACTTCATTAATACATAGCCTACCGAGGTATGGAAGCAGAAACAACTCACCTCTTCCTTCTCTTTTCTGAGGCGCGCGCGTGACTCGCGCTCCGAAATAATCCTGAGAGTACGATTAGGGGAGCTGGCAGCAGAGCATTCGCGACTACGTACCACCCGACGACCTCGTCGACGCACTCTCTTGGGCGGGTCTTGTTCTTTAATAGATAACCCTGCAAGCTAGCAACCTGTGACACGTTCATCGTCAACTTCGCTGTACGAGTCGCAGGTGTGGGTGGATTTCACATACACTCAATTCGTCTTCAGGAATAGCATCTGCGAAGCGCTTGGCCAATTCAGCCAGTTCAGAATCTGCGAGCAATGGAACAGCCTGCGAAGAGGCCCTTCGCTTCGAAATAGGCAAGTTCTTCTGCGAGGCATCTTGCGTGGACGAAGACGCCGTTGGAGAAACCGTCCGGGATGGGAAGAAACATTTGAAGATACCCTCAGCTTGCCATTTGGTCGCGTTCTTGAAGTTCACCCACACGTCCATGCGACCCGGCCTGCTGAGAGCAGGATCGAGACGCTCAATGTGATTTGTAGTGGCAAACAGAAGGCTGAACAGGAGACGGACGAATCAAAACATATTCGAGGGGCAGGGAAAATATAAGAGCTCACCGGCCTTCTGCCGCCGCTACACCGTCTAGGCTGTTCAAAAGGCCGCTCAAGCTGAGAGTCGACCCGTCGCTTGCAGCAGCCTCAGCAGGCGTCTTTGCAGTAGCCACAGGAGTGGTGGTAGCTCCAGGAGCGCCTGTAGAAGAAGCGTCGCGGCTGACCGAGCGGGTAAATGCAGCATCTAGGTCCTCCAATAACAGGATACATCTAAGGCAAAAGCAATATATCAATATGGCTGTGAGCTCTGATGACTATCAAAGCGGACCGACCTTGACGGCACATTTCCCATAAGGGTGTTCAAGGTATTGTCGCTCATACTGGGGTTCTAGATTAGAAACAATCGTGATCCAACTAGCGAAGATAGTTGCTCACCCCTTCGACGAAAGGCTAACAACGTAGATATCAAGATTTAATTGGCCGGCCAACGCATGGATTAGGGACGTTTTGCCGCTGCAAAGCACCATGTTACGATCGTAGTCGTCCGATCTCGGTCATAATACACGTACCTGCCCGGAACACCATGCTGATGGAGGTCAGCCGAAAACGATCGCGGAGGGCGTATGGTGGCATACTCACCAGAAGATATCCACGCCGGAATGGAATCCCTGCAAGCGCCACAAATCCATTAGAAACGAACGATCCGTCCACCAGGGAGAAGGTTCGGGCTAAGACCTACCGCGTTCCGCATACCTACAGACGCAACGTATCAGCTACAGCAGGTGTCCCAGAATAAATGAAACATACCAGTCCTCGGAACTCAAGAAGTCTTTGCAGTCTGCTAATAGCATTTCTTTCACTTCAGGCTCCAGGACGATTGAAGTCATGGGACGTTTGGCCCGTGCACCATTCCAGCGCCAGCATCCATGAGTACTTTCCTCCCGCATGAGATGAAAGTATACATGCATGCAGAGCAAAATTACTTACGTGTCGGCCATGTAAATGTGAACACGGTGTTCGGTGTCTTTCTCATACTCACGCTTTGCCTCCAGCACGAGTTTCTTAAGGATATCGTTATTCCGCGCAACAACACTAGAGATACCCGACGTCAGCGTACTGGTTACATAAAGCGGACTTCGGACGTTCCGTGGTAAATCTCCGATTACCTGATTTTGAGTGAGGAATAATGGCCGTACTCCTCGAACTTCTTCGTCCGCGTGATCTATACGAAACGAGTTCTGAGTATACGAGGCCCGTCCCGGAATCACACGAAATAACAGACTTACGCGGAGCCAGTGGCCTCGGTAGTAAATCGTGTGCTGGGTATCTGGGTGTCGACGGTCACAAACTCATTGAGTGTGGGCAAGGGGGGCGCTTGCGGGAAGAGGATACTGACCTAAGCTAGGCAAGAAAGCCACCTTGCGCTTATTTCTCCCCTCGATCCCGTCCTCCTCTGCCATTTCATCTTCGTTCAGATCTCCCGTAGTTGCTGTAGTGAGACCACGGCGGCCTGCACTTCGTGTGGTGATATCAAACTCGCGACTACGTCCCCATGCGGGTTGCTGTGTACGGTGAGACACGTTTGTCAACCACGAGAAAGGAAGAACGGAAACGCCACCACACGAACCTTAGACAGCCAATGCATCAACCTGAGATCATTCCTGTGAGCCTGAAACTTCGTGATCTCCGACGAACGTGAGAGCTCACCAATCGTATGGATAATCATCTTGGCTGAAGTGAGCCGTGAGGAAAAATGCTGCAATCATTGTTAGGTGTAAATATAGAAAGGCATGTTACACGACTACGCACAATCTACGAAACCATTCCAAGCAGATACTGAGGCTCTGCGAGCAGTTTCTACTGTTCCTCCGATGACGACCAATTTCTGTTTAGAGAAATAGACGCCACTTTCAGCATAGGTGGCGTAGAGGGGCAAGAGAGTGGGGTGGCTCACCAGTGTATCTTGCATGGACGCAGAGACATTCCCGAAGGGAGAAAGAAAACCCTTGACGGTCTCCATAACCGAACAGAAGCAATGCAAGAAGGGGTCGTGGGCGGGAGAGTGACGGGCGCAAGTCGGAGTGCAAGTCCTGAATTTATATGAATCATGCGTGCCTCGTGTGGAAAGCCCGTGGATTGGCCGCCGATGAGGTGGATTACTCCAAGCGGATCCGCTTTCCTCGAGGCGACATTGCGGGCCACTCTCTGAGGCGCCCTTGTCCCCACCTTCATCCTTTTCCTAAGACGCTCGTTTGGGCGCGCAAGGATATTATCAGATTGATGACTATTGATAAGTCAAATGAATCATGTCTAGGTGAGCAAGCACCGTCATAACAAAGAATATTGGCCTAACACGAACAACGAGATATGAGCAGCGGCCTCGGGGGTTTGACCCTTACTAAATTAAGGATTTGTACTCACCCCTGCCGTTTCCGATTATGTCTGTTGCCGTATTGGAAACTTCGTTTGGGTTGAAGTAGTGCAAACCTGCCGTGGCGACTCGTGTCACTTGAACTCACGTCCTGCACGAGATAAGTATTTGCCCGGACGTATGTAACAACATCGCCGTAAGATAGCGGGTACGCATGTGGACTGGCAGGCCGTTCATGGATTTCGCATATCCGTCAGACGAGCAGGATCAGTGGCATCAATAACAGGATAATTGCTCACTCTCATCGCCAACAACTCTCAGGGGACTTCCTCGGAGCCGGGTTAAACACCGATATTTTGGGAGATACCGAGACCACAGTCGGCGAGGAGCAGTGAGTCTGAATGACTGCGAGCGTCATTGTCGTACGGGGCGGACGAAAAGCCGACGGGAGCTGTGAGTAGTCGGAAGTCGTTCAACTTCTGCCACGTTGAGCCGCCAGAGCCCAGCAGGGCGGGAAGAAACGTAATGCAGAACCGACTTCCAGGCATGAGGCTGGCAGCAGGCAGAGAGAATTTGAGAAGATGAATCCTCTTGCAATCAAAGACGAATATGTATATGCATCGGTCTAGAAGTCTAGGTTGCGATGAAGTCAAGGGTAGTCGGACGAAGTATAAGCTTAAGCATCGCTTGAACGATGAGACAATGGAAGGAAACCGTGCAGGTGACATTGATCCTCGCAAGGACAAGCTGGACGTTCAATTCGAACCCCGCGCAGGACAAAGTTCATTGGACGGGCCCAGACAGAAGATAGTCCATCATAATGCATAAGCGGCCTTTGGTAGGTCCTCTGACAATATTTGAACCATGGTTGCACGACTCGGACCGGAAGGAACGGGCTGGAAGAAGCATTCCATCTCAAAGAGAACAGGAGGATCAGCACCTCGTTTCAGCGCCACTAGCAGTATGAAGGTCAGTGGCATGATCGGGAAATAACAAAATATGCATGTGGACGTCAAACAAACGAAGGGGCTTCGATGACCCTGGCCCGGACACTCCTCGAAGTATGGGGTACCAGTAAACAGTATCACCATGGCTCGTCCAATCACAAAGGATAGCGTGAGGTAAAGCAACGAACATATCACAGAGGGAAGTGAAATGTACTTACGATCTACTGCTTTGCGGAACCGGGGCATAGGATATCCTGACGTTCAACAATTTACATCTGTCAACATGCCGCATTGGAAACACAAGGCGAATATAAGTAGTAACCGGCGAAAAGGGCATCGGACAATGTCCGGCGTTCAAGCTTTCAAGGATAGCGCACTGACGCCATGCAGTCGTACGCTGACAAGAGCGTTACTGAAGGGATACCTTGACCTGCCATTGAGGATGATTGTGAGAATATTCAGTATAAAATGCCTACTCTTGACGTATCCTCCACCAGAAAGGAGTGAACTCACCGATACAGGCAAACGATAGTTTGTGGCTTGGCCATTCGGCCCCCGAGTCGTAGCTGCGACAAGGTGGCGAACACGAAGCAACGCCACAAGCCCATTCTTGTACAGCCTATCGATGGCAGCACTTGCTAACTGAGCTGCAACCAGCGGAGTTAAAATACAGCACTGCTGTATTGGTCTCGCTGCCTCCGCATCCTCCGATATTTCCTTTCCCGGAGTTGACGGGATTCGCCCTGGGGGTTTTGGAGGACGCGCATGAGCGCCAGTAGCCCATCTTTTGATCATAGCAAACAGCATGCGAGTTCTCGATCATCGGCATACTATCTCCACGTACAATTGGGTACAACTGTGGTTATGATTCAGTGAACTTGCAACAGCGTAGAACCTCGACGTACAAGCATGAACTGTTTCCCTCGGAGACAGGGTCATTTTCCTCGACACGCGCCCTGTCATGGACCATCGAAGACGTCATAGTACGTGGTAAACGATGTGTAGCAGGATCACATTACAATCGCGAGCACGTCCTTCTGTGTGTACAAACGGTGAGTGCGGGGAACAGGGAATGGTCGGCCAATCGCGGCTTGACTGCACGGCTAAGGGCAGACTGCATTGGGTATAAAGAGCCTACGAGGGACGGTCGCAAAGTGGAGTAACGAACCAGACTTACATGAAGGGATGCCTCTCTGGTAAAGGTCTGGGAACAACCACTGTTGGCGTCGGCGACCTCACTGAAAGCAATCAATGGTATTCGTGCCGTCTGCTACTCAGCTCGCCTATTCGAAGTCTGGGCCGTACTTTTCAGAAATATACACGCCCAGAATACCCGTATGCGGTACCGGTTAGCTGATCTAAAGTGAACAATCTCCGCCGACGAATCGATACACCAAAAGATCGCACCCACGAGCGTCATTATCCGCTTCCTGTGCAGAGAGTAAGTGATTTGAGTACACAATGAACCTGCCACATGCTAATCGGCTACGACGAGGTAATCGCGCCTGTAAAGTGCGCAAAGTAGGGAGTTCTCGGACGTCCGAAGTTTGATGATTATAAAGTCGTGTGGAAATGAGTCTGCTAAGGAGTATCATGGTTTGAAGGGTGCTATGGATGAACCTGGGAAATCGTTGAGAAGCATAATGTGAGCCCAGATAGAATGATCCAGAGTAACGCTGACCTGGGCACCAAGCTATACAGGGAGGACTGAGGAAATCCGAGGACATGGAAGACGCATGAGAGATATGCTCCATCTTGGGACCAGATTTCATTATGCAGAGAAGCCAGTCAAAAGTTTGCGCAGTGGAGATGTCGAAAGCATGTACGACATCTCTCGGTCTGAGCCACGCATCGAAGTTCACTGTCATGACCTGTGGGATATATTAATTAAAAGCTAGACGATTAATAGCCCGCTGTTACATGTCGATTAGTCGAGGGAGGACAACACTCTCATGCCTCTCGATAAGAGGACTTACCGCGTATAAAGTACATGTGACACCTCTCGCTAGTCCCTCCTCAACAGCCCTCCCATCTCTACATCCTCCTCTTCCGCACCCGATGTGGCCACCACAAGCCCCTCGTTCATCTCTCTCTTGACGCACATCTGCTCCGCAATGATGATTGTGAGGGTCGCGCTGCCCAGCATGATGGCCCAGAAGAAAAGGGAAGTCGGTACGGCTGCCGAGTAATAAGTCGTGAGAACGAGGTGGTTGAAGAGCAGGGTCAAGGTGAAGTCCAAGATCATCCGTGGCCGTCGGACAAGGGTATATAGGTAATATATGCTTCAAGTAATGAATTATTGGCGAATGCCGCGCCGTGAGCTTTAAAATCATGTGTGAAAGGGTGCGTGTAATGGGACGCACTCTGCTGTTGAGGCAAGAACCCAGCATACTGCCAATACCCATCCCCTCCATGGATCGAAACGGCTATCCATCCCTGCGGACCAAGCGCCACCTTCGGCCACCAGCTTTCCTCCACTCCAGGAGCCCGTGAAAGAATTCCATCGGTCTGCACCATGCATTCGACGGAACGTTGGCCTACCGGCCATCTCTCTCCAATCCATCAACATCCCTTCGTATATGGGCGGGGACAAACGGTCGTGCACGCGATTATTGATACGGATGCTGTCTGGCAAACGTGAGAATTCTCACCTACATTGGCGCTTCCGCCCTCATAGTCTAATGAATTTGGCTCGGCGAAGATGGAGAGTAATGGAGGTACAAGAATTGACAGAGTCAGATAATGAAGACACTGCATGGCTACTATCTGGAGACGAGGAACGCGAGCAGTGTTAATGACATTTGTGAGCGTAGAGCCGTAACCTGAGAAGACCTTCTTGAGAAATGAGGAGCACGGGATCCCAATTGGAGGGTCTTGAAGGCGCCATAGCCAGAGTATGTAGCCAGAGCTTTTGAGTCGGCAATTACAGTGTGAGGAACCCGGTTCGCTTATATGAACACCTAAAAGTATGTCGGATGGGTTAGAGGGGAGAGGGGAAGACAAAGCGGTCGACGGTGGGTGGAAACAGGATGGAATGGTTGAACGGAGCTGGCCACGTGGATCTGTGTGGCGTTAGACCCGTGTGGCGCATCACGGTGCGAGTAACCCCCGCCGTTCGAGTCGACCACCATCACGAAACTAGCACTGCTTTCTTCCTGACTGCTTTGTGCGTTGTGGTCGCACAGATATACCTTGGCGATATGCCGCCAAGTAATTATGGACCTTTATCACAGGTTGAGGGCTCTGAGGAGCATCCCACATCCGCTCATGCATCCACAGAGGTGTTGACATCGACTCCCATTCGTCCTGCAATCTACTATGGCGACGGTCCATTCGATCCACCCAGCTCTGAATCTGACGAGTCCGAAGTACTATTGGAGAAACCTTTGACACCTGGCGCTGCTGAACGCGCGGAGTACCCAACTCTGGGTGAGGAGGACGAAAGAGTGACCGACAACGGGCTCTTCGTCGGCGGACGACGGAAACAGGTTCGTTTGGTCTTTGTGATTATATATGAATCAACGCTCAGTATCGCCATGATAATCCTGTTATGGTCGTGTGCAGCAATGGTCATCTATACGGTGGCTCGTGTTCTCACTCGTGGGACTCCTCTCCTTCGCCGGAGTCGTAGGCATATTCGCCGGACTTTCTTACAAAGAGACGAAACGCATAGTCCGGGGGCATGAGAAGCTGACGATGGAGAATGTATTCAATGGGACTTTCAGAGTCGAGCGATCGGAAGTGAACTGGGTACCAGAAGGTATGTCCCGTTCTCGTCTTGGATGTATCATGTACTCATCATTGGTTCTGTGCCCAGCCGGTGACGGCGTGTTCTCCCTCAATCAAAACGGATACATTTCGCTTGTCGACCTCAAGACAAACACGACGACAAATCTAGTTGCGACAGCGGACATTAAAGATGTATGTTTTAGTGTAGACTGTGCGCTGTGTATATTCACCATCGTCACTTTCACCTAACTATATCTCATATCACAGGAGAGCGGTAATCGACTGCACTGGTCGAGCTGGAAGTTATCAGCAGATATGAAGCATATGCTCATCAAAGTGGACACCGTCAAGGTCAGTTAACGCACACATACAACGTCCTGTCCTCAAACTCAATCTTTGGCGGATCGTTTCTCCCTACGCTTAGCAATGGCGCCACTCGAGCATGGGCAACTACTATGTCGTAGACCTTGACACGACCGAAACACACCCTATCGTCTCACCGTCTGACCCTCCAGTGACAGCTTACGCGACATGGGCGCCTATTGGAGAGCCCATCGCCTTCGTTATGGACAATGATCTATACGTGCTCGACACGCCGACGTACGTGTTCACTCAACACACTCATTTGATCCTAGACATCGGAATTGTGGTAAACTAGATCAATCAACTGTACGATATCTATTTCTTTTCTATACGCAGTTCGACATCCCCGGTAACTGTAACGTCCAACGGAAATGCATCTCTATTCCACGGCGTTCCGGATTGGGTGTACGAGGAAGAAGTATTCTCTGCGGACTTCGCACTCTGGTGGGCTCCGGATTCGAGCAAGATTGCATACCTCGCATTCGACGAGACCTTGGTTCGTTGACCTCCTATAACCTCCCAATCACCGCAGCTAACGCAGTCACCGTTGAATTTAGGTCCCTGAGTTCTCCTACCCTGTCTACAATCCCACCGACGACAACGACGCCGTCGTCCCCTACACTTCTTCCATCACCATGAAATACCCCAAGCCCGGATATCCGAACCCACTCGTGACTGCCCATATCTTCGACTATGCTAAATTCACATCCGAACGCGCTCTCGTCGGCGATGTCACGCCCTCCGAATACTCATTTTCTCTCACATGGGAGGGCCGACAGCCCGCCAACGACAGCATCATCACCCAAGTCACCTGGATTGGCAACTCGAGTCTCATTCTCAAGGAGAGTTCGAGGGACGCTCTGACCGGCAGTGTCGTGTACTTCGATCTTGACGCCGTGGAGGAGGCTCAGAGTGTAGTTTGGGGGACTGTGGTGAGGAAGCTGGGCAAAGACGGAGAAGAGGGAGATGACGGGTGGATCGAGGCGAGCCAGGATGCGAAGCCGCTGCCGGAGAGCGTGGCCCCGAGTGGCGCGTACTTGGATATCGTACCGAGTGGGGGCTATAATCATATTGCGCTGTTTAGTCCTGCGAATTCGAGCGTCCCGAGATTTTTGACGGAGGGTGAGTGGGAGGTGACGGGTATCAAAGCAGTGGATGCTAAGACAGGCACTGTGTGCGTTTTTATCCCGATATCTCATCGTCTTTGCGACCCTCGAGCGGTATGTTGGACTGATTACTTTTTGGTCAATTGGGCAGATACTTCACCGCTGCCAAACCGTCCATCGAAAGACACATCTTCTCTGTGGCCTTGCCCTCGAATCTCGCTTCGGGCCTCTCATCGGAGCAGCAGGAAGCACGACCTGAACTCGTCGAACTCACGGATACGTCTTCCACTGGGACGTTCTCGGCTGAATTCTCACCTCAGGCCGGGTTCTACCTTCTGAACTACGATGGCCCGAACGTTCCTTGGCAGAAGATCGTGGCTGTTAACGATAGCAGTACGTGCTATACAGTTCTTGACTGTCTTCAGAGACCTAACCACTTCGTGATCGAACAGAATTCGAGCATGTGCTGCACGACAACGCTGCGTTGAACGAGACGTGGAATCGATTTGAAGCCCCCATTATTCAATGGAGCACGATTGAGAGCAATGGCTACGGTGAATATCCCACACTTATCCGTCTGTTTCCTTGCGACTTTACTGACACTCACCCATCTGCACAGAGCTCAATGCGATGGAAATGCGGCCACCTCGAATGGATGACTCCGGACGAACAAAATACCCCGTCCTCTTCCGCGTCTACGGCGGTCCTGGCTCTCAGATGGTCAACGTCGGTTTCAACCGCGATTGGCATCATTATCTAGCGGCGTCGTTGGAGTATATCATCGTCACCGTCGATGGGCGCGGGACTGGGTTCAAAGGGAGACAGTTGAGGAATCCGGTCAGTCGGAATTTGGGGTATTGGGAGACGGTGGATCAGATTGAGGCTGCGAGGTGAGATGATTCGTTTGAAGCTATCGCGAAGAGAGTTTACTGTTTTGTGTAGGATATGGGCGACGAAGGAGTATGTTGATGATAAGAGGATCGGGATATGGGGATGGGTGCGTTGTTTGGGTCCTGATGTGGCATGTGGCGCATGTTAGGCTAATCTCCATGACGAAGTCCTATGGCGGCTTTATGAGCTCGAAAGTCGTGGAAGCTGACGCAGGGATACATTCGTTGGCTATGGCCGTCGCGGTACGTGGCATGACCTCCTATATCTTCTATCCATTCTCGCTCAAAATAGTGAACCTCTGCAGCCCCCCACCAGCTGGCGTATGTATGGTGAGCACATAACCTACTTACTCGGAGTGTTTGAGCGGTGGATAACCACGGATATCTGCACAGATTCGATCTACACGGAACGGTACATGGGCCTCCCAGACCTGAACCCGGGAGGGTACGTGAACGCGTCGATAGCGAATGTAACGGGGTGGGATAACGTGGATTATCTGCTGGCACATGGAAGGTGAGTACTTCCTCTTCTGCCACGCTAGCATGGGAGTTCTTCGTACGTGTTGACGGATCGCGTGTGCGTGGACAGCGGGGACGATAATGTGCATTTCGCGAATACGGCGCATCTGCTAGAGTGAGTCTCATCTTGTTTCGAGGGTACCTGTCCTCGTCGAGCACATGATACTGATCCAGGGGGCGTATAGCATGTTCACGAAAGCGCACATCCGGAATTTCCGGTTCAGGATGTTCACGGACAGGTGAGAGCGGGTTCTAAGTTTGTGGCTTTGATGCTCCACAGACGGCTGATATGTCGGGAAATATAGTGCGCACAGTATATCCGTACGGGGGGCGTACTTTGAGCTGCACCAGTTTATGACAGACTTTTTAGTAGAGAAGTGGGGCAAGGGTGGGCGGCGTCGAGGATGGTGAGGTGCGGAACATGTACGGAGAGGACGAAGTAGGTAATATAGAGAAATAGGATGAGTAGGAACAATCGAGTCGGGGATAGAGCGGTCTCGCCCTGACCCCTGCTGAATCTCGGCCTCTGGGGCGTTTGTAAATCGTTAAGAGGCATTCGCGCCGGGTCAGGACGGCTTCGATGCTTGAGAGTCGGTCTTCAGCCTGAAGCGGTCTTGACGTTGTCTCCCATGACGCTCTGCTTCGCTCTCCATCAGCCTCGACCACTGCCCGCAACCGCAAGAGCGATGCCCGACCATGACCCCTCCCTCGTCCACGTCTTCCACCGTGGCCAGAAGCGAACGCGCAACGCAAGAGGGATTTGGAAGTCCCACACCCGGCAATCCGCGGCACAGAGACGAGACCGGTCCGACTCGGCTGCCCACCATATTCCCCACCCCGTCCACAGGCGTCCTCAGTCGTCGTCCGTCGCGAGCTCAAGCACAACCACTTCGTCCTTTGGTCGCATCTTTGACGACCCGGACGTCCTAGACAGGTACGGCGACGGTAACGGCGACGAACTCGACCTTGACGCGCTCTCGCTCAACCTCCATCTTCCCAGCAGGAGCTTCAAGCGACAGCGTCGGTCGGTGAGCAGAGACGAGCCAGCTGCAGAAGCGAGTCCTTCCGGCCGCTTCTACGTTCCGTCCCTGAAAGCGTCTTCCTTTGCTTCGCCTGCTTCGAGCTCTTCCACCTTGCTTTCCTGCGCTTTGCCCGAGGATGCAAAGTTTCCCTCAGGTCCAGGCATGAACATCCCACTGCCGGTCCCCCTCGACCAGCATCTTTCCAACAAACGCACGAAGACGTTCTGCGACTGGCGAGATTGGGAGGACCTCAAGGAGACGTTTGCTTCCGCCGCAGAGGACTGCGAATGTACGTGCCGTCCTCACTTCTATCGTTCTATATCTACAACTCGTCGCATTCCAGCGGACAACTCCTCACGAGCTCTCGCCACCCTCCGAGCCGTCGTCCACGAGTGCCATCGCTTCATCCAGATCCTCGACGATCCCTCCATCCTCTTCACCTCCCGCCGCACACAGCTCAGGCGCACAGACAGCGATGAGTCTGCACACGATCTCACTCCGCCGGAGGAGCGTCTTAACCGAGACTGGGGTGTATCTTCTTCACGAACCGGAGATGAAGCTTCAGCAAACGCAACGCCCTCTCTTCCCTCACGGTGCGCATCTTTTTCTCATCACCAACTCCGCGTAACGTTTACGTTCAGCATCTGATCACTTCACATCGTCCCCATCGTGACTTCAATTCAATATCCATGTGCTCCTCCCTTCTGCTTCCAGACCCCCAGATCTCCCAACTGCCTTTCACGTCCTGCTCGGCATGTCCCTCTTCCTTTTTGGCAATCTCATCGCCCAAGACCCTTCACTAGCCACCGGCGACGAACCCACGACACCCTCATCATACTGGCTCTCCGCCGTAGACGTCTTTCAAATATCCGAAAACCTGCCTACTACACACTCCCATCGCAGCAGGAGCAGCAATTCCAGTACCAGCTCACGGCCGTTCGAGATCGAACAGACGGACTGGCGGATCGGCATTGTATGGGGTCGAACTCTCGTCTCTCTTGCCGACGAAAAGCTTCGAAGCACATTGTCAACCCCAGCCTCCGTGCCACTCACCTCTATCATCCCACTCCCAAAGCCTCAGCCCATCCCTACCTGGCCACCTCTTCGTGCTATCGCAGCCCGTCGCCCACCCGGTACAACCACCCCCTCAACCTTCACCCCTTCCGATTACCTCTTGACTGCACACGATCAACTCTCTCGCGGAATCTTCCACATGCCACACCCACCCTATCTCTCCTCACACTCGCATATCTTCGCTCGTGCACGCTCTAGTTCGGGTCTGGGCTTAGGCTCCTCGCCACACCCTTTCAACCCTCTTCCCCAAACCCTCACCCCCGCTTCTCAAGACTCCACCTTCTCTCGCGCAAAGGAGCTGTACACGATTGCTAGCGAGGTTCTTTCCGTGGCGGAACGCCTGCCGAGTGCGAAGGATAGGACGTACTGGGCGAAATGGGCAGATGCGATCTTCAAGCAGATGAAGGATGTGGGCGAGGTGGAGGCATGGAGGGCAAGGATATGTTTGGCCAGGGGACGGTGTTGGCTTGTTGGAGCTAGAGTGGAAGAGCTTGAGGATGCGCTGGAGAGGGAACAGAGTGCAGCCGCAGGTTCGAGCAGCGGTGGTGGCGACGATTCAAGCAGAATGGCTGGCGCAGGTACAGATGGGATGACAGGTTCGGTGTTGGAAAGTAAAGAGGCGCAGGAGGCACGGCAAGCATTGGAGACGGCCATTTCGTTCTTCGAGCGTGTGAAGGGACCTGCTAGCACATCGAATGATGTCGATATGGAGATGGATGATGTTCGTCCCCTGGTGCGTTTTGCCTTCATATTGGGAGCGTGCGTAGGAACCCTCAAGTGTGCTTATTCATCTGTTGGACGTCCGATTGTTCTCTCATTGTAGCTCGCCGAAGCCCTGCTCAGTCTAGCGAATATTACTATCGACGAGAGCAAGCGCGAGGAACTTTATGCTCGCGCAGAGGCTGAAGGTGGTGCCCGCGTCGACCTCGATCCTCCGCTACAAAAGCCAAGTCAGGAACAGCCGCCAGTGCCATTGTCATTACCAGCAGCATCGTTCTCGCTACCATCAACGCCGCTCTCGCCACCGCCATCAAGCGCCACGCCAAGCGATGGCCTCGGAAGCCTTCCAGACGACGATGAGGTGGTATATATGGACTCGAGTTAGATTTCTTTCCTCTGGGTTTTATGTTGTCCTTGCTTCCTCCGGGTGTTCTGATCTACTGTTTCCCTGCTGCTCCTCTGCTGTTTTCTCTCGTCATCTCCGTGGATCATGATAGTGCATATATACATAGGTGCATAGATGAATCTCATGAACATTTGAGCTCTCAAGTCGAATACCCCTCATACCTCCCACTCCTGCATACTAGTACTTATTCTTCACCCGCTCCTCATTGACTATCCCATCCCCTCTGTTCTTCACATCATGTCCCCCCACCCCCACCCCCTCCCCCCTTTTTTGCTTTCCCTTCATTTTACCCCTTCCCTTCATTCCCTACCATCATTTCCACCATCCATTAGCCCACCCATTCCCCTTCATATCCATTCCTACCTCCCATATATCATCCCCTTCGTCTAGTTGCCCCACCCCTACCTACTCCTACAACTATGTATCACATCACACATCACATCCACGCATAGATACATATCTGAATCGGTCCGTACATATACACATCTGTAAAGTCTCATTTGCTCTGACTGTTTCTTCTGCTACGTCTTCATATTTCATGGTTTGTGCGTTGTTGCTTTGCTTACAGGCCTTTTCGTCGGTTGAGCTTCTTCGGTCTGTTTGCTTTGGGTTTGTTTGTTTGTTTGTTTGTTTGTTTGCCGTGGCCCGAGAGGGTGAGTTGTGCTCTTCGTCTTCGAGTTGGTGTGACCGCTTTTCCTCTTTACATGGGTTTTTTGGTAGTCGATATGTGGTTTTCTAGGTCTAGGACTGTATACGATGACACATATACATACATACGTAGGCACGGACACCGCTAATCATTGTCATGCAATTATTGCCTTCATCTTTGCGTCGAGTATGTCGAGGCCTGTGGCGTAACTTATATGGCGCGCACCGTGGCGGTTTGATTTCGTCGTGGGAAAGGTGCGGAGTCCGAACTACATTTTCTGTAGACCTTCGACACGACCTGCGCTCACTTTTCCAAACCCCTTCGCTCGTCCTCTCCCGCTCTCTTCTTCTCTTTTCAGCTCAGTCCAGCCTGTGTGGGGGGAATTGTTGTTGAACAGTGAGTCTCTCTACCTACTTGTCGTGTATACTTTCTTTTTCTCTTCTTTCTTTTACTGTATCTAAGTACTCTTTCGTTACGTTCGATGATGATCCATGACCGACAAATTTAGGAAGTGCCGTCTAAATACCCTTCGTGTTCATACGCGAGGTGGTACATGTCGAGCTCGGTTCCCTGACTTTTATTCTCCCTTCTCCATGTTTCTTGATATGCGCGCTCGTTTTGATCATGAAGATCCGTTCTGACAAAAACTTTCGTCGATCTCAGGATATAGGACGATGCGTGTCTAGTTGATGGTCGAAGATGGCCTCTCAACAGCATAACAGAGCAGCCATTGGGTTGTGAAACTGTGTGTTGATTGGAAAGCGAAGATGTCTGGAAGGATACACGGATGCGGTGGGCTTTTGGTGGGCTTAATTGTTAGAGGGTATGTATTCTATGTGTATCCTGGCTACATATATATCGAATTTTGTTCTTGTCGCTCGGAATCCTATATCCATTCGATGGACTCCTATTGTCAGCATTGAGTACTTGAGTCGTGAACCTCGGAAAACCTCTCGCACTTTCTGTTACTTTAGTCCGACCTCACGACTGCATCTTGCACTCTTTTACGAGTGATTCAAAGTTGAGAGGAGCTTCATGAGAGCTACTCCGTGTTCGTGAACACGAACAATGAAACGGACAGTGGAGAAAAGAAAACCAAGAATTGTACAATTAAACACTACTGGCACAAATATTGCGTCTATCGAATTCTTCTTCCTTATTCGTACTTTCCTCTCATATCTTCTGCGCTCTTCAACACCACATACAAGGACGACATCGCTTATTGATCCTCCTCTTCCCTGCCAAAAACCGAACATTTTGGTACACAAGAACCCAAAGAGGCGAATGCGGGGTGCAGATGAGTACGGGTAGACCGCTTACTGTGACAAAGACTTGATCTTGACGATGATCGACTGGGGGTCAAGGCCCTGGAAGGGGACCTGCTCTTGAAGACCGCCGCACCCTTCCTTGACGGTGCCCATGTAGCCGTACTTGGGCGTGAGCTGACGCTCGAGGAGCCATGTGCCGAGCTTGGAACCGAGCTGTATTGAAACAAGAGCGCGGGTCAGGTTAGGTGTATGAGAGAGAGTCGGGCGGAAAAACGCACGGCGGTCTTCTGGTTCATCGACTCGACGACAAGGACGAAGGGGCTGGTTCCGATCTTGCGAAGCGTCTGAAAGGGAAACGAAGACAAATGAGCGGTTGGCCATAACATATACAATAAAACAAGGTTTACCTGCTCATCGACCACGTTCAGTGTTGGCTTGTTAATGAGACCGACGTCCAAGCCCTCTTGCCTGCACCTGAGGACGGCATCCCAGGACCTGTAGAGCATGTCGCCGTAAGAGACGACGTAGCCAGCCTTGCCCTCGGCGATGACCTCGTCCTTTCCAGGAATGAACTCGTAACCCTCGCCGAAGAATTTCGACCCGTCTTCCTTGAGGATCCATGGGACCTTGGCACGGGTGGAGAAAACGAAGCGGACGCCACGCTCGAAGAAGACGCGCTTGATGACTGCGATCATCTGAAGAGGATCCGCGGGGAAGTAGAGCCAGGACTGAACGTCGGAGAGACCGTTGTCGGCGAAGAAGGAGTTGACACCGAAGTGACAGGTGTTGTCGGCCATCTCATCGACTAGAACCATTTTTGTGAGCATCATAACCTGAACTATATAGGACGATCCAGACGTACCACCAGAGTGCGAGAAGTGGCAAAGGACGTTGCAGTTGTTCAGGCGAGCCATGGTGATCTCGGAGACAACCATTTCCAAGAAGGCGGAGAAAGTAGAGAAAACACCGAACTTGCCCTCGTCGAAACCGAAACCAGCTGCCGCGGAGAAGTTGCCACGCTCCATGATACCGGAAGGAACGAAGACCTCTGGGTGCTTTTGGTGGATAACCTTCAAACCGGTAGAGCCCTCCAAGTCACCTATTCGCACGTCAGCGGGTTCAACGACGACATACGGATAGACACAACGTACTGTCAATCACCATGACCTTCTTTGCGGCCTCTTCCTTGCTCAATGGGTCGAGGACCAGATTGACAGCTTCACCGAAGACAACTCGGTTGGCGCCGTTCTCGCGAGTAGATCCCACGTAGAGGTATGGGACAGTGGTCGGCTTGATGTTGAGGAGGATGTCGGCCATCTGGTTCTCAGGATAGCCACGAGTCTTGAAGTAGTCGAGCGCAGCCTTGACCGGAATAACATCGTGACCGTGTGGGGAACCTTCAATAGCGGCAATACCAGGCGCCATAACGCGCTTCGAACAGACTAAAAGTTTACAGACGGTGAGGGTCTGGGACGCTAAGTTTCTGAGCATATTACTGACCAGCAGCAGGACCATCATAGGAAATGGCCTGAGCGATACCGGACCAGAGCTCATCGATGTTCTCGCCTTGGACGGTGAAAACTTTGAGGCCGTGACCCTCGAGCGTCTTGTGAATCTCGAAACCTCCGAGGTAATCGGAAGGATGACCAGCGATGGTGACGTTGTTATCGTCAATAAGGAGTTTGATGTTCAAGCCCTGTGCGACCGCGAGTCGAGCAGCCTCAGCATCGTTGCCCTCCTGCTGAGAGCCATCCGAGCCCAGACAGAAGACAGTCTTGTCACGGTTGGCGAGGGCGACACCATTGACCAAGGGCCACATGTGGCCCAGACGGCCAGAGGAGAATTTGACACCTGGGGTCAAACCAAGCTCTGGGTGGCCAGGAAGTTTTGAGTTTGCAGCGCGATAATGAAGGAGGTGCTCTGGGGGAATGTGTCCCTGAAGAGCAGCGATGAGGTATTGGGTGGCAACACGGTGGCCTGAGGAAGCAACGCGACAGGTCAGACGCGAGCTGGGCGATTGGTATGATCACGTACCAGCTTCGTCAAAAACGATGGGATAAAATTTGTCGGAGAAATCGAACAAAGACAGAAGGATGCAGAGCTCGGGGACGGTGTCGTAGGCTCCGCCTAAGGGGTAGCGAGTACTGATGAGCTCGAAGTCATGGAGGTCATAGGTGATGATAGGGGCAAACGCTTACCAGTGTGCCCACTCACTCCCCTGGCCGCACCAGTGGCGGTGAAGAGAACGATGACATCGCGAAGCAACTGGATGTTCGCGCGGAGAGTATCGCGCTCAGTGTCGGTAAGCTGGGGCTTAGATGGGTCAAGCTTCAATCTGGATGAGACACTTGGATGAGCGACATAAAGGCGGTTTATTTAGTGGTTGTGCTCTCACTTCTTGTACTTGGAGAGAAAGTCGATGGGGAACTTGGATTCAGCGCCAGCCATGATCGTAGTTGTGGTGGTGATGGAGAAGGAGGTGGTGGTCGGGACGGTATCGATGAGCAAAAATAATTATATAGCGCCTCGCTCTTTGGCGCTATGACATCAATAGCCTTTCCGCCATTCGCCGCTTCTTCCAACGTTCTTCCACGCTCTCCGTGAATCCAATGTCCGTTTCCCTCGTCTCTCAGAGACGACCGTCCCTCTTCTGATTTTTTTCTCTCGCCCACAAGTGTGTGCGTCTTTGCCCTGTGGGCTACTACAGCAGCCGCCGAGCATAATTACTCGAACGTGCCGGTCTTGGCCAATCATAGACGTCCTTGACTGATGGGCTACCATCTCCGAAAGGTGCTTTTACCACCGCCTCTATCCACTGTTTCTTGGTGCCAATCAACGGAGGACCGTATAAATTTCACTATCTTGAACCCAGTGGCAGAAGTACGGTCATTACTTCTCCAACCCATCCAGGAGTACTTAGCGGTAGCGGCCGCTTCGAATTCCCTTTGGTCGGTCTGTATGCACAGTTTGCCGTATAAACCGTATCTACCGCTCGCACGCAGCGGCATATAGCTCCTTCTGCGTGTATGTGGTCGGAACCCACACCTTACACCGGCATCTGCGACCGACACCGCCCGACAGCTCGGACTGGAACCAGGATCCTCACCATGAATATGGGACTGAATAACTCTGTTCAGAGGTTGACTCGGTGATTACATGGGGAGTATGTACAGTCCAATGTTTGACTGCTTCGCATACATGATCCAAGCCCTTTCTGCGAATGAGAAGGATGAGGGTATCAGTGCTACCTTCGATCCCATGTCTTGACTAAGCCACATTGCTGTCATATCCGCCTCATCTCCATTTCATTCCTTGGTGCTGTTTGAGCGTCGCCATTAGGGGCATCCATCCAGGAGGCTTCGAGGTGGCATATGCGATTTTTATGGATTCGAACCGTCACCGGTCAATGGAGATCATGAAAACGCATGCACGATAGCCTCGAACGTCCCGAATGTGACCATGTTGACAGGTATAGCGCGTATGAGCGTCGGTGCGAGTCCGCGAAAGAAGACTCGGACACCTTCGGTGCGGTACGAGTGGACGATTGTGGACCAGGTCGTTCTGTAGGGGTAAAGGTCGGTGCTGACGCTCCCGCCACCACCACCACTTGGTGTTGAAGAGGGGTTTGGAAGAAGCGGTGATGTAGATGCTGGAGCACGGACTGGGGATGGAGAGGACGTGGGTCGTGGCGTGGGCGAGGGGGACGTTGATAGACTCTGATGTGGGTGGGGATGGGTACCGGGTATCGAGCCATCGAAGGATCCCTGAATGCGAGTTTTGACGATGTCGAAAGGGAAAGTGCAGACCCAACCTAAAATTCCCGCGACCCCACCTGCGATTAAGAGCGGTGCCCATGATAACGAAAGCGTTGTGGACATTTCTGCGAGAAGTGGGTCTTGATTAGCCATGTGCGCAGGGGAAGATAGCGGTGGTGAGAGGAAGCGGATTGTCGCTTCGTACTGAGGCAGATGCAGATGGTGTGAGCCATCGTATATGGGTGACAGGAATAGGGTCAGGAAATACTTACACCGAGGAAGTATGCTCCATACCCTGTGTCACGTAGGACAGTCGCGGTGATACCGCGGTACAGGCCCGCTATTCCGCGCTCTTTGAATATTTGGGCAGCCAGAGCTCGAGCCGTAGGTGTAGTCGAGGACGTAGACCCTCGGATATGGATCGGTTCGAGTGACTGTTGCTGGTGAATCTTGATGAGTTCGATGGGGGCGGTAATGAATCTACAATTGGCGCAGTAGTGACATACTTTAATGTCACCTCGGCGGTCCGCGCAACAGAAGAGAGAGCCACGTACGCAGATACAACACCACATCCTGCACCAGCCAGCCCTATCTGGGTGAGCGTCGGGACCTGCCCTGCATGATGCAGTTGAAGCCGGAGAAAGAATCGGTATGACGCGAATACGATGCCGTTCAGGAGCGCGCAGGAAGCCTGTAGATGTGCACCATCCGCAAGTGAGATCAGGGAGAAGTACAACCGAGTGGAACAAGCACGCACCAGAGGTGAATAGATACCTTTGTAGAGACCCAGGAAGCGTTCCTCGCGCACGATAGTGGTTATGGCATGGGACGTCGAGCGGTATCTGGCTTGTGTTGCTGGACTCTGAAAGCGTACTTTCACTAAAACCGCAAGTAGTGGTACCCATGATTAGTATTGCCAGTGTGACCGATATGTCGATGCTGAGGTACGTCACCAGTGTCAAAGGGATAGCCAACAACTAAGGCAGCCATTCCTATAAGGTAGCCAGTCATCAGCATCGCTAGTGTGTGACAGGTTCAGACATCATAAAGTCGAACTCACCCGCTATAGTACCCGCCGCAAAGTCCAATGTCGGGTCGAGGTCGACAGCATCTACCACCAAGACCAGAACGCGGTTTAGGTCGATGTTCACCATGACGTTCGTTTCAGGAGAAGGTGAGGACGACGCACCTTTCTTACCTTCATGGCCTTCAGGAGCTCCCATGGGTTCAAGGCTTCCCCTTGTGTAGGACCGTGCGTGTTGACAAGTCCGGGTGTTAGAAGGTAAGAGGGTTCATGGTTTATTACATACCCATGTTGATTCTCTTTGTACCGATCGCATACGCTTTGAACTTAGCCCCGAAAGTCAACTTTTCCGACAAGAGGGCTCGTCGCTCTAGGTCGCTCTCTCGAGTCCTCAAAAGTGGGATGTATACCTATTCTCACCCCTCCACCGTGCTCACGCATGGGATGAAAAGTATTACGGGGCCTGTCTGGACCGACTAACATATTCGAGCCTCCCATACCCCCCTGACTACACATCAATCCAGGCTATTCTGAATCAACAACGGACGAACTTCCGTTATCTCCACAATGTAAACTCACGGTACAAGGTGAACCCTGTTCTACGCACGGACAGAGCTGCTCACACGATATTCCGAGGAGGTAACGCAAAAAAAAGTATTCCGAAAATACAAGCACCAGCCATGATACTTATACGTGCAGCAGTGCCCTCTCGTACCAATTCGTCGCCACCTTGAGGCTTCCGTACACGTTGAAAGCTGGACGTCGAGTTTCCGGCCCTGCAATTGGTTACTCTGAACCTTGGCATGAATAAGTAGTAGATTGCGAGATATATGTGTATGTAGTAAAACTGGTCCGGGGTTCGTCTGTCCGACTCGGAGTCGCTACGGTGGGTGGAAGTTGTCGTGCAGTGTTGATGTTGTGGCTCTTTGGTCACAAGTATCTTGTAATACGACAGTTTGCAACCTTTGTAGATTGGCTTTCCATGCAGGGTGAGGATAAGTATATGGAGAACTGCCACGATGTTCATGGATGCAGAGCAGTCATCGAAGAGACCGGCAACTCTGGTCGAATAATTAGTAGATCCGGATCTAATCTAATCTGAAGCGTGGGCTCCACTCCTGAACACTCCCTGTCTCTGACGCAGGTCTATTGGATCGACCTTCATCTACCCCTTCTCACCCGCATCTCTTAGACGTCCTTGCATCATCCCAACGTCGTCTCAATACTAGATCAGCTCTATCTCAACTGACCTGTGCTTCTGCAAATGGATGCTCGGCCAAATCTGTTGTCGACATCGCGTACACCATCCTCATCCTCCATCAAAGAACGCATATCCAAGCTCTCTGTCACACCTTTGCATCCCGTTGCCGCACTTCAAGCTCATGTCGAGTCAGTAACTGGTCTTCGGTTGGACAGTGCACCTCTTTTCAAACTATCTGTCCCGAATTGTCATTAACGAACTCAGTGCTCATTCGCATTCTTCTCCAGATTCGTGCCGTCGAAGATTCCGCGTGCACGGAGGATGCAGATGACTGTCGTAGCGTTGTGGTCAACCTCAATCGCGTTGATGAGTTTCCTATTTTTGCTTCTGTGGTCAGCCTGCACTTCCTTTGTCCACGGAACGTCATCTTGTTCACCGCTACGCTTTACGACACAGCTCGATTCCGCCTTTGTGGCCTTTCCTTGCCGCCTACCTACTCTGGGCATTGTATGTGGATACTGCACCTGAGCATGGGGGTCGTACAAGCCCATGGTTCCGCTCGGTGCGCTTTTGGAAATATTTCGCTGAATATTACCCTGCTTCGTAAGCCCCTTGCAATCCTATGGCATGTCGCTCTGAACAGGACGCTCATTCACGCTGGGACATTGACCAAAGCTTTAAGAAGGTCATCATCACCACTTGTGTGATTGACTTCACAGTCTGACGGTGTGTGCTTAGGAATGCGACCTTCCACCGGATCGGCCATATGTGTTTGGATACCATCCACACGGTGCGTCTTACTTTGTTCGGTTCGGCTCCATCCACTTATCCCCCTATTGGTCTGTGAACCAGGTATCATCGGAATGTGAGTATCACATCGTCTCGCCATAGAGGAAACTCAACTCGATGCTTCTTTCGATTGTCTTCTCAGGGGCGCCATCGCTACTTTCGCCACGGAAGGGACCGGCTTTTCTGAAGCGTTCCCCGGGCTTCAACCTCATCTCCTCACCCTCACCTCCAACTTTAATGTCCCAATATATCGCGAGATCCTCCTGCTCATGGGAATATGCTCCGTCAGCAAGCAATCGTGCAGCAATATTCTGCGTAGAGGGGCGGGGCAGGCTATTACCATCGTCGTGGGAGGTGCAGCAGAGAGCTTAGCAGCTCGTCCTGGGACGGCAGATTTGACTTTGAGAAGACGGTGCGTGTTGGATCTTATATATTTTGTGCATCGATTCTCACTGCTATATATATATGTTTGCTTTAGGCTCGGATTCATCAAGATTGCCATTCAGCATGGGTATGTCGATGTTCTCGGAGCTATGGATGCATGAATTGCTCATCAGATAGTGGTCTGTAGAGCAGATCTTGTTCCAGTGTTTTCATTTGGCGAAAACGATGTAAGCCGAGTACCCACTCGCTTTGTGCCTATATCAGACGATTCATTTCACGTTGCTCTCTTTTCTTTTCCTCCCGGACGACAGATATATCAACAAATGGCAAATGACCCGGGCACCACGGTTCATAAACTCCAGAAGAAGTTTCAGAACGTCTTCGGTTTCACGCTGCCACTCTTCCATGGCAGAGGGCTTCTAAATTGTACGTCGAGTTCGGTCTGTGGAATCTTCATCTTGATGACAGTCACTCTAGACAATCTCGGATTGATGCCTTACAGACGACGCATCGTCTCCGTCAGTAAGTAAAGCTCAGCCTTCATCCTCTTACACTGATGTTCATGGGCATGAACAGTTGGACGACCAATCCATGTCAAACGTTCTGAGAAGCCGACGGTGGAGGAAGTTAGGGCGACGCAGGAGGAGTATATTGCAGAACTGATGAGGTGTGTACACAGTTCCTCCTCGGGCTGCCTTGGGTGTTATTCACGGGCTTCATACGGCAGAATCTGGAACACATACAAGGATGAATTTGCTCGTTCAAGGCGGAGAGAGTTGAGCATTATCGATTGAATGAACAGAAAGTGTTCGATTTACGTTACAATACCATTTCTTCGCCATGATTCGTATTTCTTGCCCGAGTACATCACCAAGCGTTTCACTACGAACTAAAGGATATACCACATGTACCCCACACATTAATCCGGACTCCATTGAGAAATATTTTACGACGCACAGATTGCTCCTCCGAGCGTGTGGCGTGTGCTGAGGAAGGTCAAGCGAAGGCTCTCGAAGGACCCGGAGAGAAGGCGCGCCACGTGCACGCGTCGACTAATGACGCCTCGACGCGCGTCCCCACCAGCCTGCTCTCGTCCACCACAAAGTCCTCTCGCTTCTCTCTTTCTTTCTCCATCCCCCATAACATCTTCTCCACTCTTACTTAGCCATGGATCCCAGCGGTGCCGCTCCCCCACCCGGTCCCGACGATGTTTCCACCGCAATTCTGCGTCCAAAGAAGTCGTGCGTGTTCTTACTAGCGTTTCGTCCTGAACGTGTCGGGTTAATGGGCATCTCATCTTAACAGGCCAAACCGTCTCATTGTCGACGAGGCGACATCAGATGACAACTCAGGTATTTTATAGTGGCGTCGCTTCGCGTTACGGAGCGATATTGACCGATGGTGATAGTCGCGACCCTCAACCCTGTCACAATGGAGACCTTGGGACTCTTCCGCGGAGATACCATTATCGTCAGGTATGTGTCTTGCGTTAGTGCGAGTTATTGTGCGTGTTACTTATGTGAGGCTTCAGGGGTAAGAAACGGCGAGACACCGTTCTCATTTGTTTGAGCTCGGACGACGTAGAGGAAGGCCGTATCCAGATCAACAAAGTAGCACGCAACAACCTTCGCGTCAAGTTGGCGGATCTCGTCAACGTACATCAATGCCTAGACATCAAATACGGCAAGCGTATACACGTCCTGCCCTTCGACGACTCTGTCGAGGGCCTCAGCGGAAATATCTTTGATGTGTATCTCAAGCCATACTTCCTCGAAGGTATGTCTTGTGCCATATGTGCATTCACTGCAGTCGCTGAGCCGTTTATGGTCCCATAGCCTACCGACCAGTCCGCAAAGGTGACACGTTCCTTGTTCGTGGCGGTATGCGAACGGTCGAATTCAAGGTCATGGAGACCGACCCCGCAGAATATTGTATCGTCGCACAGGACACGGTCATCTTCACAGGTGAGCTCATATCAAGTCCTTTCGCCCTATTAGCCGTGACTTAAGATATCTCGACGAACAGAGGGTGACCCCGTCAAGCGTGAAGACGAGGAGTCCAATCTTAGCGACGTCGGTTACGACGACATCGGTGGCTGCCGCAAGCAGATGGCTCAGATTCGCGAGCTTGTCGAACTTCCTCTCCGCCATCCTCAACTCTTCAAGTCGATCGGAATCAAGCCTCCTCGCGGTATCCTCATGTACGGTCCTCCCGGTACTGGTAAAACGCTCATGGCGAGGGCTGTCGCAAACGAGACTGGTGCTTTCTTCTTCTTGATCAATGGACCAGAGATTATGAGTAAGATGGCTGGAGAGAGTGAGAGTAACCTGAGGAAGGCATTCGAAGAGGCAGAGAAGAACTCCCCCGCCATCATCTTCATCGACGAAATTGACTCCATCGCACCCAAACGTGAAAAGGCAAGTTCTCTGGTTGTCCTACACCCATATGACGCTCGTGGCTTACTCTTTTACCGGTAGACGAATGGCGAGGTTGAGCGTCGTGTTGTCTCCCAACTTCTCACCCTCATGGACGGTCTCAAGGCTCGCTCGAATGTCGTCGTCATGGCTGCAACCAATAGGCCGAACTCCATCGATCCTGCCCTTCGTCGTTTCGGTCGTTTCGATCGTGAGGTCGACATTGGCATTCCCGACCCCACTGGACGTTTGGAAATCTTGCGCATTCACACCAAGAACATGAAACTCGCCGACGACGTTGACCTTGAACAGGTACTTACCTATTCTTTGATGATTCGCCTTCGCGGTACTTGACCATCACTATTAGATTGCCGCGGACACGCACGGTTACGTCGGATCCGATGTCGCTGCACTTTGTTCGGAGGCTGCTATGCAGCAGATTCGTGAGAAGATGGACCTCATTGACTTGGACGAAGACACTATCGACGCCGAAGTTCTCGACTCTCTCGGTGTGACTATGGAGAACTTCCGCTTCGCTCTCGGCGCCTCCAACCCCTCTGCCCTTCGTGAGACCGTCGTCGAAGTACCTACCGTCAAATGGGAAGACGTCGGTGGTCTGGACAAAGTCAAGCAGGAGCTCCAGGAGACGGTTCAGTACCCTGTGGAGCACCCCGAGAAGTTCATCAAGTACGGCATGCAGCCGTCGAAGGGTGTTTTGTTCTATGGCCCGCCTGGTACCGGTAAGACGCTGCTCGCTAAGGCCATCGCCAACGAGACCCAGGCCAACTTCATCTCAATCAAGGTCATTTTTACTCTCTATTTCTCCTGAAGCAAAATTGAGCTGAATGTTGTTGTGGTTGTTGTAGGGCCCTGAGCTCCTCACCATGTGGTTTGGTGAGTCTGAGGCCAACGTCCGTGATGTCTTCGACAAGGCTCGTGCCGCCGCACCATGTGTCATGTTCTTCGATGAGTTGGACTCCATCGCCAAGGCCCGTGGTGGCTCATCTGGCGACGCTGGAGGTGCCGGAGACCGCGTTCTCAACCAGATCCTTACCGAAATGGACGGTATGAATGCCAAAAAGAACGTCTTCATCATCGGCGCCACCAACAGGCCGGATCAAATCGACTCTGCGCTCCTTCGTCCCGGACGTCTTGATCAGCTCATCTACATCCCCCTTCCTGACGAACCCTCTCGTCTCTCTATTCTTACCGCCACCCTTCGCAAGTCTCCAATCGCTCCCGATGTGGACCTAGGCTTCTTGTCGAAGAGCACGCATGGCTTCTCTGGTGCCGATTTGACGGAGATTTGCCAGAGGGCCGCCAAATTGGCCATCAGGGAAAGTATCGAGAACGACATTAGGAGAGCGCGGGAGAAGAAGGCAAAGGAGGAAGCCGCTGGTGAGGATGCGAAGATGGAGGAGGATGAAGAGGAGGAAGACCCTGTTCCTGTCATCACAAGGTTCGTCCGGCCTGTTCGCGTGTAAGGCACTGTATTGAAGTTGTTCTTTGCAGAGAGCATTTCGAGGAGGCCATGAAGTACGCTCGTCGCTCCGTATCCGATGCGGACATTCGGCGATACGAGATGTTTGCCCAGGTCAGTTTTATCGTTCATTATGAACTCCACATTTCATTGTACTGACCTTCGTTGTCTGCGTTCTAGAACTTGCAACAATCCCGCTCCTTCGGTTCATCCTTCAAGTTCCCTGAAGGTGGTGCTGCTGCACCGGGCGCTGCTCCCGCTGCCGGAAACGCGGGCTTCACTGACGATACGCAGGATGATGATTTGTACGCTTGAGTGATTTGTGACGCGCATGATCATTTGCAACGTTTCTAGCATGAATGTGATGGAGTAGATTGTTTTCCCCTTGTATCTTAGCAATGAACCAGTGTTTTCTCATTTTGCCCATGTGCTCTTGGCTCGATATAAGGTAGTAGTGAATCTGTGGTTGGACGATCCTTGTTCGCAGGATGTAATGCTGTGTGGCCCAAGTAATGAATAGTCTCCCTCAAGCCCAAAGGACCCTCATCAGTCACACGCTCAGAAACTGGCTATTGGAATTCGAACACGTGGTTGACGCGGCGTTGTTGAACTTGCACGACGCGACGCGGCGCGCCCGCTATTCGGAGTCTTCTTTTCACCTTGCATTTTCGACAGAACTGACAGGACGACATTTCCTCGGTGAACTCTGTTGACTCTGGAGGATCTACTAAACTATGACTCCCACAAACTAGTTAACGGTTGATCCAAGGCGTCTCGACTCCAAAGACGCGATGTCTCCGGCGCTGATTTACCGTGTGATTCTCGGTGTTTGTATATTTCTGCTGTATGACGATCAAATTCAACACCGCGATCCGCGAGCTGGCGATTCACTCTGATCTCACATCGTATGGACCCCTCGGAACCGAAACTCATCTCCGTCCGGGGAAAGACTGTGTTCTTCTGCTGGTCAATGCTCTACTAGAGTCCCCGCTACTTCTCGGCGCAACTAACGTGGTCTTGACTAGGAGCATTTGGAGAAACCCCACAAAGTCGCATTTACTAGGCGCGTTTACATGCACAATCCAAGTGGTGTGGGTTTGCGATCCCTGGTCGGCGGCGGGCGGAGGAAGTGATCGACGACACCGTCAGAGTGTTTGGCTTCTATCTGGTCGAACTCAGACCAAACAATTCAATGCGCATATATAAGTCACGACGCGGTGTTCATTGCACGCCAGTATCCTTCGTGCATACTACCAGTCCAGGAGACTGAACTCCACACCGCTATCTACATCTCTACTCCACCGACTGGTTTCGTGGGCCACTCAACTTGATCCTATCTCTCAGCTATCCAAGTTGCTTTCGCTCCGACATAATCTCGTTTCTATTCCACCAGTAGTCCATCATGATAGGCCCTTCCTCCAGCTTCGCTGTGCTTGCTACTCTCGCCTCTGCCATGGTCCTCTCTGCTGCCCCTTCGGTCGAATGTATGTCCTTACAGCACGCAGTCTCTGTTCGCGGCCTCGATATGTTGGCTAGGGACGCGCCTGTCGTTCCGCTTCCCGTGTCGTCCAAAACGACAAGCAAGGCGACTCCTACGAGCAGTAGCAAACCTTCTAAGACCTCGGCGAGCAAGAAGAAGAGTGGCGATGGCAAGCCTAAGCATAATGACGAAGGTATGTTTCTTATCCCCTGTAGTGCTCGCCTTCTGTGTTTCTCACAAACCGCTGGTGTCCAGATTCGCCTTCCAAGAACAAGGACAAGGGTGATGATGATGTCGAGAAGAAGTTCGTATCTGCTGCTTCCGTGACCGATGGAAAGAGCAAGAAACATAAGGGACACAAGGAACATAAGGGGAATAAGGTGCGCTCGCCGTTCCAAGTGACCTTGTTTCTGACTTTGTTTCACTAATCCTTACCGCCTCTTGTAGGATCGACGGTGGGATCCGCTCAGCACGTTCGTTCGCCTCGACAAAGCCTTGTTCCACGATGATCGTGCGGGTTTATCACACTCCGCCTCCGATCCTGCTCTCGGTGGTGATCGCTCTCGTACGCCAGGCCGTCTGTGGCGCTCTCGCTCTTTCATCAATCGTCGCTCTCCTCATCATCACCACGACCACGACCACGAGCATGTTCACGAGCACGATCACTATCACCGCCGGAGTCATGATCATGACCATGACCATGACCATGACCACGACCACGACCACGACCACGACCATATTCATGAGCATGACCATCGAGCGCCCCACCATCATGACCACGACCACGACCACGACCATGAGCATATCCATGAACACATCCATGAGCATGACCATCGAGCGCCTCACGATCATGACCATGATCATGACCACGACCACGACCATGACCATGACCACGATCACGACCACGACCACGACCATGATCATGACAGGCGCGACCACGACCATGATCACGACCACGACCACGATCACGACCACGACCATGACCATGACCATGACCACGACCACGACCACGACCACGACCATGACCATGACCATGACCATGACCACGACCACGACCACGACCACGACCATGACCATCATCATCGTCGCGCGTCTCTGCTCATCACCGGTGAACATGGTAAACCGTACGTCGTTGAAGGTTCAAAGCGCTCCGCCGTCCAGAGCGACGATTCATCACCGGCCTTCGACAAACGCGCTGACAACTTCTCGTCGCGAGGAGTGCCAGGCCGTGTGGACATCGTTGTTAGTAGCACTGGCATCCTTCTTCGTCTTCACGAACTCAAACTGATGAATTTTTCCTTTACAGAGCCCTACCTCAGGCTTGTCGGCTGGTCAACGAATTGCATCATTGCTTCTTGCGACCGCCGCAGACTCTATGGCTGCGTCCTCGATGAACGACACAAACAACGGTACCTTCGTTCTCAACGCGTCTGAAAACGGCCAGACACAGGTCTACCTTGTCCCTGCTCCTGCGAGTTCGTCGAATAGCACCTCACCTTCCTTATCGCCTAAGGAGGTTATGGTCATGCTTGAGATGCCAATGTTCGAGGCCGAATCGGTATCCATGTCTTCGTATTGCGCCACGTTCAACCCCAAGCCTTCGACACCTGCCTCTCTGACCGCTCAGTCATGCGACTCTGAGTCTGGAACCCCTAACTCTCAGTACAGCCAGCTCTTCGCATTCAACACGGCCACTAGCGTCATCCGTCCTTTGTGGTTCGAGGATCAATCTGCGGCCTCCAGCGATCCCACCGACACCGGAGCATCGGGTTCAGCTCCAACCAACAACACCTCCATTGATCCTCCGACGCCCTCCGACGCTTCGATGATGAGCGTCACGAACTTGATGGTCGAACCGAATGGAGACGGCCCATCGGCTACCGCAAGCAATGCGACTGGAACCTCTTCATCTACTGCCGCCCCTACACCGACGCCGTCAAGTGCCGCTAGCTCCTACAACAACGCGGAGAGTGTCATGCTCGTCTTCACTCCCGATGCCCCGGAACTTCAGTCCTTCTCGGAAGGCTCCTCGCCCGACGCTTCCATGAGATCGTCGTCGCGCGAGGCGACTGCCACTTCGACGGCTTCTGCTCAACAGTCTGATGCATCATCGTCCACGATGTCGAACTCCGTCGTAAATGCCGCCTACGCCACAACCACGGATACGGCGTTGCCTTCCGCTTCTTCATCCTCTGCCCCGCCGTCGACCACACAGACGGCGTCGATGGAAGATATCGCGGATGTATCTACGTCTAGCTCGATGACCATGTCCCAGTCGAGCATGTCTCCACCATCGCAATCATTCAGCGCCTCAGTCGACTCTGCAAGCTCTACATCATCCGGAGCCGTATCGACGCCGACATCGTCGTCGACGCTTGGTGTGCAGGTTGTTGTAGAGCAGGCTGGCGCGTCTTCGTCCGTTGCGTCCGCCTCATCGACAGGCTCCAGTATGCCTACTATGACCCCTGTCAGCACGTCTCCGTATGAATGGATGTTCAAATCGGATGCTTGAGTATGGTCTATAGGAGTTTCCGCATGTAGATACCCCCATAGTTGTATCTTCATGTAGCTTGAAGGCTTCGGAAATGTCATCGTGTTATTGTCTACCTCTTCGTAGCGAATCACGTCTCACCTACACAGAGATGACAAGAATGCATAGAGCGCGGGACAAAGGCCAATTCAAGTAGAGCGATTATCCAAGGGCAAAAGAATATACAAACAGATACATAACGACAAAGCAGATGAAATCATAGGATACTGGACGGGAGAGGAGCCTAGATGCGCCCTGCTGCCACGATAAGATAGAAAATGTACAATGTCCCAGCATGAGAATTATCTATACGAATTATTGGGGCTCAATCGAGGAGAATGAGGAGGCGAACCATGAGCGAAGATGGTCTGTTGCGTGGGCGATGCTAATCTCTCGGGAAGGTATAGTGGAATAGTAGGTATCAGCTCAAAGACATGCTGAGCAATAGCACGGGTATTCCCCGTTGCTTGACCAGGTCGCGATGAGTCTGCTGCTCGCATGACACCGTGCACTCGCGACTCCTGCGATGACCCCTCTTGCCACGTCCCGCCAGGACCTGGCACCAACGGCGTTGGTGTCGAAGTCCCACGACCGTCCCATATACAGCGAATGTCGTTGCCGGGGATGATCTGACACAAACGACCAGTCTCGACGTGACGAACCTCGATGAAACGACTATCGAAGAGGAGCACGTATGGCGGGTGCCACGCCACACGTTCTGCAGTACCTTCCCATTCGACAGTATTCTTCGTACGACTTGGGTCTCCGTGACGATTGACGTAAAGGCCGAACTCTGTACGAAGGTATAATGAGCGAAAAAGGAACAAATACATCTGTCAACAGTACTGACCGTCGTAACATAGCAGGAATTCGTTTTCATTGGAACGGAACATCCCCATCGGCCGACACGACTCGCAGCGCTTTGCAAGCTTCTCATGCCTAGGATCGTCGCGCTGAGGGATCGTGACACTCTTGAAACTGCCGCATGGGACGAGTCAGCAAAGGAACGTCCCCCACGAGTATACAGATGAATCTCACTCGGCAAGGTCCATGATTTCGAAACCCTTGGTACAGAGGATGGCAATTCTTGCTTTCAAGAAGATGAGGTCGTATGATTCAGCTGGCAAGAAAAAGTCCTGCAATGAAAAAGTAAGCTGAGTGATCGCATAGAATAATCAACGAACGTACCCGATAGATTCTGAACCATTCAGAGCGCTGCTGCCGGAAACCGAGACGAGATCCTAACGAAGCGGGGGCTTTGGTCTTCTCCTGAATCTTCCCTACGACGGGTTCAAGAACACGGAACACGCTGTCGGTCTGCGAAAGGTAATCGTTAACGACTTCAACAAGGAGGAATGAAACAGATCAGGCCTACGTTCTTCTTCTTCATGTATATAACCAGCGTGCGGCCATGCAGATTACCGACACTAAAGAAATGGACATCCTTGGTACCGTTGAGCTTCTGTGGCGTCTGCGTGGTACTCGCGCTTTGTGGTGAAGACGGAACCAATGCTTCGATGTGATAGGCAAAGAGAGACTGGAATGTCACTGCGTTAGTATAGAGCCTAGGAAAGAACAATACTAGACGTGCGAACCTTGTCGGCCAGGACAAGGAATATACCGAAGTCCTCAAGCATAGCACACTGGGACACCATCTTGAGGTGGAGCACTCGACGCATGGCTGGAAATTGATTATATAAGCCGTCGAAATCTAGGCAGGACAAGAAAACCAGACCGAAAACATACATCTTGAATCGTGCCGGAAACCGATCCAGACACCCTCGGCGCAACCCACAGCAACGAGTGCACGACCATCAGCAGTAGCTGAATGAAAAGTATGAGCGGTGGACATATATGTCACATTGAAGACTGGACATACTGAAGGGGACGGAACATGTAACCTTTCCGGTGAAGGAGTTCTCGTTGTTCCACGAGTTATTCGCTGGGGCCGCAAGCACGGACGGTACGAGGAATGTATCTGCACTGAGGGTTTCCACCTCAAAGACCTTGTTGGACTCCTGTACGACCTTTCGTAGACCGATTGCCTCTTCAAGTTTCTCCTTCCACTCAGCCCGCATCTGCGAGGACTCCGCGTATACGGTGTATAATCCTCCCGCCCGAGCATTGTGATGGAGCGTACAGGGATAAACCACCCGCGAGTCTTGCGCCGCCTCGGGAGATGTGGCTGACATACCAGTAGGCATAGGACCACCAGGCGAATCGCCGTGACCACCGCCTCCGCCACCACGCAAACCTCGGAGAAGCCCAGCGCCGCGTTGCGTTGGTGGATCGGTGAAATTGGCCAATGTCAGAAGGTCGAGGGGTATAGGCTAGTGATAGGACAAATATAAGTGAGCTTTAAACTGCTAGCAGCGGGTATCGTGCATACCCTGCGATGAACATGGTACTTTGTTACTCCATCTTTGTCCTTGGACTTCGTCAAGACCACTGCGTATGATGATTAGACCAGCCACGTAGAGCGACGAACGAATAGATCTCACAGTAGTTGTCGAAAAGAAGAACGAAGAGTTCACTCCAGCCACTCCATTCAAAGCCTGTATCGGGCTGCCGAAGGAGTTTTCCGGTATAGATCAACGACCTATTCTCTGCTAAGAGATCCATGTCCTGCCAGAAGACCCATTTTCAATTGTGATGAAGCGAACGCGACGAGTAAAGCACATACCACGAATTCACCAGGCTTGAAGACCAAGTTCGCATTGTAGCGCCACAGCTCGACTTTCTGGTTGGCAGACGTCACACCCGGCTGCGTCTCCTTGAGCAAAGACTTGATGACTTCGATGACCTGGGGGATACTGTCGCGATCTTCGTGGCCCTCCGGACTACTCTCCATGATACCTTTGAGCAGAAGCTCGTAACGAGCCAGACGAGGGATAGGACGGTTGACAAATGACTTCATGTCGAGTCGGTTTGAGTCTGGATGGCGCGTACATTGCTAGAGCGAATTTGCAGATCAAGGTTAGGCTTCAAGACTGCCGATTGAAAAAAAAAATTACAAACCTCGACAAACGCTTTGAAGGTTGGATTGTTGTTCATTTCGTCCACGATCCGGTATTCTGCAATTGGGTAGTTCGTGACATATTCCATATACGCCTCTCTCCAGTTAAGCGCGGCATCAAAAATAGCTGCAGTGACGCTGTTGATGACTGGATGCTCCTCTCGTTGAATCTCGTGTAGACGATCCAAAAGACGTCGATGATGCGCGTGGAGCTCCCCGAAATTGTGGAAAGCTTCAGCAATGAACGCTCCGAGTCGGTCTCTTGGGATAATGGGCGGCTCTGCTTCACGCAAAGGTTGAACGTAGATCTAAAAAGGCGAGAGACAGTTATAATTTATGGGTGGGGGGAGGGTTCATAAATAAGTATACGAACGACGTCGATGTTCTCGAGGTCCCGAACATACTGCATCTCGCCCTTGATCAATTCGAAGAGAATCCTGCACTCAATGCGTTAGCTTACTTCCCGAACGAAAATACGCGCATTGCTATCATGTGAAGAAAAGACTTACGACTGTCGCTTCTGCTCTTGCTTCACGATGCCTTCCCTAACTTCGTCTGAAACAAGATTATGCCACTCATACTTCCCCGTCGGACCCCGACCCATTGCATTTTGGAACGTCTGGAGGTGGCACACAACCTGCAAGCTCTTGAATGCCTGGACAGCTTCTTGCAAGTAGTCGATGTCCGGATTTTCTGGCGCCGTCTCCTTGCTAATCGCTTCAAGGAGAAATTCGTATTTTTGGACATGTTCTGACGGCCGGTTGAGGAGTACCTTCAAATCCATGCGACGAGCTTCGGGGTGACGTTGGTTTTGCTATGACCCAAATATATGTGAATATGGAGCCCTTGTAGAAGTGTAGATCTTAGGGGAGGTGACGTACCTCGAGGAACAACCTCAACTCGGAGTTCACCTCAGACTCATCCTTCAGCCTCTTTTCCGCTACGGGCAGCTTCCCAATATAATCTGGATAGACTAGTCTGAACTCCGTTGCCGCATCAAGTAATATATCACCAATGCGTTGGATGACAAGCGGCTGCTCGCGTTGCCTGACGTTCAAGATCTCCAAAAGCCGGCGGTTAGATTCCCGGACGTCGAGAAGATTCCCAAAGACGTCCTCCAAGAATCCGTCCAGCTCTTGGTACGTAATGATAGGAGGAGAGGCTTGTCGGAGAGGCTTGATGTAGATCTACGCATCGCATGTAAGTTTTGTTACTTACATCTAGCGATGAGTTTATACTCACGCTTTCGATCAGATCGATGTCGCGAATGAACTGGGCTTCCTTGCTGATGAGCTTGTGGATGATCCTAAAATGTGCATGAGCATCGCCAAACTCGGCGGGTGAAAGTTGAATAAATGACGCACGATTGGCGATTGATTTCGCTTTCAGGTAAAGATTTGAGAACATCGGGATCAATGCCGTTTGGCCATTCTCCATCCTGCAGTGTATTGATTGTGTCAGAAATGTTGCCCTCGTGGTGAGCATTCTGGTGAACATACAGGTGAAGCCACGGGCTCTGCTGGAGTTTCATCCATCACGATTTCCTGTGAGGCCACCAAATATCAACACTGACCATGTTAAATTAATCGAACAGCACTCACCCTTGGCCTGCGAGGGCACGCGAATGAGTAGCATGGTGCACCATCTTGACAGCTCGGAGAGTAACACCTAGTAAGAACAGTGATGACGCTCGTCGGTAGCTCCTCCCGCTCCGGCACGGCCTCTGCCCCTCCCTCCTGATCGTCGAGGAACATGTAGACATCCTCGACGCCATCTTGCAAAACACGGCCGCCCCATTCGACTTCATAGAAGAAGAGTTGTTGCTGCAGGCTTCGAGCGACTTGTAGAGCGATATGTCGGTCTCCTGTGGCAACCCCTTGATTGATGAGGAGCTCGTGATGGATTTGCGACCGAAGTGCGGACTATTGAAAAAGGTCAGATTTTTTGGCATGAAGGTGAATATTGCAGGAGTTGGACGTACCACAATATCTTTCCCAGTGAAAGCTCGTGGATATGGAATACTACCCTTGACATGCGTTCCCCTCGGCACCTTGTCCCTCAGCCAGACAGCGATATTGCTCAAAAGCGCAAAGTTTACAAACGAATCCAAACCGTCGTCTGTCTCGTATTCGTCTTCATATCCTTCCTCAGTATAATCATATTGCTCCGCATCCTCCAACGCCTCTTGACTCTTGATGGCGGCCATCGTCCGTTCGAGTTCCGCAGCAAGCCGGGATCGGCTAGCAGCCTCCGAGGGTGCACGTCCGGCGGAGGCATCCGAGATCGTTATGGAAGGCTCGCGTTGGTTCATGGTCTGGGGTATGCTGGATTCTGAGATGTAAGATTTTGAACCGAATGAGTCGCCACGATAAACGTTCGAGCCACCGGTGATGGTACCGTCATGGTCGCTGAAGGTGGTCGCGAAACTGGAGGTCGTGTGTGAGGTCGACGCAGTGAAGTTGCGCTCGAGTCCGCTCATCTGGGAGTTGGATGTCGAAGAGGCGAACGAGGTGGTGCGTTCCAGATCTTTGATGCTGTTGCTGCCGAGAGAGCCTAGAAACGAGGGTTTGTGAGTATATGACGATGCAAGGTGCGGGGACACTAACTGCCAGAGGTGGGGCGCACTGCGCCGTTTGTACCAGGAGCGGTGATATCCTCAGAGGAAACACGTCCGACTGAGCCTAATGTCATGCCCGGAGTTGATCTGTTGGGGACACTGAGGCTGGACGAATGAGGAAGCGGAGGAGGCGGTGGGATTGCTTTCATCTCCGGAGAGTAATAAGCTGAGGCAGGGTAGGCTCGGCCATTATCCCTGGCAGCATAACCATCGGAGGATGAGGCAGTGGGAGGGGGACTGCTGTAATCGTCATGAACACTGCTATAGCCTGGGATGCGAGGTGGGAGAGCGCCGGGAGGCCTAACGGAGGGTTGACGACCGGGTGGAGGACCGTTTGCGAATGTTCTGGCAGGTGGAGGGGACCACTGCTGTGAGTAGGAGGCGGACTGTTCGTAGGTGGGAATGAAGGGAGAGTCCGAGTTTGAGGCACGATGAGTGGGCTGAACGGGGGGCGAAGGGGTGCCAGCCATGGTATCGGGTCTGAGAGAAGTGGAAGAAGGGTTGCGGGGACGAGGGTCAGATGGAAGAGGGAGCCCACGACGGTCGCCGAGATGTCTGAGGTTGTGGAAAGGACGTGAGAATGTGGTGGGAGAGAGAAAGAAAGAAAGGGACGCACAGATTACCGGCGCGCTTTGCAGCGGTGGGCGAGAGAGCGTCAGGCTGGTACGGTTGGGCCTCTGGCATGGCGTACGTCGGCGATGGCGAGGATGATGTTGATCCTGGCAAACGGGGAAGAGGCCGGGGTGGCTTGGACGAAACAGAGCGGGCGCTTGGGCTTGGAAGCGGCCGAGCTGCGTCTTGCACGTTCGGCGGTTCTACCAGGCGGTCAAGTGGGCAACGGGCTCGACAATGACAACGATATCAGCACTCACGGTATCCAGCCCTGTGCGACATCGTCTGTTGCGTTCCCGACGGCTGGTAAGGCGACTGGTCGTTGGCGGAGGAGGCGAGCGTGAGCGGAGAGTCGGTCGAAGGAGACTCTTCCGCGAAGCCGGCGAGCACCTGCTGGTATAGTTCCTGCAGGTCGTCAGGCGAAGGTGATGCGTGCGTGGCGACGGCTGACATTGGCGTTGCCCGTCGGCGTACACAGTCTGGCGGAGATGGCGGAGAACGTCGGAAACGGTGAGCTCAAGCTCTTGCGCTGCTAAGTCATTAGATCAAGTCGCAACGAGCACTCAGCCCCTGCTCGACCGTCGGCGCTTACCGCACAGGACTCCGGCCACCCCCTCCCATTCTCCTCCGACCTCCGTCAATTAATTACATACTTCAAACATGGCTCCCAAGGCCACTTCCTCCGTTCGCGACCTTCAGGAAGACAAGCCGTCATTCGGTTCTAGGTCAAAATAACCCTATTCCTATGGTACCATGCATGCTGATACTCTAATATCTTGTTTCGCAAAGGTTTCTTACAGACGAAGCAGACGTATGGAGTCAGAACGCTTGGGACCATGTCCCTCCTCCCGATGACCAGGCAGAGGCCATCGCCATCTCGCTCGCTAAGCAGCGCAGCGCTCCTGTACCAGACGAGGACAAGCAAAAATATAACGCTACGCCAGCTCGTCATTGGTATGGAAATCCAAAACATGCAGGGGATGACGCTCATTCCCTACCAGGGACAACTTTTACAAGGCAAACGCTAGCAATTTTTTCAAGGACAGAAAATGGTACGTGCTCCCCCCCTGCGTATGTCAATGTCCTCTCTGACCCTGCCCAGGCTACATCTCGAGTTCCCCGAACTTGTTCAAGCCGCCCAGAGCTCGGTACATCGCCATCTCTCACACCCGTCTTCATTCCTGGCGCTGAACAATGCATAAGCTAGGCAGGTCCGAAAACGATCGTTGAGATCGGATGTGGTGTGTGTTGTCTTTTCATGCCTACATTATCCTTGGCTGACTTCAATCTCAAGGCGCCGGCAATTCCGTCTTTCCTCTCCTGGCAGAGAACACGAACCCGGAGCTCACTATCCATGCGTACGACTACTCTTCCCATGCCGTAAAGCTGGTCCAGGTCAGTCCTAGGCAACTCTCTTTCGACACTCGTTGGCTGATCATCTACCATTTCATCAGACCAATTCGCTGTATCTTTCGCCACCCTGTGGTACCATGCACTCCGCCGTATGGGATCTGTCATCGGCTTCTCTTCCAGATGGTCTCGAGCCCGGAGCCGCGGACATTGTGGTCCTGGTCTTTGTCCTCAGTGCCCTCCATCCCGATGAATGGCCTCAGGCGGTCTCCAACATCTACAAAGTGCGACGCTCCGAATCCACCCTGCGTGACCCATATCTGATATCCTTCACTTAGATACTCAAACCTGGTGGACATGTCTTCCTACGCGACTACGGCCGTTACGATCTCACACAATTGAGATTCAAGACTGGTCGCCTACTGGACGACAACTTTTATATTCGGGGTGATAAGACCCGCGTATATTTCTTTGACCAGGGTGAGCAAGCAGCATTTCGATAGACTGTCGTGGGCTCTTATCCTGCGATGTCACCGCACAACCTTCTTCATCGAACTAGACGAACTTTCTCTGCTCTTCACCGGCTCCAGAGCACCCTCCCAACCGATCCAAACCACTACCCATGTCATCGACGACCCTCCTCCAGACGCGTCTCCGACTACTCCTTCTACTGAACCTCCGCCGACATTTTCTTCCTCTTCGTCCCCTACACCATCCACATCCACATCCGGCGTCGCGACCCGAGAGGCATCGCTCGCTCCCATCAACGACCCCCAGACACCATCCTCCTCTCTTCCCACCGTCTCAGCCGAACTCGAAGACGCTATTGAAGCCGGCGCCGGGGAACCCGAGCTTCCCACCTCGCCCAGGACCACAACTTCAACGATCATGACCGCTGCCACCAGCATCACCGACACACCCGAAAGCATCCATCCTAATCTTCTTAATTTAGACCACAATGCCCCTCCGGGCTGTCCCGCACACCCGCTGTTCGCTATCTCGCAGCTTGGAGTGGATAGGTACGAGTGTTTCGTGTTTTCTGTTTTATCCCTACAGTGCCCTGCTGCGTGGGATCAATGGTCAAAGGCTGACGTATGAATGATTGTTTTTCTCGATAAGACGATTGATCGTGAACCGCAAACGCCAATTGAAGATGTACCGTGTCTGGATGCAGGGCAAGTTTCGGAAGCTGTAAACACCGTATCGCATTCGTAGTTGTACAGATCCTCTAGGCTGAGTGGAGAGTTGTTTGGCTGTACATCGGTTGCGCTGTATGTACGAGTGCTGTGATATGTCGCGTCAGTGGGGTTTTAAATAAGCCCTGAAAGGATATCCATGTCCGGATGGTGGTCCTGGCAACTTTCCCAATATAATCCTCCGGTGTCCGGATTGGGGCAGCATTCCGACCAGATTTTGGCCAAATGATGTCCGGACGCGGACCATACAGTACATGGCCACGAAAAGGCGCGTCACATTTTCGGCACGGGTTCGGCCGGCAACTTTTCGTCGTATCCGACCGGAATGCGCACTTTACGCTGTGTGAGTCTTTCCGGCTTGTTCGCCTCCTCGACGTCAGTATCATACACACCCCTTCGGTTTTCATTGCCTTTGGTGGCATACGTTTTGTTTCTTATCTCTCAACTAGACGGAAGCTAATTACATTTTCCAACTTGCATCTTTGATGTAGCTGGATGTCGTCCAATCTCCAACGCCGATCCATCCTTTGGTGGCTCGAAACTCGCCTCATCTGCTTACTGGCTCAATGCAGCACAACATCTTTCCTCAAATGGTGGTCTCGGCGACTGTATCCCTCGTCCACGAGCCACCGCATCTTCCAACTCTCTAAACATACCGCCTTGAAGACTGGTTATGGGGTCCGTCCCGCAGAAGCCGCTGCGATGCGCTATGTTGACAGCCATACTCGAATTCCTGTGCCACGTGTACTCAAATCCTGGCCTCTTGCTAACGACAACGCAGCCATCATTATGGAATGGTTTAACGACACACACACCCTCGAACAACGATGGAAGTACATTCCCAACGACGAGAAGCTCAAGGTCGCCCGTCAAATCAGATCATTTGTGGACGAGCTCAGAACTTTGCCACAGCAGGGAGCTATGCGTGGTATGATTTGCTCTCCAGATGGCTCAGCCTGCTGGGATGAACGACTGAAGAGTCAGCGCTGCGGCCCATTCGTGGATGAGCGCGCCTTCAATAACTTCCGGCTCAGCCTTCTCGACCGCTTTCTTTGGGAGCCAGGCGCTCGAGAACAAATCGAGAACATCCGGATGAGACTCAGGGATAATCATCGCGTTGTGTTCACGCATGGTGATCTCGGTGTCCGAAACGTCCTTGTCGATGACTGTAACAATATTGTGGCATTGATCGATTGGGAGATGGCGGGGTGGATGCCCGAGTACTAGGAGTATATCAAGACAGTGCACGGGAGATGGGAGGACGAAGAGTGGGTGGCTCTTGCTCGCGAGATTGCACCTCCTTACGACGAAGAGATGGAAGTCGACGACCAATATTTGATCGTTAACGGCTCGCCATTTTAAGTCATCGTATGTAAACTCTTGATATTGGGCGCTCGTCAACGACTCTCATCAGTCTACAAAGGCCTCTGTCATGCTCCTTCACTTCTTCGCCACCGCCAATAAATCCTGCAGTTCCTTCACGCTGTATCCCTCCACGGCGAAGCCGTTCTCCTTCAACGCTCTCAAAGCCTCCGATGTATGTTGTCCTTCGTCTTCCGGAGAGGATTGCAATGACTATTTAAATCGGTAGTTGCCACGACACCGAGGTCAAGTCTCGATTCGCTTCAATCAATGTTTTTTATAGTCAAATAATAAGCAGTAACAATGTTGCATCCGACATTGGTAAAGCGACCACGGACTTTTAATTCCATCAACATGACCATCATAGGATTGTCCGCAAAGTCATCACATTAGTGAGACCCTCTGTCCCACCCCTTCCTCTTCCGGAGGGACAGGCAAGTCTCCAGCTCTGTCCGAGTTGAAGGCAGCATATCTACCAAAACACACCAAGTAACACGGTCATGGGATCAACATACACGCATTGTTTAGTCGAGCAATGCAGTTCACTTACATTCGACTGAACCTAGCAATGTCTTCAGGAGAGACTGACGGTTTCGTCGTCTTAAGAACGCCATGCAGGTGCTCGTTATGTATTTCGTGCTGCAGCGGACACGGGAGCATTGTTGAGCAATACCATTGAGAAGAAGAAAAATCAAGAAGCGTGGGTGTACCTTGGTATGCTTCACCGCATTTGTAGACGATCGAGCGACACCATCTGGTTGTGGCAGCAACATTTGTCGCAGCTGCACGAATATCAGATATACGACAAATCCATACCTATGAGACCGTTCATGCATCAAGATAAAGACAGATATGCACATACCCGTCGTTGCATTGTTGCTTCCTCCGCTTTCGACTTGGCGCCCATTCGCGAAGGTCCACCAATGGAAATATACTCAATTGACTTCTCCCCCTTATCCTGTTCATCACTGGATCCCGACAAGTCTGGGGTCTTCATTGACGAGTGGACGACTTCAAGATGGGCGTTATAAACCAAAGCTTGCAGATCGGCGCCCGAAAACCCTTCAGTCCGTTGTGCGAGATAGTCGATGTCGACAGACGCAGACATCGGCACCTTGCGTGAGAGAGCTCGAAGAATCTGCGCTCGATAAACAATAAGTGAAAGGCGCTATCAACAAAACAAATATGATCACTAACCTCGGCGCGTTCAGGTTCAGTCGGCATATGACAGAGCAGCGACTTATCAAGGCGACCTGGACGTAGAAGTGCCGGATCGATCATATCTGGGCGACTAAAAGAATAAGGTGGTAAGTTACGCAAAGCTCAATATTAAGGGTGCAATTGGTTTCACACATACCTCGTCGCAGCCAATACGTACACGCCCTCGAGACCTTCAGCGCCGTCCATGAGAGTGAGAAGTTGATTGACCACTCGGTCTGTAACACCCGTGCTATCGTGACCTCTGTGATATTTTATGAATTTCAATTCATACCGCTGTGTATTTAGTTATGTATTGTGCTTACCGCTTTGGAGCAATCGAATCAAATTCATCAAAGAATAAAACACAAGGTTTCGCAGCGTTGGCTCTCTCGAAGATATCGCGGACCTTCGTATGGAATGATATGAACACCATAAAGGTATTGAGCATTGCTTTCAAGCCAGAAGGTTTAGTATCAAGTAGTCACTTACCGATTTTTCGCTGGCGCCAATATATTTGTTGAGCAATTCCGGACCCTTCACGGTGATGAAATTGAGCCCACACTCCTTGGCAACAGCAGATGCCAGCAGCGTCTTGCCGCACCCTGGATAGCCGTACAGCAGTAGCCTGACGCAAGTTTAGTCGAGAACCAAGTTGAAAGCATGAGCATCAAGAGTTAGGGAGAGTGGTGCATACCCGGATCGTAGCCGCAAGGGAGACTGGGCGAATATCGCCGCATATCTCGTAGGCCACTCGAGGGTTTCCCGCAAAGTTTGGCGTGTTTCTCTGAGACCTAAGCGCGGGGTAAGTTTCCTTCTTAGATCGTATGCGAACATCACAACTTCACCTCCGATATCCGCCCACTCTACCGTCGACTTCTGCAGTGGAACATCCCGAAGGGACAAAGGCACGAAATCCACTTGAGCTGATCTGAAGTCCGTTGGACTAAGAGAGATCTGCCCACAAATCGTCATGAGCTTCCGATCGGCTACCCCGTGGCTAACTAGACAGTACATACCTGGTTGATTTCGTGACTTTCCACCTTCTGTCTCATACACCGAATGGTAGCTTGATGCACGGCCCTCCCGACAAGATCCTTCAGATCCGTAGGCATATAACCCTCCGTTTCAGTCGCCAAAGCCACGTAATTCAACTTCGCCTCACGGTCCACAGTAAGGTTGGAAGTACTACCCATCCTCCTGCTGACCGCTTGATGTAGAATCTGCTCATCCACCAGGTTCAACGCGCAACACGATCGTCAGTTCGTGCACGATGCAGCCCTAACATCATCAAAGCAGCATCACGAACCTGGCGGCGAGTATCCTTTGACGGGGGCTTGAGGTGTATGGCCCGCTTGAATAAGTGTGCTGTCATGATGAGAGGGTGCAAAGCTGCCTCGGACTGTGCAGTCGCGAGCACGATAATGTTCGAGGCATTCGGTGCGAGCTGACGACTAGACGGCCCAAAAAATGTCAAGAACGTTTCCACAATGTGCCTTGTGCGGAACGAATCTGCATGCTATTCATGCCGGCCCAGATCAGTCTCAGTAAATGGCCTCAATCATTGTACAGATGGGTCAAAGACACGCGCCTCAAGCTCAGTCGCAAGCAATTTGTCCATGTTGTCGAATAAAAGAACGCTAGGGCGGTGCCATGACGCCTTTTCGAACCAGTACTGAAACTGAGTTCGCAACGTCGGAACCGGCTTGTCTACCCATCGTCCTAGATCAATGTAGTAGGTAACTAAATATAACAAACCACATCGCCACGGTTTCGTGCACGGATACGAAAGCACTGATTTCAGGACACCATTGTTATTGCTCATAATGAAGGTCTGTGTACTCACAAGCAAATACACTGGGGTTCCATTGAAGAGCTTTGGCAGTCGCTTGGGCCACGGAAGTCTTCCCGGCGCCCGTTCGACCAGTGATCAAAAGTCCAGTGCAGCCTCCGACAATGCTTGCAGAAGACAGAGCAAAGACCTGAGAGCAGATTGAGTGTGCCTTAAAAAGTACTGTATCCACACCCGCAAGGTCATGCATTGGAGGTGGCAAGCGCGATTGGCTGTAATATCAGAGGCTCGAAAAATGAGATCAAGCCGACGCAAAAATGATTAATAGAACAGACCACGATGTGAAGGATGCTACATCCAGAACATTTGATGTAGAGTCTGGAGAAATAGATAATCTTTGCGCGTAAAGTGGATTTGACCATGAGAACTGCTTTGAGAAGCAGACGAGTAGATCATATACCCACCTGACTAAGTCCCAGTCCCTCACATCGTCTATTCCGCCTAGGATAGCCACATGTCCTTTCGGCACTTCATTTAGGCCCATAACTAACACATCTTTATTATGCCTCCTTCCGTTCCCCTGCTGTGTGCCATCGTTTCTCTTCCCAGCCTCAGCTGAACTCGGGTTCAGCACCTTAGGCATGGTCAAGGAGGCCATATCATCCGCTCCGTTCACGTTGCTTTCGGAAGGGTCGTTGGGAGGAAGGGACCGACGGAGCTTTGCCTTGAAAGCTTTAACATTGGAAGGGATCTGGCGGCTAATTTGGAGCGATTTTATGGACGAAGCCGACACATAGGCAACAGCTTGGGTGTCTGGAGGGGTGGGAAGGGAAATTGGGAGTACTGATGAGGGGAGAACTCGAAGATGGAGCGCTATAGCAATGGAGTATGAAGAAGAGGATGCATGTGAAGACGATGAGACAGCGGTAGGATATCCATTATTTGAGGATGGAGCTGACTGAGTGAGCGGGCGACGTGTTTTTGGGGCGATGGATAGCTCAGTACTCGTCGTCAGTAGCAGGGCTTTTACATTCGACGGGTCTAGTGATACTAGTGCAAAATACTTAGATGAAGTCTAGGAAATGAGTGAGAGGCATCGTACCAACTCTCAGCCGGATACGAGTACGACTGAGGACCCAAACATCTATTTCCTGCCCTACAGACGCTACCCGGACTTGAGATAATAGATTGGCTTCGACGTGATCCGCATGCAATTCCTAAATGTCAAATGTGCTGTTGGGTGACTGGAATGGTAACCCAAAGTGTTTACTTACGAGGATTTCCCAATCATCCGGGGTGAGTGGCTCTGTAGCTACCGACTTTGCGGTTTTGAGATCGTGCAGAAGACCGATATCAACCTGCACGAGCTTCTAAGCATATATCTCTATGCTGGGAGACATGTTCTACACACAATATCTCCTTGAGAAAGACCGAGACTCTGTGAATACTGAGGATCGATTTCGACTGTCTCCAGTGAGTGGTCGGCAGCGTTGGAAGAATCGAAATGGGAGATGGATGAGGCAGAAAGCATGCCGGTCCAGCCAACATAAGCGTCAATGAACTGCTTGCTTGAATCATTTTTGGGCTTGACTCTGGGGGAAGAGCATGTCAGGAGTACGGCCACATGCTGCGGTCGCTGCGAAGGAATTCATGGTTAGATGCGGGGAGGTCAACGTGCCAACAATCCGTACAATATTGCGCTCGACGAGAGGACCATAAATGGATATTGGCAGGTTCACAAGAGAGGAACGGAGAGAAACACAGTGAATGCGGGCTTGTCGAGGCATCGCTGTAGAGTGAAGGAGACTTGTGAAGGAGTATCCACTGGCATCCGAGTCTCTAGATTTCACGTCTCGCGAGGAAAGACGCGTCGACGCGTATTCACGTGCAATATCCCGACCGCTCGATGTGGTGCGTAAACTTCGGCCCGAACAAAGGGTCCGTGTTCGTGGCGTCGTTTTATAATTATGCATCCCTTTTTCTCTTCCGTCCTCTCGAGGCTGAGATCTGAGAGCTCTCATCCTCCACTCGGAGTTCACTTTTCAATGCTCTTCGGCAATTGTCCAGCGAGAGTTCATAAACGTTGATGCCCTGAATAATCTTGGCTTTACATACTCAACTTCTTCTCTCCTATGATGCTTCGTAGCTCAAGCCCAGCCAATCTATGTCAGCTCGGGATAAGCACTCCTGCGCTTAGTATACAGTATACGAACGTGTATCTTCGAACTGCGCAGCGCTGTTCCTTGACTTCTCAGTGCCTGTCTGAGCCTGCTGCATGGAATTGCCCACCGTCGCTGTTCGGCGAGAAGCTCAATTAGTGTCTCCTCAGCGACATCTCGGCTCCGTGCAGCCTCTTAGACTGTCCCCGCAACTACACATTCAGGTGATAATTCTATCTAATCGATATGACTGCTTAAACTACCTCCGTTATACGCACATATAAGCCTTCACCCTCGTCACCGAACCCTTTTTTCCTACGGCCGCTCTGCACGCCCCCGAACTGCTCCACCCACCGAGGACGCCTTTCGTTATGCTGTCTTGTTTCGATCGTGCTTTTTGGATCGCAGCCGGTCTGCTCGCCCTGTCTGGGCGAGCTGCCAGAGCGTCGGTCATCCCGGAGAAGCGTCAAAGCATCACGACGCTTTCGTCTACGGCGGTCGCGGACTTTCTTCCGTACACGTATTTCGCGGCAGCCGCCTACTGCCCTTCTTCATCCACCGTCAGTTGGACCTGTGGCAGTAAGTACTCACCCGTCTTATGCTAGCAAGCAGGCTACCATTTCTCATCCTCTAATATGGATTACAGCCCTCTGTGATGAGAACTCGGACTTTAAGATCACCACGTCCGGAGGAGACGGAGCTGTCACTCAATTCTGTAAGCGAACCCAGACGTACGGTGTTACTTAGAGCTGACCAAATGCACCGGATTCTCGTTAGGGTATGTTGGGTGGTCTCCATCGCTCGAAACAGTGGTTGTTGCCCACCAGGGCACGAACACCTCCTTCATGTCAGTTTCATCGTCTTTATCTGGAAGTAGATGCTCATAGTATAACAGCGTTTCCGATCTCGAAGACATCGACTTCTTCTTCCAGAATCTCGACGGTGACCTCTTCCCTGGTGTAGACTCGGGTATAGAGGTGCATATGGGCTTTTCCAATGACCAAGCCAAGTGAGTATCAAACCCTAGACCTTTTCCTTATGGTCCTAGTAAGAGCCCTGTTTGATCCAGGTCGGGTCCGGAGATTCTGGCCGCCGTAAACGCGACCATGACGACGTACAATTCTAAGACAATCACAACTATTGGGCACTCGCTTGGTCAGTGCTGTTATCAACCAATTTTCTAGTGTTTCGTCGTTTTCATCTATCTGCCCTCAGGTGCTGCATTGGCGATGCTCGATGCGGTCATGTTCACCACCCAATTCCCAGATGCTTCCGTCAACCATGTTGGTTATGGTCAACCTCGAGTAAGACATGAATCCTCTTGTATACCGATCTCCGATCTTCTCCGTATACTGATTCAACATCCAGGTCGGAAACCAGGACTTTGCAGACTATGTCGATGCTAACGTCAACGTCACACATATCAATAATAAGTTGGACTACATACCGATTCTTCCTGGGATGTTCCTAGGTTTCCACCACCCATCTGGAGAAATACGTATCCAAGACGATGATTCTTGGGACTCTTGCCCAGGTAAGTGTTACACCTGTCAACAATACTTCAGGTTCTGTTCTTCGATCGTCTGTGCTGACGACGAGAATAAAAACTGGCCTTTAGGTCAAGACAACGAATCGACGCTTTGCACCACAGGAGCGGTGCCGGATGTCTTTGCTGGCAACGAGACGGACCATGACGGGCCATATGGAGGTGTGCTCCTCGGATTTTACGCGAGCGCGACGTGTACGGTTGCGGAACCATGACGAGGATGACTTTCAACGAGTTATGTCAACGTAACGATAATTCGACCAATATTTGAATATTATAACGAACATTTAAGAGGCCTCACTAGATGTTATCTGCAGCCTGAAAACTGAGAGGTTCTGCGAGCTTCAAATCGGCTACTTGAGAGCTCGTAAACTTCAATTTTTAAGTCATAGTTCGCTTCGAACCCTCGGTAAGGAGTCGAGCAGCCAATCACGGCCGACCTGCACTTTCCCCTTCGAACTGAAATTTTCATTAAAATTCTCACTTTTACAGTTCGCTTGCGTCGCCTTGCAACTCAAAAGTCCACTTTTCAGGCTGCAGATAACGTCTACTTTGCGAAACACTGAATTGAAACATTTATCATCTGCTCATCCTCGCTTGGGCTTGGAGTCTGATCGAAATCCACGATATTATGTAGCGAAAGTTCTTGTTTGTTGGTATGCTTGTCCTGCAGTTCACGATTTTGCTCTTGTATCACCCACGAAGTCGTTAAATGAGATTTTCGTGTCTTGTGCAACATCACTATTTGGGTATTTGCAAGAATAAATTATATTCAACCACTGCTCAAGCACTCGTAGTCCATATTGCTTGTGCAGGATCACCATGCGGGGCATGGCCCATACTTTGCTGCCGCAACGAGCACATTCAACCCACTCGACGTCGCCACCTCGCTGAACACCGACCCGCCCTCGTTTGGCGCGTACCACACTGTGCCAATATCGTTCGCAGAGTCAAGGGCGTTGTTGTGTACTCCTGCCGCGGTGGTGCCCAGGAAAGGACTGTACTTGGCCGTTCGCGTGGCATCATTGGCGGAGTCGAGGTAGTACTGGACGTGTTTTACCCAGAGACCTTTGAAGAGAGACTGTAGGAGTTCAGCAACAGATGTGGTTATCAGTCTTCCAATGACCCGGGAAGGGCAATATTGGGCGGACGTACACCATCAGAACCACAATTACCTGCCCCGGAAGCAGGATCATCACACGACTCCTTCAAGACTCCGTTCTCAGAGAGGTGGGTGATAGTTGCATCGAGAGTGATTTCCGCTTGATCCAGATAGGTGGTGTCCTGGGTGAATTTATACAGCAGGCCGAGACCAGAAGCGAGGACACCCTACCAGACGTGGCAAACGTTAACATCAGCTAATATAACGAAGAGGAATCTCCAGAAAAGGCATACCTGGTTGTACGTCCATGTGTTCTGCACAGAGGATGTATGTTACCGAGTGTAGCCAGTAAGATACAGCGCAAAATCTCGAAGCTTACCTGGCCGTTATTCTCACAAGTAGCGAGATCAAGTCCGTCGTTCCACAAACCATCTGAGTTCCTCATACCAGAACTGAGTAACCAGTTCCAGGCCTATAAAGAATCCCAGCATCGATCAGCACACATTCTTCACTAACCACGACCCGATGATAGGGAAAGCGGGTGAATCCTGACGTTGTTCGCGTTGTCTAAGTACGTCTGATTTCCAGTAATCTCATAGCCACGGGCAGAGACAGCGAGGTAAAGTTCGTTTGTGATGGCGTTCTTGTAGGTATGATCCGTTGACCACCAAACTGTATCGCACAGATCATACGCGATCAGTCAAAATCTAGTCACAAACTCGGCAGAAGGGAGGTAGGATGTCAAAGAAGCAACAGACACGTACCACCACCATTGCAAGTATCGTCCCATTGACCAGATATGAAATCATAGATCCAGGCAGCGAGGTCCTACGTGGCAACACCCAAGAATCGAGGAGTAAGCTTCCTTTACCAAATATAAGTATATATGATCAACATACGTAGTAAGGTGCCGAGTTGCCTCCCACCACATTCTCATAATCCGCAACTTTGTATAGTTCCAAGACAAACCACTGCGTCACATGGCAAGCCGACAGGACATAACATTGAGCATCCTAGTCATTAGGTTCAAGAAGTTGTGCTTACCCCCGCATCGTCGTTGTATCCTGTTAAGGCACTACTATAGTCCCCGCTCAGAGCCGCCTGGCATCTCGAACAAGTCGTAGCGACGTCGGCCCAGGTGTAGTCCGCCGTAGCGAGCATGAGATTGAAAAGTGTTTCAACGGCATTGGCATCTGTCCATGGGCCACCACCTGTAGTGTATGTCCCGGAAGACGAGTCGTAGTAGGACTGCAGGCGCGTTGCTACCGTCTAGTTCGCAGAATTAGATAGAGGAAGGTGGCACCGATGTTCATCGCCCGAGTAAGAATAAGTAGCCTCCGTAAGTGATAGATTCGTGGGCGTACCTGGGCCTCGTCCAATGTCGCTGAGCACTGAGCTCGACGGGAAAGATGCGAGCTGAGTCCTGCAGCAGTTGTGCAAGAGATAGATGCGAGTCCAAGGGCCACAGCAAGTGTTCGTTGGAGGTACGGAACCATCGTAATGTCACCGAAAAGGCAAATTCGCAGGCGGCTGTATCAGTCACTGATGTGAAGGTCTTGAGCAAAGAGTGAACGTCAAGAGAGGCACGACGTCGATGGGGAATCCTGCCTATATATACCGTTTGATGGTGGGCGCCAAGACGAGTGTATGGTAATGGTAGAGTGCAGGATATGGCCACAGTGAAGTTCGAGGCCCGATAAATATGGGTCTTACATGGGCGTGCAATATACCATACATAGTAGTATGGCACGGCACAGGTGATCAAAGTCACAGCCTGACAGGAACCTGGTATGAACCAAGACGCGAGGCAAGCAGACCACGATGCCGTCGCATCAAGTAATCGGTTACCATGAACATGCGGTACGTACTCTATTTTGATAGAGAAGTATGACCTTGTGCTTGTCTCGAGCCATGGAGCACGGATTTGTACTGAGATGGTTAGAAATGGGTGTCTTTGGTTTTTCGTTCAATAGGTGAGTACGAGCTAAACTATTGGATGGATCATAAGGGTGTGCTCACCGCGGAACTGGTCGCGAATGTACTATATCACCAGTAAATTTGTGGATGCCGATCTATTGGAGGCTTGCGGGGCATAATGGCCGGGATGGGTCCCCTCAAGGAAGTCCATATGCGAGGGAATGATGGGCGTTGTGAGCTCTGATCAGCATTTACATCGTGTGTTCCCAGTGTCAATGGCCACCATGCGTTGAAAAAATAAAGAGCATTCAATGTTTCGACAAGAGAGCTGTGATTGAGCTAAGTTTCCGCCGGAAGCAGGAGACTCAGCTGGCAGGATCCTCCATAGACGGAAAAAACCATTGGAGGCATTTGATAGAATGACGAAAGGCGGTGAAGTTCACAATACACTTACAATGAGATAACCGATCGAGGAAAGACAGGTAATAAAAAAACAAATGCGACTTGCGGCATAGGCGGCCTTGTTTCAAGCCTCGATTTGGGGGAAAGGGTGTATAGCTGGATGGTATTATTTCAGACATTCCGTTAGACTGTTGTATCGCAGGCCGTCAGCACCTAGGATCCTGGGACAGACGGGCGCTACTGTAGAGGAAGAATACTAACTACTGCTGCGTGCCGAGTCACTTCTGCGTCTGCAAGAGGTACGGACCACCAGTACGAGCGAGGTAGGCAGCTCCTGAATCAGCCCATACCTGATATCTTGCTATCTTCAACTCGTCGTCGAAATCGAGGGTATAGCTGAATGTTTCGTCCCAACGCAGCCCAGTGCTGGTCCACGTGAACTGAGCATGCCCTTTGCATGAGACCTTTTTAACCTCCGGATCGACGACAAACTCTGAGAACCACATGTTCTCGTATGTAAGATGGTCTGCAAGGAGCGTGAAGTACTGCTTCACGGCGGGTACACCGACGAATGCGCGGCCAAGAAAAGGCGCGAGGGACGGGAGACCGTGCTCGATCGCCTGCGGAGGGTGGGCAGGATCGCTTGAGAAGTGGGTGAGAATATCGTCGAGGGGCTTCGAGGACGCGAAAACATCGCAGAAGGCCTGCGCAGCGACAAGGAGCTCTGTCCGTGTCGGAGCCATGTTTGTCGAGAGTTGGTCGAGAGGAAAGGAGCAAGGGGGCGGCAGCCCCCCGAGCCAAGACCTGATGTTGGGTCCTGCCTAATCCGGTACAGTCGTTTGCATGTCATTCTGGAATCGCCTCGCGAGAAATGTTGTTTGGTCTGACCAAATAGTCACGGTAGGTCACTGGGCGCCACAGTGGCGCGTTGTTTGAAGTGACTGCCATGCTCGAGCATTCATGTTTCTACTTGCCTTGCAATCATAGTGCTTGCGGGTTGAGAACTTGTGAGGATGACTCAGAGATGAGGAACGATAAGAGGATTATATTTCTACATAAAACGCTACGGCGGGGCAGATGTTTTCCGACATGCAGCATACTATCCTCGCATGACAGAAATCGAGTCAAAGAATCAAGTACAGGCGGCAACTGTGCACGGAATGAACGCGGGTACACGAGAGAGAAGAGAGGCAGACAGATGGAAGCTCTCGAAGTCAACAAACAGGAGTGTTATCTCGACACGAACGAGAATTCCTCGAGACTGAATGGGACGGAGATATACCTGGAGAAGAGCAGATCTTTGCCCGTGTTACATTAGGAACATAGGTTGGTGATTCGGCTTTGACAAGCTTGTTTGGAGGGTTAACTTGGCAAGTAGAGATTGAGAGCAGTGTTGGTCGGTACAGGTAGGAGGAAGGGAGGTTGCTGTGCTCCGAAAGCAAGAAACGCACCCGAGGATATGAACCAGAGCTGAAACAACCTCAGCGGAGGGACACAGCTACACTCCTCTCAGAGTCCTTCCCCCGCTCACGTTTGTTTCAACATCTCGCCCCTCACTCCCACACAAAGGGCAACATACCCACGTATCACGTCCCTCTCGTCAACCCAAGTTCTAGCGCACGGACACCCCTCCTATGCATTCACATCTTCTACCGCACAGCGTTGGCGACCATTGAGGCTGCTCCTCGTGTCGCCAATTTTGCGTTGCCTGGGACTGTTAGGATGATAGTAACGAAGCGGAATTCAAGTCGGTTGAGACTGCGATCGAAGAGGAAGGGTGGCCCAATATATTGTCCAGCTGATTTACCCAGTGTATGTCCCTAGCAGGCGTGGGATGAATTGGAGAGGTCAAGCAGCAGGCGATTGTGCGTGAAGATTAACACAAAATAGAATGGTGTGTATCAGTATGGATAGTGTGGACATTGGTTGAGGGAAGGACTGAGTGAACCCAGTCGTCTTGCAGGGATACACATCCGGGCCGGTGGCCGACAGTCACGTATTTGTTCAGACCAAACAACTGTTCTCGCGCCGCGGTTCCAGAATGACATGCAAACGACGTAATTATTTCCTTATATGGTAGGAGTTTGGGGGGGGAGGGGGGGTCTGGCCGAGGTCAAAATTTTTGGAAAATGCTCCAATGAGTGCGAGCATTCCAGAAAAATACTCAGAAAATATTCGAAAATCGGCATATTTCCCCCCTTCCTGACTTAATCCGGAAGGCTTTCGACCCCACAAAAATGCTTAGAATTCCCTTCTCCAGTGAATAAAGCCTATGGGAAGATAAGGTCTTTTTCTTGGGGGCTGCCGCCCCCTTGGAAAGGAGGATCCAGCGACCGCCGGAAAAGGGAAGAACGTTGACCGGGTTGGTCACAATTGATTTCCATGTAGCGACTACTACATAAAGTAATGCGTCGTGCCTCGAGTCTCCTTCTCTCTTCTGTCCACTCTCTTTCTCCTGCTGGGCTTGTCGACCTTCTCTCTACTACATTCTGCCTTCGCTGGCCTGATGGAGTCTGGTGTCGATAGCCGCTCAATCAAACTCGATGATGCATTCCTGGCTGTATCTCCAGCTGAGGCTACCATGTTCGCCCTCACTCAACTACCATGGCATGCTCCTCGTTCCTGACCACCTGATTTGAACAGAAACTTTGATGCCGCTCTCTCATGCGCCTCGGGTCGCGCGCGGCTTCACGAAGACCAGATCAAGCAGCTCGAGGCATGTGCTTGCCCCTGGCCTTACCCCGCATCCTCTTATTCTTCTCCAACCGTCCCAGGATAGACTCTCGGAGGACCTTAGTAATTGTCGAGCGATTGAGAGCTTGCTCAGGGATGCATTCAATACTCTCAAGGTACGTTCACTCCATTATCCTCACTCAGCTTCATCTTGACCGACACCTGCGACACCTGGGGATCGTAGCGTAACCATAGGCGCGCAGAAAGAGACGCAATACGCACGCATCTTCCTCACATTGATGCAGAACTCGACAAGTCTATGCAGGTCCTTTCGGATCTAGAACTTCGCCTTCCTGAAATCCAGTCTCAGGTCGCCCATATACAGCAGGTATACGATTCCGGTCGTCGCAAGGTTAGTGTGACTCCATCGCCATCTTCAATATTCCCTCCTCTCTGTCTTACCATCAACCCCCTTCGCTCTTCCAACCTTCGGCATATCTTCAATTATGCCTGGCCTACGATGCTTCGTAACTAGGCGCAGGAGCTCGTGCAGGACCTTGATTGGTTGAACACCGACTTCTACGAGCGCTGGCGTATCATCATATTCACTTCGAAGAGTCCCGTCTCGTGGAGATGGAAAGCTATAATGCGCTTCATCTTCGCCATGTGTTTCGCGCTCGCAGCCTGGTTCAGCTGGATCGCGCTTCGTGGTGCGTACAGGGCGTATAGGCAGAAGGTTATGTGGGGACCGAGATTGCCATCATAATAGCCCTTCCTTACCACCTACACGCTGCCCCATCGAACGAGTATAGGGCGGCAGGGGCCGCAGACGTCTGTATATTGTATATTCTATCATATTTTTGGTTCTCTCTCCCTCTTGTATCTATGTGTCTGCTACTTTACCACCTCTCCCTTTGCTTCACGTCGCCTCTACATTTATCTCGTCCTTTCTTTACCGCACCTTGCAGCACAGTCTCGAACCTCCATCCATTTCTTTCTTTCTGAATCATTCAGCATCACTGTCACCTCTCTTCCTGCTCATCATTGGATTCTTTTGCATGCGTCTCCGTTTCAACCATACCTTCTATTACGTCGTCTCCATGTACGCACCGTCCGTAGTCTCCCTGCTAGAGCAGACTCTGACGGGTGTCAGCGTTTAATGATCCGTCGTGCATACCAATCATAAAATTCTGACAATTATGTAGCGGCGCGAAGTCCTTGTGATGAAAGTTGTGTAGCCACGGGTCAGCAGTGATACATGCCTAACTTTGTCTGGATCCTGCTATCTTAGAGCCTTAGATTAAACTGGCTTGGGGCGGGGTGTCTGTACCTCTCGAGTCATCTCCTGAATTCCACAAACAGATACACTATCAAGGCCCAATTTACTCCTTAGGCCTCCGCACCCAGAACATATAGTTACACTCTGTTGCCCATGGCGTGGTCACTCTAGGCATGAGCACCCATTCACCCTTCCACGGCACATACACTAAACCCCTCACCTCTGCCTCCGTCCGCGTGGGTAATCCATAGTCATACGTCCGCGTGATCCAGCTCCGCCCTTGTTTTTTCGGCGATTCGTCTTCGAACGATGATGGCGCGCGTGTCGAAGACATTGATGATGACGGAAGTGTAGACGGAGAGGAGTATTGGTGGAAGAATTCAACGAGCTCGGCGGGATTGATATATTTAGAATGTGTATGTGTGCCAGGTTCAACTAGTCGGAGGATGCGTTCGGCGGCGAGGATGGTCAGCGCGTAGGCTAGTGGTGTACGTGCGATGGTCGAGAGGAAGAGATGACCTCCGGGCTGGTCAAGACATGGCGCACATCAGAATAAATTGAGTAATAGTCCGCCGACAACGATGGCGGCGCGTAAAGTGAAACGTACCTTCACAAGCTCGGCCAATGAGCGAAGGAAATCTGCGGGATTATCAACATGCTCGATCACTTCCATGGAGCATACCATATCAAAACGTTGTTGCTCCTGGACGAGGTCTTCTGCGGAGCAGTGTCGGTATTTTAGAGAACCATTCCGCATGTGTGAGGTCGATGGAGTTAGAAGAGGGTCTGCAAGGGCATGAATAGAAGCTATAGCAATATTCGACTTTGAAGCATCAACACCGAGTGTCCGTGCTCCCGATCTTGCCAGAGACTACGAGTCCACCATGACCAGTTCGTGAGCTATTGTATTGCAAGGAGTACTATTCACGCACCTCAGACAAGATACCGCCCCCACACCCCACATCCAACACGTCCATGCCACTTAAGAAATCAGCTCCCCCTCGCTCATTCGCCCAAGCTTCACCCTCATCTTCCCGCCCAATTTCGAGTAATTTATCCCGGATGAATTGTATCCTTGGAGGATTCATCTTATGCAGGAGCCCGAACTCGCCTTGCTCGTTCCACCATTGCGAAGATAGGCGGGAGAAATGCGATATTTCGGACGGGTTTACTGAGGATGTGTGGGTGGTCGTTCTGCTGCTATTGGCAACATTAAGGCTGAGCAGGCGACGAGTAGGGTGGATGAGAGAGGTGGGAAGGATAGGATGCGCAAGTTTAACGCGAAGCATAACCTGCAGTGGAGATAAAGCCGAATTTCCACGCGAGTGGCTACACGGCGCGAGAGACCTCCACGGATGTGTCCGCTCCTCACGCTCGTTTCGGTTTCTTGGAACCAAGGGTGTTCTGTTGAGCATGCATGGGGGCTACATTTGCACTATGCACATCTGACCTGTGCTTTAGTGAGCTGCTGTTGAGGCAATGCGAGTAAACTGGAAAGTTCATTATATTTCTATGCTACATACTAGGTCCTTATATACATGTAGCGACATAGATGAGAACATTATACTACTGTCGTGTGACGGGTTCTGCAATCGGAACCAGTTCTGCAATTTCTCGGTTTTTCGTTTGTTGTATTTTTTCCACCCTTCCTCTCGGTGTGGAAAAAAATCATGCCACCATTTATCTACTGTATGGTCACAACGTAAAAGTTTCAAGTTTGAAAGCGATGTGGAGGAGGATTGCACAAGGGTACGACTGTGTTTTGCAAGCCGGTCGTTCGGCCCGCGGAAGTTGGGTTGCAAACCGTCGCAAACGCAAGTCGACCGATTGCAAGTTTGCAATCAAGTACATCCCGCTTCTGAAAAAGGGTTTAAATATTCATGACATGTCTTTACATGCCATAGAACGTATCCCGAGCCTTCATAATTATTTTCGTGGGGGGAAATGTGTAAAGGGACAGGTTATGCAATCCGATTGCAGAACCCGTCACACGACAGTATACTTCGGCAAAATCGCACAACTCTAGCGGACTCTTCCGGATTGCTTCCGACTCACCGGAACTGTCGATCGCCCCACGCTCGTACTACCTCCTGCAAGCACTGACGACGCTATGGGCATCATAGCAGCCTCTTCCGGCCAGCAGAAGCTCTCGCAGCTTCGGAGGCAAAGCGCAGGTAAGGAAATGTTCTGTCATCAGGAAAACCGAATTCATTGCTTAGCGTCAGAGCGAGCTACTTAGCCTAGGTAGCATGCCACAGCTCTGGGCAGCTTAAAGTACGGCTGCTTAGAACTACTTATTGATCCTGTCATCTGCTTAGGATTGTGTATTGATCCTACTAACCTGCTTAGCCTGCTTAGCCACTCGAAGAGCTCCTTATTTTTATACACCCTCCGGGTCTACCGTATGCTTTTATATCATAGCACACCGGTATTCAACCCGCCCCGGAGCGAAAAACATCGATGTGGCGTGACTTTCACTGGCAGTTTGGAGTCGATCCGGCAGGGTGACCGAACAGTGAGCGGTTTCTAGACAAGAATTTCTGTACTATCAGTGGCCCTATGTTCGGACAAAACCGATGTTCGGACAGTCCGAGAACTCGCCCAATACTGCACTGTTTCGCCCAGTTCAAAGGCCCATAAATCACGTTAAATGGTCTACAGACGATATCCGCAGTCGTTTGGATGCAGTTGTGGCAGCGAGATGTCGAACGGGGAGGGGGTCGGTTCGGACACTTTGGCGGGCGCGGCTGTCCGAACATCGATCCCGCTCATCAAACAACTACCTTCCTCGCATCATTTCTCGTAGAAATTTGTACGGACATGTAGCTAATGTAGAGAGCATATGTTCTGCTGAGTTTCATCTCGACAGGACTCGAAATTCCGGGAGCTAGATTTTTCTTGTCGGAATTGTCCGAACATAGGGCCAGGGACAGTACAGAATCAACTGAGTGTTCACATACCATGTTTGTACTCTCCTGAGATGACGAGACGTGCATTGATTTAACAGTTGGGAGTCGTTTGCGCCAAGTTTGCGCGTTCTGAGTTCAGTGTGGCAAACGTTAACTTATGACGTCATAAACCCTGAATGTTCCCGAATATTCGGTGAGCCACCGCCACATAATTACACGTTTCTATATACTGTAGTTTTTCGCGCAGAAGTTCATGCCACCGCCCCTCGGCTGTTGCCGAGATGACATAATCCATCTGTGTCCCGGTTCGCAGACATGGTGGGACAAGGGACAGTGTTCCCTGATTTCGATTATTTTTCATGATATTACGGTCTATCATGGCTTTGCGGCCATCAATACAGACCTGCAAGTTGATAGAATTGACAGAATAATATTTTGAAGCTCAGAACTTAGCTTAAGGTTGGCTTAAGGGGCTTGCAGAGGCCAAGCTGGAAGCATGGTAATTATTATTCTTTTTTGGTCATATTTAATTTGTCCCAATTACATGTTCATTTCAGGTCGACAGTATGGGACTGTCCCGGGGTACAGGTTCGTTCGTGACCCCCCTGGGACACGGGACACGAACTTCTGCCCGAAAAACTACAGTAAAGCCTCCATTTCGCCGGCTGGAGTCTTTCCGACTCTTTGTTCTCAACCTCCATCATCTACTTCTCGCTTTCTCGTCACGATGGGCAAATGCCGCTCTTCCCGCCGTGAACACTGATAAATCTCGAAGGTTGAGCACACGAGAAAGGCTTGAATAGTACAGGTGCGTCCCTTCTCAGCAGCTACTGGCTCATTTCCGCCATGCTAAGCAGCATGTGTTGCTTGTACAACAGTAGATATTTCTCTTATCGAGCACCATCACCTCTGTGTGGCTCATCGCAGTCTCCGCCTGCATAGTGAGAGAGAACATCTAAGGTGAGCACCAAGCTGTTATCTCGAAGATTCCCTGTCGCTTCCTGTGTGTGCACCGCACCTCTCAAAGAGAGAGATGTGGTCCAGCGGTTACTTCGTCTGTTCTTACCCATACTGACCATTACTTTCCCTTCATCCATTCATTTCAGGTCATGCTTTAGTGGTCGTGGACGCTCAAGATCTTGGAACCAATCATGCGCGAACAACCATTGCCGGACGGAGATGTTCCCGTCCCTCCTGGCTTCAAGGTTATTTTCGCCACAGACAAGCACCACAGCGTGCACTGGAATTACAATGTGAAGCCGGAAGTCCCGTCCATCAACATTGTAATTCCAGCCCAAACTGTCCGCTGTCACCTGGCAGTGCTTCTTTGCTTCTCATGCTTACTCAGCTAGGGAAGCCGTCGGAACAGCATATTGATCTGGGCATCTCCTAATTTGGATGATTCCCCATGATTTATCATTAATAGCCTGGCCTTTTTGACTTCCCTTGCCCTAGACTTGGGTTTCCTGTTCGGCCTTGGCCTGTGCCACTGGCTCCTGCAGCCCAGCCCTTCCCTTCCTCCTCCTTTATTGTTTTACTACTTCTGACCTACATATGTATATAGTACACCTAAGTAGAGTATATATCTACTCAATGCATTCATATTGGAGTCCAAGATAGGGTTTGTACGAATTTATTTCGATTTTTGCGTATTTTGTGGCCCAAGTGTGGCTCTCCCTTTCCCCAGGTTCTGTACTTGTTTTTTCACCCAAGCCAAGTCAGATATGAGCTGTTGAGCCTCATATAGATGTATCTTATTCACACAGGCTCTGATCACACCAGGAAATCCAAAGAAATAAATGAAACATGAATATATTTCGCATTTTCCCCCTAATTACATACTACATGCTCTGGGGAATTATACAGGACAGCTACATAGGCAGACAGAGATTGTGCATGTAGAGGAACATGATAGATACAAGTTAGAGCAGAAAAGGGAGCAGGATCAAAGGTTCCTGCTGTTCTAGAGGGGTAGGAGGAGGCAGGAGGGGGTAGGAGGGGAGGGTGGCCATAGAAACAGAAAGGATGGATAAATAGGCGAAATCTTACCATGGCCAAACTCTAACATGTCCATAGATACCTCCCAGACACAAAAAACCCGAGCCAGAGGCCTAGGAAGAGCTGGGCTGGGTGTTGGGCTTGATGAGGTGGCAGGGCAGTGGGCTGATTTGGAGGAACCAGTGGAGAGAAATGGATGGGGACAGGTAGAGTGGGTAGAGGGTGTATGGAGAGGTTGGTACAGAGGTTGTTTGGGGTAGTAGAAGGGCTGGGTGGATGAGGAGAGGGTGGGGAAGGGTGGGGGTGATGTGGCACCAAGATGAACCTATAGCACAAGCTCTAGGTCTCTCAGAAGCGAAAATTGTGTTAGAAACATAACTACTCACCTTAATAGTCCTGCCCAATCCACCAGAAATCTCTACATCATCTCCAGAAAAGGTAAAAAGCGAAAATATATGGGGGTAGGCTGGGCCACAGACCATATTGCCACCCAGACTCAATCACTGGACCAAACTGGCCCAAACTTCCTAGGAATATAGTTGATGAGTGGGAAAGAGATGTTAGATATGATTTGGGTAGGTAGAGAGAGGAGGAGAAGTGTAGGAAAAGGGGGAGGAGGGCATGTTGGTTTTCAGGCACATAGGCTTACCTGAACATTCTAGCCAATTCTGAAGCTGTTCAAGCTTCAAAAACTCGAAGATATACTTGAGGAATATGCTTGAGGATGTTGCTGAAGTACTGAGAGTGAGAGAGAGGAGTGAAGAGTGAAGAAAAGGCAAGGGTGCTGGGCTGAAGGCCACAGCTACACCTCAACAGCCAGCCCAGAACCTTGAGAGCTCCAGTCCCTAATTTCCTGCAGTGCACAATCTTAGAAACCATGGCGAGGTTTTCCAGTTCGGCTCTGAGTACTCTCAAAGGGAAAGGAGATGAAGGAAGGGACATGGTGGCTGAAAAGAAGGAGAAGCCGAAGAAGTTGAGACGATTTCAAGCCACTAAATGCTTTCAAACTCAGGTTTGCAGGGCACTTCTCGGTTCAAACCCTCAGAGCACTCCTTTTTGCTCAAACTTTTCGTAGGTTTTCAGGGGCTCTCATTCTAATTATAATTCTGTTTTTTGCAGTATTTTATTGCAGCTCAATGTATTTCCATCGACTCAACATCTGGGCGATTGTGGCCCTGCTGTGGCATCCCGGACGCTCAACCTACCAAAATTGGAAGGTGTTTCCGGCATTTTCCGTATTTTTCCCGCAATTAATGGCTGGAAGCAGCTGTGGCACAGAGGATACTAGGGGTTGTGCAGCTTCATTTTCCTTGGATTCTCTCTCTGTTCTTACTATTGTAGATGCCCCAATGTAAGATTAGTACACTATTATCATGCATATTTGAGTCTAAACTCCCTTTCTTTATTCAAATCCGATTTTTATCGAATTTCTGTATAGTGTAATGTGGGCCACATCAGCATGTCCTGCTTGTTCATGCTCTGGCACTGCTCTATATCTGTGTTGGTCTTGGCTTCTCATATATATCTCTCCAATAAATCAAGTTTGACACTTGTATGCCTGTACTGTAATATATTTTGAGGCAGGGAACTGAAGTACCCCTAGTGCCACACCCCTGAAAATACTTTTTTGGTCATTCTAAATCTGAGCAAAGCTGATAAAGGTGTTCAGGAACGAAGTTATGACTATTCTGAGGCAGTATATGTATATATGATGATGTGTATCTGTTTCAGAAAAATGCAGGAGTAGGAAGGAGGTGGGCCACACCTGGGCCACACAAAAAGCGAACTTTGTTCAGACTTTTAGGAGGGACAGTACATAGTAGCAGTTCTACACTGATATCTATCTCATATTAGTGTATCAAAACATACATAATATAAAGTATCCTACTGCCAGAGCAAGAGCAGGAGCAGGAGCAGGGCAGAGGAGTTGGGCCACATTTGGGCCACACAAAACAGCTAATTTTTCGAAATGTATGCAGGGCTTTTAAGGCAGGATACTTATGTTCAAGATTTGCTCTGTGCATGCTCATAAAACTTATTATGTTCTACTGGTATGCTCAAAATGAAGTGTAATAGGAAGGGAGCAGGGTAAGAGCAGGGGCAGGGAGCAGGGAGAATTCCAGTAGTAGCCAGTGCCACATCCCAATTAGGGTGAAACCCTAGGATAAGGCAAGAAAAGGAAGGCCGAATCAATAATCAATAAAGTAGTAATCCAAAAGCGGACGGTATGCAATAGAAGCATGGAAGCCACATTATAATGTGATCCCATGAGAATAGCGCCTGAGAAGCAGCCAGAGGTTCTGGCTCACATTACAATGTCAGTGCACGGAGATCCCGGCTCACATTGTAATGTTTCTACATGTACGCCTGGAAGAGCTTTACCACCAGAACCTCGAATCCACATCAGCTCTAGCAGGACGCCTGCCTCAGAAGAGGACGCCTCATCTGAACGAACTCGATCCTAGACCGGACGCCGCGTCTAGACGAACCGAGCCAGAACCCCGGATCCGGAACCTCTGAAGCCCCTCGCTGATCGCCCAAGCCGACGGCGCCGAACGACTCGATCGTTCCCCGCTTCACGAAACCGACGCCGCCCTTAAGCCTAGCTTAAGCCCGGTCGTAACACAAAGGCAATGAATTAAAACTACTGATACAATCCTGTATATACAACCCTGTCCGGACTGTTTCCTGCTGCGTGCATTCCTTCGTGCTCCCACACAAGCCAGATCAGTGGTGGAGGCGAGACCTATCTCGCGCGATAATTCAAGCGCTTTGGAGAGTGAGTCCGGAGCAGGACGTCAGCGAGGGTCACAAGTGCAGCCTTGATAGGCGCTAGGAGGGTTCTGGAAGACGTTGTAGGTGGTTTGGTTCTGGAGCGGGAAAGGATGGTTGGAGGATGGCCATGTGGCTGGGATGAGAGATTTGATTGGCGAGAGAGGAGCTGGTGATGGTGGCAGCCTGACCGTTATGGTTATGCTGAGTGTTCTGAGCATTTTCACGCTGTTCACGAGCATGCTGACCACCTCGGCGACCTCGGCCTCTGCCGTTCCCTCCTTGTCTTCCACCCCGCTGGTTCTGGCTTTGGCCACGCTGCTGCTGCTGCTGCGGATTTCCACGCTGCTGCTGCTTGCCGTTGCCTTAGTACGGGCGACCACGCTGCTGGTTGTAGTTAGGGTTTCCACCCCTGCGACGAATGTTGGAGAGGTGCTGAGCGCTCTCGCCGTTATTCTGGCCTATGACTCTTCACTGTTCGTACTCGGCGATTATGGCATCCTTGGCTTTTATGAAGTCGAGGTTATCGACATCCATGCCTTGGAGCACGATGGCAGGGATTGTATCCCATTTGGGAGGCAACCCGTTAAGTAGCATCATCGCCTTGACCACATCAGGGATCAAGACGCCTTGTTCTCCGAGGTGCAAGAAGATGGTGCACATCTCGCTGATCTCCTTAATTGGGTTACAATTTGCCAGGAGACGGATAGTCATGGCTTTCTTAAAATCGGCGAAGAGGACCAAAGAGCTGGGTTTACCAAACTCGGTCTTTAACTCTTCCCATACTTCGTGCACAGTCGAGGGGCGCTTCTTCCAATCTTCATCATCGTCGTTCGGATCGTTTTTGTACTCGGTCTCGAAGAGGTGATGAAGGTTGGGAGCGATGCAGAGTCTCAGAATGCCGAGGGCTTTCTGATTCTTTCTGCTGGAATCCTTGTAGGCCGCCTTGTCATCAGTGTCCGCAGTCGCGCTTGGTTTCGGGGGAATAGGATCTTCCCCGGTGACAGTATCCCAGAGCTCTTGCAACATGAGGTACGCTTGAGCCTGAGGCCACCAGCTCTGGAAGCCGGAGCCATCAAAGAGGGCGACAAGTTGGGTGAGATTGTTGGACATGGTGATTGGTTGTTTGAGCGTGGGAAAAATCTGTGCAAAAACAGATCATAGGGTGTTTCTGCGACATAATGCAACCATAGTTTCGGCACATTTGCTAGCTCACTAATGTTCGCGTAATGTCGCGAACAATCTTCAGGTACTGCTGGTGCACAGCGCTGCAGCCTATGAAGGCGCTGCGCTAGGCGCACTCAGGGCCCATAACCTGTTGAGCATGCATGGGGGCTACATTTGCACTATGCACATCTTACCTGTGATTTAGTGAGCTGCTGTTGAGGCAATGCGAGTAAACTGGAAAGTTCGTTATATTTCTATGCTACATACTAGATCCTTATATACATGTAGCGACATAGATGAGAACATTATACTATAATAGTTCATTGCACAGACTTGCTGTGCGTCGAGTTGTATCGTGTCATATGGTGCAGTCATATGCACTCATTGCATGAGACTGACATTCTCATGGGTGAGAATACCCATGCGTCATATGTGAACGTCTGAGCACAAGGCCCGAGTTCAACACGTTCCTTCAGGCTCGCCTTCTCCAGGTATCCACCTTCCATGCTGGACTTACGCATCCAGCAATACTTCAGCAAATATGCGTCTAACCACTTCCCGGAGTCAGTCCGCATCTCCCATTTCAAGTTCTCCAATAGGGTCGCATTCCATTGCATTTGTCAGAAAACCAGTTTCGGGTTTATAAGACGATAACCTAATAAGACAAATTATAACGCGTAAATAACTGTGGCGCATTCCTTATAAGGCACCATAAGCTCACGTGGCTGCTTACAAATATGGGCCCTTCTCGCTTGCGTGGCCTGTGCGATCGTGCGTGATCTGCACGATCTCCCTTGCTCTTCCTCCTACGGTTGCGGGAAAAACCGCCTATTTTTCCCCAAAACGTTTGGTACCTGTACTATACCGGTACCATACTGGTACCATACCTCCTTGGCCTGAGGCCTGAACCGTACCTTAGTCACGTGTATGGTTAAATCCGACCAAGATGTTGTACCCTTCTGCAACACTTCTGAGTACGATCGTCAAGGCCTTCGGCACTTGCATTCCTTGTTCATCTTTCGCCGTTACCGTTGTTGTACCTCTCAATCAGTCTGCTACGCTGTGTACCTCATGCTACTGAACATGTACATAGACTATTAGCTAGATTAATGTATTTGTCCTTTGGCTTGGACTCGTGGGAACTTGAGGGCACATCCTAATTTTTGCTCATGTCAACGACGGCTCACCTGTAAGTCCAAGCCCTCTACAATCTACACCTACCATGCAACTCCCCGGCATACTCGATGATTTTTGCGATGCCGTCACAATCCTACAAGATGCTTATAGTGTCCTCATACCCCCGCTTGGCCACTCTGTTCCATCCGTAGTCCTTCAGTGGTCAACACCAGCCCAAGCCGCACCTCCCTTGTTCATGAAGAACCTCCTCGAGTTCTCCAAGGATCCTGGACTAATCATGGGCCCCTCTGCTCATATTTTGTCCTCCCAGCCTCTTCCCTCTATATCCGATCTAGAAATACATGTTCACGATGTGGTTTTTCCTGCTCATAAACGAGGCGAGGTATCCTTTCTTCTGCCTGTTGAGCAGGATGGAAGGACCAACCATCTACGTGTACTGCTTTACGGCTTCACCTACTGGTACTTGGTCCATCATATTGTCCTGTTCAAGGATGCTTGGCGGCCTGCGCTGCAATGGCTCTAGTCCCAAACCAGAAATAATCCCCTCGCAGCCCTCGCGTTTGAGACAATCAACACCCTATCGTGGCGTCCCGACCTGCCCGGCAATATGGGAGATACAGTGTCTCTTACTCGTTATTTGGGCACAAAGTGGCTCAGTTGGGATAATATGGATCAATGCCTAACGATACTCGAGCGTGACATACTCACGAACAAAAACCTACGTGCCACTGCTATGTCCACTGGTTCAAACATGAAGATGAAGAGCATCTACCGTCATGAACCATCGCGAAATGCATACCCTGCCGTAAAAAGCATCCCTCATATGCTCAACTTGGGCAATGCTTTATGGGACAACACACTTCAAAATCTCTATATGACTGTTCCTACACAAGTCTCGGGTGGCACTGTGATCTTGCCCAATGACGACGAGAGCCACCATGCAAACCACTGGGTCGCGGTGGTTATCACCACTCAGCCTCAGCCAAGGATACTCTACGGTGATCCAATGGGATTTCCTGCCCCGGTAGAGCTCCTTGAGATCCTCAGGTGGTGGCTCAAACACTACCGAGAGAACGAGTTTGAGCTCGCCAAACTATCGTGCATGAAGCAAAGCAATGACTACTCGTGCGGTGTTCTCTCCGTCAATGCTATCCGCCACTACTTCTTTCCGGATGCCCATGCGCTCCTCGAGCCCACCGACACGTTAAAGCCCCATCTACAAGCATTTATAGAGGCTATCGGGCACGTACAAGTCATGGTAAGTTTCACAAACCAAGACTATCCACAGAGTTTACTCACTGTGAACACCTTACAGAATAAGAACCTTGTCGCAACGGCTGAACCACCGCGTGCACTACAGCAAACATTCAACATGACTATACCCCAGTCCTCAGCATCTGATCTCCCCGTCTCCGCACCTACTATTCCAGCCGCTCCTGTCACGATACCACAGAAGCGGCTCACAGAAGGATCTGTTCCAAATTCAAAGGACTCAACGGACAACAAACGCAAGAGATTGACGGGCTTGAAGCCACCGGAGGTACAGGCACATGTTGACCAGGTGCTTGCCAGGGTGGAAGGAGGGATTAAAGGGAAGGGAAAGGCAAGGGAAGTCGACAGTGAAGAGGAACCAATCAAACCGGGATTGATCATCAGGACAGAAGTGGTGGAACACTGTGGAATAGGATGTTTGTTCAGACGTGCCTACCCAAGAACATGCAAGGGCAGCTGAGCTAACCCACCAAATGATAGCCATGGTCCTCTTTTTGATGTCGTGGTCCAAGGTCTTGAGGAATGGAGCAAACACTGGAAGTTCAATGTCAGCGTTAGCGAGGAATAGTGGCAGTGGCGGTGGCGACAAGGTGAATCAGGATGTGAGTACTTACTGCACTTTGGAATATACCTTAGGGGCTCACCGATATCATATAGGCTCTGAGTAACAGTGGTGAGAATACTGCGGGGTCGAGTAGTCATGCTGGAAATAGTGGGGGTAAAAAGATTCAGCAGGTATGTCTTGCAATTAAGATCATGGCGGATTTTGTGGTTCACATACGTTCATATCTATCATAGACATTACTTCACATTGTTCGAGTCTCCAAAAAGGTACCGCAAGACAATGTGGGTGGGAATGCTGAGTATGGTGACCACAAGACTACAGAGGTTGTGGGGCGTTGGCTGAAAGCAAACGAGGATGTCCCTGAACCCGATTCGACTGTGGCCTGTACTGGTGATACAGACGAGTTGATCAACATCGCAAAACCTGCCCAGAACTGGTCAAAAGGGGGTCGCAACCCTGATCTGCTGTTGGAAGTGCTCACTAGACTCTGTCACCGTAGTGGAAGTCCAACTCAACACATATGGTGTTGTGTTGGGGGCGGCGATTCCAATCCATGCAGTGCAACATTTGGCCATTGCAGTATTACTTGATGTGTCAAGCATGTACTACGATGCCATAATTTAGTGAGATCTCCTCGACTCAAGGCTATCAAATACGCAGTCAAGAACGCACCGTCGTCCAAAGTCACCGCTGCCACCACCGCCGCCCACTCCGAGATTGCATCCTCATCTACTAAGAAAGGCGCCCATGATGGTGATGAAAAGGAGGGAGAGGGTGTCGCATCTGAGGAGTCAGATGGGGATGAGCTTCTTGCAGGCGAGCACGTCTGGTTCAAGAGGGGGAGAGCGAAAGGTGTGAAGGAAAAGAACGCGCGGCTGAACCTCAAGGTGATCAAGTTGCTGTGCGTGAGAGGATTGGCGACAAATCTGGTCGCGAGCCCAGAATGGCAAGAGGTTTTCTTCATCGCCGACCCAACCTTCAAACCAGCCCCTCTCCATGTCATCGACGATGAACACATCCCTCAGGAAGCCGAGTCCGTTCGACAGAAGCAGTATACGTACCTCAAGAAGAAGTGGAACCTGATGATATCATACGATGGGTCAACCTCTATCGCGCATGAAGCATACTGGACGTGTCACATCTCTATGTCAGATGGAAAGGTTTTTCTTGTCTACGTCAAGGAGGCAACAAAAGATCGACACAATGCAAGATTTATTGTTGAGTTTACGCTTGAGGTATGTTCGACTCTAATCACTTTACACTACATATATTCCCTGAGAGTTTTCGTGCAAAGGTCATCGACACTATCGGACGTGCCCATTTTGCATGTGTCATCTCCGACAGCACTGGTAATACTAGGCTAGCCCGTCGTCTTCTGGTATCTGAGTTCATACGTACTGCCATCGACCTCCCCGACATTGTACACTTCATCAACAAACTTGTCAAGGACCTCATGAAGATTGCTGAATTTGCAGAGGTATGATTTTCTCCCGAAGCTTCTGCATGCTTCTTTGATATCACCGCTAATGTGTTAGCTGACTTGTAAACTTTGATCCACAAAGGACATCCATGTCGTCCACCACACAATCTCGGCCTTCCATGGCTCGCATAGCAGCTTCGCAGAGCTCAAGAGCGCTCATGCTCGTCATCAAATAAGTAGGAGCCTTGAAGTCATTGGTAAAACCCGATTTGCCACCCTAGTCCTCTCTTCGGTTTCGGTACAATGCTTGATTCCAGCAATAAAGGATGTGATTCTCAACAAGCCAGACTCCTTTGACGTACGCATGTCACAGCCATATCCTCAGAGCTGACCATTAACACATCTTACGCACTGTAAACAGACGATATCGGAGTACTACCAGCCACCTCCTTCGAGGAAGACAGCCAATTTCGAGTTTGGGCTCTCCCAGTTGATTAGTGTGGGTCTCCCCGCCACGAAGGCTCTGGCATGCTTGGAAGCTGTCGAGGCAACGCCTGCCGACGTCTATGTATTCTGGCACACTATTGTTCGTGCCACCAAGGATGCATTGAACGATCCACGAAATGAGTACAACGATACCATCAAGCAGAAGGTCATAGTTATCTTGAACTCGCGCACAAACAAGCTATTGGGTGATGGTGATATTGCAACTGGTGCATATCTGGCAGCAGCATATCTCAACAAGAGTAACAAATCTTCGTTCTATTTTATACATTTTATTTGAATGTTCAAATACTCCTTGCTGACGACACTGGATGTCTGTTTTTGTTCTAGACTATCTCAACTTGTCGTTGTTTGCGGACGACGAAGAACTGGACCAAAACAACTCCTATCGCGGTATCTGTCACCCATCTATCTTCAAATACGTCGCCACCTTCCTCGCCCAGCTTGCGTTTGCGGAGATTGAGCATGGTGAGAAGCCGGAGTTCACAATCTGGCGCAATCGTGCTACACAGTTCAAAGAGCAGTTTGCTGACGAGCTGAAATGGTATGCTCGTGGACAATACCCATTCAATGAGCGGCTCAATGATACTCAACCACACGCCGTTCGGAGATGGTGGCGCAGACTCGTGGGTAATCGAGACACCCTCATTCTACCCGTAAGTGATCTCTCATACAAGCTCATCTGTTGACTCATCCGTGTTTCCTGATCACGCATAGCACCTCGCCATCAAGCTCTACTCTATCCGTGTCAACTCAATGCCCAAAGAACGAACCGTTGGTCAGATAAAAACCATCACACCAAAGAACAGGAATCAGATGAGCATAGAGACCGCCTCTGACCGCACACAGATAGCACAGTTTTACAGTACAGCTTCGAAGGTGCACGACAATGCATGATGGCAGTTTAGCCCACAATTAACATTTGACACTTACAGACAGAACGGCGTCACCATCATCACCCGAACATCAAGTTTTATGATATCAAAAACAAGATCTTTCCTCAATCTGACGAACCAGAAGTAATGCCCGACGAAGAGGACGACAGTTGGTTGGACGAACCATCAACGGAAGTTGCTGAACCTGCCGCGCAAGTACTCACCGACCGTCACGTCAATGTCCGTTCAGAGCTCTTGGTGGATCTGCTTAGTGATTCGGGCGATGTTTCGAGGGTGAGGGAAGCCCCTGCGGAGAGTTCCAGCATGGAGGGTTTGGGTCAGAACGGAACGGTGGATGATAACGACTTCTCGATGGAGTTTTGATGTTGTTATTCTCACTAGTAGCCTATATACATGTCTTACTACTCGTACAATGTAGCAGACACCCTGGAGGCTCGCTTGCGTGGCCCAGCGGCCCTTTGACATTCTAACCCGTCCAGGGACGGAAAATTTTTGCAAAAATAAACAATAAATGTGCATCATGTGCCACGTGATCGAGTATGGTACTGGTACCTTACCTCCCATCCAAATCTGACCGCTGTATCCTACCGGTACCATACCGCCCAGGCAGTTTTTCCCCGCAACCGTACTTCCTCCTCCACCGCTGTTTCGAGGTCATCCCTTACTTGATACCTATCTACTAGTACCCTGTTACACTGAACCAGCATGCCTAAATGCAGACATTGTGGGAAGTTTTGTGCTGCTCAAAAGACTCGAGAGCCATGAGGAAGGCTGTGAGGGCAATGAAAAGGATGCAGGGGAGAGAACAGAGGTTCTATGAGGCTGCACAAAGAGGCTTAAAAATTTCTTGTGACTAGCTGTTATCACCGTTATGCTCAACTATAATCATTACAGATGAATTACAGGGCCCATCTTCTGTAACTCGGTCAAGTTACACCGAACCTCAACCTCATCCCCAGCCATACACAGGCCAACCATCTCCTCCTCCATCTCCCTCATATCCAGATGAATCCTTGGCACCTGTCAGTCCCATCATCACTCATGATGAGCTCCAGGGCAAAAATATATCATCCGGTAAGCAGCATCTTGGGCCACACATGACGAACCAATAGAGAGCATGAAATCGTCCAAAATCAAAACTCAAAAGCCGAGACTGGAACAGTTGAGGCTCCAAACTCAGTGGTGAGTGCTCGAGCCTGTAGAGCAAAACTTGATTGAGTTTTGCTTCAATCTCCGAGTTTACATTCTTGCTGATCTCACACTCTCTAATGAAATTATTCTGGAATGATCCAAAAGATTGATTTTTTGGTGATTTTGGCGCAAATCGGTCACGATTTGCTCTTTGTGGGCCTGCGCATATGCGTGACCATTGGGGCAAATATTTCACGACCGGGTGATACGGGAGGGAGAATACCCCATGGCTCAAGACAAAATAATCGGATGGAGGTGGAAAGAGGTGAGAGAAAGGTTGAGTATATTAGAAAGCCCAGGAATAGACAATCTACAAAACTGGAGAAATACAGGGGAGTGCTACGAGGTATTTATACAAGTCCGAGGTTGCCTCAACAGTAAATAGAAAGAAAACAAGTCGAATATTCAAGGGTGAACCAAAGGGGAAGACAAATAATAGTGCACTAAGTTTGTGCACTAGAAAGAACACTAAGAAATCCAAACAATGTGTATGTAGCATGTAAGCTAAGGAGTCCAAGGTCGGACGAGAAGATAGAATGAATAACAAAGCAAAAGGAAAGGGAAAACCTATCTAGAGAACAATGGGTACAGTCCTTTCAAACATAAACAATTATCCGCGAACAGTCAGGCACAGATAAAATGCAGAGACACCATAGAATAATAGTATGAACCAGTAGGAGTCCCTTGATATTGAAATGTCGGCGATTGAGTGGAAACTGGTCGAGATACACGAGGGGGAACATTATCAGATGGCCCTAAGTGAGGTTGAGACCAAGATCATGTCGTAGTATATTCTACCGTGGGTCAATCGCCGAGCATGTTGGATCAATAGAAAGCTCGAGCTCGAGAGAGTCTTCTGGAATTTTATTCGGAGTGAAACCACCCAGTATTGTGCCTTGTAGCTTCATCAGAAGGTGTGTGGAAAACCTAGCACGTCGGAGTCTGAATCGTTTCACAGGAACTGGCAGCTCGGTGCGAGCTTCCGTAGCTGCGATTGTTTGTCATGCATGGCTTGAATAAAATTGTATAAACTCCAGATAAATTGTGGAGACCTTCTTGGCATATTGGTTTCTATGCGGGTACTCACTTCCTCGTACATTGATAGGAGAAATGTCACAGGGGACATTTTATGAGGGGCAAGACTTAAGAATGAGGCTCGACGCGTGAGTGCAGGACTTGCCGAACCGGTTCCCTTATGTGGCTTGTAGGGGTTCGACGAGGTTCGGAGGGCAAAATAAAACGATAGAAATATCGGGTAAAATGTGGGGGACTCGTAGAGACAGTGGCGTCATTTGTGGGTGGCGTGCGGAGGACAAAAATATGGAAAATGAATTAAAAACAGGACATGTAAGTAGGGTACAGGTGGCGGTCATGACATTACCCCCCTCTTCAAGGCGGACGTCCCGACCGCCATCGGCTATGCTCTAAGATTCCTGTCATCCATTCGCCACTTTGCTCAACCTCGTCAAGATCAATGTAAGTGGGTCTGAATTTTATTTGACAAGTATCTATTGGCCTAGGTGCTGAAGGGTTTTTCGTTTGAAAATCCTTCATGGCTTCGTCCGCGTGAGTGATATTGTCCACCGGCTCCCAGGTATAGTCTTTCTTGAGCGGGTACCCAGCCCAATGAACGCGATACTGAAGCTTTCCTCTATGATATCTCAAGTCTACGATCTCTTCGACGACATATTCTTCGACATTATCTTTGACCTCTGTCGGTGGCGGCTCTGGGACCTTCTGAATGGTGAAGCTCGGGGGTGTATACTTGTGTAACAGGGAGGCGTAGAACACTGACGTTTTGACTTGCCAGGTCTTGGGGATCTTCAGCTTGTACAAAGTCTGGCCTATCTTTTCGAGAACTTTGAAGGGACCTAGTCGCTTCTCGGAAAGTTTCTTCGATGGTCTTTCAACCTTGAGATTGGTCGTCTCTAGCCAGACTTTGTCTCCCACTGCGTAGCCTTGGTCTTCTCTTGCATTCCTGTCATACCACCGCTTCATGTTGTCTTTGGCCTTCCTCATTGCTGCCTCCGCATCCTCATGAGCCCGTTTCATTTTGTCGAAGAATTTCTGGGCGTCTATATTACGCGACTGCCTACTCGAATTATAGTGCATGTTAGGGTTCCTGCCCGTCTCTAGGAAAAAAGGAGAGTATCCAGTCGCGGAGCTAACGTGATTGTTATAGCATAATTCCTGTATTGCTAGCCAGTCGACCCAGTTGTCTTGGCGATAATTGGAATAAATACGGAGAAAAGCCTCAATCTCTTGGTTGGCACGCTCGGTCTGTCCATCTGTCTCGGGATGGCCTGCTGATGAGGGATTGTATTCAATTCCTAGGAGTTTACATAATTCTGTCATGACTTCAGCAATAAACTAGGGGCCTCGGTCTGATATAAACTTTCTAGGTAAGCTGTGGTGCTTGAAAATATTATCCCTCAACAGTTCGGCCACTCCTAACACTGTTATCGTAGTTCTACAGGGCATCATATGTATTCTCTTCGAATATAGGCATATGACGACTAATATAGTGTCCATTCCCTTTGATTCTGGCAGTGGTCCGATGAGATCCATCGAGACACTCTCCCAAGGTGCCAAAGGTACGTCGTGAGGAGATAGGTTTGTTTTGCTAACACAGTGCACACCCATTCACGTACTTTTTCACATCTCTCGAGATCCCTGGCCACCAGTAGTCTCGAGTAATTAACTCGAGCGTTTTGTGCTGACCGGGGTGTCCTGCCAAAGGTGTGTCATGATACATCATGAGCAGGTCTTGTATCAGGAGACGGTGTTTAGGTACATAAATTTGACTCTTCCACTCGATCACGCCGTCGTCCCGCTCCACCCAATCCTTGTTTTTGGACACCAGTTCCTTCATAACGATCTCGTCTCTCTGTCTCATGGCCTTCCAGATTCTGTCATAAATATTGGCAAACAACTGGGTCTGAATCTCAGAAGCTCTATGTGCTAGACGGCGAAAATGCTCGGGCTTCAACATTGTTACCTTCTTGTTGTCCGTCTCCCCCTTGTTTAAATCTGGACGTCTGGTGATCGCGTCAGGTTTACCCATCAGGGAGCCGGGCTTGTAGTGCAAGGAGTAATTATAGTCTTGAAGTTCTTGGAACCAGCGAGCTTGTCGTCTATTCAGCTTCTGAGGTTCTCGGAAATATCCTAGGTTCTGGTGGTCTGACCAAATTTCGAAAGGAGTTTCGGTATCGAGCAGGTACAGTCAATACGCTCATACGGAATACACCGATAAGGAATAAAATTACCATATATGGAAATGGGTGTAAACATGGCCCGACGAAAGATTCAATTATGGAGACACATTGTTCAACTCATGACATATCATCTACCACCCAGATATGTCAGTATATGTCGTAGAAAGATACATGTATATTTTGGAATCTCTGCCATGACTATCACAATTGCTGGAGTGATTTTCTCATAAGGAATAAAATAATCTGAATTACCCCGATTTTATTCCATATGAGGATATCAACTGTACTGCCTCCACTCTTCTAGGGACAACACAATGGCCATGAGCTCCTTATTGTATATTTCGTAGTTTCTTTCCGTTTCGTTGAGAGATCACAAATAATACGCTAAGGGGTGCCACTTCTCATGTTGGTGCTGAGATAGAACCGCTCCTAGGGTGAAGTTGGAAGCGTCACACTCTACTCGGAGCGGGAGGTTGTTTCGGTATACGGAAAGTATTGGGCTGGAGCACAGAGTGTCTTTTAGAACATCAAACACTTGTTGCTCCTCGGTGCCCCAAGAGAATTTGACGTTCCCAGTGAGCTGGGTGAGGGGACGGGCAATTTTCGAGAAGTCCTTAATGAAGTGTCGATAGAAGTTACAGAATCCGAGAAATTGCTGTACTTCTTTCTTTGACTTCAATATGGGCCACTCGGAAATGGCTTCCGTCTTCTTAGGATCCATACGAATTTCTTGGTGCCCGATAATCATCCCTAGGAACAGAATTTCCGGTTCACAGAACTTGCACTTGGCGACTTTCAAAGACAACTTGTGCTTGGCTAGTAGGCTAAGGACCTCGCATACAACCTCCCAATGCTCCGCCTCGGTCTTGGTAAAAATCAGTATATTGTCCATATATACTATGATTTTTCCCTTCTCGATGAGCTCTTTGAAAATATTGTTTATCATTTTTGAAATGTGGCGGGTGTGTTACACATTCCAAAAAAACATGATGAGGGGCTCAAAGAGACCGTGGTTTGTTAGGAAAGCTGCCTTCCACTCATCTCCATCCTTGATTCGAACGTTCGTGAACCCTCAACGGATGTCTACCTTCGAAAAGACAGGCATACATGTAAGTCAATTATAATTCTACCTGCTAGCAAGAACAAGTTCCTTTACAATTGTTCCTCAGGAAAATAATAATAAATGCCAGTACTGGGCTGGCTATTGGGGCGACAGGGGGGTGGTTCTGGGTGGCCGGGCGGCCCAGAGTGATGGGGTAGGCCGTATAGAGGTGGTCCTGGGGGTAGGATAGGGGGTAGGAGATTGGGTAGGGGTGCTGGGGAATGGGTAGGGTGGGTAGGTAGGGCATATATGGTGAAACAGGCTGGGTTATACATGGATAAAATGGGGAATATAGGTAGGGATGATCGCAGGGTGAATAGAGATGGAACGGTGGCCGATACAAATACGGAAAAATGGTAGAATAATAGTAGGGATGCTAGGGTGGGGGTACTGGATACCTGGGGGTGCCAAAAACGCGTAAATTGTTGTTTCTGTGATTATACTGTGGCCCAATACACTGTTTTGCCCCCTCAGCACCCCACAATTAGTGCAGGACCATTTTGACTAATGTTGCACCATAGATCAACTTCCCAAACATCAAACTATATTGTCCAATCATCACTTCAATACCATTAGACATTCTAACCATGGCAATATCCCCAGGGTAGATATCCTCCTCCTCCTTCCCTAGACATGGCACCACTACCAAGGTCACAATCATTGTTTTTATGTCCGGTGTGCTTCCTGTCACTTAGTATTGATATAGGACTACCCTTGACAGCAAAAACCATGGCAATCAAACCGCTATATCCCCAGTTCTGGCCTGCCCGCCCCCTTTCACCTCGATAGGGCAATGTTCTGCTGACCATTTGCGCTATAACTTCGGAACTAATGGACCGATTCCTTCCAAAATCGATTTGAACCATCTGATACATTTATAAATGTTTGTGGAACAGTCAGAACCCCCAAAATCAGCCTCCTTCATGTTGCCAAAATCGGGCCACAATTCACATTTTGTACGTCAATTCCATCGAAATGACAGCTAGCAATGCAATCTATTCGTCCAAATTCACAAAACTCACAAAGTTACCAAAATACCCCCAGATCACCCTGTTTCCTCTACCGATCTACCCCCAGGTATCCAGTACCCCTACCCTAGCATCCCTACTATTATTCTACCATTTTTCTGTATTTCTATTGACCACCATTCCATCCCTATTCACCCTGCGATCATCCCTGTCCATATTCCCCATTTTATCCATATATAACCCAGCCCGTTTCAACATATACGCTCTACCTACCCGCCCTACCCATTTCCCAGCACCCCTACCCCATCCCCTATCCCCTACCCTACCCCCAGGACCACCCCTATACACCCTGCCCCATCACCCTGGGCCACCCCGCTATCCAGAACCACTCCCCCGCCGCCCCAATAGTCAGCCCAGTACTGGCATTTATTATTATTTTCCTGAGGAACAATTGTAAAGGAACTTGTTCTTACTAGCAGGTAGAATTATATTGGCTTACATGTATGCCTGCAAATGTGTTCCAACGTGTTGGACATGTTCAAATGTTGGCCAATGTTCATGGGATCAGTGATATGACACAAAAAAAAAACTGTTGCGTTTACGCTCTTTAGCCAACGTGTGCATACCGGCATTGAATATAGATGGTTCTCGGGTCATTTTCTTCCAGGAGCCACTATGGATCTGTTTTGTTACCTTGTCTGGGTCTCTATATGTCATCCGAATATTTTAGCTATGCAGGGTAGGCAGAACATACAGCAATACATACTTGTTGAAATCCTGCACTGCAGTGTCTATCTCTCGGGCCAGGAGTTCCTTGATTTTCTCTACGCGCATTGTGAACTCGAGACTGTCCTTCGCGGCCTCTTTCTGGACGACATAGCTTTGATGGGCCTTCTTCTGTGTCGCACCACTAGGAGCGCTCAGGCTAGGACCAGTAGGAACCATTGTAAATAGAGGCTACAGGAAGATACAGGCGTGGAGGGAGTGCAGCCAGTCATCGCAATGTGATGCAGGAGGCCTGTCGGAGTTGGGGTACCAATTAACCCAGCCAATATGCAGGAATTTCAAAGGATGTCAAATTCAGATAGTGGCAAAAAGGCCCAAGTATGTTACACCACACAAGATTCAGATACGGTACTACCAAGAAAGAGGGGAGCGAGTGGGAGCAAGAAGTATTATAGATGAGCGAAAAGTACTATAAGTGAGCAGCAAAAAAAAAACTCGCCACCCACAGGCTATAATAATCAAACCACCTTTGCCGCTGCTCGTCGAGCTAAGAGCTCCCGCTCCTTTGCTACTGGATACTCTCGGTCTGCCTCCAATGATTATGGGGTAGAGAGCAGCTTCCACCCTGACTCCCAACGTGCCACAGGATCTCTGTCAAGCAGTTCCCACTCGGCTTTAGGAACCATGCAAGCTGCACGAAATTTGTGGTGAATCCACCTATAAAGGCCACCTGGGCAAAACTGGGTGATAGAATACCGCTTTTCGCCAGGTTGTATCGGAAGGTTGGAGTGGCGAATGAATGTGGGGGAAAATGGAATGGTAGCGCCCGAAGGAAAGCGGATGATGATGTTGAGGTCTTCAAGATAGAGGTGCCCGCCCTTGTCAGGGTCGTGTGAGCCAAGTGCGGTGACTGAGCAGGGCACGCAAGGTTGGTTTCCCGGGTCGGTGTGATTGTCGGTGACAGTGGCAGGCCTGAGGTTGAAGGCACAACCTGGGTAGGTCCCCTTGTCACGGCCAGGCAGCACGGGTCTATGTACCCCACAGCTCAAGACGACTCTCAGAGGAATAAAAGACGAGTATATTCAGATAAAAGGATAAGAGACAAGGTGGAGTGAATCTAGGAGATGCCTAGGAGTAGATGATCTCGAAAACTGAGTAAATATATGACAGAACTGTCTACTATATATACTAGAGCTCGCATAAGCCCCTGTCCTACCGAGACGACGAAAGAAACAATAAGTTATCAATACTCTAAGCTACTATGACTGACCAGCCTTGAAGGATGAGAAAGACAAATGCCAAGCCACGTACACTACTCTGAACACTAAGTAAAGCATGTAAAGGGAGCGTAGCATGCAAACAAAGGTCGACAGAACAAGATGAGAGTTTACAAAGCGAGGCAAAGGTCATGTACAAGGTAAAACATTCAAGAGGGCAATGGACACAAAGTTGGCTGAGTAAGATTGTGAACTACGGAGTAAGAGTGACTGGAAATATTCGTCAGGTACCATAGATATGTAGGGGAGACCTGTAGCTATCTGTTGATACCCAATACTCGAAATATGAGTGGATACTGGGCGAGAAACATGAGGAGAACTGTTATCAGATGGCCCTGACATGAGTTTCGCCAAAGATCTCATTATTCCGGAACGGGTTTCCTCTCAATCTTGGAGTAAATTAGCTAGATAGAAAGCCCGTGGCCCATAGTACATTCTAGGATTTTATTCAGAGTGATTTGGTGCCCCGTAGCCGTTTCTAGCAGTGTAACAAGACCTGCAGGGGAGAGGGAGAGCAGAGTTTGAAGCGTTCTAGAGGAACCGGCAGCTCGGTGCAGCCTTCCGGTGGGTCGTCCTAATTGGGATCGGCGGGTGTACAGGCCTCGAATTAAATCGTAGAAATCGCGAATAAATTGTGGAAAGACTCCTTGATATCATGGCTTCGTTTGGGTGTCAACCGTGTTGGGGGTCATTTGGAGAAATGTCTCCGAGTGAAGCTTTTATGACTTCGGAAATGCAAGTACAAGTCTCTTGACTACGGGTTCCTCCGAGACATTTCTCACGTGTTCTGAGACCACTCCCTCTCAAGTAGATAGGCCAGGGAAAATTGTATAAATGGTAGGAAAATCGTGGAGGGACATATGATCCTGTGGATAATTGTAGAACATCATGTCTAATTACCTCTGGGAGTGATTTGGTCATAAAGTTGCAAAACTCGAGTTCTACTGGCAAAACATCCCATGTAGAATGTTTCTAGTCGTCTCCCAGGTCTGGAGAGTGCTAGAAATATTCAACGGTGGTCTTCGAATGTTTGTGGTACTTTCTAATGTCTGGACAAATCATGAGGTAGGTCCTATGGTCTGTAGAACCATGAAATACAATGTGTCACCATGTACTTTGGTCTAGGAGGTGTGGTTGTGTCTGTAGATAAAGTAACACAGTAGAAGCGAGGGTTTTAGGTTGATAGTATGTCATGACAGTTTGGACGGGTTGTGATGAATCATAAGAGGTTATACCCTCAGTAGTGCAGTGATGTGTAGTCAAGTATAGCGGTGTCCTTTGCTTGGGGATAACTTGTACAGGTGCTTGCACCCCCAAGGGTGAGTAGAAATGATTGAAGGAGGGTGTTTACAAGCTTGAGCTCAATCCCAATATTGCACCGGTCTTCGGAAGTATACCTAGGCAAAAATCAAGTTCGTAGAATTGAAGTATAGCGATGAGAACTGAGGCGAAAAGATTGGAGCATGTTTAGTGCTAGCAATAACCCAATCTTCCCGAGAAGCTGACAAGCTGTAGTAGGAGGTGCATGAAGTATGTAGTCGGTCGTGAACGATGTCTACGGTTCTTCGGCTGAGACAAAGGCTAGCTAGGTATGATGTTTTACGAGCTAGGACATCGTAGTCTAGGTGTTCTAGCTATTGGCCTAATATTACAGCGCTAGAACTGGTAGAACAGGGTGTTGAAGGTTGTAAAAATAGGGTAGGCTTGAAAAAAAGAATACATATATTTTTTGCATCCTGTTGCTAGGCATGCATGACACCCCTCCCTTGACAGCGGTGTAGTTGAGAATGTCAAAGTTGTGAGTGATGATATCCAAGTGTCAATGGCGCTGGACAAAGCTCCCATCATGGATCGGAAGACAGCCGGCGATGTATCGCGCTTGCTGTTTCCGTTTTTTTCTCTCGTCATTTTGTCGATTATTTACGGCCTTCGTAGCCTCATTTCGAGCACGCTTGGGCAAGGTTTCAGGGCCTCAATAGGATGTCGTGGAAGTGATGGAAGCTGATGCCGAACGCTTACGAGTGATTGAGGAGGGGCTGGCGATGGTAGAGGTGCCGCAAACTTCATTTCCGAGAATGGCACGGTGTCTATGTGTTTTGTTAGTGAAGCTAGCGACCGGCTCCGACTTCGAATGATAGGCGGGAGGGAGTGGGGTGGAGGAGAGGGTGAGGGTGATGGCAAGGGCGAGGGCAAAGGCAAGGGAGGGTCAAAATTGCAGAGGTGGTCGGGCTCTGATTGCAGGTCGTCCGGGTTGAGCATAGCTTCGAGCTCGCCTTCCTGGTCGTTCCGAAGACACGCGTCGAACATCAACCGGCAGTAGTCGATGCCACGTTTGTGTTCATTGGTGAGGGAGTCATCTGGCGATGCAACGGGCAGGAGACAAATCCCAACGATAGCGCCAGACCTAAGCTCATGCAAAGACGGCGTCAGTTGGCAGCTACACGAGAGAGAAACATATGAATACCGCTCGAGGGCTGAGGATGTAGTTGAGAGGCATGTTGTTGTGAAGGACCTGGTGGAGCAAGCGACGTGATGAGTGTCATACGCGTGGCCTGTGTGAATGGCACGGCTCGAGGCAAAGGTGAGGCTTCGAGCGCATGACTTCACCCGCGGTGTCAGAGCGTTGGAGACCCTCATTTTGTGAGGCGCAGATAATCGAGCACTCGAAGAACGACTGTGAGAAGTGTCACTGTCAATGATATTGCCCTCACAAAGTAATAGAAAAAGAAAGAGACGAAATCTATAGTAAGACTCACCTGTGAGAAGCGTCACTGTCAATGATGAAGAGACAAGGACGCTTCCCACAAGTTAAAAGGACGCGCTCCGGCGCTTACCGGTCTACTATATAGTTGGAAAACTACCTGCCTAAACGGGATGCAGAGGCGCGGAACCGAGGCGGGGAATCCGGCCCTCTGTGGCCCGCTGGCTGGCGAAATAACTAAAGTCATAACTCTGCAGTAAGTGGTCCTATCAGTCCCGGAAAAATTGCTAAAATATCAGAAAAATTCCCTCTGTCTTGTCGTAATACTCCGGACACTCCCCCCCGACGAGGCAGACCTCAAGCCCTAAGCCCCATCATCTCTGCGAACTTCTGCACTTTAACCCTAGCCAAGGGTTTAGTCAGAAGGTCTGCAGGCATCTCATCCGTCCCTATATGCTCCATCCGGATCGTCCCCTTCTCCACCTCATCTCTCAACCAATAGAACCGCAAGTCCAGATGCTTCATACGCCCATGGTGCTCCGGATTCTTCGCCACTTGAAGCGCAGACTGATTGTCGATGTAGAGCGTAGAGGGAGAGTCGAGTGAATAACCAAAGGAAGTGAGCAAGTTGCGAAGGAAGAGGATCTCTTGGCCAGCAGTGGTAGCAGCGACATATTCAGCTTCTGTGGTGGAGAGGGTGACGATGGATTGAAGGCAAGATTGCCAGGAAATAGCGCCTGTGCCCATCTTGACGAGATAACCAGAGGTGGAACGTCCAGAATC